AATGTAAACATAAGCAACCTTTCTCCATATCGTCCAGATGTGAATAGGTGTTTTCGCTGTATTTCGGCAAAAAGCTGTCAGAACTTATAGAAGAGCTCAAGCAAAAAGATTCGGCTAGTTTCGCAGCCTCTAGCTGAAATTCTTTTTCTTTTTCGTTCATTTTTCTTAGTATAGAGTCATCTGTCACCAATGCGATGGGTTAGGATTGAACTGTGAAGTAGCGAATTACGACGCAGTAGAAGGGTCAAAAGGCATGCTAATTTCTAGAAAATCTTCTAAATCAACTGACCCTAAAAGAAAAAGCTGAAAACGCTGAAAAATTCATAAAAAACCGAGAAATGAGTCCGCAATGGCGATGACCAGAGTTTTACAGAGGTGAAGTAATGGCTTTGCAAGTTTCGCGTTCCTTCCGTATCCTTCGCTTAACTAGATTACGTTGACTAAAAATACCGCTATTCTTCGATGTATACCGTCACCTCTCCAAAGTGGCAGTGTTGTCTGACGAGTAACATAGTGCTTTGTTTATGTTGTCTAGACAAAAAAAAGAAATAAAAAGTAATATCCAGTTATAACATGATTCATCGTTTATTGCCGTTGTACTTTGCATAGTCTTACAGAAAAGAAACCTGTAAAAGATTTAAATATTTTACTCTTGCTCTTTAACACTTGGTTCTTTTTTTTATTTTGTTGGTTGATCCTACCTCAATACAATGTCAAGCTTAACTTATTATAACGTATGATGGTTATGGAAAAAACGTACAGCGACCATTTACCATCCTCATTCGCAAGCCGTAACCGTTGGTAATATTATAAAGTGTTCTGGTCAAGACGGCTGGAATCGTACTGGCAAGATAGATGCTAGCGACATTCCTGGGCCACACTGCTACTTGATATAAACAATAATGAAGTGAGTACCTTTTAAAGTTTGATAAACTCTCATTAAAACACTATGCTATATTAAAAAGCCATTATGCCATTATTAATTCTCATCATAATCATATCGTAACGTAAACTCAATACCACTAGCCCTTCAGTTTAATTGATGGCGATTTGTTTCTTGGAGCGAGATTGCTCAATCTTGGGCAAGACAATACTCAAGATGCCATTGGAATATTGGGCTTCAATACGGTCGGAATCGATCCTGCTGGGGATGGAGATAGTTCGAGAGAAGGATCCAAAGCGACGTTCAGACCATCTGTGGTTTCCTCGATCTCCCTCGCTCTTGCGTTCATTCACGGATTTACCAGAAACGGTAAGCTTTCCTTCGTCGTAATGAACTTGAACGTCTTCCTTTTTGACACCAGGAATTTCTACATCAACAGCAACCGTATCTTTGTCTTCATGGACATCAATGGCAGGTGACAAATCAACAGCACGATCCTGGCGTTGAACGCGGGGGGAATAGCTTAAAAAGTCAGAAAAGACGTCTTGGAATGGGTGTAAATCGAAGAAAGGTTGAAGAGACATTGTAAACAGCACTCGCTTATTTCACACAATAGTCAAAATACAAATTACTCTTGTTCTTTTTTGTCAATGTTGTTGAATCGTCTCTACTTGACTCCTATTTATACCTGAGCTACAGGAAGTAATCACACCATAAAAAGTCCTAGTACCTTCCAAATGAGAATGACTTGCCACCATTAGGTCCTTCCAGAGATTTCGACATTGCTCCTTCCGCTTCTTTGTTGCTCCTTTTTGTCTTTTTTTTATTTTTTATTATTTTTGTAATTTCGCTTTTATTTTCATTGATGCTCCGCTCCGATTGTACCTTGCTAAACTCGCCGTTTTAGATATCTCTAGAAACTGACCTATGATGTCAAAAAATTCCTCTTTTGTACGATAGAAGGAACGAACTTTCTCGCATATTCCCACTTTATTTGTATGTTACCTTCTTTTCCATTCGTCAGTTACAAACAGTGTGGTAAACAAGGCAGTTGTTTTTTTGGTTTTTTAGTCATATTGCAATCTGATTCTCAGTTTATGCATTTTTCGTCTTGTATTTTATTTAAAAGTTATTAGTTTGTATCCAGCAATCTTGAATCTCCAGTCTGAAGATTCCGACTGTAGATATACCGAAATACTGGACATAAAGAATGTCTTTCTAAAACCAAACTTCATTTTTGGGAAAAAGAGAAGAACTGATGTTAATAAGACCGAAAAAAAAAATCCGTGATTTCACCGAACTACAACTCTGACGGAAAAGCGAAAAAACGAAAAAAACAATCCTTCTTTGAACAAGAACTCCTTTATATTTTCTTTGCAGTAAGTAATGGCAAGTTACATTGAGTTGTGAAGAATCAATCTACGAAACAAACACATTCTATATTATCGAGCATCCTCCATTGAGTCCCACAAAGGACCAAGGTTGAGCAAAAGGAAGCTAAATCTGAATTTCAAGAAACATCAATGTATGGAACAAACTCCATATATGTTTTCAGACGAACTTGTAAGTGTCTACGGCCACACCTAGGCGAAAACACCAGTTCCCGTCCGATCACTGCAGTTAAGCGTCTGAGGGCCTCGTTAGTACTATGGTTGGAGACAACATGGGAATCCGGGGTGCTGTAGGCTCCTTTTTTTATCCTTTTTTCATAAAGGAGGTTCTTTTCATGGTTGAGCTTTTTACTGTCATACCAATGGACGAAATGCTACAATGGAAGGAACCACTACGCAGCAAAACCGACAAGAAGCAGGAATTATTAAGACATCAGTCAGAAATATCTTGTAGGTTATGTTGATACAAAAGAAAAGGGCATACATCTAAAATTCCAGTACAAACAAATAAAAACAAAAGTGTAATAATGGTATTTTTTAAAATCACAGAGGAAATGGAGCGTCACGCAGATGCAAGATGTGATCAAAAAGAAAAATGATACTCATTTAGGGGAAATGGAAACGTCAATTCATGGTTGTCGTCCCGATCTAAAGTACAGATCACACAGCGAAAGGATTGCCAGTGAAACAACAACAATCTATCCGCTACCATGTTATGTAAACGTTCACTTGCCTCAAAGTCGATACGATCTCATCGTAGCATCAAGGATGTATCACGTATTTAACGACATCAGCAATGCAAAGTACAAAATACATAATATATGCAAAAAACGAACGTAAAAATACTGAATACGAAAGAGAGAATGAAAAGAACCCTTTCAATTTCTCACCTCGCCGATTAAAAATATCGAAAGAAGATAGAGTACGAAACCAAAGAATCAGCTACTTTCCAAATTCCCAGTGCTTCCAACGTCCCTAGATTGACTTGGTTTCTGCTGTCTTCCCGGAAATTGTTCAAATAATTCAGAAGATGGTTGTTCGTCTGTAAGATTATTAGGGTCATTTGATAGGTTTTGAGAATCGGTTGAGATTGTATTCAGTGGGATGGGATTATCACTCGCCAAGATGTTTCTTTCCAACGTCGCGTAGAAACCAAAAATGAAGTAATCCAGAGATCAAGTTTATTTAGTAACAGAATGAGACTGTTTAGTAACTCCTTTAGTAAACAGAATGAAAAGATCCAACAAGTCTATAAATTTATCCATTAGTAAAAGTCGCAAAACAAATATCTATGAATCAACTCACATGAAACAACAAACATGCAAATCCAGAAAGCCAAAACGGCAAGAAGAACCGCTGGTGTCAATTGAGCCCATGTCGGAAGATTTTCCATTGACTTTTTAATATAAAAGGAGAAAGAAGAAAGTACGAAAATACAAAATCCAGCAAAAATGCAAAAATGTAGCACCAGACAAGTCGAGCAGTTTCATTTACCACTTTGACAGTAGCTTGTGGAATCCTAGCAACCTTTGCTGGAGAGATAATCAACCATAATACAGACGTGATGGGATTTTCAGAAGCATCATGGACACTGCTTGACTCATCTTTTCAGAACATGGTGGAGCGCGAATTGGACGTAAACATAAACATCCTTTTTCCAACTCATCCAGATGAGACGAATAGTCGATTTCCCTGTATGACGGTAAGCAGCTGTCTGAACTGACAGGAGAAGCCCAGAAAGGAGATTCGGCTGGTTTAGCAACTTCCGGTTACATTTCTTTCTCTTTTTCGCTCATTTCAAGAGAAAAAAACAAAGATGTTCTAACGATTACTAAAAAGTCCGAAATAAACAGCGAAAATGATCCAAGTTGTTAGCAACGAAGAAGAACTTCGTGGGACTTTATATGAAAAGAGCTACACTCAACCAACACCACAAAAAAAAGAAATCCCTTCATGAAAGCTTCTACGAACGCGAATTGAAAACGCAATGGCAATGGCTAGAGTTTTACTGAAGTAAAATGGTCATCAATCAATTTCGGTTTCTTCTGGTGCCTTTCGCTATAGCGCTTACCGCTTGTTTTTAATCCTCATTATACATGGTTTTATAAACGTTAACTCTCGCGTTTAGGCAGCATGTTATCTCTGTTAAGTAGGTTCTCAAGAAGCAGTTTATTATGGTTGGAGAGGTGCTGCAGAGTGTTACCCGGGAAGTGACGACAAGCAGAAAAGATCTATTCAATAAATCAAGTGGAATTACAAGTTTTCTGGAAAAAGAAATTCAAAGATAATAGTCAATTTACTATTACAATAACAGACCTTTGCATATTTATTCTGAGACAATACCAACCTTTTCGCAAGAATCAATTTGCTCTACTTTTGTTGTACGCAGTCATATCCGCTTGCCCTCTCTGAAAAACGACAGAAAATTGCACATATGCCTTCCTATCATCAACATCAATTCATATCGATACAAGGATCATATAGTACTCATAAGCCCCTTTAACTGAATGTAAAAGAGCCAAGCAAAGGCATGAAAATAAAAATTGGTTTGAGTAGCTTAAATGGAAATGTTCCACTTACGGTATAAAATAGCAAAAATTGGTACTCATAGCAAAGCATGAATGCCTAAAGCACCACAATGTTTCCAAGTGGCCCCAACTTCTCCAAAAGTAGTGATGAGAGGAATATACATTCGGAAACGGTAAGATATTGCATATATACAGCAAACAAAAGTATGCTGTAAGAAAAAAGACGGTAGCATTTCTCCCTAAAGATTACATTGTCAGGATCAGGAAATTAATGCTTTAATTAATTCTGAAGCTTTGCAGTTCTGCTCGTAAAAAGTAGAAGAAAAATCAGTTGATTCAATCGTATCCCTTTGTTTACACTTTCATAAACAAAGAAGATCCCCCTTTTTCAAGATGCTTTTCCTAAGAAAAATGATATATTCTTGTTTCCATATTGGATTGTTGCTCTTTCTTTTCTAGAATTACTTTTCAGTTTTTATGTCTAAAAATTACTCCAATATACAAACATCATTCTTCATATTGATGTAAACAAACTTTCAAGCTTCAATCAACGGAAACCAGTCAATAACCAAAAGCGCATATAATTTTGGAAATTCAAAGGCAGCTCGATTAAGGAATTCATCAGAATTATGCGTGCCAGCAGTCCATAAGCTTGTACGTCTTGCAGCTAAACTAAAATGTATGTATGAAACCCTCGTTCGTATTAGGTTAAAGATAGCATGAGAATCCTAGGCATAGTAGGATTCTTTGATTTAATTTCATTTCGTTTATTAATAGATAATGTCCTATTTCTGCTATGTTTGTTGTTGGCCGTATTGGAATATTTAGACAAACAAAAAAAATGACAGCGAATAGAGTTGACTTTTTGATGGTACTTGCATAAATTTAATTTGTATGATTTGTATTTGTTTGAATCTTATCATTCGCTGCGGATAATAAAACCAATGAAGTTGATAGTTCTATTTGTTGTTGCTACTCATTTTCTTTCGAAATATCAAAAATAAGCCTTATGAAAGATATAAAGACCACTTTTCAGCCAGACTCTTCATCCGTTGCAGGTTTGAAAATACAAAGAATGTGAGTTAGTATTTGTTTTCGGCTCCACTTACAGATATGTGAAATACTTGAGCAATGCAATTCCAAAAGCTTTTTTGTTTACTGAATTTGCTGGTGTTCGTTTACTTGCTATCAGTGATTGTCTGAATCGAATTGAACAAACATCTTAAGCTTATTCAGCCTTGAAACTCAATAAACTGTGGCAATTAATAGGTACAGAATTTAAGAGTATCATAGGAACCAAGTATGAAAGAACTTTTATGAATATAATACAAACAGCACAAGATAATCTATCGTTATAAATCTTTACTTCAGAATAGAGTATTTTTATTCACTCACATCTCTACTATTGCAAATATTACTAGTATGCAACGTAGAAGCCTTTTTTATTAACAACATCTATATATAAAATATAGTCCTAGAAAAAACTAACTACGGTTGTATGGTGTAATGGCTAGCACATGAGATTTTGATTCTCGAGACCTGGGTTCGATTCCCAGTACGACCTAACATTCTTTTTTACCTTCTTCTATATTTGAAGAGGTAAATGCCAAAGCAACCCAATGAATTTTTACTGATTTCTAATAATTATAAACTAAATAATTCCTATTTTAAACTTCAAACGGACAATATATTTGCAAAACAGCGAAATCAACGAAAATCAACAGAAAGCGAGTGAAACACATCGGTTTCCTCTGGATTTTTAAGTTGTTGCTTACTACGAACATTACTGTTTATTTACAAAAACTTATCCCCTTTACTGGTTTTCATTTCGATACTATTGAATGGGCTTCCTTCGTTTATTTACATCAATTAGCGCTAATAAGCGTAACGTAACGAATTGCCCCCAATATAGTAGGCAAACTCTATTGGTTGGATTAATTACGCAAGGGTACCTCACACCAGTCACATTCAGTGATGCTACCCGTGACTGCTATCCTTCAAATAAGGCAGCCGCTTCCCTCATAACCTCTCTTGTACCAACCACCTGAACATAGAAGGGGATTTCAGCACATAACGAAAGGTTTTATCTTTCATACCCTTCATTTTATAACTGATATCCTTCGTTTGTCGATACACTCTCTTTTAGAAAAAAAAACCACGACATTCGTTTTTGTATATTTTTAATCGGCTTACAATATGCGTTTCTTTGAAACAGTGACTGCTGCACTCTTCCTTACAGGTGCTTTTGCGGCACCTTTCCGCCATCCTCATCATTTGCATCACAAGCGTGACGCCCCTGCGGTTACTTCTCAGGTCGTCGCTTATACCACTGTGGTCGTTGGTGGTTCCTCAAGTGGTAGCCCCATTTCCTCTTCTTCTACTGTTACCCCTACTAGCTCTAGCGCTCCTACTGGCCCTAGCAGTTCTTCCTCTTCTTACGCTAGTAGCTCTTCTACAACCTCTTCTTCCGCTGCTGCCCCCTCTAGCACTGGTGGCACCTCAAGCTTCACTGACGGTGTTTATGACTGCTCCAGCTTCCCTTCTGATCAAGAAGGTATTGTTGCTCTTGATTACCTCGGCCTTGGTGGATATACTGGTATTCAAATCGGAAACGGTGCTGGCTCTTCTTGTACCGAAGGTGCTTACTGCTCTTATGCTTGCAAGCCCGGTATGATGAAGACTCAATGGCCCTCTGAGCAACCTAGTGATGGTGAAACCCGTGGTGGTTTGGTCTGCAAAAACGGTAAGCTTCACCGTACAAACACTGATAAAGAGAACCTTTGTGAACAAGGTCTTGGATCCGCTTCTGTTGAAAACAAGCTTGGTCAAGGAGTTGCCATATGCCAAACCGACTACCCTGGTAGTGAGAACATGGTAATTCCCACATTTGTTGAAGGTGGAAATAGCTCTCCTTTGACTGTAACTGATAACAACAGCTACTTCCACTGGCGCGGAATGGGCACTTCTGCTCAATTTTATGTTAACAAGGCTGGTTACTCTGCTGAAAAGGGTTGCCAATGGGGTACTCAAAATGACGATTTTGGTAACTGGGCACCTCTTGTTTTTGGTGCTGGTATGACTGATGGAATTACTTGGTTGTCTATTTTCCAAAACCCCCTGACCACACAAAAGGCCAACTATAACGTTAAGATTGTTGGTGAGAATGGCTCTAACGTTAGTGGTGACTGTACTTTTGAGAACGGTTCTTTTACTAGCGGCTCTAATGGTTGCACTGTCGGTGTCACATCTGGTTCTGCCAAGTTTGTCTTTTACTAAGTTAGTGAAAACGATTATGACAAATCCACACCATTTTAGAAACTAGAGAAGTGTGCAACAAGCGACGTTGCGCATGTTTAATAATCTGACGTTCTACCATAATAATATTGTTACTGATTTAACAATATATAATAGGCGACTTGTGGATTGTCGTGCCAACCCATTTCTATGTGGATACAGAAATGGAAAAAAACTAGACGTTAAGATGGGTTGAGATGAGACGTATTCAATTTTTACATTTAAATATTGATTTTTTTAGTATGATAACCCAGCTTTTGAAGAATTGTTATGAGAAAAAAAAATCTTTTTACAACAGTTCTTTCTCTCATTTATTCACTTTGACCTTTCTTTTTTATTTCTTTTGATCTTTTTTTATTTTTTACCTTCGTTGATTTCAAATGCTATTTATTTTTTTATAGTCTGAAAATGTTATGATATGTTGATTTTTGCAATGTCAGTGAAGAGTTCAGTCGTAAGCACGTTAAGACTATATCGTGTGCGAAAGAGAACAGGCGACACGGAAATTGTGTTTAAGGAAGTATAGGGAAAACAAATTGAGGGAGGGAAACTGGAGAAGGATCGGAGATCATAGATAGCGCGGAGGGATACATGTGTGAGACATTGGTTGGTATGTAACCTCGATATAAGAATGACGATAAGATAAATAAAAACAAGAACAAAGAAAAATTGCTCGTTAACGAGACTAAAGATTAGGGGAGTAGCATCGTTAAAGAATAAACAAACGTAGGCCACCACCAAAAAATGAGGTCAAATTTACGTAACGGAAAATGGGAACGTGGAAAATTTGCGTCGCCCAACGTGAGATAAGAAATGAGCAAAGGAGACGATTGCTGTCTATAGAAAGATGAAATCTACAATTCAAGGCAAGTCGGGACATGAGGACGAAAGATTTGACAAAGTCGATTCAAGTGGGGAGAGTGTTTATAAATAGCACGAGGTGGCCTGTTCAAGTGAAAGAAAGAACATTTACAACAGGCAAAACAGAGCCAACTTGTGGTATTCATCAACTATCCTTTTTTAAGAGGGACTATTGTAGTGTTGAAGGAAATCATATTATAAGGAACTATAATAAAATAACAAACAAGCAAGATTGGAAGAATAAGTTTGGTAAATACGGAGGAAGAAGAGAAATGAGCAAAATGGCGAATCAAGAATGGATGAGCAAGATTCAAGATACAGAGCTGTTTGACCTGAAAGAGCAACCAGCACGGAGCTTTATTGGAGGGAAGTGGGTGGCCGCATCATCTGGCAAAGTATTCGACGTTGAAGACCCGGGACATAACCGAGTGATTGCCTCGGTAACGGATTTGGCAGTGGAAGAGACTCGTGAGGCGATTGAGATTGCGCATCGAGCATTTCAAAGTTATCGGCATAGCTCTGTACGTGAGCGGGCAGCCTTATTACGCCGTTGGTATGACTTGATGCTGGAAAACGCAGATGACTTGGCAACAATGATGACACTCGAAAACGGTAAATCGCTTTCTGATTCGAAAGGCGAAGTAATCTATGCGGCGAATTTTCTCGACTGGTTTGCAGGCGAAGCTCTTCGTATCAACGGTGACTCTCATATGGCTTCAGCACCCAATAACCGCATTTTGACAGTCAAACAACCGGTTGGCGTCGTTGGCATCATTACTCCATGGAACTTTCCTGCTGCCATGATTACTCGTAAGGTGGGTGCTGCATTGGCTGCCGGTTGCACGATGGTCATTCGTCCAGCCGCAGAGACCCCCTTTTCCGCTATCGCACTTGCCAAACTCGCAGAACGCGCTGGTGTACCTGCAGGTGTCTTGAACATGATTACTTCTGACTCAGCAGCTGAGCACGGCCTCGAGTTGACCACCAATCCCCTCGTCCGTAAAGTCTCGTTCACCGGTTCCACCAATGTTGGCAAGCTTCTCGCTAATCAATCCTCATCCACACTTAAAAAGCTCTCTCTTGAGCTAGGTGGTAATGCTCCTTTTATCGTATTTGAAGACGCCGACTTGCAAAAAGCTGCTGATGCTTTGATTGCCTGTAAATTCCGAGGCAGTGGACAGACCTGTGTATGCGCGAATCGTATCTTTGTTCATTCTAATGTTTATACACCATTTGTTCAACTCGTGTATGACCGCGTCTCTCAATTCCGCCTCGGTTACGGTCTTGACGAAGGCATAACTCACGGTCCCCTTGTCAGTCGTAAGGCCGTACATAAGGTTCAGGAACATGTCAATGATGCTCTCAATAAAGGTGCTACTGCACTCACAGGTGGCTCCGTCGCTTCTGAATTGGGTCCTTGTTATTTCCACCCTACCGTTCTCGTCGGTGCCAAGCAAAACATGCTCATTGCTCAGGAAGAGACCTTTGGTCCTGTTTGTGCTCTCTTTGAATTTTCCACTGAAGAAGAGGTACTTAAGCTTGCCAACAGTACGCCCGTCGGCTTGGCTGGCTACTTGTTTTCCAAAGATATCTCTCGCATCTTTCGTGTTGCCGAAGCCCTTGAGGTTGGTATGGTTGGCTGCAACACAGGCGTTGTCTCTGATGTACTTTCTCCTTTCGGAGGTGTCAAGGAAAGCGGGTACGGTCGTGAAGGTAGCCATCATGGCATTTCTGAGTACTTGGACATTAAATCTTTGACTATCTCTATCGACTAAAGGGATTATCGTGGATAGTTGGTTTTGGTATTTGTGCCTTGTTTTTATGAAATTTATCCTATTTAGTTTCTTATGATGCGTGTTCACTGTTTATTAAAAAAGAGTGTTTAAATTATCAATATTTTAATATCATTATGTTTTTTCCAATAGTATATAAATATAGTTGATAACTTGATGAAAGCATCTATAAAAAAAATCATGAAGAGAAAATATCTATTGTAGCTGATAAAATCAGCATTTCCAAGAAGTAATGCTAAGGATCGTTTATCTGAAGATTTGTACATGTTAAGCTGCATGAACTTTAGCTTTTCGAGTGTCTGTCAAGATGCATTGAATGGCCCAGGGGATGTCACATAATAACAATGCTGTGTATGAAAATGGCATTAACCATGAACCATAGAGTATATATGAATGAAACCAAGAGTGGAATGGATATTGAAATACTTTTCCGATAACAATCGGAAAAAGGATAGGAGCAAGAAAAACGCAGCTTAGAAGAGGGTACAACAGAAAACGAGAAGATGAGAAAGTAAGAAATTGAATGGCAGTAAGCCATAGCCCAATTAGAAAAGCAAGTGAAAAGTTCAAAGTGCTTACGGTAGTTAGAAGAAGAGACTTTGACATAAGGGAAAAAGCAAGAGTTAACTGTGTCTCTTGACGACTTGGTCGAAATAGCAGAAATAGGCCAATGCAAGCAACAGCGTAGGCTACCACCAAAGCAACCGGATTCTGCGCGTTTTTTGTGAGGAAACCGGTGTACATGAACGAAAAGGCTGTTACCATGTTGAGCAACCACAAACAAAATGGTTTCCACAAGTTCACGTGTTTTGGATGAGAAATCCAATGCCGATAAGCCCCAATCATCAAACTCGCCGCTATTAATAACACAGCCGGCATATAGTCGCCGATACTAACAAATGTGAACTGATTTAAAAGAAAATAAAAAAAGTAGGATTGATGCAAGTGCTCTAATAGATTGTTGAGGGATCGAAAACTGCTTTCAATAGCTTGTCCACATCTAGTCATATCAAAGGTAAATGGATCTCCAGCTTCGATTCGCACCGTTAAAGCATCAATCTTATATTGAGGAAAAAGAGAATGGGCATTTGTCAGGTTTGAAACCGCTTGCGATGCCATACCTCGAGTAAGAGCCTTTAACCTGGAAAAGTAATCGGAGGGTGTATAAGCATTGTATACCTCGCCTTGTAGTTTGAGAGAATACATAAAGCTAGACATAAAGATCTTTGCTACGGCGTTAAACAAGTCTAAATTTGGCAATTGACCATTAGCGGCTTGATATAAAATCTCTGCTACATCATTGTTGTATCCTTTCCTGGGTAGCTCCATTGCTAGTGCAGCCTGAATGGTTCCAGCTTTAAACCACAGACGATCGATGTTGTATCCGGCAGGAGTTTGATCATGATATGCAGACAAAAATGCATAGGTTCCCGAGACTGGGTGATCTGGAATGAGAAGGATAATGTCTTTAGACCAAAGAGACCAACCTTGAAAATATTTCATCAAACTAATAGCCAGCGCAAGGCCTGCTTCATTATAATAGCCCTCATAATCCTTCCAAGGAACGCACAGTAATAGGGACTCTGTTGCATCACCCCGGGGAGACCGAAATACCGTATAGAAGTTCGAACCCTGATGATATTCTTCATAAATGCGAGTGGTATATTTTTGTCTTTGAACGGCCATTCCCATAGTCGTAAATATGGCCTCTAAATCTTGGAACATGGGGTTCAATTCTTCAACTTCATCTTTGTTTGACCAGCCCCGAACGAGAGAAAGAGCTGCACGCATCGTTTTCGTGTTTTCATTTCCAAAGTACGTATTGACTTGTCCAGGAAGTAGAGCATTTTCCGACACACGCAACCTGCTCAAGAATTGCTCAGATGGAAGTAGGAATATATAGAAGGCACCAATTAGTGTGCATATTATTTGAAAAAATAATAGGTGTCTCGTAATAAAGGGAACCAGCTTAGACTGAAGCCTAGTTACTACACTCATTTTCAATCCTTCTTTTTTTTACGGATTCACAGCCAACATGCGATAGATAGAAGTCTTCTTTTAAAATAAACCCTTTCAAACTTACCCAAAAAAATCCATGAACTCTACCTTTTTGGATTTTGTTTTTGCGTTAGAAAAGTGTCCCTCGTTTGTTTACGAAGATATTTGTCCTTTAGCTCTCGTTGAATTGCGTAAATCCCAATACGGGTTTTGAGAGTGTCGGTAAATAATTATATGGCTAAGGGACGAAAACGAACGTATTCCTTCTTTCAAAAGTCCAAGACCTTGCTGAACCAGTCAGAAGGAAACGCCTATTCAACTTTGGTTTTTACATATCAATCAAGGGGTAACGCCAAGGTCACAGCCAAATAAACAATTGTATGCGTTTCTTCCTGTGTAGTAAACATGTAATGTAATAAACAATAAGGGTAGAAAGTGTCTTTTTCGCAGTATGCTGCTTGAAAAAGTATGAGTATGAGTCGATTTTGTACGAAGGATTGGGATATTGAAGACTTCTTAAAACGTAAAGTGTAAACGAAAAAACATCTACCTTCTTTTTTCAGAGCAACAAACGATTCTTGCTTTTTTTTCTTTTTAATTGTAATCTGATCAAGCCTTTATTTGAAAAGTGGTATTACTAAAACAATATGTCTGTAGATGCGTTTTTCAGTGGGTTTTGTTTTTTAACGTAATATAGCGAGCCAATCGAGTTGGCAAGAAATACAAAAACAGTAAACTACCTTCGTTAGACTTAATAGACATTCCTTTATTATTCACTTAATTTCTTATAGAATACGAGTTTCTTTCTTCGTTTCAATTGCCAAAGTCTGTGCCTTGGAAGAAAGATTCAGGTGAACGAAAATTAGCTTTGTGATTTGAGAACTAAAATGGAATTCCAAGATTTCGACAAAGAAACTATAGGTCAAAGTGAATGCAGAGTACTCGTAATCTTTCGTGCTCTAAGTTTGGAAGAACAGAAGACGAGCGCCATTCAGTTCAAGAAAGAGCTGGAGCGCTTGATTGAAAACTACGGCAAGGAACGTATTTGGCAAAACGAAGGGTTTACGTTGAATTCAGATACGATTCATGGAACCTACTGTCTCTTTGGATCTACAGATTTTGGAGATTGTATAGCTGATGAGTGGTGGATTGTTTGGTTGCTTTTTGAAGCTAGCCGAACTGTGAAAAATGCATTTTGTAGAGTCATAGATTCGGATGGAGAATTTTTATTGATTGAGGCTGCTTTCGCTTTGCCGAAATGGATCGATGAGGATAATTCAGATTATCGCGTATGGATTCATGACGGAAATGTCCTTCTTCTTCGTCCTAACGGAGCAAATCTTCAGGAGTATGAAAGGTGCGATCCTTTATCTAGAAGTGAAGCTATCAAACAAATCAATCTTGGAGAAAACTTTGATGTCCCTGCAAGGGTTAACAAAGGTATACGGCAGCGACTCCAGGAGTATCCTGAAACAGCAAATAATCACCATCGAGCTGTTATAACCATACCAAGATCAATTGCATATTTATTAAGAAAGGACAGAAATCTTGTTAGCAAAGCCATTACCGCCTTTTATTACCGTGATCCTATTTCCGAGAAGGAATGTGACTGCATGCAGAAGTTCTATCCCAACGATCTTGTCACCATGACAGTATGTTTTACGCCTTTACTATATGCTCAGCTTGCTCAGCAGCGAACTCGTAAGTATGCACCCTTTCAGTTACCTTTACAGGGAGAAGAGCCGGCTTTTACCCAAGCCGAACTAGGCATGAAGCTTGCTTGCGGGTTTGAAATCCTTTACAATTCTAATGAACAAGAAGAAGCAAAAAAAAGTATCGACCAACTTTTAGAAGGAGCGGTTTTCCCAACAGACGATGAATTAAAAACATTACCGCTCATAAATGATGATACCAGCTTCATGAATGTAGACCCCGATGATTTAGAAGATATGTTGAATAGCCGGATTAAAGACTTGGAAGGATCTCAATCGGCAGAGGATTCAGACTTTGCTGAATCAGTTTCCTCTGCTGATGACCAGGCGTCAAATGCATCCCAATCCAAAATGACAAAAGATTTCAATGAACATGATCTCAAAGACATCATCTCAAAAATCGAAGACTTCGTTGAAAGTGACGGGTCTTCTTCTGATCGACCAGATATATACGGCATTGAAAACTCAGAAGAAGATGAAGAAAAGTTGTACACTTATGATCCAGGGAAGAGAGATGAATTTTCCTTGAATCATAGGAATGCAGAATCCGACGACGATAATATAGAGTTTAACGAAGACGAGTTTTTCAATATTCTGAAGAAACCGACCTCAGATACCATGGCTAAGAGTAACCCGTCGGCTTTAGATTCTGCCTCCTCTGAATCATCGGAAGATGAACTACCTGGAAACATGACCTTGCAGGAGTACATGCAAGCCATGGACGAAGAACTGAAATCCCAAAAAGTAGGAAATAAGGAAGGGGCTCCTGAGCCTTTCAACGGCGAGTCTTCTGAATTGGGTATAGATATGAACCTTGCCATGAATCTAATAGAAGGAATTCAAGCTAATCCCGATGCATATGGCGGTCCCATCTCTACTTTGCTAGACAGTCTAAATATACAAGTTCCAAAAGGATAATAGAAAAATAAAATATTTTAATGACTATTTTTATGTTCTTTTTTAATGTTTTAATAGGCCGATCTAATCTACTTTATATGAATATGCTGTAATTAAACTCCGTTCTAGGAATCCATTTAACCTACCAACACCCACACTGCTAGTGCAAAGTAGAAACACGCTTGAAAACGAACGTGTTACGTGTTTCATTACTAGGAAATATGATTTTTAAAACATCAGCAGCACGATCTCTTGTCTTTCGTGTAAAACACGCCGGAGTTCAAGGGAGTGTTCGCACTCCCGTATATATGGCGTTGAGCCGACGCTTTTATGCTTCCAGCCCATCTAATAACGGTGAATACGACTTGTGTGTTATTGGAAGTGGTCCGGGTGGTTACGTTGCTGCCATCCGTGGATCTCAACTCGGTTTGAAGACCGTCTGTATTGAAAAGCGTGGCTCTTTGGGCGGTACTTGCTTGAATGTTGGATGTATCCCCTCGAAAGCTATGTTAAACAACTCTCATATCTACCATACCATTACTCACGATACGAAGCACCGTGGTATTGAAGTTTCCGGTGCTAAAGTCAATCTTGCTCAAATGATGAAGGCCAAGGATGATTCAGTGAAGTCCCTTACCTCAGGTATCGAATTTTTATTCAAGAAAAACAAGGTTGACTACGCAAAGGGTGTTGGTTCTTTTGAAGACCCCAATACAGTTTCAGTAAAAGGTATCCAAGGCGCTCCTGATCGCACTATCAAAGCTAAAAACTTCATTATCGCTACCGGTAGTGAAGTGAAGTCTTTTCCAGGTGTAACAATTGATGAAAAGAAGATTGTTTCCTCTACCGGAGCCTTGGCTTTGCCTGAAGTCCCCAAGAAAATGGCTGTTTTGGGTGGTGGTATCATCGGTTTAGAAATGGGAAGTGTTTGGTCTCGATTGGGAGCCGACGTTACTGTCATTGAATTCATGCCTTCTGTTGGTGGTGTTATGGATACCGACATCTCGAAGGCATTCTCTCGTATCATTGGCAAGCAAGGTATCAAGTTCAAGACTTCCACCAAGCTGCTGAGTGCCAAAGACAACGGTAAGTCCGTGGAAATGGAAATTGAAGACATGAAGAAGAACAAGCGTGAGAAATTGGATGCAGACGTTTTATTGGTTGCTATTGGCCGTGCCCCCTACACCGAAGGCCTTGGTTTAGAGAAGATTGGTGTTGAGATGGACAAGGCCAACCGTGTCATCATGGACAGCGAGTATCGCACCAAGCACCCTCATATCCGTGTCATTGGTGATGCCACTTTTGGTCCCATGTTGGCCCACAAGGCCGAAGATGAAGGTATCGCCGCCGTGGAATTCATTGCTAAGGGTCAAGGACATGTCAACTACAACGCCATTCCAGCCGTAATGTATACCCATCCCGAGGTTGCCTGGGTTGGTATGACTGAACAACAAGCCAAAGAATCCGGTTTGAAATACAAGGTCGGTACCTTCCCCTTCATGGCCAACTCTCGTGCCAAGACAAACATGGATGCTGAAGGTTTAGTCAAGGTTATTGCTGACGCTGAGACTGATCGTCTTTTGGGTTGCCATATTATCGGCCCAATGGCTGGTGAACTCATTGGTGAAGCAACCCTTGCCATCGAATATGGTGCTAGTGCTGAAGATGTTGCTCGTGTTTGCCATGCCCATCCTACCTTGTCCGAAGCTGTGAAGGAAGGCATGATGGCTGCTTGGAGTGGTAAGAGTATTCATTTTTAAACGACTCTCCAATTAGCGTTTATGAAAAGAAGTTTCTTTGGAATCGAACTACTAAAAAAAGGTTCCATCAGGCTCTTCTACGATGACTTTTTTTCAATATTTTAGGTTTAATTTCGTTATATCTTCAATGATTTTCTTGAATACGAATTATTTTAGTCTCTCTCCACTTTTTAAATACAGCAGTTTATGTCTAAATTCTTTATATACTTCTCGACACTTAATTGTGAGGGTCATTAGTACTCGTTTTTCTTTCATTTTCCTATATTCATTATAATGAACAGTAGTCTACACAACGACATAACAAAACATCTTTTCTCTTTCCTTTTGTGTCTTTGAAGTGTTGTACAAATCCAAACGACACGTATCTATTCCAATTGTTTTCCAATACCACGACGAACCCCATGCTACATGTTCCTTGATATTAAAAATAAAATGAAGCAGAGCCAAAAACACGAATAAATGTATTTCCTGCTACTTAAGATATTGGCAACGATTGAAATTTCAATATTGAAGCGATTTGTTTTTCTTTTACTGATACCCTAAGGATCCTTATTTGGAATTTTGCACTTCAGTAATAAACAAAGAAGGTCATCAAAACAAAAAGAGACGCGCGTTTCGATATGTATTCTCTTGTTCTTTGCTTAATTCTATACCATCCTGGCAATGAAAATAAAGTTGCAGTTCTTTGATCCGATAAAAATGGATGACCAACCATCGCATTTCCATATAGACATTCCCTTCGAGAATAACTTACCCTTTACAAGCGTTCATGGTGAAGAACATGAAACTGGAATAAGAGAATGATTTTAAGCTCACGGTGAAATAATTTGTTTCTTAATAGTTAATTTGCCTTTATAATTTCCTTTGCGCTTTAAAAACAAGATACCTAAGTGAATAACTGAAGATTTAATTCGTAGGATGTCGTTTCGGTTGCTTCCTAAATTAAAATATGATGAGGTGAAAGCAGAAAACTTTTTAAATCCTGGAAAAGTGCCGCTTGCGAAAAATAATCGAAGGGACAAACCTCAGATCTCTTCATACTTGATAAATCAAGATCTGATGGACAGAGCGCTGGAAGCTAGTCAGTTAAAACAGCAATATAACCCAAACTTAACGATCGTTGAGATGGCGCCTGCGGCCGGTGTGATGTCTGCTTCTTTGTACAATTACTTTCGGCCAAGAAAGCATATCCTTCTCGAGTCCAGAGACACATTTTTCGATCCATTGCGAAGGCTTTCTAGTCAAACAGGTGGCCGAATGCAGCTTATAGAACAAGAGGGATTTAAGTGGAATACGTATTCTGAGCTTATTAAATCAAAAATTTTAGACGCTTCACGGCAGTCAGAAAAAGAGCAGGCCGGTTCACCACATAGGGAGCTGCTTTTTGCAGCTCATGTTCCTGTTCAATACTACGGACTTCTGTTTACGTCTCAGATCGTAGAGTATCTCGCAAGCCGAGACTGGCTTGGTTATTTTGGGAGAGTGCGAGTGCTTTTATGGCTTCCTCGCTCACCCGCAGTCACTATCTTAACTTCTCGAGGATTTCGAAATCGGTCAATGACAGCTGTTCGTCGTGAGGCCTTTATAGATACCAGAGTGCTTGTGGGAAGTCAGTCCGTTTACGATGGTTTAATGAAACGATGTTCCACCAAGTCCAAGTATTCACAATTTCTTCCAGAGCCATTGATTCAAGTCCAAGATGATTTGAAGTATATGGAACCTCTTTACGATGGACATACTTTAGTTGAATTAACTCCAAAACCCCTTGACAACAGTCTATCGTTATCTTTATTTACACAAGTGATCAAAAGCCTGCTATACATTTCGAGAGGAAAATTAAAAAATTCCCTTGAGCATCTCGGTGCTGGTGCAACGAATCTGATTCCTGCAATTCGAGATGCAGGTGTCGACGTGGAACTACCCAGTTTTTGTCTATCTGCTGAAGATTTCAAAACGATCACACGCATATATGAGCGCTGGCCATTACGCGATCACCTCAAACATGATGAGTTTGTATAATGGACTTGTATTAATTCTCATTCTCTCGTTTGTATAATGTCTTTCGTTTCCTGCATGTCCAAAATTCCAATTCAATTAGACACGCTTATTAGATGATTTAATTTTCTTTTAAACATAAAACAAATACTTTTTTTGGTTTTTTATTTGGTTTTTTATATTTTATTTTCATTAATACTGCTAGTTCCCTATGTAGTCTTGATAGGTATTACGATCTGAATACAGGATGAGACGATCTACTGAACAAATTAAGAACATTACTTACTCCTGTTTGCATTGATTGGGTTTTAGCATTCTCACATGTAAATGAAATTTAAGCCATAAGTTTTACGGTCGTCTTTCCGCTCCTTACCACATCTACTATTCTTTGTACATCCTACAATATGGAAAGCAGGATGACCAATTCAGTCCGCATTCGTTCTATCACTAAAAAGGATGTCTCAGTTGTTTTTCAGTTCATCATTGAACTCGCAGGTAATGTTTTCGTCTGAACTGAATGCTGGTTCCTGTCTATGCAGAGCAGGCTTCTACGGAATGGGTACTTTCTAAAGATTTATTCCTTTCTTGTGAAACATATGCTTTTCTTGAAAAATCAAGAAACGTCCCAACAAAACAATGTCGATGCTCTCCTTCCTATTATTAGTAGCTCTTACTAATGCGTTTTAGATTTTGAAGACGCTAGAGACCAAGTAGAAGCCACGGAAGAAAGTCTATTACATGCTTTTGGATTTACGAATTCGAAACCTACTGCTTATTGTCTTTTCGTTGAGGAGAATGAAAATGTATGTAGGATTTTTAAAACAATATCAGCATCCTTGCTTGTTGTTATAGTATATTTCATCCCCTTAACAGAGCATTTTTTTGTCTAACTAATGGAAGCCTGTAGGAATGGCAATTTATTTCCTAAACTTTAGGTAAACTTGTCGGATACTATGCATAGGGATTAATTACTGACAAAATTGCTAGTACTTGGACTGGTCGAGTTGGCATATACCTGGTAAGTGTTTGATTTCTATTCTGGAGTTTTTTTTTTTTTTTTTTTCAGAAAACACTGACGGTGGAACTAGGAGGATTTATATATTCAACCAGCGCATCGTGGTAAAGGTTATGGCAGCTTCTTACTCTCCTACTTGGCTCGTGAGTCTTTGCAAATTGGAGGAAAACGCTTAGACTGGATTGTGCTTGATTGGAACCAAAAGGCTATTGATGTATATGAAAAAGCTGGAGCTAAAAAGATCGATGGATGGAGCATGATGCGCGTTACAGGCGATAACTTAAAGAGCTTAGCCGACAAACTACCTGACAATCTTTAGTAGAGTTTATCTTTATATGTAAATCTTTTATGTCGGTTCACGGATAAGTTGCTTATTACATGTTTAGCAACTAGGAAATTGCTTCGTGGCCAAAGAAACTACCATGTTGTCTTTTAAGTGTAACTGCTGGAAACCTTAATATTATGTTCTTTTCGATGAATGCATACTTTTTTGGGGTGTTATAAATTCCCAATTTGACTTTACCCTCAAGTATGTTCCAATCTAGCTAGTCATCATGTAGGAGGGACGCTATTTATATAAACGTTTTAATATTGAATCAAATAAAAATTTTGAAGCTAATTTCTCTGAAAAGAAAATAATTTGAAAAGGCTTTACGCGACGCGTTCCTGCATTATATATGACGCGTAAACCGTAAACAATCTAACAGCAAGGATTCTCTTAGAACTATGTTTCGAGGAAAGTGTGCATATTTTGATGAAACAGTTCCTTCTCATTTAATTGCACTATGGCGTAAGTAAGAAAAAGCTCTTCGAAGCGCTGTTCTTGAATTGGAATGACAACGACAGAACAAATTGCAGCTAACCAGTCAAAATTGATAGAAATACACAATGGAGGGACAAAATTCCTTCCTGAAGGATATCATAAATTTGATTATGCTTTCTCTATGAACGTTGGAAAGAAGATACGACTTTCCATATATCAAACTCTCTGCACAACTTCTCCTTGGTGGATTGCAGAGCAAGTTAGTTCTTTGAGAAGAGGGTATTATTTTCCAATTGATATTCTTTTTTATTTCAAATTACTTACATTCATGCTAGAAAACCAAAAGTTGCTCCATTAATTCATTTTAATGAAGTGGAACCTTTATACGTCGATCATCGAATTCAAACAGTATATTTGCAACCAATTCATTCCCCTAATTATTAATCATGTCTTCATTCCCTCAAAAAGCTTTGTTTTTTGAATCTTTGAACCAACCTTCTTCGGTCATCCCAGTTGCAATATTTCTTCGAAAAAGTCATTTTTATTAATCTAAATCATCCAAAAAGCTTGAATACTATTGGAATGAAGAACAGCCTTTCGCGTTTCATTCATCATTTGATCTTCTCTCTCCCTTACACGAAACCACCAAACGACTTCCTGTAACAATTTTGGTCAATAGAAAGCAATTGTCTCTCGTACTTTTAGAGACTTTTCTCTTTCTTAATGTATCACTAAACAATTCCTGAAAACTGTCAGGTTTAAATGAAACAAAATTTCATTTATTTTCATCCCATCTTCTTACAGTTGTTCACTGGCGTGAGTCTTGACTAGTCAACTAGAAGCAGCGAATCGGGTATACAAAAACATTCTGTTTGAGAATTATTCTTATTGATAAAAACTTCAATGGCCATGAGCCATTCCTCTGTTCGCAATGCACGACCTACTCAGGTTGCATATCAACCTCGGTCAAACGAAACTTTAACTGAGCATATAAGGACACGGAGGAGTAATGCTAGATCTTTGGAAAAGTCGACCATAAATAGCCATAGCCATCGGAACCGTACTTCAGCATTAGGTCTTCCTCCTGCACCAACGTTTTATCCTAGCGATGAAGAATTTAAAGACGCTATTCATTATATTCAAAAAATTACCCCAATTGCAAAGGATTTTGGAATTGTTAAAATAGTACCGCCTAGCGGTTGGAAACCAACGTTTGAGTTGGACATGGATAAATTTAGTTTTCGTGCACGACGCCAAGATTTACGCATGATGGATTTAGAGTTTCGAGAAGCTGCCGCATATGATGAACGCATATTTAGGTATTTTTGCAACAAAAATATTGGGCTTCCTCAAACCTTTATAGTCAGCAACACATCAGTGGATCTATATCAAATACGACGATCTCTGGAACTTTTAGGATTCTCAAAAGGAGAAACAATTCCGAAAGAATGTTGGAAAGAGATACTAGTGTCTATGAATTTACCAGACACATCAGCGACTGAAAAGGAAATTCAGAGTATCTACTCAAAGTATATTGCTCCTTTTGAAGCGTACATTTCTACACTTTCTTCTGATGTGAATAAATACCAACCTCTTTTCACAAAAGTGGAAGATCAAGAGTTACTGGATATTGATAAGTCGTCAAGGAAACAAAAAACTGAAGCTTCTTCATCCAACGGAATTTTAGATTTGGATTCAGAGAAGGCTAATGCTCATAAGCAAGAAAATACTATAAATAGAAGTACAAGAAAAAGGCGTGCAAAATTTTGTGAAAGCTGTCAAAAAAAAATTGATTTTTCTGTTGAATGCCTTGGTAAAGAATCGTACTGTACAGAATGCATATTGACGCCTCATGTGTTTGGTTTTGAAATGGGTGATAAATATACCCTTTCTGAATTTGAAAGGAAATGCGATGATTTCAAGACCGAGTATTTTTCAAAGTTTGACTCTCAAACGCCTATCACTGATGAACTTGTGGAGGCAGAATACTGGAAGTTAGTGAAAAGTAAAGAAGAAGCCTACGAAGTTGAATATGGTGCTGATTTATCAACTATGGACAAAGGTAGTGCCTTTCCACACTGGCGGAAGAAACCAAAAAACCCGTACTCGAGAGATCCATGGAATCTGAATGTACTGGCTTCTTCTGATGGCTCTTTGCTTCGTTTTGTTGAAAATGCTGTTTCTGGAATTACTTCCCCTTGGCTATATATTGGAATGTGTTTTTCGACGTTTTGTTGGCATGTTGAAGATAATTATACTTATTCAGCAAACTATCAGCATTCAGGGGAAACAAAACTTTGGTATGGCATTCCGGGTAATTATGCTTCTAAATTTGAGGAAGCTGCTCGTCACATAGCACCCGATTTAGCAAACTCCCAGCCGGATTTATTATATCAGCTTGCTGCTATGGTCAATCCTAAAGAGTTGACTAAAAGAGGAGTTAAGGTATATTACGTTGATCAAGCTCCCAATGAGTTTGTCATCACCCTTCCAAAATGCTTTCATGGTGGTATCAATCTTGGGTTTAACATTAATGAGGCGGTTAACTTTGCCCCAAAAAACTGGCTTTTAGATGGTTATTCTTTGGAAGGGGCTCTCAAATATCGAAGTATACTTAAACCGACAGTACTTTCTCATGATCGACTATTATATAAACTTGCTACAAAAAATTTTAATTTGGTAACATATGAAGAAATTCTACCATGTCTTCGTGAAGCCGTTGAGAGAGAACAAAGCGAACGTAGTTCCCTCAGAGAACAATATCATCTGAAGGAAGCGTTGGTTCGCGAACTACTGAAGACTGACGAGCAATGGCAATGTGCATATTGCAACGCATATTCCTACTTTTCAAAGATTGTCTGCCTGTGTACACCTTTGGTTGCTTGTACAAAGCATATTGAAAAACTTTGTGATTGCAAACCTGAAAAGAAGACTTTACAGCTTCGTATACGTGATACGGAATTGCTTAATTTGTTGAACTTGAAGCGTTCAAATACTTCTTAACTCTACAAATTATAAGGACCATGAATAAGAAACCAAAAAACATTTCTTTTTCTATCCTAATTATTTCTAATATTGGTTTTAGGATTACGAGCTCCTTCAAAATTCGCTATTTACGGTAGTATAAGAATCCTGCTAATGCGAATGGCGTTTAAAACAAAAACATCAAATTCACACCAAATCAAGCTTAATCAAGCTATTAAACGGTGAATTTGAGCATTTAAAGTATGAAGAGGAACTCGTCGAACTCAGGTTTACCGGCAACGCAAAGTTCCGCAAGTTTTGAAAGATCAGATTCTCCAGCTTCTGGAATCCAACCCAAAGCCCGAACAGCTTCTCCTGCTGCTGATGTGAATATAAATAACAAGGAAAAAGAAAAAGAAATCTGGAATCGACAAGATGAAAACGAATTGGAAGAGGATGATCGAGATGACTTTGGAACAGCCGCAATTTCCAATGTTCCAAACAAACCGGGTGAAGCAGATGATGATACAAGTGAGAAAGTGAGAACAAGATATTTATTGGAAAGTTTTGACGAAGAGCAAATGCAGCGATACGAAGTGTTTAGAAGAGCAAATCTCAACAAAACGAACGTCAAAAAACTAGCCAACCAAATTCTCAATCAAAGCGTCACCCCAAATGTAGCGATTGTAATATCCGGTTTTTCTAAAGTTTTCGTAGGTGAAATTATTGAGTTGGCCCGAAGAATTCAAGAGCACTGGGGAGATACTGGACCGCTTAGTCCTGATCATTTACGGGAAGCATACCGACTTTCGCGTCAAAATCAAAGGTTAATTCCTAAAAGTCGTCGTTCAACCAAATTTTTTCGGTGAATCTATCAGTCATTGTTGGAAACGTTTCAGCTTAATCACGAACTTTTATGGTGTTGAACATCTACTTTTCTAATAGGAAAGGCACAATCGTAAATCTGTTTCTGCTACGACCATACAAATGCTCATAAGTCTTTGAAAAATGAGGAAGTCCTACAACGCGTGGCTCAGAGTGGGATTTTGCCTTGGAAAAAAAAAGTTAGACTGTGCGAGTGAATGTGCAATTATACGTATTCAGTTTGACTCTATATTGCTGAGTACCCGTAGGGAACAGTTAATTATGGTTTGAACTTTTAACGATATGTTTTATGGCTTTGTGTAATACCTACTTAAATTATCTGAATTAAAATAAATTACATTTCCTTGCTTAGAATGTTGCATCTTTTAAATATGAATGAAATACATTTTTGATGAGTAACTTAATGATCTTGCGATGGAGACTTGATATTCTGATATTTAGCTAGTGTGTTATTATCTATAAATTGGACGATCATTCTAAACTGAATATATGAAACATATGGTATTCTGCATTTGCTCATTGTCCTACGTCTGTTGCTATAGCAGTATGCCTCTTACCAACTGCCATTCTCCTTTTTGACTCAACACCATCCTTTTTGTGGTTTAATTCGTACATTCTCTCTTCTTTTTTGCTGTATATTTTAGCAAAACTTAAAAAACCCTGTAGTTTGAACCAATTCATCCTCTAAAGTCTTCCATGCTTTGATTATGAACTTGGTAAGCTTTAAATGGATTATTCAATGGGCAATCATCGGATTATTGGTAATTGGACACTCTGAAGCCGCTTTCCGACATTCTTTTCGTACTTCTGCCCAAGATGGATTTGCGAAACGAAATCGACAGCTTGCAACTGAGCAAAAGTATAACCCCAATTATAAAGGACAATTTCAATTAGATACCTCCAGTATCACTTTCAGTGATGGAGTTGTCAGCGGCATTTTAAAGAAGCAAATTCCTGAGAAAGTGGATTTATTGTTTCCATTTACAGTATCGTTCTTACAGGATGGAAGTACTCGTTTTCAGCTCGATGAAAAACGTCGTTTGGAAGGAGATGTTGATTATGATGACGCGAAAGTTCGAATGGACAGATTTGATGTTGCCCAATATCATGATTTGGGGAGTCGAATTAACGTTGATACGGAACGCCCAGAAGTCAAAATACATAATAAGAAGTTATTGAAAGTTGATTATGGCAACGATCAACGATTTTCTATGATTTTGCATTTCCAACCATTTATGATTGAATTTTTGCGTGACGACACTGTCGAAATTGTTTTAAATCAGCGTCAATTATTGAATATGGAGCATTATCGCCCTCGCGCAGAACGCACTCGTGAAGATGAATCCTTAGGAATGTGGGAAGAAAAATTTGATAATATTCTTGACAGCAAACCTCGTGGACCCGAGAGTCTTGGCTTAGACATCAGCTTTATCGGCTATAAGCATGTGTATGGTATTCCCGAACACACTTCGTCTCTTTCCTTGAAGGAAACAAATAATTCCGAGACCGGATATACCGATCCCTATCGTCTATACAACGTTGATATCTTTGAATATGAAGTTGACTCTCCTATGAGTCAGTATGGTGCGATTCCTTTTATGCAAGCCCACAAAGTAAATTCAGACGTTGGCATCTTCTGGTCAAACGCTGCAGCTACATGGATTGATATAGAAAAAGATTCAAGCTCAACCTCAACTCATTGGTATTCCGAATCAGGAAAACTGGACGTGTTTATATATTTGGGTCCTACTGCTCTGGATCTTTATGAGGCATATTCGGGATTAACTGGTCGTACTCAGTTACCTCCCTTATTTTCCATAGGCTATCATCAATGCCGTTGGAATTATTTTTCTGAGGAAGATGTCCAAAACGTCGACAATACATTTAATGAAGTTGATATGCCGTATGACGCTATATGGTTGGATATTGATTACACATCTGGCCGTCGTTATTTTACTTGGGACGAAGCAACGTTTCCCCATCCTCAAGAAACTTTAAAAAAGTTGGATTCAAACGGCCGTAAGATGGTTGTGATTCTCGATCCTCATATCAAAAACGATCCCAATTATTTTGTTTCTAAGGAACTGTTAGAAAACGGTTTTACTGTAAAGGATTCATCTGGTGTTGAAAACTATAACGCTGAATGCTGGCCTGGCGATTCCGTATGGGTTGATTTTTTTAACATGGAAGGCCAGGAATGGTGGGGTTCTCTTTATTCTTATGATAAGTTTAAAGGTTCTGACAAGAATCTATTTATATGGAATGATATGAATGAACCATCGGTTTTCAAAGGTCCTGAAACATCTATGCATCGCGATGCTATCCATCATGGCGGTTGGGAACATCGCGATATTCACAATCTGTACGGACATGAATGTATAAATAGCACATATAGAGGTATGGTGAAGCGGGATAATGGAGTTCTTAGACCGTTCATTCTTACCCGTTCTTTCTTTGCTGGTACCAATGCCCTAGCAGCTAGTTGGATTGGTGACACTTTGGGAACTTGGGAGCATTTCCGTGGATCTCTTGCCACAGTATTGACAAACGGAGTAGCAGGAATGCCATTTTCTGGTGCTGATGTTGCTGGTTTTTTTGGTAATCCAGATCCCGAGCTTTTCGTTCGTTGGTACGAATTGGGAATTTTCTATCCCTTTTTCCGAGCACATGCTCATATAGACACTAAGCGTAGGGAGCCCTGGCTTTATGGAGAACCTTACACATCAATGATTCGAAATCTGCTGGGAATTCGTTACCGCTTACTTCCAACTTGGTACACTACATTTCATACAACTCATATGACAGGCCTTCCAATCCTTCGTCCTCAATTTTTAGCCCATCCAGCAGATGAAATAGGGTTTGATATTGATAATCAATTTTATTTAGGTGATTCAGGATTACTCATAAAGCCGATACTGGAACCTTCTATTGATAAAACTGCCGTTTATATTGCGGATGATGAAACATATTATGATTTCTATGATTTTAATGAAATAAACGGAAAAGGTCACCACGTTGTTCCTGCTCCCCTTGGAAAAATTCCTATTTTATTACGAGGAGGTAATATTTTGGTCACCCGTGAACGTATACGACGCGCTTCCGAACTGACTATAAACGATCCTTTTACTTTGTACATTGCAGTGTCTAGCAAAACGGGATCAGCCACTGGTGACCTGTATATGGATGATGGAACTTCATTTGATTATACAAAGGGTGCTTATATCTCGCGGAAAATTACTTTCAAGGATGGTGTACTGGATGTATTAGACACTCATCCACATCCTCAATCAGGCATACGATATGCAGAGTCTATGAAGCATCTTAAGGTGGAACGTATCATTTTAATCGGTGTCAATCAGCAAAAGATTAAGATTCGTAAGCACGGCATTTCCGGTGTTAGTAGCTGGGATGTGAAGGTCGATACGGATGGTGTTATAAAGAAACCTGATTTGTATTTAGTATAGATCCTTAATCAATTAGTAAATGATATCAGAGTTATTTATGCGCAAGCATTTGCTGTAACGTATATAGCTATCCAATTTTTTCACCGTGTTTTCTGTCAGAACTATCCTATCCACTGCCACACTGATACTTCGGTTATGACACGTCCAGGCAACGAATACAAACTGTTAGACAACGTAATCATTCCTAATAACACTCCTCAAGGCACTTTGACGCACCAGGCGCTATTACAGCACATGGGAATAAGCAATTATGAAAGTGACGTTACTGGGGATATAAGTTTGTAGTCAATGACACTTTCTCAGGCTTGATAGACCCTACTAATGAGGGACCAGTGGATATTTCACAGGTACACCAAGACATGGCTGCGGCTAAACAATTTCAGGCCTCCTTCTTCGGGCATTTGCTACCTGATCTAGCCTATGCAGTTTATGATCCCAAGTTGCCCAGAATTCATCTACCAGATGATGATGAGGAATGGAGTAGCGAAAGCAGTGACAGCAGTATCGAAGCGAGAGGAACTTACAATTAAATTGGAAGATAATTTGTCACGTTTGTTACTCTTACGGTTTATGACAATAAATATTGACTGGCGCGGCTAATAAGATCGTCTTCCTACTTTCAAAATAGTTAACCAGATCCCTGAACATTACTATCATCTATATGCATAGTACAACCGAGTCCCATAACCGTATACAATCTTACGACTGTAGTTATTGCTTCCACTCGATATTTATTCTTATAACCGTGAGAATAATAAACGTGAAAATCTGTAAAATCAATTATTAGCATAGTAGGAAGATGACCTAGGAGAAAACAAGTTCAAGTAAAAGAGTGTTATTAAAAGCTTATAATCAGAAGAAACAATAATAAATGATAAATTGAGAAAATTATTACAAGACCCTAAATTACGAACATTTAGACATAAATTGGAATCGGCATGCGATTGACAGATCGCGAGTAACATAAAAAGAACGACGCAAAGTAGAAAATAGAAGGCGAACCCTTTTCGCACATTCAACATATTAAATTTTGATTAAATAGAAGGAAGTTATAGGTATAGAAAGAAATCCTAAGCCCAAGTAGTACTACGTTGTGAAGGAAAAGTTTTTGAAACCGACGTTTTACTAGGTCGCTGAAAGCTAGGGTTTGCCATGAGACTGGGGGTCGAATCAGCAGCAGGCGGTAAGCCCAAAAGCTTCCTTTGAGTGGGAGATAGTTTCAAATCATCAAAAGTAGGGCGAGGACGAATAAATTGCCAAAAAGCCTCCAGGATGTTAAGAACCAGCAAAAACTGAAGTGCCCAAGAAGCAAACCTAATTGAATTCGTTTTGGGAAGAAAACACTTTAAAAACTGGAAGCAAACGAGAGCAAAAAGATTAGAAATCATGCGGCTCCAAGTGCGATCGGTAGGGAGCTGATCATGAAGACGTTTGGAAACGGTATCAACCACAGGGTGTTTCCAGTAGCCACAAGGGGGAGGCGTTGAATGCTCTTGTTGTTTTGGTATTTCTTGAATAGGAAGCAATTTTGACGAAGCAGACGCGTTTGGGTTTACATCTTCTAATGAGGACGCGACTGGATGAATATCTGAAGTGGTTTTAGAGCGTCGTAAATCCCCAGATACATCTTTCTGTCTATTCGAAAACAATGGTGAAGTTTGAGTCGATGACTCAATGGTTTCTGCATTCTTTGCTGGATTCTCTTCGAAAAGAGACTGAGCAAAAATAGACTGGGAGAACGGAGTAGTCATTAAGATCGCTTACGAAAAAATTTAATGAAAATTTTGTTTAGGATCTTAGCGCAAAACGGCGTTAATGCGACACTTGCAAAGATTCTGAAAGGTAGGAGTATCTGGTTCTTTGTTAGTTACTTTTCTGAGACGAGTCGAGGTATATTTACGAAAGTCGCTTAGATATTCAAGCTTTAACCTATAATTAAGCGAACGCTCTTTTTGTCTTTACTTGCAAACATGGCGAATAAGGTTTCAGCTAAGCGACGACACATACCTTTACACAGGCATAAGCAGCAGCACCATCAATTAAGACTTTAGAAACTTGCTCGATGGGTAGATTGTATCCCATTTTTTCGAAAATTCTGGATGCGACGCCAGATCCTTTATCTAAATACTCGACAGGCAAACCAGGAGGTATCCAATCAAGGGAGTGAAACAATAAGAAAAACACTGGAAGAGGTAAAATAGCAGTTATTTCATGAAGGAATAAAAATGCAATCACATAAGAAAATGGTTTGTTTTTAAACTTCTCTGCCTGCTTCCCGGCAAGTTTCAGACAACGATTCCACAATTTGTGATTTTTTTGTGTTGTATGATTTTGTGACTGATGCCTTGTTGAAAATCGAGGATATTTAGGATAAAGTGATGGTCGGAAATAGCTAGAAATGACTTTTACTGGAGGAAAGGTTCTATGGATGGTTGTACGAGACAGGAAAGTCCCTTGGAGAAGTCTACTTTGCATATTGGTTAAGGCAAGATGCAAGTTATACAACGTCCAGACCTAAGATTTCAAGATCTTACAAAAAATGGTTTGAAGTAAAGCAAGTGGAAAATCTTAATGATTATAGCAGAAGTAAATTATTCCATTAAAGCATATTCGTTGATCGCTCTTAAAGTATCGATGAGTAAACTACTAGGTCGGACCATATGGAATTGTTGAATAGGCAATAACAGTAAACGGGAAGTAGATTTTGAATGTTATTTTCTAAAAAAGATTATTCAATTAAAGGAAAAGAGAAGGAGATGTCATCAAGAGAGGGGAGGCGTTACAAATATAAATCCAAAGTCAAAATTTAGTCGAAAAATAATCAGCAGAATAGACCATTTCTGTATACCGCATACGAAAAGACATAGATAGAATCTAATGACATGTCAGCAACATGACAAGCTTTATTTTTCAGAGCCAAGGCGCAATTTGCTTAAACACTTTAGAGATTCGTCAACCTGGGTCAAAAGTAAATCAGTCTCGGTTTTCATTTTAGTCTGTAAAGCATTCTGTTTATAGAGCGAAGAGTTTTCAAATAGTTGACGTCGAAATACTTTCTCAAACTGCCTAGTATCTTCGAGCAACTCTTTCCAAAATTTTTGCTTCCATTTAACTGTGCTACGCTGTAAGATGTACAATCCTAAAACTGAGGTTACAGCAAAGATACTGAAGGAATTATACATGGATGCATGAGCAACCAGGTAAAGATATAGAGAGCTCAAAGCCCCAACGCCTTGAAATAGCGTCACGTAGAGTGTTTGCTTTTTCAGTGACTTAAACTTCTCTGAAACGGCCTTTTCGCTAGAACTTTGAAAGTTTTGAAAGTCCTTCATTGATATATAAAAATTTCTCTTGTCATCTCCATTTCTGGACAACTCACCCAAAAGAAACGCTAATTCCAACTTAGAATCCTGAAGAAAACATTTATGGATTAGGTCTTTCAAGCTATCAGGCCATTTATCAATGTTCTTATATAATTGTAAAAACCCAAGTTTTTTCCATAAAGCTCTCAGTTGGAGTTCAAAATTTTGCGTATCAGCATGGTAACATTTGGCCCATTCTTCCAAAGATGACAACAAGAAGTTGCTATTATTCTTGGCAGCGATAAACTTCTCTTGGACATTTTGAGAACGTAACGTATCCATGAATGACTGTAACATTTTCTCGACTAATTCGTAATTGTTTTCAGTAAGAAAAGAATTTCTTAATGTTTGGAAATTGCTTTTGTCCCAAAGGTCTTTATAGTTTGTAAACTGGCCAGCATCTTGTCGCAAAATGGAAATGGCTGACAGCGCCTTTGAAGAACAAATTGGCATTATTTGAGGCTCGTTTTTAATAATATCAGCATCCGTCAAATCTTTGTCCAAGAGGTAAATTACATGCGAGGTCGGGCGAGAAGCACGGTCATTGACAATATTCAAATAGGAAGAGGAACACATATAAGTGCTTTGACAACTTGCTGAGATCAGGTTATCATTATAGTTTGCAGGTAAATAAGTTATCTCTATGTTATGAACTTGAAGAAAATCGCTTGGCATGGAAAGGTGGTTAGACTTATATCTAGCATTTTTTTGGATAAGGGGAGAATCTCCAAAAGAAATTGAAAGCGGTTCCTTGCCAAGTGTCTTTAAAGCTTCATCGAGTTCCGATACTTTTGGTAGAAAGGGACTTGTTAGAAGGGCCCGTAAAATACTTTTCGAGCATGCAATGTCCTTTTGGGAGGAAGTCAACGACTGTAATAAAATACGATGTTTAGGTGTTTTTTCTGATAATGCATTCGTTATGGCATTCAGTCGAGATATGAGATGGGGTTTGTCTTGTGTAAGCTTTTTCATATATGAAAGATTGTCATTTAGCCGAGTCCGAAGGGTTGTAGTGGTTTCTGATGCTAACTTTGTTGAATATTTTCGAAAAAAAAGAACCTTTGACGTCCAGTTCATAGACGTAAATTTCAACATTTTTAGTTAACGGATGTAATCCTTAGAATGCCAGTTTAATTGATCATAAGGGAGAAAAAATAAGAATTTACTGTACCTATAAAATTGACTTCTTTACTAAGTCAACAAATGAAAATAACAAAAGCAAAAGGTCAGGTCTAGTTACTTGTTGTAGGGTTTTGCTTGAATACGAGGTACAATCGTCGTCTTGAAAGGCGATGCCGAACATCTCTCAGAATTGATATTCATTAAGAGTAAAGAAGAAAACTAAAAGAGCTCTTGTAATAGAATGTGAATTGAAAATGCTCAAGCATCAGTTTTCGTTCACTATTTTGAACTGAAATTATTATACCAAAGAGGAATGTAAGACGATGACGAGCTGTTTTTACTAGTGATGTTAACTTGCTACGAAAGTCGATGGCCGAGTATCCAAGTTATAAATTTTTTTAGATTTCTATATAAATACAACTGTAGCAAAAGTTTTTTGATGTAAATAACTCATATGAAAAGGTGTCAAGGAAAACATCATTTCCTCAAGTTACTTGATTTTTTGTTTACTGTTACTTGATATACCTTTTTTAAACGACAAACATAGACAGCGGCTCTACTCCTAAATATATCAAAAAAGTTCAAGTTGTAACTGAATCTAGATTTACTCATGCTAGTCTAACTCGGTTTTTAAACCCCATGCTTCCTATGTTGTGTCATCACAATGATACTTGATGAGTGTTGTAGAATTGAGTAAGGTAAGGAATGAGCATAGTAAGGAATGAGTAATCGCACTCTTTTAATTTAGTGATCAATTGAAGTTTCAAGGTATACTCTTCATAGCATTTCCAACACACCAGCTTGACTGGTTAAGCCATTACTATGAAAAAAGCTGACCAGCGAAATCTTCTGAACTGGATCTTTTGTCTGGGAACAAAATCATTTCAACTTCAATGATTCAAGTGTTTTTCGAATATATATTCCCCTTTTCTATCTTCATTCAACTACAAGGTAGCATTGTGAAACAATATACTCCGTAGTGTTATGAATTCTGCATAATATTGAAAATATTAGGACCTTTTCTGGTGATGGCTCAATACAATAATGACGAAAGTAACAAAGATCGAGCGTAAACAAAAGATTGCAATGCCAAAAAAAAAAAAAGAGGATGCTCATAAAAGGAACTTCCCCTGTATGTCATTATAAGTTGGCTTCATCCTTGTTTGAATACGAACATAAAAATTCAAATTGCTCTTGACATTGTTGTAAACACTTTCGGATTTAGTAAAAACGAATTGCTTTGAATTACAATTTCAAGTATTCCTTTTAATTGGAATACTCTCAATGAGCCTTTAAATAAGCAAAGGATCTTTGTTTGAGAGAAAACAGATCGCTATGCTTTTTTCTTTTATTATGATCAACACCCTTCTTTTACTTACCAGTCATTCATTTTCATATTCATCCTCTGCACGATAATAATCTGTAATTGAATGTTACCATTTTATGTCGCTGAATTATCACTTCATCTTGTTTGTTTACCCTGAGTACTGTTTTGATTGACCCGCATCCTTATTATGTTTACGACCAAATGTAAACAAAACGTAAGTATATATAGGTAGGGGATAAACAAACCAATTCAATACAAACGCTCACTTTTTTGAATAGCAAATAGCGATGAATAATTCAAAAGCGTCGATTCCTGGACAATACGAAGACGAAAACTGTGTTATATATATTGGAAATATCGATTCCCGTGTTTCGGACGAAGAAATCATTAACCTCTTTTCAAAATACGGTATAGAAAGAGATTGAATAGTCTCAAATCCGCAATTCATAAAAAAAAGGTTACTAACCTCTATAGGACAAGTAGTTTCACTTTTTCGTCGGCTGCTCGACAGTTTTTACCCCAGAGAAAAAGCAAAGAACTTTAAGCCGCCAAGGAATGGAGTACAATATGGCTTTATACGATTCTCTAAGCGTGACAGCGTTGATGCCGTTCTAAAGGATGCTAAAGGAATGGTGCTTGGCAAAAGAAAACTGTATGAACATGCAACGTACATGACAGATATGCTGACAAAACATAGATCTATCAAAGCCAGAGTACTGAATCCTTCAAAAGTCACAGAAAAGAAGCAAAAACGAGCCAATAACTCACCTAATTCTGAAACGCCTGACAACGAAGTCCAACTAAACGCAGAAAATAATGCTCAATTATTAGACAAAGAAGTAAGGATCAGTTCGCCCAAACCGTTGAATTCTACAATGATCAATTCCTCGGAGACTGAATCCCAACATAACAACAAGACTAACTACACTCCAGCTTCGGCAGATTTAAACTTCAAAGAAGCTGTTCTGTCTCTAGGGTTAGAGGAATTTAGCATGCAGGCAGCACCAACGGCCTTTTCATCTATGTTTACTTTAACGGTAATGAATATTCCAGCTGAAATGACCCCTATTGATTTATACAATTACTTTAAAGCCGCTGGAACAGTGAAAGGAACTGCAGTAAGCCAGTTCACCGACAAGAAAGGGTATCGGTATGGAGAAGTCATTATGGATTCGCTTGAAGCCTGCAAATCAGTAAGTATACTACCCAAAATTGAACGCAAACTAATACAACAGGCAATTAATGTACTAAATGGATCTTATTTCAACGGAAGTAAACTTGATGTGACCATGAAAAAGATCGCATATCCCAATAATCGCGTAGTGAACTTAACCCCTTCCACCGAAAGCTTATGGCCATTTCCACAAGAAGATTATGAAAATGCTTTCTTCAAAAACGACGTGCACAACAATGGCATGACATGGATGATGGGTTCTCCGACCAAGGATCGCTATCAATGGGGAACTTCAGCAGAGCAAATTGATATTTCTAATTATCCCAAAAACAACTTTCCTAGAAACAATGCACTTCCTTCAATATCCCAATGGGAATCTTTGCAAAACAATCCAATGCACTCTGCTCCTCCTGATCCATCCAATCTCTATGTTAAGAATTTGGATGACACTGTTATTTCAACAAAAGATCAGTTAGAAGCTATCTTTTCTCCATTTGGAAATATAACGTCTTCAATGTTAGCCTGCTATCCAAACTCAGGTATATCAAAAGGATATGGGTTCGTAGCATTTCATCGCATAGAAGAAGCTATTGCAGCAAAGGAAAGACTAAACGGTGCTATGATTGGAAAAAAGAGAATCTTTGTATGCTTTGCTGAAAGAAAAACAGACAGGATCCGCCGCCTCCAGGAATTGTTTGCAGAACAAAGGGCTACGGATAATGTGTCGAAATCTTCAATCTTTGTTCGTCCTGAGAAAAAGGTTCCTGTTATCATAAGGAAGCCTGATGATACGAATGTTAAGTCACCAACGAGTTCTCAGTCCATTGAGAACAACAAAGATGATAAAAGCAACAGCTCAGAAGTGTCTAATAAAACTGAGAATGAAAATCAAAATAACCAAAGTACCACGGCGGATGAAAACTGCAATGATGTTCATGATACAACGCCCAAGAAAAGTCTGATGAAAGAAGAGAAACCAGAAAAAACCCCTTTGAAAGAGAACTTAAACTCGACTGAAATTCCTGTGAAAAAGCAGATGCCAGTAAAATCTCAATCGATTGCTAAAAATCTTCAGAAAATCGAAGAGATGTTAAACCGTAAAAAAATAAAGAGTTCCTGCTTTGTTCCTCGGGCAAAAGCAACTACTTGCACGACTTTGACTTATGTAACAGTAGAACCTATTCATCTTCAGGAAGAAGAATTGTTTCTCGAGGATGCATTTCCCAATGCAAACAATTTGAAAATGGAGCCAGATATGTCCATGAAACCTATTCAATTGAATTCCACAAAATATCAGGATTCCAACAAAGAAAACTTCGAATCTACTGTGAAAGTCGGAAATGCATCTCCTTCAGCAATACACTTATCACAGTTGTAAATCGCAATCAAGAAGTCATTTACTTGAATTTTAATGACTTAAAATTACATCCATATTCTATTCCAGCTCATGCGAAAGATTCAGGAACCAGATGTCCTTGAGACGTACCTGTCATATCCTCCATTTCTCCCGTCATCTCAGAAACCACTCAACTCGAGAGGAATTCGACTTCAACGGATTTAAAATAAGTCTTTTATCCTTGTATTAGATTATATTGGAAAGAAAAGGATCCGGTTTGCTCCAAGCTTTCGTTTATATTTGCAGAGAAGGAACCATCTGGTACTTGCTGAGTGCGTTACTTCCACATTTTGCTTAAACTATAAGAAACTGTTGTAATTGATCCTATTTCGCTATCTATTTTTAAAATAAATCCCAAAAGAATGTCGATACCTAGGTTTATGTTTGGAAAGCGAAATTTATGGAGCAATCCATTGAAGATCAAAGGAAGTCTTCCATATCAAACTCTACGCAATTATTCAAAAAAATCAAAGGAATCCCCGTCGTTTTCAATGACAGTTCCTGAGGCTACCAAGTATTTACGGGCTCTCAGTGTCTCTGTTCCTTTTGATGGATCATATGTCCTATCAGTGGGCCTTCGAACCAGACGAGGACTTCCACCTGTTCGAGGAAAAGTGTTATTTCCTCATCCATTTCTTGAGGCCCCTAAACTTTGTGTCTTCGCTGTTGGGGATGCAGAACGAGAGGCTTTACAACATGGTGCAACCTATGCCGGTGGAGAAAATCTCGTACAAAAGGTATTAGCAGGAGAAATAGAGTTTTCAAAATGCTTGGCTCACCCTAATGCTGCTCATTTGTTGCCCCAAGTAGCAAAAATTCTAGGACCAAAACATTTACTGCCTACAACTAAACGCGGAACTATAGTTGAGGAGGTAGGCCCTGCCGTGGAAGCTGCAATGAAAATGACGGATTATCGAGAAACAAATGGTGTCATTAATGTTCCTGTTGGGAAGCTGAATTATGACGATAAGTTACTACAAGACAATGTTGAAGCTTTACTCAACAGTATACGCAGCCATATCTCCAAGCTTTCAACAAAAGTCAAAGTTAGTATCAAAAACACTCATCTTTTCGCTTCCAACACAATTTCTCTACCTCTTCCCTATAAATAACGGCTCTTATACCTTCTTTCCTTAGCTCTGTACTCTCATCGAATTACAGAAAAGACATCCTCTTGTAATCTTTCATGTTTTTCCTATTTTCGGTTAATATACTTATTCTTCTTCAATATATTTGTCTTTGACACTGAGATCTCAGTTAACTAAGTAAAACGCTATTTCATCTGCGAAAACTTTTCCGCTTACTAAATTAAGGATTTTATCATGTATATTAGTTACGACGGAAGATTATTTAAACTTGAGGGATCTTTTATTAACCGTAATGAATCCTAAAAGCATTTTTTTGGGTATAGTCTAAGAGAAATGCTTTCACTCTGTACGCTGCCATTTTGAGTATTCTGGATCAGTATCAACTTCTAGAATATTAGCACTGTCATCTAAATTATCTGCTGTAATCCATTGATGATTTGGATCAGAGAGTAATGAGAACGCATTTTGCTCTTCATCTTCATCGGAGAGAGGATCAGGATGCAAAGACTGACATGAACATAAAGCTTGGTAACAGGCATCAAAATCTGATACAAAAAGAGTTATTTCGAAAACGGAGGAACCTATAACGTCTTCGTCGCTTTCTGAGGCGTTGCTAGATTCAGTGGATTCATTAGTATCCTCAGCCCGGTATTGAGGTTCCTGGCCATAAAGATAACAGTAAGTATTGGAAAGCTCAGTAGTATTTCTACAACGATACACGTTTCCAGACTGATCCTGCAGTAAAGCTGACACTGGTGTAACAGCAATTTTCGACATTGACTCAAAGTCATTTTCAGAAACCGATAAAGCATTTGAATGAAGCAAGGAACCATGCGCATCAACTATAACTTCTCTATCACCATTCTTTTGTAGACTCCCTTCTTTTAAGGACTCCTGTTCTTCAGGCGTCGTTTTACATGAACATAAAGACTTGAGTTCTCCTTCCAACTGTAAGTAGACAAAAGGTTTCGGATTACTTTGTTTAGCGTGTAAAGTGATTAGCTTGTATGGGATCCTCCAGCCAAAATTTTGCTCGGGATCAAAAATAATAAAAGACTTGGACGTTATATATACATTCAAGAGGGTACCGAGTCCCCAATTCATTCGATTTGGAAAATCAATTCTATAATTTAGTTTTGATGCTTCAAAAAACAATATTTCACGATCCTCTGATATAGTCTCCCCAGTCTCGACTTTTAGTACAAGATCTTCTGGAACTTGATAAATTTTTTCAAGAGTATTCATTTTCTTTATGTTACCAAATTGTTTAAAAGTGAATGAAAGCCTTCAAGGACTCAATTCTGGCTAGATTCTTATTTGGTATATACTGAAGTAGAGATCCAAAGTGTGAACAATCATTTCTTGGAAAACCTATAATATTTAAATTATAATGTCTTAATAAATTAAATAGGAATCAAATAGTAAGAATAAAGTTGACGACTTAAATTAGTTTGTGAAACGCACAAAAAAAAAAAAAAAAAAAAAAAGGTAGTGAAGCCAAGAGGAAAAGCTATGAGCTTTCAATTTCTATTCCTCAAACTATATAAATTTGGTTCATTTTAAAAGTTTACTAGCAGCTTGCAGAAGGTTTTCATTTTGAAACGACTAAAAACACTTTGCTAAGAAACTAAATCCTGGAGGTTGGCAGAATAGCTGTTCAAAGCTAGTCTCTACGTTTCCTAATAGTCAAAGACTTCGATAGTTTCATGTTAAGAACGAAAAGCTCATCAACAATGTCATGTTAAAACCCCAAGCTTTTGACAGTATTCCTTTTTCATAACTCCGCATCGAGCCATGTATACACAAACCCATTCGAACGTTTCTTAGCTTTTTCATGGGGACAAATTTCGAGAAATCTGAGCAACAAGAACAGCTCTCAAAACGCCCTCCAAAGAAGAAAAGAAACGAACTGAGTATAAGCGTCTTTTTTTCAAGATTTGTTTGACCAACTGGTAACTCACGAATAAATACGCATGTTATTAATCACATTTTAAGGTCTAGATAATTAATAGAGTAGAAGAATATACCATAAAACACGTAATAAGAATATTCGAGGAATTTCGAAAAATAAAAAGGAAGTAAATGTTTCATAAAAAAATCGTCATATATATATACTTACTGATATTTGGAGTTTGCCGATGAAGAAGATCCTGAGAACTGGGAATACACACCATCGAGTTTATCAAAGATCGACTTCATCGCCCCTTCAGCAGTATTCGTTTTCGAATTTGAATCCAATACTTTCATCATATCACCATGGTTTCGATGAACCTTGGAGTCCCCAAATAAAGTTGGGGAGCCTAGCATACCTTTTTCATCAAAAGCAAGCATGCAAAACCATATAAATCCCTGGAACCATTCATTCATAAAATCCGTCCATATAAAGTAACGAAAGTTAGGAGCTCTAGGTAAAACATTTCTCAATTTGGATTCTGACAGAAATTTCACAGCATCATCAGTTGATAAAGATTCGTCGTTAACTTTCTTGAACACAGGAAGTGTAAACTGAGATATAGTTTCCAAAATAGCCTCTAACTCAAGCTTTGAATGCCATGATTGAAACCATCCTTCCGTCGGAACCCACGACTTTGGAGTTATTTCTAAATCTTTACCAAAAGGGTTGGAGGTACATCTTTTGAATATTTCAGCCTCAGATAATCCCTCGGGAACTTTCCCTCTTAACTTCCTTGACATGACCCGAGGCTCATGTAAAAAAAAGTCTTGCAATACTGGAGGAACAGAAAACGAAATAAACCTATTAGATAAATCGGAAGAGCTGTTTGTACGATTAGCGGACGACAAAAGCACAAAATCTTTTAAGTCTGAATCCAGTGCATTAGTGTTTACGGTATTATTTTCTAATTTTGATATACTTGGATCCGCACGAGCTTCCTCGTTCTTGGTATTTTCGAGGGAAAATGACGATTTCCTTTCTTCATCCAAAGCCGAGTCTAATGTTAGAGACCATAAAGAAAGAAATTTGTGTTGTAAACGCAATATAGAATAAGAAAAATTTGGATTTTCCTGAAATTTGTTTTCTAATATATTCGCGAATGCTTGCAACAAATATTCCAATAATAAGTGATTTCGTGGATTACGGACAAGAAAACGCGGCGAAGAAAAAGAAAAAAACAAATGCATCAGCTTCGTACAAGTGGAGAAAGACAAATTTTCAAGAAATGGTGAAATGTTGCAAAGCGTCAATAAAATCAATGGTGAGAGACTACTGTGCGGTGATCCTTTAACGGCCGCAATGTGAAAACTAGACTACAAAAATTAGAAAAACTTCAACGTAAAAGTCCACTTACAACAATAATAAATTCTGCGTACGAGATGGAGGAGGGAATGGAGAACCCAAGTGAAGTCAATAAAGCCTGGCTATTTACACAAACTTTGTTTAATTTCTCACACAAGACTTTTTCTGAAGATAGATAATGAACGATGAAAAGACATAGTCGTACTAAACCGGAATGTTTAGGCTCATCTCTGTACCGCAAAGCGTAAAATTGTATTGCAATCAAAAAGTCTGCAGCATAGGAAGAAGTAATCAAATAAGCACGAAATCGCTAAAAGCATCGTTAGCATGATAAATTGAGATGGAAACGTACGTTGTTGTACAAAATTGCTTGCCAAATAAGGAGAACAAGTTCTGGAAAATTTATAGAAGGTTTCTGAGATAAAGGGAGGTAAGAAGTGATAGGCAGCTGAACATTAAGTAGACGATAAAAACTCTCAACTAAAAATTCGTAATCTTTCTGTAGGTGAAGCCGAGAAAAATAAGTTCTGTACTGATTTTCCACACGAGTATCCAATGGCAAATTATACCTTTGTAAGAAATAGCGAAGAGAAACCTTTGGAGCGGTATAGTCCCAAAAAACGAGCAATATCTGACAAGCTAGTTTTGACAAAGGACCGTTGACATCGTTATGAAGTAAATTAGAATATGCGGCTTTCCATTTTTCAGACCTTAGTGTAATAGCCTACAGTAAAGTTAGTTGACATTCGGAAACGTGTTGTATGGAAGAATATATACCGTGTTGATGAGTGAGTAAAGGAAGATAAGACTAAATTGCTTGTTTGAAAAGTAAGTCAAGTAAGTCAATGTATGTGAGCTCAATTCTTCCTCCTGATACAAGCGATCAGAAATTAAAACCATAATTAAGCGAAGGACTTCAGTTCGGTTGGATAGAATTTCTTTAGGCAACTTTGATGCTGGGTCCTGCGTGCCTATTCCTTTGTCCCTTTGAAAACGTTAGCAAATGCTATCAGCATATTTTCTTTATCTAAGCTATTTACATACCATATTCGATATGTGAACTGCTCTGGACTTTCTTCTGGAAGCGTAAACCCTCGACAAAACAGAAGATGACACAGGGTATTTAGCAATTCCTCCATCAATGTTTTTTCATAAACATACGAGTTATAGCAAGATTCACCACTTTCACTGCTGGCAACGCCTTTATGTGTTGGATAATCCGATGACGAGAGTATGGATGAAGACAAGGGATTCACAATCAAAGATCCACTCTTTCTACCTTCAGCAGCAGAATCTTTTTCAAAAGTAAAGCTAGCCAAATCTAACTCCGAGCTTTCTGTAGATGTCATTTTCTTTTTACGCAAGCTCCACCAAAACTTCTGCTTCCATTGTTGTAGGTCCGGCTTTTCATTCAGCAACGGAATAACACGTATAAGAACACGAATGCAGTTCAAGGCATCAGTTGCAGACGCACTCTCTAGGTTAGGGAATTGTTTATTGTTTTTGAGTGCGAACAGTCGTGATGTTAATACAAGTAGCAATTTCTCAATGTTTTCAAATTGAAAATCACGTATCCTTCGGACAAGATCAGGATGTAAAAAGCTATATACTTCTGCAGCACTTTCCGGTATACTCCAAAACTATACGTTTCATGAATTAGCTAAAGACAACTTCAGCACCCTAGAAGGTTCATACTTACAGATACCCAAACTTCGTCATCTAAAGGAATGTCCTAGCTCATGTTAGCATTCCACTGCGTCCTCGTCTTGTGCATTGCATACTGAATCATCGGCAAGGCGTGTAATCCCCCGTTGGAAAGCCAATCTTGAGCATGTTAATATTCATTACTGCCTTCCTGTTTCTTACTTGGATTCTTGACCTCCCATTCTCTTCTACAGACACCAATTTCAGCGTTTTTCTTTAACAATGTTTACCACGAAAGAAAGTGTTCTTTCCTATGAAAGTCAATCCAACTTGGCTTCAGGAAATACAGGAATGGAAGAAGCTTCAACGAATAGTGATACATATTGCTATTACGTCGTATACTTTGTTTACGAACTAGAGCGTATACACTTAAATTAATAGTGTACTACACAGTCGTTCCAAGCATTACCTAAATCAATAAATGAGGTTGATTCAGAAGAATGGAAGGACTAGCTTAAAGTTGATATGAAATGGTTTTTATTTATTTAGCTACAGATTTAGTCTAATTCGACTTTTTTTCGTGCTAGGAACTCGCTGATTAGTCTTGGAAAAACTGAAGCTTTTTTATCGCATTAGGACTGTGACCGTGTCGCGCGAGGCCCAAGGAACCTACCAAGAACCAACTACAGTGGGCTGACTGAACATTCAAGAATGTCGCTTACAGTAGCTCTTAAAGCAAAGCCTATTGCTTATAGTGCAATTGCTTTTTCTGAATTTGTGAATGCTTCTGGCCTAGCTCATATTGCTACTAAATTCGAAGATGTCAATCTACTCGACAATGCCGACAAGGAAAGTAACGTTGCTGTTGATTTAGACGGTAACAAGAAAGAGTATGGATCCGAAAAAGTCGTCGCCGCTTTCCTCGAAAAGTTCCCTGATCTTTTTCTGGGAAAGAATGAAGCATCGTCCGTTCAACCCTGGATTGAGTTAGCAGCTGCCTTGGCTCCTTCTCATAACTTTATGGAAGTCTCAAATATGTTGGCGCAATTAGATGATCATTTGATTATGCGCACTCTTTTTGTTGGTTATTCTTTGACCATTGCCGATATGGCCGTCTGGGGTGCTTTAAAGGCCAACAATATGGCTGCTGGTGCCGTCCGTACCGGCCAATACCATAATCTTGCCCGTTGGTACAGATTCATGGACACTCAGAAGCCTTTTGCTACTGCCTTGGAAAACTTCACTAAGGCTGTTAATGCTAGCAAGAAGCAAAAATCTTCTGGTCCCAACTACGAAATTGGTCTTCCAGATGCTATAGATGGAAAGGTTGTTACCAGGTTCCCTCCTGAGCCCAGTGGTTACTTGCACATTGGTCACGCCAAGGCAGCTCTCTTGAATGAGTACTTTGCCAAGAAGTATCATGGTAAACTCATCGTTCGTTTTGATGATACCAATCCTAGCAAGGAAAATGTAGAGTTTCAAGATGCTATCTTAGAAGATGTTGCTTTGCTTGGTATCAAGCCCGATGTCGTAACCTACACCTCGGACTACATGGATCATATTCATGACTTGTGTATCGAAATGATTAAGTCTGGTCAAGCTTATGCTGATGATACCGAGGTAGAACAAATGCGTGCTGAAAGAAACGAGGGTATTCCTAGCAGATACCGTGAACGACCTGCCGAAGAATCTCTTGCCATTTTTGCGGAAATGGACAAGGGATCTGATTTAGGTTTAAAGAACTGCATCCGTGCTAAAATCTCCTATGAGAACCCTAACAAAGCCCTTCGTGATCCCGTAATTTATCGCTGCAATCTTTTACCTCATCATCGTACCGGTACCAAGTATAAGGCTTATCCTACTTACGACTTTGCTTGTCCGATTGTTGACTCCCTCGAAGGTGTCACCCATGCTTTACGTACCACCGAATATCGTGATCGCAACCCCATGTACCAATGGATGTTGAAGGCTATGAATCTTCGCAAGGTCCACGTTTGGGAGTTCTCTCGTATGAACTTTGTCCGCACCCTCCTTAGCAAGCGTAAACTTACTGCTTTAGTTGACCACGGTTTAGTTTGGGGTTGGGACGATCCTCGTTTCCCCACTGTTCGTGGTGTCCGTAGACGCGGTATGACCATCGATGCTTTGCAACAGTATATTATCTCTCAAGGTCCCAGTAAGAACATTCTGACTCTTGACTGGACCTCTTTCTGGGCTACTAATAAGAAAATAATTGATCCTAATGCTCCTCGTCATACCGCCGTCGCAGAAGAAGGTCTTGTGAAGGCAACTCTTACTAACGGTCCTGAGGCTGTTTATACTAAAGAACGTCTCAAACATAAGAAGAATCCTAGCTTGGGTAACAGAAACGTTGTTTATTCTCGTGATGTTCTGATTGAACAAGCTGATGCTTCTGCTCTTAAGAAGGACGAAGAAGTTACTTTGATGGACTGGGGTAATGCTTTCGTTAAAGAAATTACTCGTGACGAATCCGGAAAGGTTACTGCATTGAAGCTGGAACTTCACTTGGAAGGTGACTTTAAGAAAACCGAAAAGAAGGTTACTTGGTTAGCTGATACTCATGACAAGGTACTCGCTGACCTTGTTGACTTCGATTATTTGATTACTAAGGATAAGCTTGAGGAAGATGATGATTACAAGGAATTTTTAACTCCTCAAACTGAATTCCACACTTCTGTTTTTGCAGATAACGCTGTCAAGGATTTGAAAAAAGGAGATATTGTCCAGATTGAGCGTAAGGGTTATTTCATTGTGGATACTCCGTTCGATGGCAATGGTATCACTTTCTTCAATATTCCTGATGGTAAAACTGTCAACCGTTACGGATCGAAAAACTGATTAGAAAATTGCTGTACTAGGATATTCTTTAAGTTAAAAAGATAAGGTTTTGGTTGTACACAATTTCAAATATTAGATTCATATAGATATTTAGATAATTCATAATTATTCGCTCTATAGAAAACAATCTAAATGTAAACTAACAAAAATGCCAAAAAGTAAGGGCCATATACAGATCATGAGAAGATTGTATCTATCTGAATTTAGTCCTGAATTTGAACTTCATTTAGTTTTTTTGTAACATCACGCGTCTCGGAGTTTGGGCGATATACTCTACCTCCGCGTTTACCACCTCGTCCTCTATGATTTGGTGAATGTCCGTTAGAATGACGATAGTGATTTGCTTGCGTCGATTTCCTATTTGGTTTAAATATCGGTTTATTATCGAGTTTCGTGTTTCCAGAAGGTAAAGGAGGAACACTATGCAACGACTGGTCATTTGATGATCTTGTTTCTACATTTTTGGCCCAGGCACTAGTAGAGGGAGGAGGTGGAGTTGGGTAAGCTGAACTATATTCGGTAACGAGGCGGCTCGAAGGAGTTGGTCTAGGACGAGACGGACTAGTACTTGTTTCAGACTTATTCTTTCTAGCGGTTCCAGCACGAGTAGTAACGACAAATTGAGGATCAGTTACGTTTAAGATCATGGAGGGTTCAACTTGCATTCCTCTATATGGAGAACATTTCCCATCCAGTGTTGTGCCACTCATGAATGGTAAGTCAAAAACGACGTCAAGCTGGTGGGATGCAATACTGACAACCGTACCATAAGCAGCTATAGGAACTTTACCAGAATCTTGAACATAAACAACACGATCACCCAAGGAAAATGTTTGTCGGTGAAGCAAACTCTTAGTTTGACATGGCTTAAGTAAAGCATAACGAGGAACACCAAAAACTTTTCGAGGAACTTGGTAAGTGGAATCAACAGAGGCAGCTTTTTCTTCTATCATTTGAATATTTTCTGTATCCAAGGCATCTTCATCCAAAGCTACTCGATGGAGAGAACTAATTTCCTTTTCCTTCATCCAAGCCTTAACAGCTGTTAACTTTCCCCCTTCTTCCTTAGGAAACAAATCATTAGCGGTCACATTCTCTTTGGTAGCATGTGTGGTAAGGATATGAAATAACTGCGGAAAAGTATCCATATATTCCTTTATCAGCAAGATTGCTTTATCAGAAAACTCCCACCCGGTACCACTTTTCCTAGAGTATCCTAAAACCTTCTGGTTCCTGGCATCAAACTTCAAATTCAAACCGATATTCTCTCTTTTATTGCCAACTGTGACGAGATAACTAGCCGTAATTTTACTTAAAAGCAGAGGATGCAAATTGAGCATTTTAGCAACAACGTAAGAAGGATAATACCTTTTCTTAGATTTGGCATCGTCCACGATTATACGACCCCAAGAAGCATCCAAACCTGGAGCGGTAGAGAGCCAAATAGCCAGCTTGTTATTTTTACAACCAATCACTTGAGCAGGTCTGCCATAATTGTATTCACCTAAGTGGAACGCTTTCGTACCTGGAGGATATTCAACCTCAACAGGAGGGGCTTCTTTTTCAACAAAACGTGGATCGTCAATAGCAATTTTATCGACGACCAACTGAATTGGGTAGTCATCTAAAACATTCTCATTAAAAGCTTTCACCAAAGCACCTTCTTGGGTGTACTGTAAACCTTTAATAGGGCGAACTTGCAACATAAAATGCATATCTCCTGAAAGTACACCGAAGCGCTTGCTATACTCTCTGCTTTTAGAGGAGACCTTTCGTTCAAAGAGTTTCTTTTCATTTTCATTTAACTCTCGCTGTTCAAGTCTACCGTCGAATTTTTGGTAGACAGTATTCTCGTCTGTGGCGCTCTCAACAAAAGCTTCACGCAGATATGGCCAATCTACGAATATTCTTCGACCGATATACTGAGCAGCAAGCTGTTCATTTGTTAATGCTTGTCTTTGATTGTGAACGTGAACAATCACGCTCGGATTTTTGCTTTCATTTCCAAAAACGTTTATACCATGAAAAGAGAGTTCCGCTGTATGCTTCAATGTGTGAAACGATGGGAATCCTACCATGCCGAAGGCACCTAAATAAACTCCTGGGCATAAACCAACCAAATATTGTTTACCTTCCATAGATGGGAGCTGGTATGGTTGTTCGACACATCTTGTAATTAAGTCAGGGAATACGTAGGGCAGTGAAGAAGGAAAAGTAGATGTATAGTTTTCAGCTAAAGTAAACAAAGTTGGAGGTCTAAACTTGTTACGTTCGCGTTCATTATCCGTCAAAAGATTCTCCCGAGAGTGCAAAGCATCCAAAAGTCGACGTTCATCAATGAAAGGAATTATCACAACAGCTTCCCAACTAGCAGTCTTGCCATTCTGATCTAAAGCAAAGTCATCGGGATAAAAATCTTTAATTGGGGATTCAGAACTGAACATAAGTTCTCTAAAAGAAGGAGGAACCAGTGCACTGCTTCTGGATGGCAGTACGGCCATAAGTTGCTCAAAAGGACGGAAAGGCGTTCCCATTTTAAAATCGATTTTCACTCTCAAGCCCTTCAAAACATCGGAAATTTTGGGAGAATAATGGTAATTATAATACCAACCCCAAGATTGACAACCACGGTAATAATAGAAGAGAACCCATTGTAAACCTTCGACGTATCTTTGAGTCATATCTCGCAAAGCATCTTCGTCAAAGTAGCTAAAGTGTACCTTCTCGCGGTAATAGGCATCCTTCCATTGGATGAAATCATCTTCAACGCTGGCTTCTTGTTTAAGCTGATCTTCGAGTAGCAATGGGAGCTGGTCATACTTTTGTAGAACTCTTTCAATCTCATCCTGTTCTACTTCATCATCACCATCAAATGCCAAATCTTTAAAAGCAACCCTCAGGTGCTCGGTGCCATCCGCTCTCGCTAACTTAGCACAAGAAAGATGCAATTCATTCGCAATATGACGGATAAAACGTTGGTTGGTTACCGATAGATTTGGTGGGAAGTCTAAATAGGGGTCACGAGAAGACAAAAATTTGCGGATAGTTACATAAAAATCTTTCTGCTCACTTGTCAGAGCTTTTATATCATCAGTGAAAGTCTTAAGATATTTTTGAAAATCAAAAGATTGTTTTTCATTTGCTGGTTGCTTTTTTGACTCATAGACTTCAGCACGAAATACTTCTTTTTCAAAAATTTCGAGTTCTAGTAATATAAGTTCCAAGCGATCCATATTAATAACACCGTGTTCATTGATGTAGCCGCCGGCATTAGGCATTACCTTCTTATAAATGTTAAACATTAATGCTAAAGCACCTTCATTAATGTGAAGACCTGGCAAATTAGGGAGAAAATCATTACCGACGAAAAATGCCAATAGAATAAAATCATCAAGAATTCTTTCGAGATCATACTTAAAGGGAAAGGTAGAACGGCATTCCTGAAATTCAAACTCTAAATATTCTCTGAGGAGACTCAGATGTAACAAGTAAAATTTTTGATTTGCCAGCTCCTTAGAGCGGCGTTTACTTGCTGGACCAAAAGTAACCTCTTCTCTCAATAAACAAAAGTGAGGGTCGTGAGACAAAAGACCAAGCATAATCAAATCTGCATCCAAGCCATATAAGCAATGGCGGGTATTGGGATTATAATCGGGTTGTGCCTTCTGAATACGTATATATTCCATGATTTTATGTTCACCTTCACCTGGAGTATCATGACCAGATAGAATAACTTGAACATTACTCCAATTGGAATCATTAGTAATCTTTTTATGAATAAAATAGTAGAGTTGGCGTGACACTCGTTCCATAAATGTAGTTCCTGGGGTAATACAATTACTGTCAAAACGAGCCTCTGGAAAATCTTCTCCGTTTTTTTCTGCCTTTAAGCGTGCATCGTGAGCATCTTTTGCTGTTCGAAAACGTCGGCTTCTTTGTTGATTCATTTTTGCTCTAGGAGCACAGCCATCGACAGCCATATACAAAAGCTTTTTTGGCTTGATTTTTTCAAAAAGATGTTCAATGTAATTAAAAATCGCAATGTACATTTCTTCTTCGGGAAGTGGAGGCGACGAGTGATCATCGTTTTTGTGCGTGCAATTATGCAAAATACCGTTCATGTCTAGATATAAATTATCAAATCTGAATCATTAGTGTCAGTAAGTCTTCTTCGAAACGTCAAATATTCTCACATACTCAGGAATCCGATCATTTTCAATTAATTGACTGCATAGCGGATATCGTTCGCTCATCCATCGAAAAAACTACTGTTAATCTCCATTCTTTCCAGTGGATATAACAAACCTTTGGAATTCCCATATCTATTAATGTATTTTATGCTTATTGTTTTGTAGTATGGGTAAATTATTAGTATATTATTATTTTTTGTTGTTTGCACGTTGCGGTCGTCAACATAAATCGTAATTAGATCAGCACTGCTCGCTAAGTCGCTGTGAATTTCCTTAATTATATTCTACAATATACCCTATTCTATATATCATACATTGTTGGACTACATTATAAAACAAATTAGAATGGCGTTTCACTTCTTTATTTAGTAAATACGGTTGATTGAACCAAGAATAAGTTGTATAAAAAGCTGATATTTTCAGTTTTTTACTTTTTGAAGAAATAACTGACAAAAATAAAAAGGACAGCTATCGGCTATACGAATGGATATGTATCATTCTGCCTGATCACCTACTTCTAATATTACTTTAATATTATCCCTTTAAAGGTGCAAACACTCGTTATTCTTATTTTGATCAGTTTGGATGTATATATAACAAAAAAATCATGCTGAAAGGCAAGGTAAATCATGGAGTAGTAGTAGTTTAGGATACTTATACGGAAAAAATAAAAAACCTAATAAAAAGAAGTTAAAAGTTTGTAAGGAAAATTTGCAACATTTTGATTGAATTATGTTGGGAAACTCGTAACTGGTTGAACAATTAATATAAGAAAAGATTGAGTATGCAAAATGAGGAGGGGAAATAGGATATTGAACATGAAAAGAAATCCAACAATGAAGAGTATTCGTTTAACTTAGTATGGACCACGACATAACCGTGTAGGGAGAATGAGAAAAATAAAAGTATGAATGTGCTACCGTGTCTGCATACGCCGGAAACTTAGTCAGTGATAAAATAACGTACGAATTAGTTAAAGACTCAGTCTGCGTATGTCCATATTATCGACTATCGGCAAAGAGAGTTTCAAAAACGAGTATTAACTTGGTTGAACAAGGTAAACATAGAAATGAACCCGTAATTTTGCTTCCTCAATGTTAATCTTCTTTATGATAACAGAAAAAAATAAAAGTATTCGATCAGCATACAATGCAGGGAAGAAAACCATAGATATGTATAGAATTAACAATCCGTTTCACCTTTTGCTTTACGAAAATGTCTAAACAGTTTCTTTGTGTCTGAACATTACCAGAGCCTAATGCCAAAATTAAGAGAAAACCAAAAACTAACCATTATAAGTGACAGCTGTCTATATGTATAACAGCCTGTTTTGTTAATAACACTTCCAAAGTCTTAACACTTCAAAATGAATTTGCCAATTTTATAAAGAATATCCAAGTCCTTAATTTTAAAATTTTCCAATCAACCGGAAGAACTCTTCACGAGTCTTGCTACTTCTCTGGAAAATGCCTGTCAGGCTACTCGTAACTGTACTGCTTCCGGGCTTTTCCACTCCTCGCATCACCATGCACATGTGTGAAGCTTCCATGACAACAGCCACACCTTGTGGCTTCAGCACTGCCTGAATCGCTTGCGCTACTTGTTTCGTCAAACGCTCCTGTACTTGCAATCGGCGAGAAAACATATCCGCAATTCTTGCGAGCTTCGATAAACCCAAAACGCGCCTACGAGGGATGTAACCAATGTGAATCTAAAATGGATGTTAGTTCTATGCTTAGAAGTTTCTCTCGGCGGCTATTATAAAAAAAAAAAAAAAAAAAAAAAAAAAAAACAAAGCTTATTACCTTTCCAGTGAAGGGAACCAAATGATGTTCGCATAAACTGAATACATCAATGTCTCTAACAATAACCATCTCCTCGTGATCTTCTTCAAAGACCGCATTATTTATCACTTCACGTAAATTCAACTCATATCCTTTAGTAAAATAAAGCATTGCCTTTGCAAAACGTTCTGGTGTACCAAGCAATCCTTGTCGCTGAGGATCCTCGCCTATACAAGATAAAACTGTACTAACAGCTTCAGAAATCTTTTGCATCTTTTCATCTTCCTCAGTCTCGATTCGACTTTGAGTTCCTTGACCTACTATATTAATTCATGCTCACAGAAAGATGAAACCCTATCACATATAATAACTTAAGTTGAATTACTTACAAGGCCAAGACAAGCCGTCCAAATCTATAGTTGGCGTCGATCCGCCTGACAAAGATGCCTGCTGCATTCGTAATGGAGAGTCTATGTAATCTTTTTTGTTTGAATCCATTATAAAGTATCTTAATACAAAAGAAATTAGTCTTGAAAACAGTCTAATTGGTTTTTGAAAAGATCAAAAAGAGTGATCAATGTGTGTCATGTTACTCGAAATAAGGAATTATAGCGCGATCACAGAAACGCTCGGTAATAAACTAAAGCTGGTTTTGTTGTTTAAATAAATCCCAAGCTTCATTAAGGTTGCTAAAAGCAGATTCCGCAATTAAGCGCTGCTCAACAGATGATTGTTGAGGAAGCTTGTCAGGGTGCACGCAGGATATCGCTTTCATGTATGCAACCTTGACTCGCTTTGGTAACACTAAATCAGCTAAAGACACAGGTTTCCAACGGCATTCCGGCCACAAAATTGTATCCAGAGATGACAAAAGGGCCCTGATGTTTCCTTCTTTTCCACTTTTCCATTTATTGATTACATGCTGGACTGGTTCTCGTAATTGGTTTTTTTCTTCTTCAACTTTTTCAGCTTGTTTTTGCTTGTTACGAAATTCGGATAATCTTTCTGATTCCTCAAATGTCTTTGGTGGCTCCGGTGATCTTCGTACCATAGGCCTCGAAAAAGTAGACACTGGATTTGCTAGTGAAGGTTTCCCACCAAGTGCTCGTTCACAGCGACTTTTTCCTTCCAGAAACAGTTTGTTAACTTTACTGCTGGATAGCAGTTCTGTCCATGACTCAAGTGCTAGTTCATACTTTTCAAGCTGCTCTAAAGCTTGAGCTTTGCGAATCATGCTTTTCACATAAAATTCATTCATGCTCTTTTCCTTTATAAATTCACCTTCACCTTTTCTTTTCCCTATTATTTCCAGCGCTTTTTCTGAATCCTGAAGACTAGTCCGTATGTCACCAATCTTCATATAACATAAACTTCTATTGCATAAAAGAGGTATGCAGCGAGTATGACTTTCAGGAATTTGGGACAAAGCTTTACTGAAATTTTCAATAGCCTGACTAAAATCTCCTTTATAATAGTAATTATTTCCTTCTGCTTGCTCTTGCTCTGTCATAGATATCGACATAGAATCAATATCAGCTTCATTTCGTTGGCTTTGGCTTTCCAAAGGGGGTTGCTCATTTGGATGACCCAACCTTCTAAGAGGAGGAGGCAATGATTCATCTTGCATCTTTTGCATATTAAAAGACGATGCTGCCTTCTGGTGGCTTATTGATTCATCTGGTACTTCTACCAAAGAGGAAACTAAGTTATCATTAAATTCATCAGTGCTTTCATGCTTCATTTCGGATACAGACTCGGTAGATAATTCTTTCACAAAATCATTTCTCGAAAGCGGGATGTCTGAATTCGGTTCTGTTTTCGACAAAGCTTCATTGACTCTGTTTTCAACTGGAAGTCCAGGATACTGATTATCGGGATCATCAAAAACATTTCCACTCGTCATCCACCGAGGTTGATTTGGACTCTTTACAGCCCTCCTTTCTTCCACTGCCGTTCTTATTTTCTGGCGTCCAATATTCCATAAATCTGTTGCTTTTGAAAAAAGTTGATCCTTGATTTGGCTAGATACTTGTTGTAATTCAGATAACTTATCAGGGTAGCGAGGCTCGTTATTAAATAGTGTCTTCGTGGTTTGAGTGTTAGAAGATTCGGATCCTTGCTCAAAAATTAATTCGATAGCTTCTTGCAAGGATCCAGTATGTTGTAAAGCGAACGTGCTGAGATCATCAGAAAATCCCATTGCACGAAGTTGAGCATAAGAGTCATTTTCTGAATGCTGTGAAGACGTGTTTGAAGAAAAGGCATCAGCAAGGCTTTGTTCATTTAATTCATCTGCTACCACTGGCTCTGCAGGAATGTTTCGTAATTCTGGTGATGAAGTATGTAGCTTAGTTGGCTTATTCTCTTCGTGTAATTGAAGACTTTGCAGAGTATTTGGTAAGGAATCCTTACTATATGAAGTTTCTTGTTCACTTTTGTTCTCACTATCAAACGCTTTCGTTTCGGCCTTGGGCAGATGATGGAAAACGTCGAGATTCATGTAAGGATCATGGCTGATCGGGGCGTTAACGGAAGGAGATCCCAGAGTCTGTGATGTTTTTCTTTCCAACTCATTTATAGAAGTATTCTTGTTATCATTTCTTTTTTGGAAAAGATTAGCGAACGGATCACGATTTCCATTCTTATTCAGAGAATCCTTAGTACTACCATGATTTTGAGGATAGGGCGCAGAAACTGGACTATTTGATTTCCCATTTATCTCTAATGGTTTCTTTTTATTACTTTCATGGGTTTGATTACTTGAAAGATCGAAATTCAGTAAGTCTTCCATCGTTTAGATTAATGTTGGAAAGGATAAACTGCACTTAAGGAATGTAAGTACCATCGAGACTAGTTTAAGATTTCCACTTGGTTTCGAGTAATTTTTGTTCAACCCACTTAAAAAGGTTTGGTATTGCTTGCAATTCTGCCTTTTTCTGTAGGAAAAGCATCCTCTGTAGTTGTTCACGCATATGGGGTTCGTAGCGTAAACAATCGGATTGAAGCAAGTTGCTGGCAACTTTAACATCACGCTTCCCTAAAGAAAGAGAATAGCTGTAATTTTTTGGAAATATATCTTGGTAAAAGGGACCCAGAAATTGTAACTGAGGCAGTAGTATGGAACTTTCATAGCCACTAGCCTTCGAACCATGTTTGTAGCAAGAATATATTAAAATTCCATAGGGGTCCCAATCAAAAATTCCAAATATAGGCAGTTCTGGTAGATATTTTGTGATTTCGAGCAACAATTTTCTGGTGGACATATCAGGAAATCCCTTTGCCTAAAAAGTCAGCAGAGATATTCGACTTCTCCTTTTCTTACCGTAATAAGTATTATATCTTCTAGCCCACGCTCTACGAGGGTTTGAAACACTGCTTCTTTTTCAATTACTAAAACCCATTTTGCCGTAGAATCTATTGAGGATATTGGGTGGTAGCTAATCAAGGTCGGCTAAATCAATTTAATTAGAGTTATTGAAAAGTCTTTCATTAATACCTTGGATGTTTCCAGCTTGACTCCTTCTTGCAGATTTATGGTTAGAGGACCGTAAACGAGCCCTTTTCCGGATGCTTCCTGAGTAGACAATTAGAACTCAATTTGATCTTAACTATAAAAACTAAAGCCTTCTTACCACATTTAGTGCTGATCTAGGACAACCTATAGTGCAGGCAATGTCTTCGATCAATTCGTCAACAACTGCCTGTCTTTTGAATAATTGAACATCGTGATAAAATATGTCTCTAACAATTGTTAAAATATAGAAATGTTTAAAACCGTATACCTTTTGGTAACCACGCTTTCTGTGTCGATGGCCTCGTGTATACAATCCAAGACCTGTAAAATTTGAGCAACCTTTGCCGGGTGCTTAATTATATTGTATTTTTTAGGACGAGTAGTTTTAGAGAGACTATTTTTGAATGAGGAAACGCGGCCATTCGACTTTCTTTTTGAAAGACTTAGGAATGCAGGTGTTTTGCTGGGATCTGCTAACTGTTTTAAAAATGACTCGACAATTGTTTCAATACTTTCTTTGACATTCACGAAATCTACTTCTTCCTCTTCTTTTTTTATGAAAGACATTTTTACGTGAAGTATTTAGATCGGATTCGCGTTGGTTTATTGACGTGTGATTCCTCGCTAATTATATGCTTATATACTTACGGGGTTTCCTTGAATGAATTTGAGAGACATGGGTAAAAATCAAATACGAAGCGCTGCTGAACTTCTTAGCAGTAATAGTGTTTTTTTTTTTTCTTTTTTTTCTTATTTTTTTATTTTTTTACCTTCCGCACTTCATTAGTCTAAAAATTAGACTCTGTTGAGCAGTAGTAAAAATAATGGTCACAGCCAGGATCGAACTGGCGACATTCGACTTATTAGATCGACATGATAACCAACTACATCATGCGACCATTTCCTATTTCTTTAATAGTAGAATTTATTTATAGTTAATATTTTACTCAAAATAGGAAAAATTTTTGGAAATCAAAAGAGCTGAGAGATCAAATAAATGTATTAATATCTTATTCACTGTGCATAGAGAGTAACCTCTTGTAAATTGCGTTTGGTTTATCGTATAGAATTTCTGAAACATGCATACAATCAAACTCGACATTATAAGTTAACTGTTCATTTGTTTCTACAATTATCAATACAAAAAAGAAAAAAAAAGTCGTAATTCGTTAATCCAAAGCCATGGAAACCCTTTCATTGATGAAAGGATTTCAGGGCAAGAGAAGGACAAACATATAAAGAGGTCATTAAATATCATACAAACCCTTTCGAACTGTTAGATCTTGTAACATTCCATTCTTTTCGGGTACAATAAAGAAGCAAGCAAACCATGGGTCATTATGCTACATTCCCGAAACTTATTTGCAACACAACTTTCGTTCTTGACGATACGCAGATAGTTTCTTTTTCTTTTTTTTTAGAAACAGTAATACCTACCTTAGAATATGATTCTCTTCACATAGTATCACTATCCGCCCATTTTCTAGAAGAGAAAGGACTCTTTATAGCTGCCCATTTCCTTTTGATAAGAAAATGATTGAATACGTATACTAGAGACAAAGATAACATAATATAAACCAACAGGGGACCATAAATAGAATAATTTAAGGGATCTTTCCAATTCCATTGCACACAGAACAAAGTTCCGTAAAGATCAAGAAGTCGACTTGACCAGTACCTTTGCAATTTCCGCATAGATGTCCAGGAATACGAGGATCACCAGGTTGCACTACCAATGCATTCGGGGGAGGCCTTCCATAACTCATGTATTGAACATCAAACGAATGACCGAATCGACGGGCACATCGGCCACAAGGACGGCCACCGGGTTTGTATCCTGTATTATCACATCGATAGCAATGGTAACCAGGAGGATAAGGGTATGGGCGGTTCATGGGAGCACTTTGTGGTGCAGGTGATGATGAATGAGAGGGATAATTATGACTTGTCGAATGTGGCCGTTTTCCGAATCTAGGAGGTCCATAATCAGGAACAGTATATCCACCTGTAGATGAGCTGCCTTGGTAGCTAGATGATGATGGATAGGAAGGTCGGTTGTGGGGACGAAAGCTCGACTGGGATACATTGGGAGAATGTGATGGGCGACTTGGAAGAGGAGGGGATGAAGAAGGACGAGAATGATTTTGATGTGAATATTGAGCTCCCGTATTGCCTTGGGATAGTAATTGCGCTTCTTCGCGCATAACTTCATCATACGAAGGGGGAGGAGCCGAATGATCTGACATGATTCCTACTTTTACTAAATTTTAATATTTATTTCTTTTCCTTGCTCCTACTGAATACACAATGTCAAAGTTGGAAATATCAAGTGATGTGAAGAGACCATCAGGAACAACCATTTGCCAACAACATAAAAATTCCCGTAGTGAAATATTTGTGATACTGACGCTACAAATACTTACTTAAGGATTCATCCTTTACATAATGCATGTAAAATCAATTCTGAAAAGGACGCAGAGCGGCTCAAAACCTGTAGAATCAGATCACGAAGAGACAAAGAATGAGAGCTTGAAATTGCCCGTCACCGCTGTAATGACGAACTCAGACGAAAGGCCTGAATTAAATCGTTCACTTTCTACCGAAAGCAGTCGCAGGCTTCGCTGGGATGAAGAAAACTTGCGCTTAGCTGAAGCACAGAAAAGTTCTACGATGAAAATTTCAGAGCCAAAAACCCCTTACCAACACACCTTATTATTAGATGAAGAAGTCCCCGAGCTCAGCTTGGATAATTCTGACACCGAATTGGCGGATGATCCCTTATCTACACAGTTGCAGGTTCCTCCTATTTCTCAAGAACAGGAAAAATATGCCTATGGTGATGTGAATAAGGCTGCTGAGAAAAAACAAGAACCTTTTCCAGTTCCTAGGGCAGATGGATCTATTCCTTCAGAGAAGAGGTCCTCTTCTGATTACGCCCAAACTAGTTCTGATACTTTCCAGACGGTCAACTTAACGCATAAGAACACGACTCAGAATGCAAGACGCTCCTCTCCTTATTCTTCCGAAAATTCTCCTTACACGAATGAGCAGATGAATAGCTCGAATCCCAAAGTGGTAGCTGTCCGTACCAGACAGAATTCTCTGGATAAGAAATCCAAAGCTGGAACGCCTAGGAAGGAGGGCATTGGATTTGGCATCCCGCCAGCTACGGAATCGGCATCGCTATTACCAAAATCAATCATAATGGGGGAAGAAAATGAAAGTATGGACGAAGGAGAACCATCTCCTTATTCGATTGATCAAGGGCAGCAGAAATCCAAGTTCGACGAGCTTCGCCGAAAGCATTACTTCGCTATGGCAAAACCACTCAAAAAGGAAAACATTGATAGTAATGGACTAGAAAGTGATAATGATGATGACCCTGGTAGGGAAGATAAAGCAGCTGCTGAAGAATCAGATGTCGAAATGGCTGAAGATTAAATAGAAGACCCCCTGTTGACTGTGTCGAAAATTTACCCTTTATGGAAAAGGAACACTTTTAATATCATATATGTGACTTTGCTAAAGTGTGTGAAAAAGATACCAGCTATGAGCTTATGGAAAGGTATCACTATGTTTGACGAAGTTTTATGAGACAAAGTATACGTTTTTGTTGATTGTTTTTAGCTTGATACAATAGACAAAGCATTACTTATGATTAGTTACTGATGGTTATATATTTATACATATAATATATAAATCCACATGACACCCAATCATTGGTAACAAAGCAAACTATATTACTTTGAATAAAAAAAAAGATTCTTTTTTGTTTTCAATTCTTTCCAACAGTCCTTGGGAACTTTAATTGATTCAACTTAATCATAATAATTCAAGAATGAAGGATAAACCATGATTTAACTAAGTAAAGTACAGGAAAGAATAGTATCATTATGCAAAATTTTCCTCGTGATTAATAGAGAATAGAAAAAGAATGAAAAGGTTTCGGCAATCGCTTGGGAAGCCAAGAGGAAATTTCATTTAAAGGAAGATCGTTTAGACGTCCCTTAGACACCCCTTCTGCCAGAATGTTTGAAGAATGTCTTCACAATAAAAACTTGAAGAGCAGAAAGACCCACTACCATTAAGGCCTCTGCAATGCTAAACCATAAGATACGAGATTCTGTAGATCGAACGGTAGAAAAGTTACGGCTTTCCCTAGTGTGGAAGTAGGTTTGGATACGGTCAATTTCTGACAAAGCTGTAGAAATCTCCATAACTGTTGCTTGCATACTGTTAGGGTTATAATTTTTTGCTGAATCACGGTTAAGCGAAGGCATGGATAGTTCATTTTCCATAACGACCTCCATAGTGAGAATTTTGTCAGTGAAAGCAGACATATGGTTATCAAAGCAAATTTCGTATTCTCCCTTTTCTTCTAAAGTGAAGAAAATATCTGCTTGGCGTCGTTTCTTACCAAGAGCGACGGTCTTCTTGCTTGGAGCAGTAATAATGTAATCGACGTCAAAAGATCCACCAGATTGAACAGCATAGGTAAAATGACATTTTTCACCAGTAAATGGAGCTTCTAGATGGTAACATTGTCGTTCTTGGTTTTCCAGTTGAAAGGTTAACTCAATGGCATGAACCCATGTCAAAAGCGTCAACAAGACGGCAAATTTGAACCCCAGGAACCTCATTTCTATCTATGGATGGAAAATACAGCTTTCTTTTCGGAAACAAAGACTTCCACCTACTGTTTATATTGTTACACTCAACAGATTTGGTCAATGTTGGTAGTGGGTAGGTTCGTCAAATTTGGAACAAGATGATGTTAGCCGCATCCATAAGGGAAACCCGATGAGAAGTATGTTAAAAAACCAAATGAAACAGTTAAGAAGACGATTTTTTTTTAAGTTGTTTTGGATGGATATCCCATGGAATGGATTTCACCCTTCTTTCGACGTATAAAAGGTACGACTCAATCAAAAAAGCTGATCCTTACTTAGTTTCAAAGTATGAAATCAAAGCAGGAATGGCTGTTAAACTCGATTTTTTTGAAATCTTGATCTAAGACAATAAAGTGTCAGTTTGTGTTCTCCTTGCTTTCAACGCATATCTGAAGAGTTCATCATTTGCTAGCTATGCTTTTCCTAAAATGGATTTCTTTACGAAGACTTTAATTCTTTGGTCGAGCTGAACCGACTCACTGGAAATATTCCCTGGCAGTCTTGGAATGTGCGACTGAGAAGAACAATAGCTGTTTTCACGACAAGAACATTCTTTTGTTCTTTTCTTTTGCCTTTTTCTTCGTCCTAAGACGACTAAATATGCTTTACACATTTGTTTGACCGTTCAATTAAGTTGACATTAGCGGAAATTGGGTTTGGAAATTTCACTTACAGAAAGCATGTTGTACCTCTACAACAAAAAAGAAAAACGTAAACAACAAATTATCTGAAGAGGGAACACTAATTCTTTCCTTATTGTCGCAGACTGTAAAGAAACTTGTATAGCTTACCTTTGTTTATTTGTTACTGAATCGGATTGCGTTGTGTTATTTCGGATTGTCGCTCGCTTTCGTTCGCGGTAAATGGATTTTATAAGTTTTGTATGATTCAAATAATTCTTCTACCAAGTACTGGAGATGCTATGAAGGATGGAAAACTCCAAAGGTTCCGTATGTAACGATTGACTTATTTCTTTTTTCTAACGCAATGTGTAGCTCCATAGTAGTTCCGGGTCTTACAACAATCTTTTACCTCCCTTTGGACATCAAAGGTAAAAGCTCTTGAATGCAACCAATGGTCTAGAGAACTAACCAAGCATTGAATTAGCAAAGGCGATAACCCAACTGATGCAATTCCTATCAAAAGCCCATTGGAGAGATTAAGTACGTCGACGGAGCCGAGTTCTCAACAAGGCTTGACTCGGACACCGAAAAAAGCATTATCACGAGCTCCCGAGTCTTCCTCTGTTGCCGCTGTGGTGAGTCCTAGACAAACAAAACGTCTTTTCTCAGAGGTTTCAGTTCAATCCCGTAAGTTTCCATATTTAAATTACTTGAAAGGAGCAAGACCAGCGCTGAATGGTTCAAAGAACTACGTGAAGAGAAAAAAGAAGGTTGACTTTACTTTCATCGTTTTGTATTTCCTTTTCAAGCCATTATCATTTATTATTCTCTTGTCCCTGCTGAAACTAACTCGGTTCTCTTCCTCGCCAACATCACTGCTTTGGCGAGAGAGATGAAATATAGCAAGAAAGAAAAAACCTTTACAGTCTGTTGATTTGCCATTTACAAAAGGTGGATATGGTGGCTTTTACGACTCTAGGAATGGGAGCTTAAAATTCACAAAGCACGAACTCAGCGTTACATACGCCGACCGGTTTCATGCCCCACCCATCCATTTCCCGGTACATCTAATTAAGCGTTTGTACTGGCTTCAGGGATGGCGAGACGCTCATGTCGAGTCGCCCGTTCATGCTATCCATATAACGCTAAAAAGTCGCGATATGAAGCGCATAGTACGAGGAGATTCAACGAGTATGCTTTTCCTTTATAATCCGAATCATGTTGAAGCAGCCCGTGCCGGATTAGATTTGTTTGATCAATCTGAATTCACCCTTCTTTCTCCTTCCTCTGCCAAGGAGTTTCAAAATTTGTTAACTGTTAAACAGCCCGCTCCCACCTCCTCTACTACTTCGTCTCCTTCCGTTTCTCGAGTAAAAAATGACCCTTCTAAATCTGTTCAATCCAGTCCTTCCTCTAGCCAATCTCGTTCAGCTACTCCGCATTCATTAAACAACCAAGCTAGTACACCCATTGCAAGTCCTAAAACACCAAAAAGTGCAAAAGTTCCCACTGTTTCCATAGAGTCTCTGAAATCTACGCCAAGTCGGCCACCTCTAAATAGCACACCTAAGTCGGCCACCTCTGCTCTTAAACGCATACCCTCGTTACCCAGTGTCTTTGGAGACAATCATGGACCCTTTTATAATGAAATTACCGCCTCACAGGAGTCTGAAAAATCTCTCATTTCTGAAATCCCTTGTCAAACGCTTCTTATTTATCCATTTACTGGTACAAACACCATTGCTGTAAACAACACCGATTTAGTTCGATTAAACGATGGAGAATTCTTAAATGATACTATCGTCGATTTCTATCTACGGTAATGATTTCTTCTCTTGGTTTTTATCATGACTAACAATCTCATTTTAGTTATTTATATTGTAAACTAGAAAAAGAAAGCCCTTCTTTAGCACAATCAACGCATATCTTTAATTCCTTTTTCTTTAGTCGACTAGTTTCAAAAGACAAAGATGGGTAAGCTATATAAACCTACTTGCGGATTTATCCTTGCTAATTTTTGATTTAGTAAGCGACTAGGCCAAAGAGGTGTGCGGAAGTGGACGCAAAAATTTGATTTGTTCACCAAAAAATATGTTATTGTTCCCATTAATGAAATGTTTCACTGGTATTTGGCAATTATCTGCAATATAGATCAGTTAATACCGGCAAACCACAAAAGTTCTTCCGAAGAGGAAGATGAAATCACTTTACCCTCGGTTCAAAAGGATATTACAGAGAATAAAGTTGTCCTTACAAGTAATAGGTACGTTTCCAGGAAAGCTATAAGAAAGGCTTGGGGCTTCTTCAATCTTGACATACTGTTACTAACTTTGTTAGCCCGGTTATCCTAATTTTTGATTCCTTGGCAAACATGCACAAAGGTAGTTTAAAGTATCTACGAGATTACTTGATTGATGAGGCTTGGGAAAGGAAAAAAATACAGTTAAAGCCTACTGATATTCGTGGGTTTCATGCCAAAGTACCGCAACAGAGTAACTTCTCCGATTGTGGTATCTTTGCGCTTCATTTTGTAGAATTATTTCTAGAAGCACCTCAGCAAGTGTTATCGGATATTTTGGACAAGTCAGCCAGACAAAATGTGTCTCAGAGTTTTGATGAACGTTGGAATGTTCATAAGATAAATACTAGACGGGAAGATATCAGGAGTTTAATTGGAGATTTATCTAAAGAATGGATGTCTAATAGGGACAACCAAGTGTCCTCTGAAAGATCAAAGGACAACAATGATGACGATGATGACGACCTTACTGTTCTGTAAAGTAGCTAGATTTTTTTCATTTAAAGGGATTATAGGAATTATAAATTTTAATATTTTATTCATAAATAGTTGATAGACTCAAGTTAAGCATAAACCTGTTAATAAATTTACATAGAGGATCAAATACGTTAACTAAAACAAAAAAAAAGAAGTACCCATTATCTTTTCCGATTGTATAAATGCTTTTTAAAAAGAGCATGATGCTCCTTATTGTCCTTCCGAAGCTGCTTGTTTGCACTCTTATTATATTCAACGTATGCCATATTATCAGCACCAGCAAGTGTACTCAAAGAACCGCTGCTTCGCTTTGCTTTAGCAGGGCCTCTGGACATTCTAGCGCCAAAACCCGAGGAATCATCACCTTCGTCCAAAGAAGCTGCTTCTTCGTTTTGAAGTAAAACTTCTTGCAAAAGCTCCAATCGTTCAGCTTTCGAGGCATAGGCTAAATTTGGTAAATACTCCATTCCCTTCAAGTTTGTGATGACTTTAAAGGCATAACCTTGATCGATTAAAAAAGCTTGTCTTTTGCTCGAATAGAACATTTCTTGGGTATCCTTTGAAACAAGACTATAGAAGAAAGCATTAAAACCCTCATCGGTTCTTCGCTTGGCACGAAGGATACGGCCTAATCGTTGAGCTTCTTGACGACGAGATCCATAATGGGATGAAATTTGGATTAAACAGGTAGCTTCAGGAAGATCAATTGACGTGTCACCAACCTTTGACAAAAAGATCGTGTTCACAAGCTCGTTATATTGAAAGTTTTCCAAGATGCGCATTCTTTCTAATTGAGGTGTACCACCATAAATAAAGTATTTTCCTAATTTTAATGCATAAGCACGTAGGGCATATACATTATCAGAAAAGACAATGATTTTATCACCTCTCTTTTCATGGTAATCGATTAAGAACTGGCAGGCTTGAAATTTTTTGGGATTCATAATATATAATAGCATTCGCTTTCTCGAGTTTTCTCTAAGATATTCATTATAAAATTCGGTAGTCATCGGACACCAAACCTCTGCACATTGTACATTTGCAATATGTCCCTTCTGGGCAAGATCCATCCAATTTGCCTCATACATTTTAGGACCAATCAAAAAGTTCAAGTCGTCAATTTTATCATCTTCACGAACAAGCGTAGCAGTCAATCCTAACTTTGAATGAGCAGCAATCGTAGTGACGACACGACGAAACATCGCTGCAGGAACCACATGTACCTCGTCTAACAAGATGAAGCCCCATTCACGTCCAGTCAAAAAGTCCATCATTTTCTGGGAATCATAAGAACGGTTTCTTGTATTGGCGACCATAGAATACGTTGACACAACCACACCAGCTTCGCTATGAAATCGTTCCTTATGGTCAGCGGTAAATACAGCGATGTGGTCTGCTTTGATGTTGCTCCACTGAAGAAATTGTTGACGCCATTGCATTACTGACACAGAACTAGTACACAGCACAATTACAGATTTTTTGATAGTACAAGCAGCTGTAATACCGACTAACGTTTTTCCAGCACCGCAGGGCAAAACAATGATACCACTACGAGCACGACCGTTGCCAAACATTTTACTCAAACTCTTTTCTTGATACGGACGAATTTGAGTGCTTGGTTTTAAATCAATAGGTAAATCTGGATTGATGTTATCATTTCGAAAATCATATTCTTCCAGCAAAGGATAGTCAATCTCGGCACATCTCTTTTTAATAGTTTCCACTGAATAATGTTTAATTTCAAAAAGGTGAACCGCGTCTTCGTCATCCTCTTCCTCTTGCAATCCGACAACAGCAGAAAATAATAGGTCAGAAGAATCTTGTCCGTTTTCAGCTGGTGTTTCTCCATTAGGTACATTTCCAGTATCTACGGAAGAAGCTTCTTCAGTGTCTGGCTGTGGTTTTGAGGATTTCGACTTAGTTAGCGAAGTATCAACTCGAAGGGGTCCAATGACAGGATCTTGAAGCAAAAGACGAAGTACATTAGCATCCCCACTTTCAATAAAGTATCGATTCTTTTTCAAGACTAACTTTACCTTACCGTAAGACACAGTGCAAGCGCGGATGAATTCAACAATGGATTGAGGGATGGGTGTTTTCGATAAACGATCAAGAACACTAATAATATCCTCAGTTTTCAAACCAACACTAACCGCTGCATATAATGAGTAAGCGGTAATTCTATATTCGTGAATATACGCAGGACGAGAAACTGGCTCTGATATTGTGACTAAGAAATCAATGGCTTGCTCTGCTAAAGGAGAGAAAGCTTCTAAAATAATTCTTCCATCAACAGGATTAATCCATAGGGGTCGTGCTTGATGATCAAGCTTTAAACCAAGAAGAGCTGAAAAGTCGTTTTGTCCAAACATAGAGGAAACTCCAGTAGCAGTCCGCTGAGAACTTCCATCAGAAGGTTTGTTCTTGGAGGGTTTAGTGGACGATGCTCTAATTCTTGCTGTAGGAGTGTAAAGATCATCATCATAATCATCACCTTCTGAGTAGTCGCTAAACTCTTCCAAATCTTCGTCAGGAGTACCTTCCCTGGCGTTACTCTTTCTTTTCGCACTCATTTGAATACTTTCGTTTCAACTCTTTAAAATATGGGTATGGTAAACGGGAATGTATGTTTCAAAAATAAAGCTGAGAGCTCTGGTCGATTCCAAAACTTGGAATGCAATTAGTCAGCTCACTTAACCAACATTCACTTTTTTTACTTATATTTAAGCTTTAAATATTCCAAATACCCTAAAACCTGCTTGATTTTAAACAGACGTAGTGAAAGGTGGAAGGCAACTAGCAGAGTGTCTGTGCACAATATTACATATAAAAATCAAGGGAAAGGACATGTCGCATTATTATCGAATAGAAAAAGGATTATGAAGAATTAGGATCCTTAAATGTTGATTCAGCTTGAGTTGACAGCAAAGGTGTTGAAGATGAGTACCCTGGAGCTACACGTCGAAGTGTCTCCCATTGCGCCTTTTCCTTTTGTAACTTCCATTTTTGATAATGTTTTCTTAAGTTTTCAATACTTGACCATTGTATTGGGTCTGGTAATTTCACATCATCTACAGGCACACGAGGCTATAAAGCAATGTTAGCAGAGTTTCGATTCAGCTATCATATTCGGCTTACAAGAGCATCTACAGAGCTTTTCTTAAGACTATCAGGATCAAACGGTGGAGTAGGAAGGCTAGGAATCAAATCATTATTCGGGACCCTATGATAACCCATCTTTGTACATTAGCTAGTGGTTGGGAAACGGATTCTACAACATCATCGTTGAACGTGATTTTCATGGGTGGAAATAAGTCGACTATGCTTTTGAACTTATAAGCTTTCTTGCTTCAGCTCTTCACTTAATAAAACTTGCTTGCTGACTTGAGCAATCCTGGTTCAAGCTACTGAAATAGCAACCGAAACTTTTTGACGAGCCTTTATTGGAATTCAACATATAATAGCATCTCTTCACAAGGAAGGATCCATTTGATATAATCCCTGCTTGCTGATCCGCTTTTCTCTTGTTTTTGATCCTTAAAATGAAAATGGAGCGAGGATCGACGAGATGTAAACAAATGTCGATCAAAGTTTCAATTGATTCGCTTCTTCGTTTCTTTTGATTTTTCATTTCACAACCTATTATATTGAAGTTCTCTCCTTAAGAAAATTACTCCATTATGTATTGGAAGTCTTCGCTAAAGTATCAAAAATCTTTTTACCTCTATGGATCGCCAAGGCAAGTTTCTGAGTTTCTTCGTAAGCTTTGAATACTTTCATTCCTAACATAAATAAATGAAGAGAAATCTTTTTTTAAAGAAAATACCTGCTCCTTTTTGGTTTTATCTTTGTTATTTTTCCAACTCGTATGTATATTTGATCTGCATAAGCGCGCACTCTACATCTAAGCGAAGCTTATTTTAAAAATTTTTCAAAAGTGTTATTGTTGGAAACAAACTGTTTATTCAAGAAACAAAGTTACTCAAATGCGTGCAAACTATGCTCAAGGTGTTGATGTATATTACCAAAAAAGCGGATCTACATACCGGTAAGTAAAATTGTTGTAGTGAAGAAATAAAGCTTTTTGTATGGGAAATGAAAAATATCATCGCTAACTGCTTTTACGTTCAAGAAATCTTCACTTCTATGCTTTAAGGCTCTTAACGATGGATTGCTTGAGCCGATTTTGGGACCACAATGACAAGACTCGCAGTTCGGAATTTCATATAATCGACTTGGCTTGCGGTAGTGGTGAAATAACTCAGGTGGTGCGGGAATGGGAATTACTAGGAAAGAAGAAATCTGTTGAGGGAGATTCTTCTAGGGCAAGGAAAAAGTTGTCTATCCGTTCAATTCCTTTAGGCTATCCTCCGATCGAAATCGTAGCGACAGACCCTTACACTGGAGAAGCTTATGAGCAAAACGTTGGGGTCCCCTGTCTTAACTTGAATTTTCAAGATGTTGCAGATGGAAAATTCCCTCCTTCGAAAGCCGTAGACGGAATCTATGACTTGGTCATTTGCTCCTTTGCTTTGCACTTGTTGACTGATCCATCAAAACTCTTCGCTACATGCTATGCTTTGGCAACGCAGTGTCGATGGCTTCTTATTGTTAGTCCTCATAAGCAGCCAATATTAAAACCGGAATGGGGTTGGATACCTTGGAACATAGAAACTTGGCTTCCACTTGACTACGGCGATAACCATGACCATGTCATTGAGCGAGTACATGGTCGTTTTTTCCAGAGCATAAACTTTCAGTAAATGGACGCTTCTATTTGTATTTCTTAAATTCACTAACTATGAATTTCCAATTTCTCTTACTGTCCTGTTTTTCCTACGCCATTTCAGAAGATTGCTAATTTAATGATTTTTTTTGTCTATTACATAAAATTATTGCTAAAAATATCTAACTATCCTTACGGTTTTCCTATGTTTTTGGTGTTTTGTTATCGTTGTTCCTAAGTAAACAAACAAATCGATACATGCTTTCCTTCTGTTTTACTTGTTTCAGACAAGCGTATATCTCTCCCATTTTTGGTTGAATATTTTTTATCTATTAAATATTTTTTGTTATTCTGCTATGCGGTTTGTTTTTTTATACTGGGTTGTTTTTATCAGACTTCTGGTGCATGCAACGTATCGATCTGTTACGAAAGATTCACACGTTGTTTCTGACTCAAGGAAAACACTTCAAGATTGGAATGCAAATAGATTTCATGAATATCGGATTAAATCTTCTGTGTCTGTTCCAGTTGACTCATTGTTTCCGTCACATCAAACACTATGGTTGGGCATAGAAGCCGATTGTAGCTACTTGGCCCAATTTACAAACCGCGTAGAAGCAAAAAAGCACATCCTACAAGAAATAGAAAAAGTATCTTCCTTATACGATCGCTCATTTCACATTTACGTGCAGGTTCTTCAACTTTTCCTGCCTTCTTCTGAAGAATGCTTCGCAGGTAAACTTCCAATGAGTGAGAATGGGGTAGATTTAGAAAAAAATAGGCCTTTAGAAGAAAAACTAAACTCGTTTACCAAGAGAAAGGCGGAGATGGCAAATGAGAAGAACTCCTTGATACCAAGTGCAAAGTATCTTAGTTTGACTTCTGAAGACTCTGCCAGCCAAACTGTTTCTCCACAGGCGTGGCTTTTGCTCACAACAGCAAACGATAGCAAACAAAAGGGCATCTCTTGGTTTGCTACGATTTGCAATGGTTTTAGTATTGAAGATGAATGGCAAGTGGGTCCATCTAGCGTTGTAGCAGCTTACCCGAATGATTGGCCTATCATTGCTCACGAGCTAGGACATATTTTTGGATTAATTCATGATTGTGATAAAGAATCATGTCAAAACCCGAATGAAAGCTGCTGTCCTCTTTCACATATACTTTGTGACGCCCAAGGTTTGTATGTTATGCATCCATCCAACTCCTATCCAAAGCACAAGTTTAGTGATTGTTCAATTTTACAGCTGCATTCATTACTAGCAAAAAACTATATTTCGTTCTCGTGCCTTTCCAAACCGTCTGAGGATATGGGCATCAAATTGGGTATGCCTCAAATGCTTTATTTATTCACTAATTTTAATGCTAACCTAGTGAATAGGAATGTGCGGTAATGGTATTGTTGAAGGCGATGAGGAATGCGATTGCGGGGATGATTGCAATCAGAACCCTTGCTGTGATGGGAAAACCTGCAGGTACGCTACTGGTTCAGTTTGCGATGATTCAAAAGATAGTTGTTGCAAGAACTGCCAGTTAAGTCGTGCAGGAATGGTATGTAGAAAGGCATCTGGACCATGTGACAAACCAGAGTTTTGCACTGGAAAATCTTCAGAATGCCCTAAGGATGAAAGTTGGGAAGATGGAACATATTGTTCTTTACATGACAGGACTGGTTCCTGTGCTTCTGGTAGATGTACCTCTCCATCAGAGCAATGTCGAGAACTTACGAACTTTAGCATCTCAGCTTGCCAACCCAGAAGCTGCAAGGTTTCTTGTATGAATGACAATGGTGTATGCTATTCTAGCTCTATAAATTACTTAGATGGTACTCGCTGTGCTGGAGGTTTATGTTATAATGGAAAGTGCATTCCAATTGAAGAGACTTCGGCTGCTACATGGAGAAAGCAGCCCTCTCTCTTTTGTGCTTCAGCTACCATGCTCATATCACTGGCACTTATTGCCTGGTTTTTCTGGTAGTGAGCCTTTCAAATAGCGAGGAATGCATGGACCATAAAAATCCTACATACATGTATTTAGCTACCATTTTTCTGTCTTCAGTTTATAAGAGCTTATCTTCTGTATGTAGAATATCATAAATTTTGAGCTACCCAAAGCATAATTAGTCTAAACTCCTAATCCATTACGTATAGCTACAGCCAGAAATTTTTTATTTATACCGGTAATTTGAAACCTTTTATTAACTTTTCCAAAAGAAGTAAAAAGCAATTTAAGCAATATCTCTCTTGAGAGTACCCATGAATTGCTTGGCTTCGGCAGGGGTTTGGAAGCGGCCATGGCCAAACTTGGAAGCAGTGTCAATCCATTTGAGGTTGATGGGCTCCAAAGCCTTACGAGAAGTATGGGTGATGAGAGACTTACGGATAGTCATAATACGCTTAACGGGACCAGGAGTAGCACCGTTCAACATGATATAGTCGTTATTGACACTACCATAGCGAACGAATCCACCCATAGGAGTGATACGCTTCTCAGTGGCATCAAAGTCAGTAGAAGCGTTCTTGTCGTCTTCACCAGCACCAATGCGGTAGATCTTGGAGTTCAATTGGGTACGGTGCATGTAACCAGCGTTACCGGCACGGGGAACGGTCCATTGGACGTTAGCAGGGTGCCAAGCACCGATACAAGCAACCTTACGAAGACCACGATGAGTCTTACGAGGAAGGTGCTTAGTACCCCAACGGCCAGTGGTACCCTCGGCACCCTTACCACGAGTGACACCAACGATATCGACCATTTCGTTTTGTTCAAAGGTAGACTTGACGTCAACGGTCTTTTCGAAGTGTTCACGGGCCCACTCAACCTTGTCAGCAACGGAACCACCGTTAATTTGGATTTCCATAAGGTGAGCCTTCTTTTGGGCAAGAGGGGTCTTACGGATTTGAGTGTGAGCAAGGACACGGACAACAGAGCAGTACTTCTTGATACGCTCGAGCTCACGAGAAACGGATTGAGTGTTCTCAGAGTACTTCTTGGCATACTTAGTGAAAGCCTTCTTCTTGCTCTTGAACCAGTTCTTGTAGAAGCGACGCTTGACTTCTTCAGACAAGTGCTCAGCCCAGACAGTGGTGAGAGAGCGGAGACCACGAGGAGTCTCGACATAACCAACAACACCGACAACAACCATGGGAGGAGTTTCGATGACAGTGACGGCTTCAAGAATTTCACGCTTGTGCATCTTGGAGCCAGGACGGTCGAGGTCACGAACAATGTGAGTCATACCGGCCTTGTAGCCAAGGAAGGCAGTCAAGTGAACAGGCTTGGAAGCATCGTCCTTAGGGAAAGCCTTCACCTTACCGCGAACGCGGGAAGCACGCTTACGGGGTAAAAAGCCAAGGGAACCGAGACGAGGGTGCTCGTACTTGCAATGAGACATGACAGCAACCGCTTTAGTTGGTTATAGAACAATATTTTCCACCAAAAATCCTTCACCTCAACACACTGTGACTGGTGTTCTCCTTAGGGTAGGGTGCAAGTTACATCGTTACTTAAATTATGAAGTAGTAATTGCAATAAAAAAAGACAGCAAAGAAGTTGCAGGTCTAAATAGTTTAGATTAACTTAAAAATTGTTCGTTTTTGTTCAATTAAGTAAGTTGGTAAACGTCTGGTGTAAATGCCATCTTTCATTGTAAATCAGTAAGTACCTTCGCATTTTGGAACAGTATCCTCTTGATACAAGCAAAATATACTACAGAGGAGGTCTTTTAGTTGACATTTTCAATTAATTAAGCCATATCTTGTGGTACTTTAAGGAATTTTTGCTGCTTCATAAAACACAACTTGGGGTTCTCAGAAGACAGTCGTGAAAACAAACTTCAAATTGGGACTTTTGAAAAAAAGACTATGAGAATTGGTGTGCAGGGTTGTTGCCATGGGATCTTGGATAATTTGTATTCATTGGCTAGCAAGCATAATGTGGAACTTTTAATTATAGGTGGAGACTTTCAAGCTCTTCGAAACTTATCGGACTTTCATGGTATATCTGTTCCCCAAAAATTCAAGCGCCTAGGTGATTTTCATAAGTATTATTCGCAGGAGAAAGTCGCTCCCATATTGACAATATTTGTCGGTGGTAATCATGAAGCTAGTAATTACCTCGAAGAGCTGTAAGTCTAGATTACGAATAAAAAAGTAAAAAGACTGACCTGGTTGAATAGTCCTTATGGAGGATGGATTGCTCCCAATATCTATTATATGGGAAGATCGTCTGTTATTTGTATTGGAAATTTACGAATCGCCGGCATCAGTGGGATCTACAGTGAATTTGATTATAGAAAAGGTATGTGGTTGTAGTGGTCAAATTGGTCATTATCTAATGAACATACTAATTGAGCAGGACGATACGAGCGTTTGCCCTATGAATATAAGATGCTGAAAAGTGTTTATCACACCAGAGAGTTTGACGTGCTTTCTTTAAAATCTCTTCGTCTGCCAATTGATATTTTTCTTTCACACGACTGGCCCCGTGGAATCGAGCAGCACGGTGATACAGCTAAGTTATTAAAGAACAAGCCTTTCTTTCGTAAAGAAGTCGAAAAGAATGATCTAGGATCTCCAGCATTAGAAGAGATTATCAACTCTGTAAAGCCACGATATTGGTTTGCAGCTCATCTACACACTCGTTTTGCTGCTACCGTCCATCACAATAAGATAAACCCTTCTGACTACAGAAATGTTTTTGAGCAAGGGGGCTCCCAGTCTTCAGATGAACAACAGGAAAATTCAAAGAAGGCTCGTACTGAGGTAGACACTGTACCTAATCCTAAACCTTCACTGGAAAACGGTGATCATAATGATGATGCTAGCCAAACCCCATCAACATTGACTACGCATTTTTTAGCTTTAGACAAGTGTCTTCCAAGACGATCCTACTTTGAAGTCATCGAAGTCGAACCTTCAAAGCCCTTTCAGGATGGCGACCTTTACATGAAGTATGATCCTGAATGGCTAAGCATTATCCGTGCAATGCAACCATTTCAATCAAATTCAGTGGAGCAAACCCCTTTACCATCTCTGGATGAACTACAAAAGTACGACCCGAAAGATTGTTGAACGCTCATTTTGCTTACATTATCTAGACTTATCGACAAAGAGAGGCAGTGGGTTGAAGAAAATATCGTTCAAAAGCATAAGTTAGGCATCCTTCGAAACTTCACTCCTACAGCTCCTTTTCACTCACGTGAAATTACTGACAAAATGATCCGTAAGTCTCGTCTCTTTTTAAATTATGAATTTGTTACTAATTTGAGCTCTTTAGCCGTAACCTCTGTAAACCCTCAGACTACTTCGTTCTTACAGTTAATCGGATTGCAACCTGAGGGCAATGAACCTTCACTCTCTTCGTCCGTCAAAAATGAAGACGAAATTGAGCTCTGATCCATATAGGCATTTTGAATAACATAATTACCGGTTTTAGTTTCAGTTGGCTCGTTGTAGCTAGTTGATACAGTCGATCTCCTATAGGATGGAGGAAATGAATGGAAATAGAATAATATTAACTGGGATTACAATGAGTCGGGGAGGTTAACCAGAAATGCTTCCAGTGAGCATATAGCTATTTGAATAATGGAGCTTCTCTATACCCTCTCACTCAGAAATACGCGTGTTTCTACAATCGTTGAGGATACTGGTTTTCATTCAAGCAGTCAAATTTTCGAACACATGTTCGTCAATTTGAATTTTATCTACTTATATAACTCTTAAAAGTAGTACTAGTAGAACTGAAATATGGATGCGATTATTTGTGTACCAAAGATTCGGACGCGTATATCCTTGCCAAGAACCAACCACGAGTAATTTTATCTGTGTAATTCATTATGGTTAAAAAGTCACTTTCAAACGCGAACAGCTATATAAAACAATTTGAAAAATATTCTGATAAACAAGAATTGGAAGTGATTGCCTTTTCAAATCACTTGCTGGAGGAGTGTACAAAAAAGACGGAGCAACATGACTTCCGTGATTTACAAAACAATAACTCCAATTCTACTTCTGATTTCAAGAATGAAAGTATGTTAGTGGAAACTTTGTGCCAGCATTTCTTGTCTGAATTAGAAGCTATTGGTAATGAAATGGCTGCCAATATGGCTTGCATACAAACTCATTTACAATCCGTTGACAAAGAGAACGGTAAAGATTTGTTAAATGTACTTGAACAATTATCAAAAGAGACCTCGACTGCTCAAAAAGTGTTGGAATACAATGGGCCTGAGACTCAATCTCAACTAATGCAGGGGTTATTGATGTGCATGGAATCCGATTAAACGATTTTAAAACGACTTTCATTGAAACAGATTCTGCTTGCAAGTTAATTCGTAAAAAAGGCTCAAACGAATCGAACAACGAGTGCAGGTCTAATATTTACGAGCAGTCTATATATTCAGATTTTATCCCGTGCCTTTGTAATCATTTTGAAACTGTTCTTTTAAACGACTGTAGTGTTCCAATTCCAATTCAGATACACTAGGGTTTAGCTTTTGCAGCGCAACTTCAAAATCATATTGTTGTATTCGAAGATCAAGAACATCTTGGTCCTCATGCGCATGTAGGAAATCTTCAATAGAAGCATATATATCTGAGTTTCTGACAGCCTCTTCAACCTCTGTTGTTTTCCGTTTTAAAGCTAGGGAAAGAGCATCTGCACACAGAGCATAAAGATCAGCTCCTGTTAAGTTATTTGTGCATTGCTTTGCAATAACATGGAAATCGACGTCTTCCCCTAACTTAAATTTTCTGGTGATTGTTCGAAGGACTTTTTCACGAGCAACTATCGTAGAATTGATTCCAAGATATACCATTTTATCAAATCGTCCTGGGCGAAGAAGTGAAGGGTCCAGCAGATCTGGACGATTGGTGGCCCCGACAACAAATACGAATTCGTCTGATTTTTGAACTGCATCAAGTTCTGCTAAAAGTTGACTGACTATTCTGTCCATGACGTTCCCACTATCGCTAGAATTGCCTCTTTTAGGGGCAACTGAATCCAGTTCATCAAAGAAAATTATACAAGGTGCAACATTTCTGGCTTTTGTAAAGATTTCACGCATGTTAGCTTCTGATTCACCAACATACATATTCAGAAGTTCTGGTCCTTTCACACTCAAAAAACTTAAAGATAATTCCGTAGCTACAGCTTTGGCCAGTAGCGTCTTTCCTGTTCCTGGTGGTCCATACAATAAAACACCAGCTCGAATATTTACTCCCTTGTCAAAAAGTTCTGGTCTTAGTAAAGGTAGTTGCAAAGTATCTTTCAAAATATTCTTTGCTTCCTCTAGACCTCCGACGTCTTCCCATTTTACTTTTGGAACTTTAAATTCGCCATTAACAGCTTCTTTTCTGTGAACGTCAATTTCTTTATAAATGTCATCCTGTAATATTGTAGGACCAGAGCTTTGAATTGAAAAATCAAGGTAACTATTTTCTTTAAGACGCCTTATTGCCCTTAATAATGAAGTTTCAACCAAAGCACTTAGCTGAGATAAGGAAAACGCACTCGTTGCCTTTGCTATTTCCATAAAATTAACGCTTTTTTCAATATGGAAGTCCTTAGATAGTATTCTAAGTAGTTCCAGTCTTTCTTCATCAGTTAAATTGGAAAAAGTGAATTCGTAAAAGGATTCTGCCATAATTTCCTCAGGAATAGAATCAATGTTTGTGGCGGCTCCAACAATAGCGAACCGATTGTTACAGAATGAATCCAATACTTCTTTAAAAATCGTGATTATCTGTGGATTAACATTGTTAGAAGAACCTTCAATCGGTAAATTTAGAACGTTTAAATCCTTGACAACAATAAGTCCATAAGGATAACATTCTAAAGGCTTCAAAAATTCAGTTATTTTTGAAGCAACTTTTTTTCTGTCCAAGTCAACAAGGTCGTAACAAGAAACCTAAGGATGTTAGCATTAAGACAAGTCATTGAGTAGCCTACCGAAAACAATGGAACTCCCAGGTTAGAAGATATACATGAAACAATCTCGTTCATTTCTAAAAATTTCCATCCTGATATTATGTAAAACGGGTGATGTACTGACGAATGGGGACGCAAATAGAGGGCTTTAAGCATATTGTATAGTTTTCGCGAGACAGCATTAGTTGTAACGAATGGAAGGAGCCTTTTTTTAAGAGATGGAAGGAAGCTCAAAGTCTTATTGATATAAACTTCGACTTCAGTAGAATGATCAATGAAGTAGATCTCTCCTGCTGGAGCATCAACCTCATCCATCATGAACCAAACGAACTGCGAAGATTCATTAAAAGGAACATGGAAATCATGAAAATAATTTGACTTGTTATCTATGCACAGTGTGAACATAGTCTTAGGGTATAATTCAGTTCCACGGCAAAGTACCTCCCGCGCAAAATCCAAAACTTTTTTGTGTAAAGTAGTATCCAAAGGAAAAGGGATAGAAATACATCTTAATCTTATCTTTTTCGCAGTAACAACTGTTGGAGAATCCATATCCAAAATACAACTGGTCTCATTTTCTCTGAGAAGTGAAGAAAGGGTTGGAGGCATTCGGACGACATTTTCAGCGATATCACATGTAGGAATAGCCTTGGCATAAATGAAATTACCTTGAAGTGTTTTAAGCTTGATCCAAGAGCCCTTCCTTTTTCCTTGCGAAGACAGCGATATAGGATGCAAAAAAGCATTGTAGCATTTCGCAAAGGAACAATCGGCCTCCGTAGATATGTTCAACTCTTCAACCAGAAGCTCCGTAGCAACAGATATAAAAAATGGTTCCTTTGTAGAAAGTAATGACAGGTCTTCAAAGGAAGGTAAAGGATTTGTATCAGGTACAACTTGGATTTTTACTTGGGTATGAGATGTAATGTAACCTTGTGTTACAGGGATACACTGGACAACCTGAATAATATCCGAAAGAAATTCGCCAACCTTCAAGGGAGCACTTCCTTCACGGTACAACCCAAGGAGTGCATTCGTGTCTGTGGGAACATCGCGCCAGATGCATAAGTCGACGTGGCTTAACTCGACTGGTTGAATCGCAGAGATAGAAACATTGCTTAGAACAAGGTCATCGCACTTGGAAATCTCAAGAAACGAAGACTCAAGTTTAGGATTGTGGAAAAGCTTGAAAATGCAACCTGCCTTTGGATTCGTAGAAGGGAACACAAACACGTATGGGTGATCTTTTTCAAACCCAGGAATACTAGAAAAAATCCATCCTAAATTCGCCCATGCATTTCGGGTTGGATGAAATCTCGGCAGAACACTGGCAGTAGTGGAAATGTGGTTCTTCTCCATCCATGAAATAAAGTCTCAAAAAGTTGAGTTTTAATCAATATATTTCAGCATAAAGGATCAATATCTCATATGTTTAATTGCACACTTTTTTTAAAGCTCAATACATGAAAAACCTGCTCTCCGAAAGTGGGAAGTTCAGTCAACGAAAGGTAGGTGTTTTAACACACCTTTCGAAATATGATGCAGTAAAAGATATTTCATAGGTGTAATGTATGTTGGTTGCCTTTTTTTTTTTTTGGTTGTCTTCTTCAGCAAGGATTCTTCTGAAGGGACTTGATCAGTTGAAACAGAAACGCGGGAAACGATACATATACACAAGGAAATTACCAAGTATGACTTCAATTCGAATAAATTAAATGACTTTCATTGCAATACTGATCGTATTTTTACTATAATTAGGATGAAGTGCAACCACCAATTGCTTAATTGAATTGGTGTTTTAATACACAGGTTGATTGTTCAACCAGCAGAATCTTCCCTATTGAAGAAATAAATGGAAACAGTCAATTATACACCTATACTAATTATGCCTTCTTTTTTCTTTCGTACTCTTTCTATTAGTAGCACGGTTTTGTTTTTCTGCTCTATTAATTATTTGTTTACTTTTGACTCAAGTAACATCGTACAACAATATACGCCTTAGAATTATACATAGTTGGTAATATTTCTATCATGGCAGGATCCTTACGCCGTATAATTAATGTATTTTTTAAGGAATAAACAAATCTAGCTGCATTGTTTTATACGTAGGTTGCAATTAGCTGCACTATGTGTATAGATGCTAGTAATATCCCGGAATCTATCTGGTGAGCTAAATAGAATGCAAGAGAAACGACCTCATTTAGCCATACCAGTTGAATCTCCAGTCTATAAAGGCTTGGAACGTAGATTAACGAATGTATATATCCTTTGTTTTTCAAATCAATCAGTGCATCTCATCAGGATGATTCAATATATATTCGTGTTTTATTTGCGATCGCTTGATTCTTGATTTCTGTCTCTCGTATCTCGTTTTAATTGTTTGTTTACTTAATATAATGAGACGATCCTATATGATTATGCATATCGACTAATATTCCATTACCCTAACAATGCGTAATTTCAATAATCTTAACGAGGAGCAGACAGATAATTTATACATACGGATTCCTAGATAAATAGAAGTCTCTTAAAAAGCAATAACCATATATATCTGATTCTAACAAAATAAATCATTTGAAAACGAAATAAAAACAGTCACTAGTAAAGCATAGCATCCTTTTTTAGAACAGCATTGGAACGTTTTTTCAGGTTGATTCCTGAACTGTAACATCGGTTTCCTGAAAGAACATTGCTACTCTTGCTGGTATATATCACTTCTTCCTTTAACCAGCCTCTATCGAAAGAATCCATTTCTCATTTTTTCAATTCTTATATTTTAAAACTTTTCACAGCCTATTTCAAAATCTACGTGGATTCAAACAATCAAAAGGAAATATACAAGATATAGGGTGCACGCGTTTTTGGATGTCAAACTGTAAACGCCTTAATTTCTTTTTCAAATCTCAATCTTGAAACGAATTTTATACTCTGTACATGTGAATGTTCGTTGTCATAAACACGAAAACAACTTAAACGCATTTGTCTTGGCTGGATGGACCAGGCCTAATGAAAGCTATGAAAAAACTCTCTTTTACTATGAAATTATTGTTCATCGATAAACATTTTTATGTTAGAACTACAAATTCCAAACAAAGGTAATGTTCATAACTTACTTCTAGAACGAGTTGAATTTCTGTATTTCTACCTAGCTACTGATGGAATATCAGATTGATAATCATTAAAAAAAAAAAAAAAAAAAAACGTCCAGAAATTTACCATCGTTAAAAATGGTAATGCTCGGTCAAAGAATAAAGTGTCACACAAGCGATATCTTAAGCTACGCAAATAACCTCTTCCTTTTTCTGAATTCTGTGAAAGCCTTCTTTAATAGCTTCTAGATAATTACGATATATTCATTTTTTTTCTTTTTCTTTTTTCTTTTTTTTGAAACAAGTTAACGAAACTTTCGCAATTCAGTCTTCAGTCATTCATGAATGGATGGGTCAAATTTAAGTGATGTGGGTTTTGATGCACATGAGGATTATTCCAAGTCACATTCAAATGTGTGCATTCCATGTGCACTAGGAACTTGCTTGATTCATTTTCGTGAATTTTCGTCATCTAGCTTCGTTGATCCGGTTTCTCTCTTTTGCTTAGATACGTATCCGAATGCGGATCGAATGCAATCTTCGAGTGAAGTCATTGAACCTCAACGGAAAATAAGAAATACCTCTTCCTCGAATCCATTTCAACCTTTTCGTGCCATTCCGCATCCTACCCCGAATTATCCTTATGCAGATGTTTCACCCACCGAATCCAAAGCTAAAGACAAAGAGTCATTAAGTCCTATTTTGAAAAACAAATCAAACATAACTGCACAAGAAAGAGAGTTTTCTACTTCTTATCTCTCAAAAAATGATTCCATTCAAGCTTCCGCCTTGAATCCCGGCTTTTCTGAAAAATCCAAGTCATCATCCCAATCTTATTATTCACCGTCTTATTCTTTTCCTTCCGAATTCCCAGAGGAGCATAGTCCGTATTGTAACAGGGAAACTTCAAAGAATCCCAATCCATTGACAAGAACTGCTGTCGCGATACCGTCCCGTCAACAAGTCAATGAAGGTTCGTCAACACATACCCAAGGAGCTTCTTTAGAAGAACATACGGATGACCTTGGATTTGATGATTCTTTATCTTATGCCTATATCCTGAATCCTACTTCCGACTCAGATGTCGATTTAATACGCCAATACTTTATTTCAAAAGAAGGATCCTATTCTATCAACGACATGCATATAAAATACGTCTCTGCGGATCCTAAGACACCAATCATGTACATGGTCGATCCGGCCTACGAGCCGTCCAAGCAAGTAGCTCGGTATGAAAAGCTCCAAGAGATATTTGAATTTCTTGATGCAACGGTTGACAGCGTCCTTTCCGAAAAGCTAATCAGCCTTTACTTCCTCTATATTCATCCTACATATCCAGTTGTTCACCGTGAGCGATTCCTGTTATTATTTAAAAATGCAAAACATAAAATATCGCCAATTTTGTTGATGGCCATGTATGCTGCATCAATCCTTTATTGGAACGCAGATGAGTCCTTACGTGATTTCCCTCGTGTGGACTCAAAGAAACTTTGGGATATGACTGAAGAGTCATTAAACCAGTCATTCTCTTTACCTAGATTAAGCACATTACAAGCAGCTGTTATTTTCCTTGTCGGCAGACCATGGATTAATGTTGCTGGTAATTGGAGTATTTTGACAAGAGCCGTTGCTTTGGCATTAATTTTGGGCTTTCACCTGGATTGTTCCGATTGGCAAATTCCAGAAGAAGAAAAAGTTTTAAGGATTCGAACTTGGTGGGCCCTTTTTATCAGTGAAAAGTGGCTTTCCATGTACATCGGCATCAATACAAGCATTCGACAGGATGACTATTTGGTCCCTCCCTTGAGCGTTACTCAGTTATTACCATCTGAAAGCATGTATGCTGATTCATTCAAAGTATTTATGAAGATGTCAGAGTTGAGTGTTTTCTTACAGACAATCCTTCAAAATCTGTTTACAGTGAGGGCCGTCATGAGCATGTCAAAGAATAGACGTAGTGTGGCCCAGAAAATTACCAAATACCTCGCTGAGTTGGATGAGTTTACGAAAGCGTGTGAATTCCAAAGAGGTACACCTGGCGTATTTTCCCTGTACTTACAAATCGACGCTTTGGAACTTTTACTTCGCAAGACTGTTCTTAAAATGAAATTGACAGACTCTAGATTTCAAAATGATATGCTGGTTCTCGTTGAGCGATGTATTACTAGATTTTTATCTCTAGATGAAGGATTATCTACAGACTTTTTTTGGCCTTATTCTCAATTCTATTTTTGCATTCTCGCATCTTCTATTATAAAAATGTATTTAGACTTTGAATTTAATGAAAACTATAACACACGAATTATGGATTTACTGACTCGCTTTACAAAACATTGCGTATGGCTGAAACGCAGAAATTTTGATCTTATTTTCATGGCATATAAAAGACTAAATGCTCTGCTATTGGAACTAAGCACAGACCGGCCACCTATAAAGAAGCTATTGCAAACAGCATTTGAAACTAAGAAACGAACTTTTGAAGCAACGATGTGAACAAAAGTATTTCTCGGAGAAAGTAATGAATAATGTTTTTCTCTTTATTAACTTTGTTAATTTAATTATTTCAATGCGAGAAGGCTTGAAATTCTTAACTTTAATTTGTTTTTGATAACTTAATAATATTCATTTTCATTGAAGAGGTCCGCGTTCTATGTACCTACAAATTTTTTTTTTTTTTTACATTGTCAATGAAAGCACGACCAACCTTCAGCAGTTTCTTTTCTTTTGGTAGGAATGACAAAAAAAGTCTCCCGAGCCAGATTCGAACTAGCGACCAACCGGTATCTCGAACATTACAGCCGGGTGTGATAACCAACTACACCATCGGGAGGTATCTGACAGAGTCATTAATTAGAATAATATATTCTAAAATGAAATAAAGTTGAGGAGAGAAAACATAGAATGGAATTAGAAAATTCTTGACCATCATGATTTATTTTATCTTTTAAAGGCGTTTTCGCTTCGATCTTCTTTGTTCACCACTCATTTCTTATTAGTTATAAGGCAGCTAGTTTTAATTAATTGTAATATCATAGTAATGAACCTTCGTTACTTGGAAAGGTTACTTTGAGCAGTGTTTACATTGTGTTTATAGTATACTACGAAGATTTTAGTAAGCAGTATTCACTATAATATGAAAATAATGCAATATAGGTCAAGGTATCTAAAGGTTTGTATGGATTTGTTCATTATGGAAGACTGTTGATCCATTACCGAAGGAACAGAAACTACGAAAATGTGGTATGGGTAGTACAGAAAGGAAAGAAACAAAGAGTCATAGCTGCATAAGACCGAAATTGTGTAAAACAATGGACCTGCTTTGAAAAATGCAGTTACATCCATCTGTTTGGTAGCATCATCAACATAAACACACAAGCTCGACATTCCTGACAAGTGAAGGACCTTTTCATATGTAAAAATCGAGATTAGATTCGCAATAATAAACATTCATTCTGAGTCTGAGACGAAGCTTTTATATCCAGGTATAAGGTATCACCCAAAAGGAAGCTCATAGAACATCTATCTAAAATATCTTTTGTAGTATAAGACTGAAACAGGTATCTCGCTTTTTTTTTTTGTAAAGGATTCCGAGATTCATTCAATCAAGTACTTTGTTACCCTGTTACCCACTCTTCATGCATCTAAAACACAAGGAAATCGTGCCGTAAGCGTCAAATAAACTTGCCAAATACATAAACCACTCGTATTGAAAATGTCTACTGCCGGAGCTACACCTCGTAAGTTTGAAAAGTCAAAGTGGGAAACGTTGATTGCTAATGGTTTGGTCATGTAGAAGAAACACTGGTTGCAGCATGCCGTACTGATAATGTGGATATGCTTGAAGAAGCTGTTCATGGACAAGAAGGACATGAGGTTGAATTTATTAATCAAACGCGTGACTCGTTAGGAAATGATTGTTTGCACGTTTGCGCAAAGTACGGATCAGTCAACTGTTTGGACTGGATTTTGGACATCTCTGGAATTGAATTAAATCACCATTCTCGTATGACTGGTGATACACCATTGCATGTTTCTGTAATGTATTTGAACAAGAATGAGGAAACGGCTTTGCAAATGGGTATGTAAAACTCAAAATCCCGAAACTGCACTTGTCCAACCTTACGAACTGTTTCTTCAATCCAAACTCCAAAGATAATTCGGAAGGAGGTTGTTGCTCGTAAATTCTTTGTGTTTTTTGGTATCACTTCGTTTTGCTATATGCTAACCTCGTACTAGTCGAAATGCTGATGGAAGTCGGTGCTGATTCTTTAGCTACGAATAATGACGGTTTCCGCCCAGTTGATCTCGTCCCTGGTGATTATCGTGAGCGTTTTGGTGCCGCCTTGGAGGGGCCTGCCCCAACTTTGCAATACAGCGCAGATGCTGTTGCTGATGATGATGATGAAGGTGACGAAGGCGAGGGATCTGAGGGCTCCGAGTAAATAGGTTAGTTTACTGCTCTCGTAAAATTATCCCCCCAGATAATGGTCTTCTTCGTCATGTTATCTTAGAATGAACCTTGTCTACGAATATTTGAAACTTTATCTTAGAGACTAAAGTGTCTTTCATCCCTTGTTGTGGGAACTGTTCTTTTTCACGGAAATTGGTTTCTTTCAGTTCGTCTGTCGTCTATCTTTAAAACCATTTATCAGCACCACTTCATATTAGCTTCATGGTCGTTCCTGTAGAAGAAAGCTGGCGTGGCTTTGTACACAGTTTATCAAGAAGGGGACACATCAATTTTCTTGTTCTTGTCCTTTCTTTATTCGATCTTTTATGAATTTCTTGTCTCTTTTAGATATCTCCCTTTTGTTAATGTTTAAATAAGATTATCTTTCCTTACTTCCTTTGCGCTGGAAACGTCGTCCTTCTCTTTCATAAAGCTGTTTTTATAAATTGAATTGCACGAATTTCCTTGATCCATCTGGCATCATTGGATATTTGTTTTCGTATGTGTTTCATAAGAATCACCAAGGTAGAGGCAACAAGATACGATTGACGAACCTCTTGTTTCAATTTTCAAACAAAAAATAAATATGGAAACTTGTTCATGTATTATTCTTTATTGGTAAGACTATATATACTTCAAGCGACGCACAAGAAACGAAAGCTAAATAAGCGACCTCCAATTTCGTCAAAGCTTTCATAGAATTTGGGTTTTCTTTATTCCTTTACTTATACCTTATAGTATTTTTTTTTTCTTTAATTAGAATAGTATTAATCCTCGCATAAGTACCTCTTGGTTCCACTTTCATTTGTTCACACATTTATTTCTACTTCCTAGACCTCACTTCCTTTAATGCAAGAAAAAAGTATATTTCAGGGTCAGAATGTAGTAGAATACAGTGCATCTGACCCATTGCTTTTATTCATAGTTCAGGTACACGTTTAGTGCATGATTTTTCGTTTTAACAACTAGGCAATCCTTATTATTGGTTTATCGCGTATTCTTCACTTTCCTCTTTCTTATTTGCAGCAGCCAAGGGTCATCGCTGAGGTGTAAGTTTTATGATGATGTTACAAGGGACAGATAGAGATCTGGCAGTTTCGTACTACATTCTGGAATGAAACTTGTTGAACTGTATTTAACTAAATATTAGAATTGGGGGAATTCTTTTGGGTCCTACTGCATTTGGCAGGATTCCGGGGTTCTTGTCACACATATTTCCTGATGAATCTATGGGACCTCTTAATCTCGTTTCCAACCTAGGCTTAGTCTTGTTTCTTTTTGTTATTGGGATGGAAGTCGATACTAGTGTATTTGTCTCCAACTTTAAAGCTACTGCCTTGATAACCCTAAGCAGCATTGTGTTTCCATTCGCTGCTGGTTCAGCAATATCAGTTGGGATGCATCAGTTTACACCTAATTCTAATTTTGGAGAGTTTCTTTTATTCATTGGAACAGCTATGTCAATTACAGCTTTTCCTGTACTGGCTCGGATTCTTTCTGAGTTGCATCTTCTTCATCGCCGACTCGGTGTCATTGTCTTAGCAGCTGGTGTTGGAAACGATGTTGTAGGTTGGATCCTTTTAGCACTTTCAATCACATTGGTTAATAGTGGAACAGGTGTTCAAGCTATTTACGTCCTGCTACTAGTTTGTGGTTGGTGTGTCTTTTTGTTCTTACTAGTGCGACCTTTGTTAAGGTACTTGGCAATAAAGACAAGATCGTTGGAAAAGGATCCATCAGAGTTATTCATATGCATTATCTTGTGTTTTGTACTGATTTCTGCCTTTTTTACGGACATCATCGGTGTGCATCCTATTTTTGGGGGATTCCTAATGGGGACGATTATTCCTCACGATAATGATCTCACAATAAAAATTACAGAGAAAATTGAGGATTTAGTCGTTTGCCTACTATTACCATTGTACTTTGCTAGTTCTGGTTTAAAAACAAATATGGCAACTTTGAATGATGGCAAAGCTTGGGCATACACCATAGCGGTGATCTTAATCGCAATTTCCTCCAAAATATTATCAAGTGCATTGACTGCGCGTTGCCTAAAAATGGCATGGTCTGAATCGTGGGCAATTGGTTCTCTCATGTCATGTAAAGGATTAGTGGAACTAATCGTTTTAAATATCGGCCTTTCAAGTGGAATATTAGAAGAAAAAATATTTTCCATGTTCGTGGTCATGGCTGTCGTAACTACATTCGTAACCACGCCGATGACTAAGTTTTGTTTGCGATTCCTTCACTCTGGCAGCGAGCAGACGGTCGCCAACCGCAGAGGTAGTTTCTCTGAAAGTTGCTTTTCAAGTTACATTTATAAAATATGTATATTATTCCACCAGCCATCGGCGGCATCAGCTGCTATGATTTTTACTAATTATTTGGGTGAGAGCTATAATCGCAAGAGTCCTTTACTCTCTATGCCTGTGATTGAAATGCAAGGAATTTCAACAACATACTTAGAATCTCGGACATCTGCTTTATTGAAAGCGTCGCAACTTTCCCATAAGTTCAGTAAAGAAAATACGCTAGAAATGTTCAAAATATTTGTTCGAATAAATGGGTTGAGGTTCAGCGAAGATCACATATTTGTGGATGACATGGATTTCGCTGATGTTATTCTTGAAAAGCTTAAACTTAAAGAAACACAGTTGCTTATTGTACCTATCTTGAAAGAAATAGATATCGAGTCTTCTTCAAAGCCAACTTCACAATTTCCTTCTTCCATTGAAAAAGCTTTTGGGTCGTTTGGTCAATTTCTTCGATTTCTAAAGGCTATTAAACGGGGAAATGCCCCATTCAGCATGTTTTTAACACAAAGGAATTCTGAAGTCCATACCGTACACCATCAAGGGAAATACTCATGGGATGGGTCCGTTGTCCCTTGTGATAACGAAAGCCTTGAATCTATAAAAATGTCTGAAAAAGTAGACGCTATTGAACGCGTTACAGAATTAAATCAGGATAGTGAATGCGGTAAAAAAACACTTATTTTCATTTTCACAGGCACTGCCAATGATATGTTGGCATTGGACATTTTTTTAACTTTACTTCACGACAGTGAAAGCACGGCAATCATCTATCTTTTTGAGGAATATCAAGTACCTTTGTCGGATATTAAACGGCCTGAGGCGGCATACTCATTTGAGCAGATATTCTCAGATGAAAATAACCAAAAAAAGGGAACATTCATACCTAGATTGCGAAAGAAGATGAAGATGCAAGAAAAACAGCCTTCGAACGCTTCTCGGAATTCTAGCAGTTTACCTCAACTTAGAAGTTTTTCCATCTTTGAAGCCAAGTTGGAAAAAGTACACCCAAGTATTAGATCAAGGATCCGTTTTATTAGATTCTCTTCTGAAGATCAATTAGTTTTTGGTATTCAAGAGCTTTTTCGAGGCTCAAATATGTTACTAGGGAACCAAAGAGCTCAGTCATTGATGATTTTGGCAGGTTGCGAAGATGCGCCAGACTCACAACTAGGCGAGACAGGCGATGAAAGTTTCTTTTCAAGGAATAAGGAAGGTGAAGTTATTTCTAATTATGAGCATATATTCGGATATTACGTATCTCGCTTGCTCTTGGAGTTTCCATTGACTGATTTTTTTCTGGCAATGAACTCTCGTTAACGTTTATGATTGTGAATTTTATTGTTTTATTATTTATGTAAGAAATTGTTTCTTTATATAACCTCCAAAGAACAGCACACGAACCAAGCTTTTTCTTCTAACCTCTATATCATGAGTAAAATATAATATTGTATTACACATGGATCTTAATATGATATAAGAGACGAAAGGAACGAACCGAGGTGAATTGTTAATAAATCGAGCCATTTTTCTTTTCTTTCTTTATTTTTCTTTTAAATAGATAGTAAGGGTGGAACTCGATAAGCGAAGCATATAGTAGGATAATTCTCTGCGTTTGTTTACATGTTCATTTCTTCATTATTCGAACAACTCTTTCGCATATTTAAAATCATGAATAAATGCATTCTCTTTTCGTCTCTTTTATAACGTTATACAGATACTCTGGATTCAATTCTCTAATAGAAGCGGACTGTTAATTGAGAAATGTGTCACATACTTGAATTCACTACCAACGAGGTTTGCTTGATTTCTCGGTAACTAGAACGGTTTTTAATAGCAATTGGCCTTCAAAAACCTATAAATATGTACAAGGAAATGATTATAAAATAAGAAATTGACCTTTCGTGGAAGTGGATCTTGGATTTCCAGATTGTGGGAGAAGGCGAGCGAATTTGTTTCTCTTACTATTATTTTGCTTCTCTGTGATTTTTCGTTTAAATATTGAACTTTGTTGGTCGTCTCATCTCGGCCTATGGTAGGGATCTAATGCTGAACATCTTGAAGTTAAGGGGAATTCAACTATGCCAAAATCGCTCCAGTATCTATTCTTATAATCATTCTCTCTATTTCTTCCTATAAGTAGTTTTGTATTAACTTTCTAGCCTTTTGTAAATTTGTGATTGTTCTTGTACAGCACGGTCGGATTGTTCAACTTATGGAGGTGGAAAGACATATATCATATATCCAGGATGTTTCAAGGAACTTTTCATAATGAATACATGCTAGAAGCTGAGAGATTCCAATATGGAAGTGGAAATTCTACTTGGTTCGAATTTGAAAATTGGCCCTTGAATGGATAGAATCCGAGTCTGAGCATCTAATTCAGGAAGAACGGCTTAAATAACAGAGAATTCTTTTACCTTTTATTCTACTTTCATTCTTTTTCGAAGCCGAAACTTGTGCCAAATCGTCAAGGACGATACAGACTTCTCAAGACGATCGCTACCGAAATTTTTGTCCGTAAGAATTTACCTCCTGGAGTGTATTATTTATTTTTAATTTATTTAAATTCATCTTTCCAGACTCAGCATATTTCTGCTCTTGTGAAAAAGATGTCTTACATACTTACCTACTTGGAGCCTACCACTACTCATTTATGTAAACAAACGCAAAACAGGGTTTTTTGGTTTTGTTTTTCCCAAGTGTATAAAGAACTTTTATTTAAGAAAGGATTTTATTCTGAAATTTCCCTGGTTCTTCCTGTTATTACAAATTATCACGTATTCAAGGGTGTCTAGGACTTGGTTTCATAAGCCTTCATATTCAATTCTTTCAGTATTTTTTTTCTACGATAAGATTGTTTCCTAGTTTTTGCTTCCAATATCAGTGCTTTTCCCTTCCGGTCTCCGATTGAGTACTTGAAAAATAGAACCTAATTTCTCCTTGCATTTAAATCACTCTGCAACTTTCCTTTAGATACCCTTTACTTTTTCGAACACACATTCCATTCAGCGGACGAGAGCTGAAAGCAAAACGAACAATAATCCGCTTGGAAGCTAGTAATTACAAAAGTCATCCTGTTCCTCTTTTTGATACCTATCTAGACGTCCGGCATTAGGATATATTTTTCTAATTTGGCTTTCTTTTCCTTTTTTATGATAATTAAACTCACTCTATAATTCCTTTTTTTTTTGATTTACGAACATGCAACCCAGCCATCAGGATACACCACGAACCGTTGATGGATCGTCAGTACCCGCCCAAAAGTCGATTCCAAAAGAAAAACTATTACCATGCAAATATCGAACTGGCCGTGTTTTGGGCGGCGGGAGCTATTCGGTAGTCAAAGAAGCCGTTCACGTTGAAACAAAAAAGTTATATGCAGCAAAGATTATCAACAAGAAACTGGTAGAGAAAAAACCCGAGTTTGTAAAAAACGAGATTACCATATTAAAACGAATTTCGAGTGGACACCCCAACATTCTGCGCCTTGTTGACTACTTTGAGACAGTAAATAACTTATACCTAATTACTGAGCTTGCTACTGGAGGTGAGCTCTTCGACCGCATTTGTGCTCAAGGATCATTCTATGAAGCAGACGCCGCTAGACTCATACGCACAACTACCTCTGCCGTTAAATACCTACATGAAAATGGAATCGTTCATCGTGACTTAAAACCAGAAAATTTACTATATCGATCGAAAGACCCAGAATCTGAGCTCTTGATTGCTGATTTTGGATTATCTCAATTCTATGACGACTCGCAATATTATATGTTGATGACCGCTTGCGGAACTCCAGAGTATATGGCACCTGAAATATTTCGACGAGTTGGCTATGGAAAATCTGTGTAAGTAGTGTATTCCTTTTAACTCTTGTCTTGTTACTCCGTTTACTAACTTTATATATTAGAGATATTTGGTCTATTGGTGTAATTACTTACTTCTTGCTATGCGGATACTCCCCTTTTGTGCGATCTTCACAAGTAGAAGTTATTGAAGCAATTTTGGCGAACAACTATGGTTTTCACGAAGCTTATTGGTCCGGTGTCTCTTCCATTGCAAAAGATTTTATTCGCAAATGTTTGGAAGATGACCCGGCGAAACGGTTAACTGCTACGGAAGCCTTACAACATCCGTTTCTTTCTATGAGAGGTTCGACAACTGCAAATTTGCTTCCGAAGGTCCGTGAAAACTTCAATGCTCGAAAAAAGTTTCGGAAAGCTTTTAATGCTGTGCGAGCCTTTAATACTCTAAAGAAAGACATTGAACCAAAGTCCCGCTAAAACAAATTTCCATTTATATGTATATTTTTCTGCACGAACCTTGTATATTTTTCTGCACGAACCTTGTATTACGTTTCATCATGTCTATTTCCATTTTAAATTTTATGTTCCTTAATATCATTCTTTTTGCATGTATGACTTTTACTTCGTGTTTGAACCGTAGAAAAGTTTATATAAATTCATTGACACATAACTATCATATAAAACCAACCAGTATATGTCAACAAAGCCTAATAGCTGTTTAGCTTCTATTCCCTGATTGTAATGAAGCTGGAAGAGAGGAGATATATAAAAAAAATAAAAAAAAAGGACAGAACGAAATTGACATATCAAGTAGAGGGTGAAGGACCCTTTTTGGTAAAAAAGAACGCAAAGTAAATTTCGTAAGTGAATTCCGTTCGACACAGAAAACAAGCAACTTCAAACCAAGTTGGAATATTAAATAAATAAGCGAATTTGATAAAGCAGATAAATATACATAACACCCTAAGCGGAAAATACACTAACGGATCCATCGGTTTTACCATCAACCAAAAATCGATCTCTATATTCAAGGTATGTAGGAGTGACTTCGCTGAGAACACTATTATTCAAAACACTTTGAGGATAATCACCACAAATCCATGTACGATGTGAATTAACATCAAAGATTCGGATATTTGGATCTTCAGCAGCAACAGCAAGCCGACCCTCGCATACTTTTAAAGATGATACACGCTTCTCCATTGGTATTATATCCAAAGGTGATCCACTACGTAAATCCCAAATACGTACAGAGTTATCAAAGCTTCCGGAATAAAGGTAGTTGGAGTCGAATTGAAGAGTACTAACTGGTGCGGTATGTCCAAGGAAGCTTCTCACGGGTAATCCAACTCTTAGATCCCAGATGCGAATGAGACCATCTACAGTACCACTAGCAACGGCAGCATCTAAGCAGTCCAAAGCACCTATAAATGGTTCATTTTTAAAAGGAAAAGTAGGATCGTTTATTATGTTTAGATTCGGAGATGGATCTTGTGTATTGGCCCAAACAAAATCTAACGTTTGTATGCATCTACCTGTAACAATGTCCCATTGGCGAACTGTTTTATCATTAGCACCAGTAAGTAAAACATCATCAGAAGACAAAGTGAGAGCTGTAACAGGAGCAGTATGTGAAGACAAAACAGTAGTAGCATTATCTGTTGTATGATTTTGGGCGTTTACACCCTTACCGTCAAGTTCATTAGAAGATTCATAGTCAGTATTTTGAAGAATTCCATTTTCTAGGTTCCATAAACGTACACTGGAGTCCATCGATCCCGTAGCAATAAAAGAATCCTGCATGGCTAAGCAGGAGACAAAATCTTCATGGCCCTCCAATTGCCCCAAACAAACCACGCCAGCCATATCCCATACCTTAACAGTTTTGTCTAAAGATGCGGTAACGAGATTACCAAATGGGTGAGAAAAATCTAAAGAAGTTATAGATGAAGAATGAGCTTGGAACTGCTTTACTGGCGTTCCCGATATGAGGCTTAATGTCGTCGGTTGTTCATGTTTTTGTTTTTCTTCGGCAACAAAGGTGGCAGATGAATTTAAATAGTCAGAAGCTAAATCATTAGAAACAGAAGTAGGAGCAGTTCCAGAAACATCTTCTTTGCTGGCTGTAGTTGCTTTCTGGGAATTATTGGAATTATATTGAAATGCCCCTGTTGCAGTGGTAGAGTCCTGAGAAGCATTACCTTCGACATAATCATCAATTAATTCCTTGGAATCGACTTCCAAAACTTGCTTTTCCAAAGATGTTAACTGGGAGTCATATTCTAAACATTTATCTTCTGCGTTATTTAACTGGTTAAGGACTTGTCGACGTCGCGCGTGCAATTTAGATAGCTCGGCATCAATTTGCACAAGTTCACTTGTATGTACGTTTCTGCGGACGTGAAGTCGTCTGCAATAATCAACTAGAAATCGATGCTGAGAAGCGGGAGAAGTATCACTGCTTGATGCATGGTTTCCACTTGAATTTTTTTGTTGTTGTTTCAAAGACGCAGGGTAACTCGTTCTTGATAGACTATCTAAATTTGTTTTTGACACTTCATACCCGTCTAACAAACTATATGACGTTTCAGAGTTACTGGGAATGTCACGCAGAAGACTTTCCGGTAATGGAATTGATACAGATGGCTCATGATGGATTTGCGACGTTAACCAATCACCAAACTTTGCCGGTGTTAACTGTGGTCTTATGAAAGGATGGGACAAACTTCTTAAGAAACGGGTCACAGGGTTGACGAAAGGATTTGAAGGATTGCTTTCAAAAAAGCTCCAGGTCGTAAAAGCAAGTACTTTAGACCAATAAGAAACACCCTTTTGCAAAGTCGTCGTTGGAGCTGTTAAATAAGAGGATTTGGGCCGCTGCTGAGAACGCTTGTCCGATGGATTTATGTTTGAAGATCGATTTTTTGGTATTTCCATCAGAGAAACGTGTCAGAATTAAGCTTCAATATACTTGAAAACCAGAGGAAGAGATTCTTAATAGACTTGACGTTCAAGCGTTTGGTTACGGTTAGTGACAACTCTTTGCACAGTGTCTTCTTTTTCGTAATAAAAATGTGATTTCGTATTTAACATAGAAACATGCAAGACAACGGCGGCATTCAGAGACAATGAAAATTTATGGACAAGAATCAAACAATCGATTCTAAATAAACCTATATAGACAAAATCGACCGAAAACTCAGTTTAAATATGTTTTTCGGCAAGCTTATAGCTTTTCCTGTTCAAAATACGCGTTTCTTACCGTAAACACTGGCTTTTTCTGGTCCCAATAAATATAGGTAGAGGATGCGTAAGTTTACAGGCAAAATGACCCTAATAATATTACTTTAACCACAATGATTCTAAGATATACTTAAGGTTTCTTTTTATTTATTAAGAAATAATAATGAATGTTCTTTCTGTATGTCTGAATATCGAGACCTTCCTTATTTTGGTAGCAAGACTAATGAATTCACACACTTTACCTTGAGAAGAAGCTCAATATAAAAAATATTCAAATGATTAATTGCAAAGGCCAGTTGAAACTAAGATCAGCAAAAACAAAGTTTGGCCTTCTAATGTATCATGTAAATAAAGAAACCAACGGAAATACGATCAAAAACCCCAAGCTCAGGCCGACATAAAATAAGAATAAAGTATTGAAGTAAATTAGGATGAATATATTCTACGGCTCTTGTAGCAATTATTCTTTTTAATTTCACATTCCTTTTTTTATTTATTTATTTGCCTTTAAAATGTATATAGAAAACTAAATATAAATATGATATACTATATGTCCTAACAACTCCAGTCCCGTTTAGCTCAATCGGCTTAGAGCGTCCGGCTTTTAACCGGAAGGTTGCGAGTTCGAGTCTCGCAGTGGGAGTTCTTTTCTTTTTGGAAGATTTTTGTTTTATGTACCGTATCTATGTGTTTGTTTATTTTTTTTATATGAACTTTGACTACCGAAAGTTGTACTTGATTCTTTTTGAGCAAAATACAAAGATGCCACAAATAGTGCTACTTGTTTTCATCAATAGCGAAACTATCATGGCGGAAAGAACAGTACTGTAAAAAATACTTACGAATATAGATCTGGAAAAAATAAATATACTCTAGAAGTTATATGGTTAAAAGATGATTCGTATTTGTGTTACGTCTATGTCAATCCATAACTGTATCAGCTAATGTAAAAGAACTTTTATATTTTTTTTGTTTCCCCAGAAACAGGTTTCATACTCGAAAGCAAAAAACAAAAGGAAAAGAAAAAGAGGAGCCATTTGCGTACAAGACACTCCAATTCAGGGTCATACATTTTTTTGGAATCAGGAATCAAAGCTCGAAACAATCTCACCACATCATTAATAGTCCATTGACTTATAGAAAATTTAGCGACATGTTAAACAGCAAAATCGATATTCGGCGGGTTAGCTGTCTCTAAAATTTTACCTGGAGCAGCAATGTTGCCCGTTGGGTGGGGAATTCCATCGGAAACAACAATTTCTTCAGGAATACCAGAAGGCGATATCTTCCACTGCTTATAATCACGTCGCTCTTCAATATAATCAAATGCATATTCACCAATTTGGTCAGCATCAACACCAATTTCTTCCGCGTCAGGTGTAACACGAAGTTGGAACCAGGGGATTTTATCAGCAATAAATAAAATGATAAACGTAGCAACAAAATCATAAGCTGCAACAGCACATATATAGGCCAACTGCAGTCCCAATTGGCGCCAGTGATGATTGAACCATCCACCTTGAATGGCATTCTGACCCACATAGCTTCCGTCCATAGCTGCTATATAGTCGACAGCAAAAAGACCGTTCAGAATTGTACCAACAAAACCAGCAACACCGTGAATAGCAAAGATATCCATAGCATCGTCGATTTTCATATGACTCTTTAACAAAACGGCCCAGTTACAAATCAAACCGGTGATGGCACCAATTGCTAAAGAAGCATGAGGACTTACGTATCCTGAGCAAGGCGTTGCGGCAACCAGACCAGCCACTACACCAGAGCAAAAACCAATGGTGGTCCATTTTCTGGTTTTAAAAATGTAATCATAAAGAACCCAAACTAGACCCGACGTGGCAGCGGTCAAGTTTGTGTTTGTGATAGCCATTGCAGCACGAAGGTTAGATCCATAAGCACTTCCACCGTTAAAACCAAGCCAACCGAACCAAAGGAGAGAGGTACCCAATACGACGTTCAGTACAGAATGGGGACGATATTGTTCAGCCAAAAACTTGGAACGACGGCCTAAACATACGGTGTAAGCCAAAGCAGCAAAGCCAGACCCTACCTCAACAGGTCCACCACCGGCAAAGTCATACACCCCCCATTTATAGGCCCAACCATTCGGGTTCCAAATCCAGCAGACTAATGGACAATAAACGACAGTAAGCCAAATAAATGTAATCAAGAGCATAGGACCAATACGACCGCGTTCAGCAGCAGCACCAGTAAACAATGCAACCGTAATAGCTGCGAACATTCCTTGAAAATTTGCGAAAACAAGCTCTGAAATGCTGTTGCTTCCTGGCGAGTAGTCTGCCAAGGTTCGAATGAAGGCAAAATGGCGAAGATTGCCAATGTACCCAGAAGTGCCAGTTTGAGAAAAGGCAAGGGAATAACCCCAGAAATACCACTGAAACATAGTGATACTAAGACCCAGCATAGAGAGCATAATCAATGCTAGCGTATTTTTGCGGCGAGCAAGTCCCGAATAAAAAAAAGCAACGCCAGGGACCATAATTAAACACAAGCACGTCGATGTGAGCATCCAACCGGCGTTACCATTGTCGAAAAACCTGTTTAGGTCTTCCTGTCGGACATTACCACCGCTACCACCAGACGGCGTTGCAGATGGTGCAAAAGAAGTTATGTAGTTTGTCACCACTTCTTTCAACACCGGACTAGCATCCAGAGAAATAGGCGTGGGAGTAGGAGCGTTCATATCAGTCATGTCTGGCGAGAATAAGAATCACACAAAACAGACAAAAAGATTAGTAACAAAAATGAAGACGTAAATGAAGAAAGGAAAATGAATTACGGATTGAGGAACAGGTATTTTTGGTGCCAAAAAAAAAAAACAAAAACAAAATAGAAACAGTTAGTAACGTAAAAACCAGCAACGAAAGACGAATAGATTAGGAATGCAATTAATCGAATGAATTCTTTTTTTTTTTCTTTCTCGCAATTCTTTCAATAATTTATAATTTTCTTTTAATTATTTTTCGTTTGTTCAAGGAGCTTTTCGACCTTAACAAGGGAATTTGCTATGATGATATTTCAATTGATCTTTTTGATGTAAAGCTCAAACAGTTTAGGGTAATGCCAAATTCGACAAAATCCAATGTCAGAATCCGTTTTATAAGGCTTTAAGAGCTCTCATAAGCCAAGAATATAGGAGCAATAACTTCAATGGTGGTGGCTTTTCTTATCGTAGTTTCTATAAGGAGGAAGGACAGGTCATGAAATGAACGAGTGAAAGGAGAGGCAAATTTTTACTGTTAAAGAAAAAGTAAGGGGAGAGGAAGAAAAAAAAAACGCAACATAAAAACGTTATCAGATTTTAGGATACTGCGTTCATGATCTTTTGGTTGATGAAAAATTTTCTTTCGCACTGATAATGTTTTGCGATGGATCAAGATGTAATAAAGAAATAGACGCAACAGCCGTATATAGGAATTGTAAATCCGACAGCATGGAAAAACCAAACCAATCAGACGAGTCAGAAGCTGAACAACAAGAAGCCATTGAATTCGCTTGCGTCGTAGTTTGATGTAGTAGCAGTTTGAAGGGTTGATCTCTTACTTGAATAGACGAATCAGACGAATCATAGAAAATTTCGCAGGACAGATTGTAAAAGCACAAGCGCTAAAACCCAAGAGAGAGGAAGGTTGAGGAACAGAATGTGAGAGGAATTGGTTTCATAGCCTAGCATAGCCTAGCATTTCGACAATAGAGATCTCTTGTTTTACCATGTTTCATAATAATCGTCAAAGGGAAACAAACGAGAAAAATAATTTTCAACCTATGCGAACAGATGACAGAATGCACAGTGCTTGAGTTGTTGGTCCTCTGATAGATAGGCTTCCAATTTCGTTGTTTGTTTACATGGCAAAGCAGCCAAAAGAAAAAAAAGACACAACGAGGCCGAGGAAAAAGGACGAAAATGATTCTTGTTTTGTTTCTCAAGAAACTGGAAATGTCATAAAGGTTTCGTGAACTCAGCAAGTGAACGATAAAAAGAAGGGAAAATAAACACAAGAATAATGATATGGTACCAACTTCACAGGTTCAATTTGAGCAACGTTTGTCAAAGGTTTTTAAAAGTAGTTTCACCAGAAAGTTTCATTCATTGATTTGGAATGAGTCTCAAGTAAAACGAGTGGTCCTTTTTCAGGTCAATGCATATTTAGTGTTATAGAAATAAGCAAGCTTTTTAGTTTCATATGTTTCGTTTTTCTTTTTTAAACATGATCAATGCTGTAAAAGTGTAAGAATTCAAAATAGAGGATTCATTAAGTCTCATGAATATATCTTATATTACCAAGTTGATTCTGAAAGAGAAAATGAGAAGGCCCATTTCCACGTTCCATTAGCCCTATAAAAGAACGAGATCCCGGAAAACGGAAAAGAAATACTTCCTATACCGCTTCATCCTCGTATCAGACAAGACGAGACGTCTACTTGCAGCATTTGACATCTGTTCGGTTACAGCGGTTCCCTCTTCATGGACTTGCTCTTCTCATTTAGTCCTCTCTGAAAACTTTTGAAAGTCCTCTTCATTCATAATATTGTTCAGCTCGTCCATTCGTACATGAAACGCTTTCATTTCAGTTTCAAATCTCGTAAGCATTTGTTCTGTCATTACGAGCGACTCATCAATCGAACGCATTTCTTCTTTTTCTTTTTCTTCATTTACTTTTCCTTCTACTTCAGCGTTCGTCTGTTTCATAGTGGTTCCATCCTCAGCTTCCTCCTGCTGATATTCCGATTGCCTATCCCTCGTCTCTAACTCCGTTTCGGAAGCATGTTTCTTTTCCATTTTATCTATAATATCTTGTAATTCCTTTAGATCCATAGCGAACCTTTGTTTTTCTTGTCAATCGCGATGATACCTACCTTCTTTTGGTTCTTCACAGCTTTTTGGAGAATTCAATTAGGATTCCAAATATACACATATAAAGAGCTCTTGATTGATGAACTTTTCACTTCTACCACTAATGTAGTCTGGTTTCACTGAATCTGTTTCTTCAATGGAAATGAGTTTACTTCCAACACAGAAGGTCCGTTCAAATTCTTAAGCAAACCCTTCCCAAGCCGACTCTTGCATTTTCTTCTGTTCTTTTACTACATAAGCTGTTTTCTTTTCTTCTTTTTTTGGTCATTTCTGTACTCGCAGACTAAAAGTCATCATTGACTTTCATACCAAAACTCTCCTCTTATTCGAACTCCTACGGTAACAGCAAAGTTAGTTTTCGAAAGAAGAATAAAAGAATTGAACTCTTGGCCTTTTTTAATTCTGGACGTTCCTCCTTATCATTTGCCTTATTTACAGAAACTCATCCGCTTTTAATTGTTGAAGCATACAGTTCACAAATATTTGAATTGAAAGGTAAGATTGATCTTCTCTCTCCCCTTTTTTTATTTCCTTTCTCTCCCGTCTTTCCTGCGTTTTTACCATTATGGCTCGCTCTGGTCTACAAAAGCAAGTTCTACACTTTTATCGCCGATGTCTTCATGCTGCTAAACAGAAGGACCAGGTAAGCTACAAACCTCTAATTTACCATCTTTTCAGGCTCCCTTTTGCTAACAAGTTTTTAGGCTTATCAAGCGCATTGGCTTGAATTTGTGCATACAGAATTTCGTCGAAACCAACAAATTCCAAGAAATGAATTCTTTTATATTGAGCATTTACTAAGAGTTGGTCAACGCCGTTATGAAACTTATTCTCGGCCAGAAGTGAAGGACATTAATTTGACTTAATGAATAATCCATCCTGGTTTGCGTATACCGGTCATTCTACGAAAATATTAAAGAACAAATGCCGTGATGAATGTCAATTAGTTTTTGCTTATTAATGTTCATTCCATTCCCTCACATTCTCCTAGTCCATCTACTATGCTCTACTTCAAGTTTTGCACAAAAATCTTGCATATCCTATCTTACCTTACTCACTGTTCTTTTTCACGATCAAGTATAATTTTATTTTTTTAGCCCAAAAAATAACTGGGAAATTATATCACAAAACATTTCTCAAAATTCAAACATACGTATTTGCATGATAATTCATTGAAAACACTCTTACTTCTTGTCACCTTCAGTAGAACTGTTACCAGATTCATTACCTTCATTTTGATTGTTCTTGTAAACAGCTTCGAAAACCTTAAGAGAAGCTTGTTGAAGTTCATCAATCTTCTTCTTAAGGTCCTCACCAGTGATGCTTTCATCACCGCTGTTGATCTTGGCAATGTTCTCACGAACTTCGGCAATCTTGGCACGCAAGTCTTCAACACCTTGCTTCTCAAGCTTGTCCTTGTGAATATCAAGGTTGGATTCAATGTCCATACAGACACTTTCAGCACGGTTACCGTTTTCAATAGCGTCCTTACGAGCCATGTCAGCAGCACGGTACTTCTCGGCATCAGCGACCATAGATTCAATTTCAGACTCAGTCAAACCAGAAGAGCCAGCAACAGTAATGGAGTTGTCCTTGCTGGTGGCCTTGTCACGAGCAGAGACGTTGATAATACCATCAGCATCAACATCGAAAGAAACTTCAATTTGAGGTTGACCCTTAGGGGCAGGAGCAATACCACCGAGTTGGAAGTTACCAATCAACTTGTTGTCACGAACAAGTTCACGTTCACCTTGGAAAACACGGATCTCAACAGCAGATTGGCCATCAGCGGCAGTAGAGAAAACTTGAGACTTACGGGTGGGAATGGTGGTGTTACGGTTGATCAAACGAGTGAAAACACCTCCCAAGGTCTCAATACCCAATGACAAAGGAGTGACATCCAAAAGAACAAGATCCTTAACGTGACCAGACAAGACACCACCTTGAATAGCCGCACCAATAGCAACAGCTTCATCAGGGTTAACAGACTTGGCGGGTTCACGCTTGAAAACGCTCTTGACAGTGTCCAAAACACGGGGCATACGGGTCATACCACCAACGAGGATAACTTCGTTGATGTCAGTAACTTGTAGGTTGGCATCCTTCAAGGCACGCTTGCAAGGGTCGATAGTGCGGCGAACCAAGGGGTCAACGAGCTTTTCGAATTGGGCACGAGAGATTTCCATGTTGATGTGCTTAGGGCCAGAGGCATCAGCAGTAATGAAAGGAAGGCTAATATCAGTCTTAGACAAGTTGGAGAGTTCGCACTTAGCCTTCTCAGCAGCTTCACGGATACGTTGAACAGCCAAACGGTCGCCAGTCAAGTCGATGTTTTCGGTGTTCTTGAAGGTGCTAATGATGTGACGAACGATAGCAATGTCGAAGTCTTCACCACCCAAGTGAGTGTCACCGTTGGTGCTTCGGACTTCGAAAACACCGTTGTTCAACTCAAGAATGGAGATATCAAAAGTACCACCACCCAAGTCGAAAACAGCGACAATAGCATCAGTCTTCTTATCAAGACCATAAGCCAAGGCAGCGGCAGTGGGTTCGTTGACAACACGCATAACGTTCAAACCAGCGATGGCACCAGCAGCCTTAGTAGCTTGACGTTGAGAGTCGTTGAAATAAGCGGGGACAGTTACAACAGCATTACTAACACTCTTACCGAGGAAGTCACTAGCGGTTTCCTTCATCTTACCAAGAATGAAACCACCGATTTGAGAGGGAGAGTATTTTTGACCACGAGCTTCTAACCAGGCATCACCATTTGTGTGTTCAATAATCTTGAAGGGAACTTCCTTAGTATCACGTTGGACTTCAGGTTCCTTGAATCTGCGGCCAATCAAACGCTTGGTAGCATAGAAAGTATTTTCGGGATTAATAACAGCTTGGCGCTTAGCACTAACACCGACTAAACGTTCACCATCCTTACTAAAAGCAACAACCGAAGGAGTAGTACGAGTACCTTCAGCGTTGGCAATGACCTTGGGAGTTTCACCCTCCATGATAGCCAAACAAGAAGTGGTGGTACCCAAGTCAATACCAATTACAGGACCACGAACCTTTTCATTGGAAGCATCGGTAGAGTTCCAACGAAGGCCAGATCCAATACGAGAGGCTGCGGCACCAAATCCAGCAGCAGAACGCTGTCCTTGGAGTCGTAGTCCATTCCGGACCACTTGAGTGATTCTGGGAGAAATCATCTTTTCAATATGTGGAAAGCCCTTTTCTAAGAACTTACTAACTTATTTGCCAATTATCCACGCGGAAAAGTGTTTTCTTACGATATTAAAAACCTATCGTTAAATTAAATATGCTATGATTAAAAGAAAATTATTGTTTTTTTAAGAAAGTAATCGATTTGATCGACTTTTCTTATTTCTTTTATTGCGGATCCGACAGGTGGGTGTTTGGCTTTGTCTAAGTTAAATATGTGGTAGAAGAAGACGAGAATGTTCCTTCGTGGCGGACCCCCTCCTCTCACGTCCACTCACTATCAGATGCTCACATCTGAAATCGAGTCTCACCCTTACTCGAAGCAAAATCGAATTCGGGAGAACATTTCTTAACGGGACGGAAAGAAATGGGCTGGACGAATAAAAATGCTCAGAAAACTCTAGGAATGAATATAGGAAACAATACCATGTAAACAATAAGGTAGACAGGATTGAATTGAAGCTTTCAAGAATTTCTTATTCTTTTTGAATTTTAGTTGTATTTTTATAAGAAAAAGGTAAAAACACTTATAAATGCATTTGTCCGTCTGTCCATCTATAAAAAAATCTATAAGAAAAATAGGAAGATCATTAAATAACTCATTAATAACTGGGGAAATCTACTATTAGAAAAAATAGTAGAAATCGAAACAAAAGATGCGAATAAAAATAAAAGAGCGCGTTCAAAGATTACATGTGGTTTCCGGGACTTATACAGGAACAACCCAAAATGAGAAAGGATAAATTGCAGAGAGGGAAAAAAAGAAAAAAGGGTGGATTCATGCCTTATTTCATCACACGCCTAGCAGTTCCAATTTGGGTATTGTTGACCTTTGTAGCAAAACGTAAGCTGCACAAGGTTTCCGACACATGCTGTTGGACTGGGGATACGTTAACAAACATTAGCGTTTTGCTATTTCCTCCTAGTGAGTGCTGAAGTAGATTTGTTAGTTTGGAATTTCGGTAGGGAACATATGTCCCTTCTTTCTCGTTGCCTAAAGCATGGATTACATCTCCCAAACAACTCAAGCTTTTGTTGATGGCTTGTGTTTCTTTCAGCCGATCCCCGGTACTTTGACTATGCGACAACCGTTCTGATCCGGCCAAGTCAATCAGATTTAAGGTACTCTGACATCTTTCGCCCGTTAAGTGATTCACTCCTTGGATGTGAAGCATAAATACAGAGTGTGATCTAGAAGAGTGCTCATTGGCATTTGTTGCAGCCACAAACCGATTTTTAGCAGACCGTTCTAAGAGCCAACTCACTTGCTCCGAACTTTCCAAAGGTTCCCGGGCCAAATTAGTCACAAAAGTTCTTCCCTCTTTTGTATCATGGTAAATTTCATATCTTCTTTTGTCGCCATCATCATTAGAGTTGTTCACTAATAAATCTTTAATGGTTTCATTGTAAATTTCAAGAAACTGGCCTTCCATCCGATACTCCCACCCGCGTTCGCGAAGAGTAAAGGCCCGGTTGTATATCATTTGTACAGCACATGGAATCATACCAGTAGGAGAAGACATAGTGTACGTCTTCCCCGAACCGGTTTGCCCATATGCAAATATACAGACATTATAACCATCCATAGCACTTTGAATTAGCTGGGAAATTTCATCAAATATTTCTTCATTATTAATATCTGGAGCAAAAACGCGATCAAACTTAAATGGATACTTTTTCAAAGAGTTACCAGACAAAGAACTGCCAGCCCCTTCTGTTAAGACCTCTATTTCATTTGCTTCTCCTCCTTGGTCTGGATAGCTTATTTCAACTGGTTTTTCTTCCCCTATACAAGGCCGGACACGACAGAATACTCGAATGTTACCTTTCAGCTCTTGTATGGTGTTATGTAACTTTCTTCTCAAAGATTCTTCCTTCAGGAGCTTGTTAATCAATGTTTCTTTATCGCTATTACTGGCGTCTAGAAGTGACTCCACCTCAGATAACCGATTCTGCAAATTCTGGTTCTTTTGCTTTAATTCAACGACAGTGCCTTCTAGTGAGCAATTCGTCGATTCCAATTTTAGGATTGTTGCATTCCTTTCATCGATAGTAGTTTGTAATGAAGTGCTGGTGTCCTTTTGCATTTTCAAAGAATTTTGTGTTTGCTCGAGCTCAGATGCCAAGCTATCACAACTTTCTTCCAGAGGTTTAATCTTCACTTCTAGCTCTCGTATAGTAGCCTCGTGCTTCTCAGTGGTTTTCTTTAGGGCTAGCGATGCACCTTCTTGTACCTTTTTGATAAATGCGTCCTTTTCTTCCGTAGTGGATTTTAATATTGCTTCATGTTCAGAGGTGATACTTTTCATTAATTGTTCATAATGGTTCTCAATTTCCTCTATCCTCTGTTTAGATTGAAGTTGTAAATGATTTTGCTCTTCTGCATATAAGATCTCCTGCTCTTGTAGCGTTTGCTTCCATCGGTAATTTTCACTTTCCAGCAATCTTGTATGGTCAATCTCCATATCCTCAATATGACGATGATGCTCTCGCTCCACGTTTTCAAGCGTTGTTTTCAGAGTTTCCATTTGCTTTTTTGAGACAATTTGATCGGCTTCATGCTCTGCTAGTTCACGAACAAGAGCCGAATATTCATTCTGTAAATTCAATGATCGGTTTCTTTCAGTCTGTAGTGATTCTTCAAGCATTTGAGTACGCTGGCTAAAAAAATCTTTCACATCAGGTGATTGAGTAGACGTTTGTAATACTTTCTCAGCAAGTTTGGCATAAGCAAGCTCTATACTTCTAAGCCGAGCTTCAGTAGAACTATCTGCGGTTGGAGAGGGATCTGTTCTGTCATCTGAGTAAGTGGTCATACTTTCATCCGAAAAACTTTTTCCATCATCTATGCTGCTTCTTGAGGATGGTGCGGTACTTGCGGGTTTCTGTAAATGAGAAGATGCTGAGACGGAGCGCTTATACACTGATTTCCCAGTAGGCCTTGAGGTACTTGATCTACTAGCAGAGGCAGGAAGCCTTGTCTTTATTGCAGGTAGAGATGTCCTTCCAGCACTTGCTGGAGGAGGCATCTTGCTAGGCAATTTAGTTGGCTTTATTAGGTTTGCTTCATTATTTAAAGTAGAAAGGGATGCTCTTGGTTTTAAAACACGAGATGATAAGTTAGTTTTAACCGATGGAGGAGGGATATGAGAGTCAAATTCCTTTATTCCTATGCGTGATGGCGACAATGATTTTGAAGAAGTTGGTATACGTGACTATACTAAGAGTTAGTGTTTAATCTTTCATTTTTATATTTCAACTTACTTGTAAACCTGTACTTCTATTTTCCTCCATAATTTTTTACCTTAGAGTATAGGTACACAGCATGTATTATGGAGTAGGTGCGTGTTCAAAGCATGTTGGAAAACAGAATCATTGAAAGCGTAAGAATATTTTTATGGAAAAAATTAACAAAGAAACTTTCTTTAAATTTTAATAATATTCTACATCCTTGGAGGGAGATTACTTTTGAAATTAATCGATACGCGTGGCATTCATACAATGATATGTCTCATATCTAAACACAAATAGCCCATTAATTTATATTACCTCTAGTAATAAATGTTAGATTCCAATTACTTTTTCTCAAAAACCTGAATATCTAAGGAAATAATTTCTATACATGTGAGTTCATAATAAACATTAGTTAAAGTTGCATGGTTTGCTTAACCAACCAACAACATTTTCTAATCCATTATAGTCAAGAAGCATCTGCTTTCAACACTCAGCATCCTTAATATGCTGCTGCCACAGCTTGTTTCCTGCTATCACTAATAGCATACAAGGTATTATTTGACCGAAAAACTGCTTGAATTTCACTGAACGGAGATTGAACTGGAATTAGGTCTATTACATGTCCAAATTTCTCCAAAGCTAGCCTCACTTCATCTTCAACAGTTTCATCAATGTATGCAATATTTGGCATTAACTGATGATGAAATCTAGGACTCTCGATGGAATCCAATAAAGACTTGTTCCATTTGTATTTTTTTATGATCGTGTCTAAGACGGCAGTGACGATACGACTGCCGCCGCTGCCACCCAAAACCATCTCAACAGTTCCATTATTTACAAGAATGGTAGGAACAGCAGAACTTTGTGGTCTTTTACCAGGTTGAATAAAGTTATAAGGCGAGGGGCTAAGACCGAAAGCGTTGATAATACCAGGACTCGCAAAGTCATCCATATGGTCATTCAGAATGACACCGGTTTTTGGTTCCATTATCTGAGCTCCAAAAAGAAGATTTATTGAAGCCGTCAAGCCTACAGCCATATTGTCTTTATCAATCACTGAAAGATGTGTAGTTCCATGATCTTGGGGGAAATCATATTCTGCGTGGTAATGAATGAAATCGTACGTATGGTCTAGAGATATATTTGCGCGAATATCATCTGCATGCTTCTTGGAGAGAAGCTGAGCGACGTGTTCGGAATTGTCAAAGAAAGTTGGATCTCCTAGTAAAGTACGGCCAGCAGACATCCATTTCATAGTCTCAATTAATTGATGAAGACCCAAGTCAGTAATTTCACATCCTAAGATGGAAGATCCTCGAGCGAAGTCAAACTCAGACAGGATATTCAGACCCAATATTAAGACCTCACCACTGCAAGGAGCCCCACAAGTAATAACTTCACGACCTTCAAAGCTTCCATATACTGGGTTTTCCACGATGACTGAAAAGTTAGCCATGTCTTCCATGGTGAGAATACCACCTTCCTTCTGAACGAAATCTACTAACCGCTTAGCGATGCTGCCTTTATAGAACACTTCAGCACCATATTTACTGATTTCTTCGAGGGTTGCAGCCAAGGTAGGGCGGTAAAATTTTTCATCAGCCTTTAGAAGTCGTCCATTAGGGGCATACACTTTGGACCAGGTAGGATGAGTTTTGAAATAATCAAATTCAGGACGACGAAGACGTGAAGCTAATTCTTTGGGCATAGGCATTCCATACCTCATAAGGTTTATTGTGGGCTCAAAAAGTTTAGCCCAAGGGAGTTTACCGTACAGCTTCCATGCTACTTCGTAGCCGGCAACCTCTCCTGGAACAGCGACAGATAAACCACCAACCTGAGAAACTTCTGGATTTCCATGAAACATGTCTTTATGTGAACCTGAAGGAGCTGTCTCTCTAAAATTTAGTGAGTGGGCTGTTCCATTAGGATGCCGAATCAGCATAAATCCTCCACCACCAATCCCACTGGAAAAAGAATTAACTGCACCAATACATATGCCACTAGCAATAGCTGCATCTACAGCATTACCACCAGCTTTTAAGATATTAGTTCCAACTACGGAGCATGTGTGTTCTTCCGTAGCGACTGCACCATTCCTTCCTTCAATAACAGTTTGGTGATCTCCCTTGTTTTTATATTTATGAAAAGGTATTTCGCTAACTGAATGAAAATCATCAAAGCGTACAGGCCAAATTTTCAGTGAGAAAATAGCAGCAAGTAGAACGGTAAAAATAACCAATAGCGATGGACGGGATGACCTTTCTATTGAATTTGTTTCGTTATTTTTAGAGATTTTTGATGAAAAAGACTGAGACTTTGAGGTTTCATTGGGTTTACCAAAAACAATAGACTCATCATTTTTCTTACGAGCAAACGAATTTGATTTCATTCTTCCAACGAGCCAAAGAAACAAATATAAGAGAAACTTCAATGTAAGAATAGCGTAGATTTATAAATATTCGCGTATGTCTTGTTTTTGCCTGACTTTATTGGTTATATGAAACCATGAAGGAGAATCACCAAATCTCTGCCTAAATTAAAAAAAAAAAAGTGTCGCAAAACGATATCCAAACTAAAAAGACTCTTTTACCTTAAATAAGGCATTGAAGGTCGACGTTTCGTTTTATACTCTCGAAGGTGCAAGGTAAAGCAACAGTGGTGGTGTATTAGGTAAAAACAAACAAACAAAATTTACATAGGGTCGCGTTCAAATCTCTTATAATCGCTTCATTTTTTAGAGCTCCAGACCAGTCAGAAATAGAAAATAAAAGGAAATGAATTACGTGAGCAACGATATGTTTCATGTTTTATAACATTGAAAGGCTAGTTGATTTCAGAAAAATGAGTTAGCCGTTTCCAAATGTACGTTAATTGAAACGGTAGCAGTTCTTTTTTTTTGTTTACCTTATTTTTTCTCTTTTTTTTTATGACTTCTTTTTTGAGAACTCAACAAGTTAAGCGATTGTGCTTTTAAAGTTTTATCGTTTTGTCAAGGCCATCAGCATACAATTAGAGATCCGAATCGTGTAAAAAGTTTTAAATAAAGTAAAACATTCATATAGATGACGCTGAGAAATTTAGAGAACATGGATAAACCTAAAGGCTACCGTAATTTCACACCTCCGTCGTTTCATTATCCTAAAATTATGTTTAAACATTTGAAGGTTGCAATTTTGTCTATTTCCAATGAAACCTGACAATGGACACGGTAGCATCTACAATGATTTACCGCCAAAAGTTTCTTTTCGCTTCATACGCGTTCAAATTTGTAAAACGAGGTAAAAATTAAAGACATTCCCTAATTTGAGTCATTTATAACTGCTAGAGAAATAACAAAAGCACATAACACACCGTAAAAAAAATCTTGCCTCGTATCATGGACAAGATGGTTGTTTACAAGTCGCGAATTCCTCGTATGCGTCAACATGAGTTCATTCGTCTTAGAGGTCGCTAAAACTCCTTATCGGCTTGTTTACATGAAATTACATAGAAAATGGATGAACGCATAAGCTAATGAATACAATAGTACAGAATATCATATGTGAATGAAATAAAAAGCCTACTATGCTTTATTCATCCGTTGGTTCTTCGCCTTGCTATTTCCTGAAAACTGTTTTCCTAAAAATGAGTACACATTGTTTGCCAAGAAAACAAAGGATCGCTGGACGAGAATGACATTATGTAGAAACAAAAAAAGACCAACAATTTCTATTTACCTAATAACAATTCCAATGTCATTGATTTGTGGAATAACAAACAATTAAACCTGGCTTAAAATGCAATAAGGGTATTCAAATACTTTTGGAATTCAAATTACCAGATGTCCCGGGTAGCTCAATCGGTTTAGAGCGTCTGACTCTTAAGAAGGTTATCAGAAGGTTGCGAGTTCGAGTCTCGCCTTGGGAGTTTACTTTTTTGAAACCTGTTTAATCCTAATCTTATTGATAATAAACATTTACAAAAAGTAAAATTATATGGAGAAGTTAAAGTTGCAGGAATTGCACACAGCGAGTCATATAGAAACAGAAATGAAAACTTTTCGTTGATTTTAGATATTTTATAGCACAAAATATGCATTGAAATAATCTAGATAGAATTACCATAAATTTCTATAAATAAGGCGTTGACTTGGTAATCATGAAAAAGTAAAGATGACATACTGAGCTTGCCATTGTACAAGAAACAACATCATCCAGTCCAAAAATATCCCAATGTTTTATATTGTAATACTCTGCTTCCCAACATTCTCCAGTCGCTAGCCTTAATCCAGAATTCAGAAACAATACGTAAACGATTATATATGCAACCACCTTTCCAAGCAACAATCTGCGCGTCTAGCCCACGAGGAGGTGGTAGCACAGCAACGTTTGGAATGTTTGCTCGCTTGGATTGCAGTCGTTCCTCCAAAAGGTGCGAAAATCCAGGAAACAATGCACCGCCTCCAACAATCAATATACTAGAGTATAAATTCTTTGCCTGATCACCCAAGTTTCCTTCACAAGCACTAAAAATACTTTGATTAATGGCATCATCCAAAGGATAAACGAGCTTCTCCTTGATTTTCTCTGGAGAAGCAAGGGACCCCAAATGTACCACCCTTGGCCTTTTACTACTGCTTAGTTCATGTTTCGCAGAATCTTCCAAAGACGCTTCCTCTTCTTCCTTAGACGATAAAGGAGCAGAAATTTGTAACAAGGTAGTCTGTGCAAGTGACTCTGGATTGTTAGGCTGGTTTTCATAGACATCGACGGGAACAGGGAAAAGCTTGTACCTATCCTTCAATTTTCTTCCATTTTCAAAAATGTCCGGACGAAAATATCCAAAAGGAGTAAGGATTGTTTCATCAAGAACCTTAAAGGAGTACTTTTTAGTTCCATCATCTGGAGTACGTGAATGAAAGTCATTTAACTGAATATTATAAGTTCCTTGGCTAATGCCACAGTACTTTTCCTTTAAGCTTTGCATCAAGTTCCAGTCATAAGGAAGGGAAAGGTCCATTTCATGATAAGGGAAATGGCTTTTTGTCAGTAGCTTTGCGAATAATAGTGTTATATCATCTCCTCCGTACTTGATATTAATTCGCGAATTTGGTATTACGATACCCTCTTCCACACAGCTTATTGACGTTTTCTCGGCACCGACGTCAACAACACAAGCAGAAGACATTCCAGCACCGAAAGACGTACATAGGGACTCTTGCACAATGGCGGTTTTTCCAAACTGAAGGTCATAAAATAAAAGGTCTAAGAACCTTTCTATATAGATGCGATCATAAAGGTCCGAAACTATGAAGATGGCAGAGTACTGGGGTAACTGCGAAAGCGGTATTTGTAACAGGTCGGAGATAGAGTACTTCAATATCTCAAATATATCTGAAAGCAATTGTTGAGAAGATTCATAATCATTTTCATTAAATAATCCATTTCTTATTGGATAGTATAGTCTATATTCCGGGTATTCTTTAGTTGGAAGTAGTAAAGCCTGAACTATTAGTTAAGTTTCATTAAAACATAGCTTTGTATAGCATACCTGTTCACCGATTAGCACGTCTGGTCGTTGGTCGTTCTCAAACCGTGTCCAATTCGGCTTTTGAGGATCTTCGTGAGACGGAATGACTTCTGGCTTTGATATTTTATTAAAGTTCTTGACGAGCTCTGTACCATTGGGAACAGGACGATTTTTTTGCGCCTTTAGTCGAGCCTTTAATTCCGATTGTAATAATCCCAAATTACTTTCAAACTAAAAAGATTAAAGCAGGTAAGCTACTATTGTCCTTGGATATTTCTGGCGGAAAAAAACCAACTTACTTGTTCGTCAAATCGCAGGCTGCGATCCTTGCTTTCTTTGCACTTTTCAGACAATACGAGGTGAGAATGTTCAAAAACAGTGTTCATTCTTCTAGCGACAACCATGGGGACTGTCTTAGGGGAGTGATCTGATGCTAATCCTATACGAAGATTTTGGGATCCTACATGTATAACCACTGTTTTAGCATCTCTCTACAGCTCCGTTAGTATACAGTCTTGGTTGGATTATGAAATTATGAGAAACAGTACCTGTTCTCCTTCTTGTGTATTTTCTTCCATGCCATCCTCTTCTTCTTCGGCAGCCTTTTTTGAATCTTCTTGTTTGACGTCTCCTATCGTTGTATCAGGTTCTCCATCCTTGGCACTAGCCGTATCTCTCCAAATGTACATTTGATCATCTCGTTTCAAATAATCTCTTCATATGTTAGTACAACCCACCATATAGACATGACATACGTATAGAAGTTTTTCTGATTGATGGGGGGTACGATTTGAAATTGCGTGAATTTAAAGTCAATTCCTTCCTCCGTATCACTTTGTTTTCTTTTCGGTGCCATGATGGTACATAATAAAGCAGATTTGTGCAAATATCAATTCAGGCAGTAGGTGTTTGTACTGTACAATTTCTTCCCCTTCCTCCTTGTTGAGGAAGTGACTGAAAGTTACAAGGTTGAGTTGTACACAAAGTACAAGAGAAAAATGAATGAAATAGTTAGAAAATTTCAAGCCAAATATGTTTTTCTTGCTAAAAAAGTTCCAGCATAGTCATATCGGTAAATAAACGAAGATGACTTTAACACCAAGCCTTGAAGGAAACACAAAAAAAAAAATAAAACAAAGTAGGAACAGTATTATTGAAAATATCTCTGAGAAACAATTATCCACTATAACCTTACCTACGACGTCCAAAGCTATTTGTTTACATGCGTACTCAGGGATCATGAACCGCTTGGAAAGCTATAACCGGTCCTCAACATATTCATATATCGTTATTCTTCTTTCTCTTTTTAAAAAATTTCTTGTATTTTACCGATTGCTTTGGAAGAGAGATTTCGAGTATCAAATCCTTCCTCAATGGAACATATAAACTTCATGATTGAAACCACCTGAAATCCTTATAGGATTTTTTTGTAATTTTTAATTAACTTATAGTATATAAATTATTTTAGCTCGCATTCTCCTTGTGACATAAAACGTATTTATTTTTAATTATCCAAATATGTTTATTTACTTCTTTTACATCTACTTCTCTCATTGCTAAAAATCCTAAATAACGTATTGCTGCCGTTCACGATATACAAAATAAAGAGTTAGTAAGAGGCTCTGTAAATAGCAGCTTGTACTCAACAACATACACAGTCAGCTTTGACACCCATCTACAGAGCGCGTCTATTTCAATGGTATAATGGTATGAAGTGGTCTTTAACGGAAAAACTAACAATTGCAGTCAAATAGGAGGCAAGACTATATTCTGCGGGTGCGATATCATAATCCGCTTCCTCCTCCACCATTTCCTCCAAGGCTCATTAATATCTCAAATCCTGTCAAACAATATGCTTTGCCAAATTTTGTGTCAAACCTAATACAAGAAAAGAAAATTGCTATTGAAAATGATGCTGAACTCGGAATGCCCATGGACTTAGCTGCTGTTGATGGCTTCTTCGAAGGCGATACGTCCTGGAACCAATCCGACATGTCTGGCATGAACTTGGAACCAGTTGACCGCTCTTTGCTCAAAGTCGCAGGTGGATCCGGTTCTTCTCATGTCGAAGTTCCGTTTTTACGCCGAACTGAGTATATTTCTGCTGAAGTGGGTCGAAATAGCTCGACCCGTGGTAATTTGCGATTGACGGCTTCCACGAGCAAAGCAATTGCTGAGCAGCGTGGTCGGTCGCTTCGTGAAATTCCTAATCAGATCCAAGCCATCGAACAAACATTTTCGGCTGTACAGCAGCCTTTGGAAAATTTAAAGCATCCGACGAAACCCGAATTGAAACCTGTCGGTGCCTGGAATTTTTTGCCAAACGATTCTATGGCTGGCATTCAGCATCTTATGTTACGTGTTTCTGATAATCTTACAGATCGCACGCCTACTTCTTCAACGCCTGGAGAAGAAGATGTTTCGAACCGACACAAGGTCGCTCTTTTTATGCCTTCTTCCGCTGAGGGCGAACAATATCTGTCTTATTACCTTCCTTCAGAAGAATCCGCAGAAAAAATTCAACAAGCCTCTAACAATTCTTCCTCAACTGAAGGCCCTTTCTTGTATAACTTATTCCGCAATTTTGACGCCTCTATGCTTGTAAATCCTAGTGGTTTAGAAGATTTATGTCTAAGTATCTGCACTGACCAAGAAAATCCTAAAAACAACAAGGCTTTATACACTCCTATTTACGCTCGGTCCACATTAAAACGACGACATGTTCGTGCTCCCGTCAATCCCGACACCATTGATGGTATTGAGTTGACATTACGAGAACCGAACAGAGAAGAAAGTGTCCAATTAAAGCGGGCTAGGTACGATTCGTTTGCAATGGGTGATGTGGAAGCTCTTGAAAAGGAGGAGCAAGAAATCGCTGAAGAGCAGGCAGGAGAAGAAAATGAGCTTAATGAAATTGAAGAGCAACACCAGGACGAAAATCCTTTACCAAATCCTTCAGAAAATCCTCAACCATTGCCTACCGAGGAGTCGGGGCAGCTTTCCACCAAAAATGAACAGAAGGAAGATGAAGGAAAGGAGGAGGAAAATCAAGATCAACATAATGGACAATCGGAAACTATTAATAATGAATCGAATGCATCTGAACAAAATGAGCACTCGATTCCTGTGGAGCGAAATCATCAAGGAGAGCAGGAAGAACAAGTGCCCGATACGACCAACGAGGTTGAAGCCTCTGCTCCTACAGCAAACTCGCCCTCTCATGTGCCAGAATCATCTTCTACTTCTTAATTATATCTAACAAAAATTTTGTACAATCGTTTCCTAGTGTCAATGAAAAAGATGGATTTATCTGTGCTATGCGTATCCATCTGGCACATACTTTTTTCATAGTGTTACCTTATACATTAAATGGCATGAAATCTACTAAATTCCTGTAACCTACTATTTCCATTATGATCTACATTCTTACACAAAAATGCATGTATGTCTGCTTTGGAAAAAAAATGATATTTTCTTTGCCTTAACGGTAAGATTTTTGTTGACGAGCACGGGCACCGTGACCACCGAACTAAAAAAGTTAGTAAAAAAAGAAGAATATAACGAGTGACAAAGCTGTCGTTTCGGAGACTCCCTAACAAATCACCTACCTTCTTGGGCTCCATACGACGAGGATCAGCAACCAACAAAGTACGGTCGTAAGTGACGAGGGCTTTCTTCAGCTCAGCCTTGGAGTGCTCGTCGATGAACTTTTGGTAGTAAGCAACGATAGCTTTGGAGATGGATTGACGGATCGCATAGATTTGAGAAACATGACCACCACCAGAAACACGAACGCGAATATCAACGCCGGCAAACTTGTCAGCACCAGCAACCAAGATGGGTTCGTAAACTTTCATACGCAAGATTTCGGGTTGGACAAGAGAAAGAGGTGCACCATTGACCTTAATCAAACCCTTACCGGCCTTACAGTGAGCAACGGCGGTAGCATTGCCCTTTTTTCCAAAGCACTGAACTGATTGCATGGTTGGCTCCAGTAGGATTATTACTTTACACTTAGCAAACTATACTGTGGTGGTGGTGAAAAAAGCAGTCACACGTTTGACCCACAACGAAAAAAGCATCCACCACAGGGGTGGAACTTATCCTCTACACCAACACACCTGAACCACCATGGCAATCCACGTTAAAGGACAGTTGCCCAACGCTCACTTCCACAAGGATTGGCAACGTTATGTTAAGACCTGGTTTGACCAACCTGGTCGTAAATTGCGTCGCCGTCAAGCTCGCCAAACCAAGGCTGCTAAGGTTGCTCCTCGTCCCGTTGAGGCTGTTCGTCCTGCCGTTAAGCCACCTACTATTCGTTACAACATGAAGATCCGTGCTGGCCGTGGTTTCACTCTTGAAGAACTCAAGGCCGCTGGTGTTTCTCGTCGTGTCGCTCCTACCATCGGTATTCCCGTCGACCACCGTCGTCGCAACCGTTCTGAGGAGTCCTTACAACGCAACGTCGAGCGTCTCAAGGCTTACCTTGCCCACTTGATTGTCTTCCCTCGCAAGGCTGGTCAACCCAAGAAGGGTGATGCTACCGATGTTTCCGGTGCCAAGCAAGCTGATGCTAGCGCTCTCTTCCCCATCACTCAAGAAGCTGCTGAGGAAGCCAAGCCCATTACTGAAGAGGCTAAGAAGTTCCAAGCTTTCAACACTCTTACCAACGAGCGTGCTCATGCTCGCCACCTCGGTGCTCGCATTGCCTTCGCCAAGAAGCGTGCTGAAGAAGCTGAGGCTAAGAAGAAGTAAAATGTTTGTAGTAATTGGATCAGTTTGACTTGGAATATAGGAATGCATGGATCTTGTAATTTCTCAAAAATTTTATATGTAAATGTAGCATTGTTTGATTCTGTAAGCTATAGGGAGCAAGTATTTGAGTAGATTATGTCCAAAAAAAAACACTATGGATGGCTATCTCGTCTATATCATTGCTAAACCTTCGAATTTTTGTATGTGTTTAATCAATTATATTTATGTATTGACAGTATTTTGAGCAACCTATGCTCTTCTACTGAGCCTGTATACCTAGTTTCTGCCTTGCTGTTTTTTCTACGCTTTACCATAGGTAACATAACGTAACAACGAAAATTTCGAACCAAAAAAGCAGTCACGGTATTAAATTAGTTGCCGCCAGCAACTTCCTTTCTTTGTGCCCTCCACCAACAACAAATTCAAGAAAATGGCAGAGGAAGCACCGGTAATCAAACAAGATAATATTTTTGAGCCTGAAGTTATTCTCAAGAAACGTAAAGTTAATGAGAAGACTCGTCTAGAACGAGTAGAGGCTGCTCTTGCTAAGAAAGAGGTAAGAAATAATTGATAGTTGAGATAAAAATCAAATTTGAAAAGGATGACAAATTCACTCACTCGATAGCTAGCTGCGGCGATGCTGCTTCTATCACCATCTTTCGGCTGATTCAATAGATTTTTACTCTGTTATCTATCTAAATGTCAATATATAAGCATAATCTCTAACATTAAACAGGCTCAAAAGAATAAGAAAAAGATTATTTTCAAGCGTGCCGAATCTTTTATTAAAGACTTTCGTGATGGTGAAAAGGAACGCCTGCGTTTAAAGCGTGTTGCTAAGAAAGATGGCAATGCTTTTGTCGACGAGGAGCCTAAACTTCTCTTTTGTATTCGTGTTGCAGGAATTCGCAATATTCCTGTTAAAGCTCGTAAGGTCTTGCGCCTTTTACGTTTAGCTCGGATTAACAGCGGAGTTTTTGTACGTAACAATAAATCCATTGCGAATATGTTGAAACTCGTTGAACCGTACGTTACGTATGGTGTTCCTAGCCTAAAGTCAGTTCGTGAACTGATCTACAAGCGTGGTTTTGGTAAAATTAAAGGTCAACGGGTAGCCCTTTCTGATAATGCTCTTATTGAAGAAGCTCTCGGAAAGCACGATGTTATTTCCATTGAAGATATCATTCATGAAGTATTTAACGTTGGACCTCACTTCAAAGAGGTTACTAACTTTTTATGGCCTTTCAAATTGACCTCTATCAAGCATTCTTTAATTGAAAGGAAAGCCAAACACTATAATGAAGGTGGGAAGACTGGTTTCTGTGGAGAAGACATAAATAACTTCATCAAGGAACAAGCTTAATTTTACTTTCTTTTAGCTGTCTTGTAATGCCTTTAAATGTCGTCGAGAGACGTGCTATGTATATTAGAACTAGTTTTTTACGGATCGGAATTAATTAATTGGAATTTTATCAAGGGATCTGAAACTAAATATGCATTTTTGAATCATATATTTTCAATAAGCACCGCTAGTGAAATGTAACTTGATAGAGTAACCGTGTAAGACTTCAATTTTGAGTATTTTCTTGGGAAAAGATACCGTGGAAGGTTTGCTCGTGTTGTGTAGGTCCAAATTCGGCATCGTCAGCTACATCGTTATCGAATGCCATTAGCTCGGATTCGTCCGGCATGCCCTCCAAAAATAATGGCTGATTTTCTTCAGCTGTTGTCTGCTTACGTTGCTTTTTCGTTGAATTTCCATTTGTAGGTATATCCAATGTGGAATGAAACATCCTGGACGTCTCTGCTTCTTCCTAGTATAAAAGTTAGAATTAGGGTATGTTTAGATGAGCCTTACATTAGTTTGCCATCCTATAGAAGCAGACGGTGCTTCGTGCTCGTTCAATACTGGAGCACTTGTATTTTCCTGAGCAAATAAGCTACTGTTTGCATTAGCACTTTGCTGCCACCGTGCTCCAATAGCAGAACTTTCGTCCTGATCGTCTAGTCCCATAACAGTAGCAAGTATAAATTGAGCTTCAACTTCCATAAATTTTCCCTTGTTGAAAGTGAACAAAGCTGGTTTTCCTGGTACACTATAGTAAGATGCGATAGAAGTTCCTAAAGATTCAGCGAGCAGAACGGCCGCCTACAATAGAGTTATAATATGAAACAAAAAAAGCTAAATGAAACACATACCCGAAATTCTTTTAAAGATAGCGTGATGACTATACCCTCATTAAGGGAAACTTGCTCGAATTCTTTTCCGTCAATTGACACTGTTGTTTGCGTGGGCTGCTTTAAAACATCTGACGGCGTTAGTTTTATTCGTAATTTTAAAACTTACCTTTATTATGAATGACCTCTTCAGTAAAACTGGTTAAAAGGACTCGTCCATGAACTGGCTGAATCGTCAATTCTTCTGTTTTCTGTCCAAAATGCTCAACCAAGTCTTTCAAAATTTTTGAATTTATTTGCCAGTTATTATGACAGGAGGCCTTATCAAAGACAGCATGTAGCATTTGCGTTTGTTCATATGCAATTTTGTAAGTTTTTATGACTCCTAAAAATATTGAGTTAACAGAGTCCAAAGTGAGTTTATAAGTCCATACCATGTTTGCAATAAAACTTAAATATTACTCGGCATTCTTTTCCAGACGTAATTTGTATTTGTACATTCTCAACGACAACATTCTTTTTACTAGTAGAGTCTGTTGCACCTGTATTCGCGTTGGGATTATTGGTAACCAGGAGACTAGATTCAAATATTTTATTTCGGAAAATAGAAAGGATCGGCTTGATCTGTGTACTTAATCGTACCGTTGGAGAGACAAATCCGGTAAGAAATAGAGTATCCGGATGAAAAGTGAATTTATCGAAGAACTTTTTTGTGAGAGTCACCATCCCAAACCCAGACCTTGAGGAGTTTAGAGATGTTAAAATAAGCTATGAAATTCATTATTAGCATCTTATGCCTCAATTCAATATGGCTTCTTCAGAAATCCCTCATACTTGATCCTTATTTATTTCCCAGTTTACCGCATCATCAATCCTAGAAAGGTTTAAAAATATTCTCGAAAGATCCCTTAAGTTTATATTTGAAACCACAAATTCCATGGAGTCCAATGCAATCACTTTTTCCCACCTGGACGCGTCTTTCGTACTTCTACGCTTAATCTTCTAGCGTAGCTTTAATCAAATATAATATATGTCATCTATAAATAAATAAGTATTTTGGAAACGAATGTCAAATACAAGCGTTAACAGAGCTTTGTACCCAAATGTGGTTCTGTTTATGAAATTGGATGTACGAGATGTTGACAAAATCGCAAATATCTGTTCATTATGTAAAAGTTCACCAAATAGTCTTTATATGTACCCAGTTATTAGAATGGCAATAAAACCTTTTATAATTCAAGGATTGGAATCTACATCTACGATCACAGCTATCGGCAATTACAATTAAAAGAAGCACAATAGGTAAGATCATAATAATATGCACTATATAAAACCCAAAAATTAAATTTTTTGAAAACAAACAAACCTCCCAGCCCTCAATGCTAGAGAAACGAAACTATGAATCTAACGATTTTCTCCAGTATTAACTTCTATGCTGAACAAGAAACCAATATTATCTATCCATTACTTTAAGACCCAAATATTTTAATTATCAAATAACCATATTGCCTGAATTTTTCCGTTAAGCTGCCTAGCCAAAAAGAGAGAAACCATCGTTGGTAGCCAAAGAAAGCTCTTGTTCTTCTTGCTTCTTCTCTGCATCCTCCTCATCTTTAGGATTCTCGGACATATCAATGCGCTGACCCAGAAGACTGTTGAATAGGTCGTCAATATGTTCTTCAGGCCAAGAAGTTACCTCAACAGGAACCATAAAGTTCTGAAGCTTCTCGTGAACATGATAACGTAGCTTGCGTCCCTTGGAAGCCTTTGTGTCAACATTTTCCCTTTTTTGTTTTTGCTGTTTGGTAGCGACCCATCGGACATTCGTATCTCTTCCAGAGTCTGCCAATCTGGAATTGATGAAATCTTTTAATAATGACTGGTAGAACTCGGTATCGTCATATAGCTCAGGATCAGGATCTTTGCGAGAATTTTCTGAGCGGTTGAAGCGCGAACGCTCAATAAGGTCATTTTTATTGAGCATTGTTTGATCGATTTGTTGCACAACATTTTGGTTCAAAGCCTTGAATTTATTGGATTGCGTTATTCCTTGAGAAGCTTGAACACGACTGTGCCATTTTGTTAACGTATTATTTTTCCACTCTTCTAAAGAGTTATCCAAATCATTCATTGCGGACGAAATAGATTCTACATCCTCAGACTCAGCTTTCCTTTTTAGACCTCTGGGCTCGATACCACTGTCCACCATCATATCAAAGCGAAGCTCCATAGTTTCTTGAAGAAAAGACATCAAGGATTTTTTAACATCTTCAGACGAGACTTCTGATGCAGTCTCGCCATCTTGAATCTTCGAGTCTTGTTCCTGCCCTTCTTTAGATGTACTCATAGCATGTGCTTGGGAGAACCCCTTCTGCAGACGTATCCGTGTATCTAGTACACGATCGTACAAACGCATCTGTTCTTGAAGAGCAAGACCCTTTTGCATGTCCTGAACTGCAGAACTACGAATTTTATCAGAAAGTTTTTGCTCTCCATGCAGCATCTTTTTTAACTTGGAGAGATCGCTGTCAGGAAGAGCCCTTACTTGATCATTCTCGTCTTCAGAAGACGATTTAGATTCAGACTCGCCTTCGTTTTCAGAAGGTGCTTGATCACTAACATCTTCTTCGTTTTCGTCTCCGGAAACTCCTTCAGACAATTCTTCACCAGAAATGGCACTGTCGTCTTCATCGATAGATTCCTCTTCCAGGTCCTCAGAGCCTTCCGCTGAGACGGATTCGTTGGTTTGATCCACCAAGTCCTTCCTAGTAGTCTTTTTTCCCTTAAAACGAGGATCCAAAGCAGGGGCTTGTTTGCTACGTAGTTTGCTCGCGCTTGAGAAGCTTGTTAGTTTTCACTCACAAATTCGTTCAGCAAGAACACATACCCAACGTCAACATAATGCTCTCTTCCAGCAGCATTGTTTTGATTATCACTTGAGTACTCCTCGTCAGAAAACGGTGCATCTATCGCCTCCGGGTCCTTCTCAACTGCACAATGTTAGAAAAAACAAAATAATTGTGGAATTGCATACCTTCTGGCGCCGGATTCAGCATAGAAGCCAATTCATCTTTCATAAATACTATTTCTCATTAGCTTTTGCCGTTTTCTACGAATTCTCATACCTTTCCCCATGGTGGTGAGCTTGTCTGTGGTGCTTGGGTCTTGGCAAATTTATTTCATGTCAATTATGTGGTAGTATTTTGAGCCAAAAAATATAGTTACAAATATAATTATTTTTTCAAATGATGGATTAAGAAGAAAATATATAGAAAGAAAGTTTCCAAGTACGTTTTTTCCTTTCTTTCGGTTTTATGTGCAAGAAGTCTGAATCCGAGAAATTGGCTCAGTTGCAGTAATCCTCTGTATAAAATCAATGAAAGTACAGTTTCAATGAGCTTATAGCAATAGACTTTCCTCTGCTTTCCGGGCGCCAGAATAGATCATGAGGATAGACAGAAGCAGGTTAATATCCAGGAATTATCCTAAACAGAGCTAAGCTTTCTCAAATTTTAGTAACAAATTGTTTACTCTCGTAGCTTTCTAGCCTTACTCGAAAGCCTAGATGTCCCGACTGCTCAAATTCATAGTCCTTCTTGTAAGCTTGCTTTTATAGGTTAGTACGAATGTAGACGTGTTTTTCGTGAAAAAGTGGATTCATTGAATTGGAATTACATACTCAAAGGCTAGAATTTCTTCCCATCCTTCCCTTGACGAAGAAAAGTTTGCATCGCTTTCGCTTTTTTCGTGTCAAACTATTGACAACAAGGTAATAGCTGACATTAGGAAGCCGTATGAAGAAATGTTTTCTTTATAAAAACAATTTTATACGCATTCTTTAGATTCAGCAACCAAAAAAAACTGCCTGGTTTTTATATTGATAACTATGCTTTCAAGACATTATAAAAGCATATGCTTAAAAAAGTAAATATAGTGGTAATGGACTAGTAGAATACGCATTACTATAACGAGGAATTTGTTTTATGAAGGATGATGGTAAGGATACGCCGTCTCACAAACGAGACGTAGACGAGCATTTAGCATTTCGAGGGTCGCGAAGAACCACCACAAACAAGCGGTCGTTTCAGATCATAAACAAAGAAATTTAGAGCGAATTGATTAGAAACGCGAAAAAAAATGGTAAAAAATGTTCGTTCGTATCGACGTTCATCTACCTCCAAACGTTCAGTCGTAGACGAAGACTCTGAGCCAGAACTACCCAACATGACTAAAGAAATACCTCAAACCAGGGCGTCTGACGGGTCAATTTCGGACGATGAACCATTGATCAAACACGAGAAACTTGAAAAAAAAGCCGAGAAAGGGAATATCGCTGATGATGCAACGGGAAAAAACGCTGATGAAGAGCTAAACAATGACGAAGAAGAAGAGGAAAGCGAAGAGGAATATGTTGTTGAAAAAGTGTTGAAACACCGCCTGGCCAGGGTATGCATCCTTTGATATTGGCTCCATTACAATACTAACATAGGGTCCTTGCATGTTTTCGCCAGAGATACGGTGAAAACAAAGGATTCATGGATTTAGAAAGGCGGAGGTTATGAATACTTATTAAAATGGGAAGGATATGATGATCCAAGCGACAATACTTGGAGTAGAGAAGCAGACTGTGAGTATGTATATCGATGAAAAGGGTCTATCTAAGCGATCGAGATTTTATAAAAATAAGGGGATAATAATAGTAGAATCACGAGTGAATATATGAAATTTCGGCGATGAATTTCCCTACTGGTTCTTATTGCGAAACTAACAGATGACTAGTGGATGTAAAGATCTTGTAGAAGCATATTGGGAAGAGCGAGGCGGTCGTCCAGATGCTTCCAAAAGGAAGCGCCCGAGTCGAGCTCGTAAGCCGGAAAGCAAAGAGCCCGCCGTGAAAAGCCAGAAGATCTCTAAGAGCGAAGCTACGAAGAATACCCGGCATTCCGAAGAAGAAGAGGAGGAGGAGGAAGAGAAGCATGAGCTTTCCTCTCCTATAAAGGCGCCTAGCCCGGAGAAAGAAACCCCTCAGAAAAAAGAAGTTACTCCCCAGGACGGACATGTCGAGCCGAAAGAAAACGTTCAATCCGTAAAGGAACTGTCTCCTTCTCCCTCTCCCATACCGAAAAAGGAGAAGCAATCAGGTGCTAGTCCCAAGAAAGCTCATTTAAAGGTTCCTACTCTCCCCGACGAGAAAGAATTAACAGGTCAGCAAGTGGAAAAGTATGATATGTGGGAAGATTTGGTTGCCAGTATTGATACAATCGAGCGAAAGGATGATGGAACACTTGAGATTTATTTGACTTGGAAGAACGGTGCTGTTTCTCACTATCCAAGTACAATTACGAACAAGAAATGTCCCCAAAAAATGCTACAGTTCTATGAAAGCCACTTGACATTCCGCGAAAACGAATAAATAACGATCACTTGGCAAAGGAATTGAATAGTTCCTTCATATGTTAAACCCACATATATATATATATTTGGTCATACCCATATCTAGAATTTTGGTTACATTCTACTTTTTCCTTATCGTTTCATCCGTCTTTATGCTTTCCTTTCGCTCTTTCGAAATCTTTGGTAATATGTAAATTGAAAAGCTTTCCTTTTCAGTGGCTCTCATTATAATGCTGTACATGGTTCTATGTAGTTAGAAGGGAACGTACAAAGGCATCTTTATATGTGATTCCTTTAATACATTTTGATTTTTACGCTTTGCTTTGTGGATACTATGAATTCGTCAACGGTGTTTCCATTTCCATAAAGACTGCTAGTTGTACAGACAGCTATTATATTATTTTTTTTTTTTTCATTTATGAGACTATAAGTTATATCTAAACGAAATGGTTTACAATTTCGTCTGCTTCCTTTGTTTATTAACGGAAACTCTTTTAGCCGCTAGTAAAAGTATTTGCGATACTGTATGTTTGTACTGCGTAGCACGTCTTCTATCCTTATCCTGTACCAAGCTGTTTTTGAGCTGTGTTTAGCAACTTGTCATTTACCAAATCGTTTCTCTTTGTTTTAAATGTCTCTAGGAAAAAAGAAGGAAACAAATGCAATTGCTTTAAAATCGCTTTTGCGCGAACCAGCAAACAAAATATGTGCGGACTGCAAACGTAATGAACAACCAAGATGGGCCAGCTGGTCTTTAGGTGTATTCATTTGCATCAGGTAAACATTAAGGCCTTGTACTGGTAGAAGGTATTTTTGCTCACATATTTTTAGATGCTCTGGTATCCATCGAAGTCTCGGTGTTCACATCAGCAGAGGTAAGTGGGGACGAAGATTAGAAAACTATTTTGAAAGAGTTCAACTAACAAGCTGTAAAGTGAAATCTGTAGATCTAGATGCTTGGACGGATGAGCAAACTGAAAATATGCAACGATGGGGAAATCAAAGAGCAAACATGTAAGATTAGTTTCATGAAGGACTTACCTAACGCTATTCACGTAGGTATTGGGAAGCAAACTTAACAGATGGCCATATTCCTTCAGACAGGTAAGTTTGACTGAGAATCCTTTAGTTGCGTAGGCTTGGAAGAATTCAGTTCGCCAACAATGCAGCTATACGGTTTCGTATCTGCAGAAACGTATACTTACAATCCTTCTAGCAAAGTTGCAACCTTTATCCGAACAAAGTATGAGTTACGGAAATGGGTATTGAGTCGTGAGATTCCTTCTCCCGAGACACTTATTCCATTTGAGAAAATGAACCCTTCCATTTCTTCACCTGAGCCGATTGCTCCTGGAAAACCAGCGGCTGCGAGCATGCCTTCTATATCCAAGGAACCATTGCGTTCTCAAAGCGAAGCTTCCATGATAGATATTGCTTCTATGAATACATCAGAAAATTATCGCTTGCCAAACCCTGGTGCTTCCTCTACAGCTTCTACTCCTAATTTGACGTCTCTGTCCTCCAATAATACGTCAACTGCTCAGGCTAATCGACAGAAAGACCTCAAATCGTCAATACTCTCCTTATACGCTTCGCCTCGCCCCATGTCAGCCGTCAACTCACCGGTATCTTCGTTTTCTAACATTCCGTCGACATCTACATCGACTGTTCAAGGGGCACAACAATATGCTAGTCTTCAGTCACCGGTCTCCAGTGCTTCTTTTGTTGCTGACAAATGGAAGATGCCTCTTTTTGGTTCAACAAATCCTTATTCCTATGCTCGAGAACCTGGTATGCAGCCTCAACCTCCACGGAGAACCCAATCTGCTATGGATCATAATATAATGAATACCCATGATGTGTGGAAGTAACTTGCACAGCCGCGAATGAAAATTGTGCAATCTTTACGTTTCTATATTTATTCTTTGCTGCTACTTTAGAAGGAACAAAACAGGCACGATTTATTACATAACCTGATTTATTAACAGTCTTTGATATGCCCTTTTTAAATGTGTATTCAATCATTTTTATGATGATAGTTTGATCGTTTTTAATTACTTTCTTGTCCAATTTTTGAGTTGTTGTAACAATGATCCACTCTGAAGCTACCCTTTTTTTTAAAAAAAATGGCAAGAACAGCATCATAATGGATCAAATTCACTAAGATAACTACTTTCTTTACTTTATGAATTCATTGATAGGTTTTTTTTTTTCTTAATATTTTCTTTGACAAGACCTTTCCTTAATATTTTTTTTGACAAGACGATGTTTGTGTACATGGTTAGGTGATGTCTAATCCAACGAATGATAATTCTAGGACATGGCACCGTTGTATTGAGAAATTGAGAAATTCGCAAGCCAATTAAAGAAAGGTCTGTCTTTGAGATTTGGGTAAGATGTAAATCAACAATGCCTTTTAGGGATTGAAGTAGATCTCATTAAAACGGAGAAGCTACGTGCTGCAATGTGAGAACGGCTATTTCTAAAAAGCTTTTAGAGAACTTTGATACTGCTACATAGAGGGAGTTGCTATGCACACTGGTTTATTTTGTAATGTATTGTTATGTTACAGGTAAATCAACTGCTAGGAACTTTGATTATTAATTTTGATTTATACGACTTTTCTTTTCAGGTTTTAGTAGTACTCGTATTTTTAAAGATTTTCATTGCAACTACGAAGGATCTGATTTTGGTGAGAAAGTAATATTTTACTATAGTATTTTTCAGTACTTGACAGTGTCATTAAACACACTATATAACAATGGTCCACTGAATTGAGTGACTCTAGTCTAGCAGTTCTGACTAAATCCTCAATTAGGAAGAGTTTGCTAGCTTTACTAATTGACTTGTTTGGTGACACATTTTGGTCAATTAGACCATTACTTTATGGAAGAATCTTCACTCCATAATGTAGCTTTATATGACTGATATTTTCTTTCTTTTATGATTCTGAGCTTCGAATCTGAGCTTCATATTTGTATACGATTATTTTGAAAAGCGTTTTCCATGCATTGTTTACTTTTGTAATATTGTATTCTTTAAGATTATGATATTTGCTAATATTCGACATTATCCTAATAATAAAGCGTACTGTAATAGTTATAATGTTAACAAAGCACCTATCATGATGGTACAGTGACAATCAAGGCATTCGCATTTCAATTACGTTGTTACCTACATTGATTCATTTTTATGTCAAAGATAAAAAAGTGTAACTCGGTTCCGTACATTACAATTGGGAAGAAAAGCATATTACTTGAACGAAAAAAAAAAGAAAACACTGATTCTACTAATGATTTCGGTACGTAATCATGATATTACCAATATTAACTGTGTTAGGGCGTTTTCTTTTTCAACTTGAAAGGCGATAATCTTATTTGTCGGACATTTCGGCATGACTTGAAGTATGTATAGTAAGAGAGGTTATAAATGGAGTTCCTTCAAGCTGTGAGACTAACAAAAGGAAAGGAGTTCTATTACTGATGTTATACGTGTTCACGTGCTTTCGAATCCTGAACTACGGACGCCAATTGCGACTTTTGGCTCCACAAGCTATACTTATGTCAGAAATGAAGATTTATACATTGTTACGGTTGCTAAAGGAAACCCAAACATCATTCTTTTACTGGAATTCTTAGAACGTTTGGTTGAGGTACTGTCTCGGTATTTTGAAAAGGTCAATGAAAGTACCATCAAGGAAAATTTCGCATTTATTTACGAGTTACTGGATGAAATGATTGATTTCGGAATTGTACAAATGACAGAACCTCATGCAATTTCTCGAGCGTTGACCATTAACCCGGTGAAAAAGAAAGAATCATCCATTTTATCAATGAAACGCTCTACATCTTCCCAAAACGTCACCAGCCATTCAATTGATCACTCAAAATCTGTACCATGGAGAAGAGCAGGAATAAGGTATCGTCGTAACACAATATATCTTGATATAGTGGAACGATTAAACCTGCTTATTAGCTCTACAGGCAACGTCTTACGATCCGACATTTCTGGATCTGTACATATGCGAGCTTTATTATCAGGAATGCCTGAGTGTCAATTCGGCATTAGCGATAAGTTAGACTTTAAACTAAAGCATAACGAAAATCGACAGAAATCTTCGCGTTCAGGAAATGATTCTACCGCATCTGAAGGTATAACGCTAGAAGATTGCCAATTCCATCAGTGCGTAAAGCTTCCGGAATTCGAAAATGAACGCAAAATATCATTTATTCCCCCGGATGGCGAGGTCGAGCTTATGAGTTATCGCTCCCATGAAAATGTTCACATCCCTTTTCGGATACATCCAATTGTTGAACAATTGTCAAAACAAAAATTAATTTATCGAATTAGCATCCGCTCAAGCTATCCTCATAAACTTTCTACGTCTCTTAGCCTTCGAATACCTGTTCCGGATAACGTGGCAAAAGCAAGTCCTAGAGTCAATCGAGGGAAATCTGGATATAAACCTTCGGAGAACATTATCAGCTGGAATATCCCTAACTACTTAGGGGATATGGATCTTATATTGTATGCTGAAGTCGAGTTATCAAATACTACCAATCAGCAGCATTGGTCTCGTCCTCCTATTTCTCTCGATTTTAATATTCAAATGTTTGCTAGCTCAGGACTAAAAGTAAAATATTTACATGTGCAAGAACCATCTAACAGTAAATACAAAAGCATAAAGTGGGTTCGCTACTCGACACGTGCAGGCACTTGCGAAATTCGTTTTTAGTTTCACACCATCTTTCATGTTTTTTATGAAAACATTCATTTCATATTTAATCGTTTTACATTTCTACTTTGAGGCATAACACACTATCACAAAGATAGAGTCCTAAAATGACTATTAACCGTGTAACTTAAGTATTAGGGAATAAAGTGAATGCTAAGTCGTGCAAAATAAGAGAAGGGAAGAAGACATGACAAAAAATAAGCTTTTTCAATGGATGCTTCTTAGTAAGCGAGAAATCTTTTGCTGAGACTTGGAGACACTTGCTTCCTGTAGCTTATCTAGCTCTTCATTGACAACTTTCATATTAGGTTTTTCCAAATACAAGGGATATCTAGTCAAAGTTTTAGCACTTGTGCCGTCTGGCAAAGAATCGCCAGCCCGCCACTGTCGTAAATCCTTTGGAACTTCTGGGTAAATGAACGGTTCTTCCATCTCGACGATCGCGCGTTTTGTAGCTGCTTGTCTTCTCACTTGACCGTATTCATTTCGGTAAAGAGATCCTTGGTAAATGTTGGTTTTCACAGAAAGAGTTTTGAGGTTATAAACATGCAATAAATAATCTCGAACGTCAAATTTATTCACATTCAGAGGAACACGAAAGGCAGCAAAGTTGGGTGGTAAATTTAGTCCTCGATATAATATAAACGGTATATTAGGAAAATATACGAGACGCTTTCCAGCAATTTTACTCATTTTGTTGTATTAAGTAGAAAAGTTCAAAAATTGAACAGCTTAAGGCTTTTTTACTTACACAAATAGTGCACTAACAGGGATTCCTTGTTGAAGTATGAAACTAGATCAAAGGAAATGATCAACGAAAAGAAATTCGTAAATGAAAAAATTTTCTCCTTTTATAGCCTTATAAAAAAGGGTTTTATTCCAAACGATGGAGAATATGTGAAGTCCTGTCAAATTAAGGAGGATTGTAAGTAGGCAGGAAAGGTTACCTTACCTATTCAGCTAATAGCCAAGGTACTGGTGAATCAAGATCAAGGATTAGGGAATGTAATTAAACTTATTTTTATCATTATTTAGATGATTATCTTCTTTTTAGTCAAAAAATGAAATGTTAAAAGCGACCGGGTGGTTTATGTCAGTTTTGGTCCATAGAAAAGAAAGGAAGCACTGTCCTTCGTGTATCACATGGAATGAGTTTTCAGGCTCATCTTAAAGTAAGACAACGCTAAAACTTCAAGGGAAATTAGATAAATACTCTCTCTATGAGTTGTTTTCTAATCTTGTTTACTAATGTTCAGTATTTTGTAGTACGCTAATTTACATAGTGGCCTTGTGTTTGTTTCATTATGAACTAATACAGCACTGGCTTAATCATTGGTATTCGTTATTTCGACACAAAGTGACCCATCGTTGACACTCCTTATCCGCAAACCTGTAAATAGTAAGAGACGCAAACTTCTACCTACAACGAAACACTTTGTCCTTTGTTCAATGTCTGAATTGCAGACAGTTGACGAGGTTGATATTGCCGGCTCTTTGGCACCTCTGCCATTGAAGCCCGAGTCTGATGGTTTTGAAGCGGGAATTGCGGAAACTTCGATTGGTTCTCAAAACGCTAGCAAAGAACCTGAAAATGAAGAGGACGATGAAGCGTTCATTGCTTCCAATATCTTGAAATCGAATAGAAAAACAAAGGGAAAGAAGCTTGCTGGCAAAGCTTCTAACTTTCAGGCGATGGGTAAGAACAAACGTTAGATGGGTTCCTTGCAATGGCTAGTGTGCTGTTCGCTTGCTTTTGTAGAGTTATAATAATAATGGTGTGACTAAAAACAGGACTATACTTTAGAATGGAAACAATTGAAGCGACTTTGCTATTGCCTAACTCCATCAATCTACGAATTCTCTTTTTTCCTTCAGTAACTAACGAAATTCTAGGGTTGAGTCAGAATGTACTTCGTGCTATTTTAAAGAAAGGATTCAAAGTACCAACACCTATTCAAAGGAAAACAATTCCTCTAGTTTTGGAAGGACGCGACGTAGTCGGTATGGCTCGTACTGGTTCCGGTAAAACAGCCGCTTTTGTAATTCCAATGATTGAGCGCCTAAAGTCTACCTTGGCACAATCAGGCACCAGAGCCTTAATTTTGTCTCCAAGTCGCGAACTTGCTTTGCAAACAATGCGAGTTGTAAAAGATTTCAACAAAGGTACTGACCTTCGAGTTGCCGCAATCGTTGGTGGTGTTAGTCTAGAGGAGCAGTTTAGTATTATGACTGCAAAGCCAGATATTATCATTGCTACTCCAGGTCGATTTATGCATCTTAAAGTAGAAATGAAGCTGGAGCTTAATGCGATTGAGTATGTAGTATTCGATGAGGCTGATCGTCTCTTTGAGATGGGTTTCGCTGCTCAACTCACTGAAATTTTGCATGATTTGCCCTCTGCTCGCCAAACTTTGCTATTCTCTGCCACTTTGCCTCGTACTCTCGTTGATTTCGCAAAGGCCGGTCTTCAAGATCCTGTATTAGTGCGTTTAGACGTTGAGTCTAAAATTTCTTCTGATCTTCAAAGTGCCTTTTTTTCCGTCAAAACCGCCGATAGGGAGGCTGCTCTACTATATATTTTACAAGACGTTATTAAATTATCGCTTAAACGTGATATTAAGCCCGTTGTATCTATGGATTCTGAGAACCCTAAAAAACGTAAAAGAATTATGGAAGCTGTCAACCAGGGAAGATTTTCTGGCTCTTCTGATGCTACCCTTGTGTTTGTACCTACCAAACATCATGTTGAGTATATCTCTAATCTACTTGCTCTTGCCGGTTATTCAGTATCTACCATCTACGGCTCATTGGATCAAGATGCCCGTACAAATCAAATTAATAAATTTCGACTTGGTTTCAGCAATGTACTTGTTGTGACCGATGTGGCTGCCCGTGGTATTGATATACCGCTTTTAGCTAATGTTGTTAACTATGACTTTCCTCCTCAGCCGAAAGTTTTTGTTCATCGTGTCGGTCGTACTGCACGTGCTGGCCGTACTGGTTGGGCTTATACTCTAGTCCGTTCCGAAGACGCTGGCTATTTCTTGGATTTGCAATTGTTTTTAAACAGGGAAATTGTTACTACTAATAAGAAGGTGAAAACCGCAGATGATTGTGACTTTACCAAGCAGTTGGTTTTAGGAGGCCTGCCGACGGCTTCTGTCTCGGAATTGTCAGAATGGGTCCAACGAGTCGTTGCCGAAGACATTGAAATTGAGCAGTTGTCTAAGGTTGCTGCTCGTGGTGAAAAGTTATATTTTCGCACACGGCCCAGTTGCAGCCCTGAGAGTGTTAAACGAGCAAAAGAACTAGTAAATACTAGCGGTTGGAATTTAGTAAACCCCTTGCTCAGTAACTCGATGGATATTGAAGCAGATTCACAATTCAGTGCTCTTTTGGCAAAGGTTTCTTCATTCCGTCCTTCTGAAACCATTTTCGAGATTGGCCAACGAGGACATCATCGATCTGAAGCTGGAGAGATTATGCGCCAACGCAGGAGTAAGATTAAACCAAAAGGTCTTCAGCGTACTACCATTGATAATGAATTACTAGATGACAGCGAGGTTTCCACAAAAACAAACAGCGAGCCAGAACTATCTGAGACAGAGCTTGAAAACACATTCCAAACGCCTCAGAGTCTGAAAGAACAGCAGAAGGCTTCCCGTGATTTTCGTGATAAAGAATATTATATGTCTCATTACGCACCGAAAGAAAATATCCAAGAAAATGGATATGCCGTTAATTCTGCAGAGAACTTTACACTGGCAGCTCGTCATGCTGTCTTGGATTTAAGTAATGATGAGGGTATACATCAAACTAATCGCAGTGGGCAACGATGGGATCCGAAAAAGAAAAAATTCGTTAACACCATTAATGATGAAGATGGTTCTAGAGGTGTTAAACTCATTCGCGGTGAAAGCGGAGTGAAATTGCCAGCTACGTACCGTAGCGGTAGATTTGAGGCTTGGAAATCTAATAAAGCTCAAGGCAATAATGGTTCTATGCCATTAAATGACAACAGTGGTAGACAATTCAAGCATAAGCAGGTTAAAGCACCGAAAGCCGCCGACAAATATCGAACTGATTACAAAGTTCGAAAGGCTAGGGTTAAGGAAGCTAAAGAGAAGGGTATTGGTGTTAAAATCAGCGATGAACTTAAGTCTGCTCCCCAAATTCGGAAGGATCGTCAACTCAAAGAAAAGAGAAAAGCTAAGACTGCTCGTCCCTCCAAAAAACGTCGCTAAACAAACATTACTTTATTTTGATTATTTTTGGATGCTTATAATTATGGTTTTGTTAAAAATATGTACTTTATGGGTTAAAAACAGGTCATATAGGTGAATAGGGAAATTTAAAATGATGAATAAATTGATTTCAGCATTAAATATTTATTAAAGTGTAGCTGCTCATAAAGAAGGGAGTATTTAATTACAAAAGTTTTGTATACTAAGCCCTAGAGCTTAGGTTAATTAACCTCTGCTTTAGATGCTCGGATAAATTTATGAACTAATGGATACGAGTTATCGTTCTTGAAAGATATCAAATCAAGGCATTTTGACAAATAAAACGCGATATTTTTAGAGGCGAATAAATCAGGGGATTGGGAAAGCATATCTTCAAATACATTTGATAAAGAATAAATTGCAGCTCGTTCATTCTTACTTTCAGCCACTAACTGAAAGATATGACAGTACATATCCTCATCCAGCAAAATTCCAAAATTCGTTAATTTATTCCAGCGAAGCCAAACATCATTCCAGCGATCGTATTTCGCAAAAATGCTAAGGATTAGCAAATATGAACCCACGGTCATACTTATACCATGACGGTACATGAGTCGTTCAATTTTATAGATGCGAGGGTCTAGATAATGAAAGTTATTTGTCTCTATAATGCAGGAACATAAAAGGCATTTGGATAGAATTCTTCGTAAAGTAGTGATCTCAATTGGACTTGTTTTTTGAATAGATGTGTAAAGTGATGTTAAGAATTTGATCCTCTGGTTGACCAACTCTTTTGATAAAGACAAAGAATTTATGGATTGAGGGGTCGAGACGGCCACAGCCGTTAACAGATTATTTATGTCCGGCAGAGAAACCTGAGAGGAGGACGAATCTAGAAGTTTTTTAGCCTGATGATAAAAAGAATCCAAAGAAAAAGTTTGATCATTCCCAAGGTATTTCCCTCTTGCCTCCTCAAGTGGATCCGACAAATTTTGGAGAGAAGATATATTATTTGAGGCAGTAGAGTTGTTTCGAGAGCAAAACGTATGAAACTGTTTTTTATCTCCTAGGAAAGTAGAATACCCAGAAGTGATTCTTTTCTTATTTCCTGGGCGGAATGAAGCCGACTGGAGCTCTCCAGAGTCATAATTATCAGACAAAATCTGGTGCAAATCTTGATCAATATTTTCTAGCTGATAGTAACCTCGTGCGTCTTTCGTAAACAAATGAATTACCACATTATAGTTTTCAATTTGAATGCATGTCCAATTTGTCTGCTGAACAGACACCTTGTTACGCCATGATTCAGGACGTTTTAACGCTCTGCGATCCAAAATTCGCTGTCGTGATAAATTCGGAAGACCTTGCACGTGAACAGCGCCAATGTTCATTTTCTTTAATGTTTGAGAAATGCCACGGGTGACTGTTATAACATGAGTGTTGTCATTACATGTACCAAGAAGCATCAAGTCTGAAGTACTCCATAGCTGGTTTGCCTTTGGGTGTATAAACTTCAAGTCAGAGACGAGATATCGTTGGGATAATGTTTCCAAAACTTCTTGCAAAAAATCTGGGGCTGCTTCTGGTAAAGCTGGTACTTCGGGTGTATATACATTCTTTTTGGGAAATGTTCTCTCAGCATATTCAACGTACCATGGTCGAATAACTTCTTCCTGTGGTTTTATTGACTCTGAGCTTTTATTTTCCAATGGGGCATTCTCCGGAGGACTAGTGTCTGAGTTTGAAGATATAAAACGATAGGGTAGACGTCGGACAAAACAGCAATGTATTCGACACGCAAAGTGCGGTGTAATGCGAAAACATGAAGGAAACTTTTTCATATTGCTAAGAAACAAACTTCATATGATTTAAAAATGTAAATTTCATGCAAAATCCATATGCGAGTATGGATGCTTTTCGGCAATCAATTTATGCGGTAGAAGCTGCTTTCGTTATAAAAGAAGTCTTGTTTTCTCTAAATCCTCTTTGCAAATCAATTCCACAAGTCTATTTACCATGCGTTCCCAGAAAGAAATTGCGTACAACCAAAATGCTTTATTGTTGGAACCAATATACAATAAATCAGACGCAAATTTCCATTAATAATATAATGTTTTTTATATTCTTTTCAACAAAGCCTTTACGCCTTTATTCGGTTTGTTTACGCGTTTTCAAATGAGTGGGAATTGTTTGCATGTAAATAGAAGGGTACTGGATATAACGAGCTTCAGGGGCGTCACTAAAATACTCAATGCATTCTAATGCTTCAGAACGCATATTCCTATTAATGATTAACGAAATAAAACAATGGTTCTTTGTTTTAATATATTCATAGTAGCTCCATTTCTCAACCATAAACAATGCTTTAGAGCTCTATAATATGACGCCGGAAATCCCTAAAAGAACCAATTCATCATTTGATTTATTAGAGGCTTTAAAATATACACCATTAGTCTCATCTATACCTCTTAGCAACGGTATGTGTTATAATAAGACGCGTTTCCTGACGCGAATTTAGGTACAGAAAATGCAGTTCCTCCGAAGTCATTAGCAAGTAATACGCCTTTGTGCTTGTCTGCCGAAGAAAAGGGATTTATGCAACGATATCTTGATCTTTTGGAGCCGAACGCGCAAAACGTGTCTGACGTACAACAGCTTCAATTTTACAAAGACGCGCTCTCTCCTATGCTGCAAAATGTTCCCATGCCTGGAATTCGCATCCCTTCGAACAAAGAAGAAAATAATGACAATCCGTCTTCTTTCCCAAACCCTTTATTGAATCCTTTGACAGAGTCTTTATTACAACCTTCTGAGGTCGAATTTGTTCCTCCAGAAGCAAACCTAAGTGCTTCTTCCTCTTACACTGATTCTACCTCTATGTCTGAAAACTCTTTGGTTTCAAAGAAAGAAGTGCCCAAGAATTTGGAAATCCCCCGTAGTCCTTCAACGGCGCGAATCCTTAGAGCTGTTGAATTTAGAAGTCCTAGTCGATCACTTTCACTTACATCAACTCCCAACAAGCGCTCGCGGTCAGAAAGTGGAAGCTTAGCTTCCACACCTTCTTCGAAGGTCCAAAGGCTTCAAGATGTCATAGAGAAGCAAGTACACGATACCCAATCGCTGTTGGATGTAACCTTGCATGCAAATCCGGAACAATCAAACTGTTATGTATCTTTTGGAGCATCAGAGGCTAAGATAATATCAGCAGAGGTTATCGATAAAATATCAATCTCTTTAACAAAGTTGAGTCACTTGGGGGATTGCAATAAGTTATTGAAGGAAGAAGATGCTATATGTCTTAAGATGACTTTGGAATCTAGCTTAAGAAGTCTGGATTTCTTTAAAAATTCTACTGAGGATACCGATATTGATGAAGATGATGATATTGCATATTTGAGAGCTGACTGTTTATTAAAGACTGTATCCCTTGTTTTCCAACTAATCAACACTCTTCCTATGTTAAAAAAATTGCAAAATGAGGAATCTTTTTTATTTATTCTTGATACTCTTCATGCCTTTATTGATTACTTTTTCTTAAAGGCTATGACTAGCATTGATATGAGCATGACCGATGTCTCTGAGCCATCAAACAACCGTCAATTTTTATCTCTCACACAAAAAATTGCTAACGCCTTTACTTTATTATCTAAAGTTGTACATATTATTCCTTTGTCCGAAGCTGTCGTCATCAAAGTTGTTTTCTTGTCCACGAAAACAATTACTGTGGATTCCTCTGTTAAAGAGAAACCGTCGTTAATACAAAACATTCCATTGGATATTCTTAAAATTCCTCTGTTTGATACACTTCAGTTCATTTTCAGCTTATACCCTGCTCAGCGTGATTTCGTGCTGCAAGAAGTCCTTGCAAACTTTGCGCAGTTACCTACTGCTCGTTCAACTTCCAGAACATTTAAGCTGTCAAGTGGAAAATCTGTTCAGTTGTACTCTACTTTGCTTGTTCGATTGCTTCAGTCATGTACAGTAACGCATCTTCCAGAAGATACCGCTTTTAAGACGGAAGACCCTGCGAAGGATTTAGTCAACTCAGATGATTTCCAGTCTTATTTAAAATCGGTAAGTTTGTGATTTATAGCTTTCTCTAATCTCTAGGTTGATGTTTTACTCTCTAAATCAAGGCACGAAGAGTACCGAGTCGCAAACCAAATTGTTAGTTATTTGCTTGGAAGATCATTAAAGCAGACAAAGTCTGAAATTAATAACTCGTTTGTCACATTAACAAGAATTATGCTAGAAGATTTGCTCAACATGCTTACTTTACCAGAGTGGGCTGGAACGGAGACACTTGTTCGACAATTTGCATTAAATCTTATTATGATGATAGTCAAAGAAAAGAACTCCGTTGCTACCAAAAATACTGCTCTTGACTTCTTTAGTGTTATTGTCAATAAATTGTTAATAACGTTCGATATAACTCTATTTGAAAAACATGATCTTCCGGTACCTTCGAACTTTAATGACCCAAGTTGCTTTTTGAGTGGTATCCCTCGTTATGAAGAAATTACTTATACTTGCCTTTCACATCTTTCCTCTTTATGCAACAATGATGATTCACTTGAGGTAAGGTTTTTCAGGTGGTTTGCTTACTAAACGTTTAGAATATCATTCCATATACCCTAAATCAATGGGTCTCATTTCTGTTTCAGCTCCGAAAAGCATCCAAGGATTCGGAGTCAAATTACCTAGTTGACAAAATTCTACTGAAAAGTGTAAATTTGAACATAGACTCCATTCGGGATTCATCCGTTTTCACTAGTGATGAGATGATTAAAGATTATTTTATTCTTTCTTTGTATCGCTCTTCTTTATACTTGAATTTAAAATTTTTCGTATCACTGATTATTGGATTCCTTGACAGCCCCCAAACCAGTTTACGAACGAAAAGTTTAAGAATTATCAGTCAAATGAAGTCTATCCCTGCTATACTCCATGCGCATCCAGAAGTTTTGTCTCAGGTAATCAATAAAGTTACTGATCCCTCAGCTTTCGTCCGAGACACAGTATTGGATTTGCTAAGTACATACATGATGGCCTTTAAAGAAACTATAAATCAGTTATATATATTTATAGCGGCTGGAGTATCGGATAGTTCTGTGAGTGTTCGGAAGCGTGCAATAAAACAACTTGCAGAAATATATGGGCTTACTAACAGCATAAGCATACGATGCGATATCTGTATGAAACTACTTTCAAGGATGAATGATGAGGAAGAGAATCTCACCGTAAGTTTTTAACAAATAATTTATGTGTAAATTAACACCTGAATATTAGGATCTAAGTCTCCAGACGCTCGACTCTTTATGGTTCAATAACAGTAACTTGTTCATTGATACACAGAAAAAATATGATGATTTGAGCTTTTTGGAAAAGCAAAAATTGAAGGTTCACTATCGTCCGCTACTAAAATTATCGTCGGATCCTAGTCCTGAATTACATGTTTCTCTTGTAACAACGTTAAAGAAAATGCTTACTTCGAAAGAAGATGTGTTAACCAAAGAATTTTGTTCTCGAATTCGTTTTCTGCTTTCCTTTCTGTTTACCTTGTTAATTGAGGTAGCAACCGAGGACGAGGGAGATGATGTTGAGGTAGAACTTTTGCATGAAACAATGAGTACTCTGTTTGTTTTTTCTCGTTCTTTTCCCTTTCTCTTTGACTATTCACAACTACAGGTATTAAAACCATACTTGAAATCGGCTTCGAGTATAGAAGAACAGCGATTGCTATACTATGTTGTAGCCATTTTTCGACAGGTTTTACCTCGTCAAAAGGAAATTCCGGAGGTTTTTTTGCGTAATCTTGAGACTACTATGCTACAAAGACTTACCAAGGCTGGATCTGCTACATTAAAAGAAATGGTACCCTGCTTATGTTATTTATTGAGTCATCTTAATGATCATCAAAGACTTTATAAAATACTAGGCTCTTGTCTTAAAACACTTGAAGAAACAAGAAAAAACGACTTTTCATCATTAAAGGCTTTTCGTTTAATAGAACTCATTGGACTCTTTGCTAGGTTTGGAGGGATTGAAAAAATAGATGTTAATTGGGAAGATGTTTTCCCTTTTCCTAAGGACGAAAGCAACAACATTTATGTTTTGCTGCTTAACTACATGAACCAACTGCTTCCGTCGTCAAAGACTGATTTGCGTATACATGTAATTGAAAATATGTTAAAAATCGTCCTGGCGCAACCGACGTTGTTTACTTCACCAATGATGTTAAGCATGCTAGATAAAATTTTTGAAGAGAGCAACACCGACTGTGTCTCAGTAATTTTTAGGGCATTCTTGGAACTATTAGCAGCTGACGAGGATCTAATTTCAGAAGCTGATGAAAAATTGGAAAGCAAGTCAAATAACAATAAGAAGTCAAAGCGTGAACAAGTGAATGTAGACATGCTTAAAGGTTTTACGGAAAGACAATGGACTGAAGGGTAAGTATATCGTGCGTATTATGATGTTAACTAATTTAGTGTGAGCGCTTGTTTGATGCAAAAGTACCTATCGAATATCTTGAATTCTTGCTTTTCAAAAAACCTAAGTTTTGCTCTTCTCGCATTAAATATATTGCAGCATATTATTCGCCAAGGGCTTGCGAACCCTAGACTGGTAAGCTGATTTTAATGAATTTCAACAAAATCTAACAGCTTTAGTGCTTCCCCGTAATCGTGGCTCTGGAAGCTAGTGAAGTTACAGAAATAAAACAAACGGCTATTAATTTGCATGTGGAATTGCATCAAAAGCATGAATCGTTGGTAGACGGTTTGTATGCGCAAGCAGCAAATTTGATGTTCTCTTCCAAAAGTTTTCCAGGAAGTTTTGTTTTTTCTATTGAAGAACATTCCGCGTTCCAGGACATGTACAATGTTGTACTGTCGAACAAAAACACGAGGTCTAGAAGGAAATTCCTTACGCAGATGCTGAAGCTTATTGAATTCGATAATGAAAAGCTGTTAAATATGTCACACGAGAATGTCTTATTTTTTAATTTCTGTTGTTCAGCATTGGGTGGAATCAACTACTTGAGCATTGACGAGCCATTGATGATCCTTCAAGTCATTGATACAGTTTTAGCTACAATTGGACTAACTATTACTGAATGGATGAAGGGAAATCTCGAAGAGCCCTATAAATTCTTTTCTGGAATTCTACTTTGTAATTTTATTCACCTGAAACGTTACTTGAAGTATGTTTATTCCATAACAGATGAAAAAATACACAATTTTGATTCCAGCAAAACATTTAAGGATAAAAAGGTCCCGCTTAAAAACAATGGTTACAAGGTTGAGCTTTTACGCCCGGACAACAAAAGAGAAGATGTAGCAGCTATGGTAAGTCAGAGCAAACTCAAGTCAATTGAAAAAACTTCTAGGCTAACCAGTAAAAGTGTATAAAAATGTTTGAAGATGAGAATATATCTACTGATCCCATCTTTAAAGACGATCCTCAAGAGGAAGAACACTCAGGGGAAGCTGCAAATGAATAAACAAAAGAAAGAACATGCGCATACTCTTTGGACTCGCTCGACTTGGTCGATGATCTTTGGTATTTACTAATATGAAATCTTATTTATTGTTTAATGGTTTGTTGAGTTATTTCTTCATTACGTTATTGAGTTTTTTTACTCGCTTCTTTTTCGTTCTTTGCATCTATGTTGGTTAATAGATTAGGGTTTTGTTTTATTTAATGTTTTAGCTTTGACACACTTCACTGTGTATGACATTGATTTTTTCGTACTTCATGATAGTAAATAAACTATTGTTACAGGCTCTGTGGTAAACGTCTTAATGGAAAAATGATTTTAACAGACTGGTTCAAGAATGGGAATCAAGTATTCTTCATAATCTGAACTACTTTCTTTAGTTGAATTCAGTAAGTAGCAACTCACCAAAAAAAGTTTGAGACAGCACAAGAGCAAAGATCCTAGTTGTTGTTTCTGCCTTTTCATCAAATTAAAAAGTAAAAAAGAAATAAAAAATTTTACAGTACAAATAGAATTACTTTCAAGGAAAACTCTTGGATTTTACTTAAACATCTTAAGAAGATTTGGTGTTGTATCGCTATAAGAATATTACTTTACCATGCCTCAGAACCACCCACACATTCATCACTTAACCTAAACCAAATAGAGAGACAACAAAATGGAAGCATTGTTAGCAATCCAAGGAAAAGATTTTGTACTTACTGCATCTTCTGGTTCAGCAGTACGAGGAATCACTGTTTTAAAGTCTGGGGATGACAAGAGTGAACAGTTGAATAGTCATAATTTGATGTTATACTGTGGTGAAGCCGGAGACACTTCGAACTTTGCAGAGTATATTTCAGCAAATATTAATTTATATACTTTACGAAATAATTTAATTTTGAGTCCTGAAGCCACAGCATCTTTCACTAGAAAACAACTCGCTACTTCTCTTCGTTCGCGTAAGCCATACATGGTAAACGTTTTACTAGCTGGATACAGTACTGAAAAAGAAGACCCTCAACTCTATTGGATTGACTATTTGGCTACTTGCGTTCGTGTTCCCTATGCATGTCAGGGATACAGTTCTTTCTATTGTTTGTCTCTGTTTGACCGTTATTACAAGCCAGATCTCTCGCTTGATGATGCCATTCACATTATGAAGTTATGTTTTGATGAGCTTAAAAAACGTATGCCTATTGACTATAAGGGATTTATCTGTAAAGTTGTTGACAAGGATGGTATTCGTGAAGTCTCCTTTTAAAATAAAAAGCCTCTACATGCTAGAATGAATTACCATTTACGACCCTCATATATATCAAATGTATAAAGCTTTGCGTTGGTCCAATCCTTTTTTTTCCACGTTATGTCTAGATTCCTAGCTGCATTCTCCGTTCTTTTACTATTCCATTTCCGACTATCACATGATTTTTCCTTTGTGTATTTTGTATTACCAAGTGTGCACAATGTTCTTCAATACTTGATTACTTTATTTTTAAAAGGTAACCCTATTTTATGCTTATTGCGATAAACCAACCGCGTAGAGTGCGTTTGTAGAGTGTTTAAAGGAGTAAATGACTAGCTACTGAAATGAATCTACATAGGATGGTGTCTGATATAGGCATCTGTTTACAAAAAGAATGCAGTGTATGGTAGATTACAATACCAACCATTTGCATAGAACGGTGGATAGTATTTATATCAAACATTAACTGTATTCAATGGGGAATAGAAGGGGGATGTTAAAGTGCAAGGTAAAAGAAAGGAAATGAGATATCAAATGTGAAAGCAAAAAAATACTTCCATGGTGTAAGAACTCAAGATCAAAAAAACAGGGACACTAATCCTCTCTTCGTTCAAGAGTGTAAGCAACATTTCCTCTGGCCATGTCCAAAAGCTGTTTAAGTTGCTGGGAGGGATGTGATAGTAGGGAAAGGAGACTTGCTTGTAAACCCTTATGAGAGGGAATCTTGGATATGGATTCAACTTGGAAGAAGTCCATTCCTTCCGATTCCAAGCGACCGCCAAGAAGAACCATTTTGTTTTGAAATCTTTTTAATGCAGACAGGCATCCGCGAATACTCTCAGGTGCCACATCTGGGCCCAAAGCGAAAATTGCAAGCGGACCTACAAACAAGTCATCTATGTCGAGCTTAACGCGATTTGCATTCTTATTTGATGAAATATCATTGGCCTTGGAAAGATCAACACTGCCATCAGCACCTTTTGGCAGGCTATCGTACACATGCAAGGCATGTCGGAAAATGGAATTAGATATGATCTTCAAATTACCATTAGGTGCATGAGATTTAAGCTCATTACGAAGATTCCGGGACTCAGAAGGAAGAAGATTATTATGTTGTAAAAGCAAAAAGTTAGGAGACTCCTGTAACAATGCTACATATTGGGAATGCAAGACTGATTTACGAAGTTCAGGAGATTTGAAAGACTTTAAAGCAGCACCTACATAATCTATTAGTTATGATAGTTCATTCAAGCCTTGTGTATTTTCCATACGCGCTACCATAGAACACTTCATTCTGGTGGATGGATTTGAGACTTTACGGACGAAATTAGATTTTCTTTTTTAATTAAAGTATACCATAAAAGGGTTTCGTTTAGAATACTTTTCGGGTATGTCTATTCGAGTTTCCTTTTTTCGAGTGTTGACTGTAAGATACGGTGAAATCAGGTTCTAGAAGAGAAGCCAAGGCAAAAGGGAAAGGCTTTGTTGAGTCACTGAATCTTTGAAGAAACAAATGAATTGCTTAGAATTAGAAAGACAACAAGAAGAAATTTTAAACAGTAAGATACGATGAAATTCGAGAAAAGTTTGGTATGGGAATTGAATGAGCCTTGAATGAAACAAGTAAAAGGAAAATCAGGAACTGGTTGATGTTTTTGCTCTTAATGAAATCAAAAAAAAAAATATCGTTGATATAACTAAACAGTTGAGATCGACTCAATATTCTGCATACTCAGTGTGTTTAAGATAGCATTCAAGTAGTTTCATTTTGTATAGATGTATTTGGATTATTAACAGAATCACTGTTCTCTATAAGAAGGGAAGTACCCTTCAATGAACATTCATCGAAACAATTTAAAACTAAATCCTAATGAGATTCTATCTATGATTTTGCCAAGAAAAAGTTCTGTTATTCACCGCAAACCACTATGGAAAGAATTCTATAAAATAATTAAACTTCCATGTTTTTTTATTTAGTATAAAGAAGGAATTTTCTTCAGAACCGCATTACGATACATAACCTGGATACTTCAAGTCCCATTCTAATCGGTTCCCCAATCAAAAGGCCAGTAACGAACTCGTATTAAATCTCTGTTTCAGAAAGAAGCATGTTGGGGATTCCCTCATATATAGGATAGACATGACCGCAACTTCCACAAGTCATTTTACCCTCCGTGATTTCAGTCTTTTCTGTGTTAGCTATATGTGTAGGGAGAAAAACAACGACATCCTTACCTCCAGCAAAACATTATGAAGTGATTTTAAAAGAACCTCGTCGGATTCTTCCGTCAATTCTGGCTTCTCTTCGGGAAGACTGTGATTCCCCAACTGTGAAAAAGCGTTAGTCATTGAAATCCTCTATTTCAAACAAACAGAACAGAAACAAAAACAAAATCTAGGGAAGACAGCTATTCCTAGTCATAACAGCTGAACATTCCAACGAGCAAATCTCTGTTTTTTTTTCAAACAACTTACCTGTCTTGTACTAATCAATAAAGCGTTCCAGTCGACTCTGGGAAGAATATTACGCAAAAATTCAGGCTTAAGCTCAATTTCTTGGATAGCCAGCTTGGCATCTTCAATCTTTAAAGGAAATGCTTCAGAGGTGCCACTGCATCTCTTGTTTGAGCAAGTAAGGAAATTTACTAAATAATTTGTTAGGAAACGAACCCCTTTACGACGCTGTCTCTTACCAGTTAACAATTTCATACTGAAATAAGTGTGTAATGTTAGTTTTTGAGAAGATGACAAAAAAGCAATTCTTGTCTAAAACAGTCCCAAAATGTAATTATTTCTTCCTTTTGATTCTTTCTATAATAAAACAAGAGTCAATAAAGGTACAATTATACAGAATGTAAAAAATTTGGAGAACGTCAGGTTAGTGAAAATAGCTGCAATATACCATGGCATTCGAATCCATTACTGAGCTTCAATCAAAGTTCCTGCTTTTCTCTGTCTTTTTTATGTAAGCAAGTAAAAAGAAAATTTTATAGAAGGAGGAATAAAAATTTTTTTCAGATGTTCATTAGGAGCGCCACGAAAGGAAACTGTTTATGGTGTGCAACCTGCAAGCATAAAGAGGTTTTTGAGTATATACAAACTCATGGAGTAGGACTTGACTTAACAATTGATGAAAAGTTTTCACTACGGCTAACAAATGAATGCAGTTGAAAAAGTTACAATAATGAATCAAGATGCCCATCCTCATATATTTTCAAAATACAAAATACTAAATAAAAAAGATAATCTACTCAGATGCAGATATACCAGCATGTTCTCTACCACCCTTTCTGCTAGTGGCCAAGGTAAAGTTTGAAAGAGGTTGGTCCATAACCTGCAACATGTATTGCAAGCTAGAACTCCATTTAGCAAGCTTTTCATGCAAAGAAATCCACTCATGCTTTCCGAAAACACGATAAGAGCTTCTGTGTATTAAGAAGGTCTGATTAAGTTGTGACATGCGACCTTCAACGAGACCAGCGCGAATGACATCGATAATCCAGAGTTCAACTTCACTTTCATCAGTTTGAAGAACCTTGGCAATGTCTTTGTAAGATAGAACATTGTTAGGAGCTTGGGTAGCAAGGGAAGCAATGGTCAAAAGCTTCATTTTACGAGTAATAGCCTCTTGGTCAAACTTTTCTTGTTGGCAGAAAGAACGGTTGGCATCCATCCAAGAAAAGAAGTCTTCAATCATACCACCAGACAAAATGCCAAGTAATTGCAAAGTGGCTTGTTCAAGTTGTTGGATAGCAGGAAGGGTGACAATGTCGTCGTAAAAGAAGTATTTGGGACTGTTCACTGCATGCTGTACCAATTCACGAACTGCTTCATCAGTGCTAGAAGGAGCCATCTTGACAGCCTCTAAGAGGAAAGCAAAGGATTGCTCTTCATCGTAAGATTGGATGACTTTTGATACAAAAACGTAAAAAGCCCGTTGATCGGAAACAGACACGCCGGCCTCATGGAGCCATTCAGGGAAATAAACAAAGTAGGGAGAAAGCAATTGATAATAGTTGAATCTTGTAGTGATAGTTACAACACTATTTAAGATGTGTAAGCGGGCATGTTGGTGATCTTTGATGGAGGCATTAAACAAGGTGCTAAGAACACTAAGGGCAAAAGGAACAAAGGAGGTATTTTGTTCAACGATAGACTCCAAAGCTTGGCAAAACTTGACGACGTGTTCTTCATATGTAGTAGACTCTTGTAAAAGACTAACGAAGACATTCATCATAGGTTCAAATTCTAAAATTGTTAGTGTTTGTGCTAGAAAGGCAAATAGCAAGAAGTGAAACGCGAAAATTCATGCTTGATGAAAAGCTTGAGCATAAACGCGTAATGAGCGATTTCGTCAGTTTTTTTCAATAGAAATCAATTGCTTTCACCGTGGACCATTCGAAGATACTTACCCTTCTCAGAAATTTGAGAAAGCAAAGATAACCGGTTTAAAAGGAAGGACAAAGCTTCATTAATATTTTCAGAAGCTAAAAATTGTTTGCAGCTAGCAAGAACATTTTTTTCTTGATTGGCTTCTACTTGATCCAGGAAAACAGCCAATTCTTCCACCTAAACCTCAAAGTTAGCCAAATTTCTCCGAAAAAAAAAACCATCGGTTTCAAATCTTCGTACCTGTTCTTCTACGGAGGAATCTACAACCAAAACAAAATCAGAGGCTTCCATCTCTGCACGAAAAAGATAAATTTGCAAAGAAAATGGCAAAAGTTCGTGGTTGGTGGTTGTTGGTAGGAACGCCCTCGCGCAAGTTGTGTAGCACTAGGGCGACCCTACCTGGTGTTGGTGGTGAAGATGGAAAGGAAAAAACATGTTACCTAAGGAAGAGGAAGAAAAAAACAAAGATGATTGTGAAGAAGATGACTTGTCAAGAACATGCTTGCAAGCAGAATTCTTAGAGCAAGGTCAATTTGGAAAGGTATGAAAAAGAAGCGTAAAAGTTATGTTAATAGAGATACTAATGATCTTTAAAAGGACCAAATGTTGTTGATTTCGGCGTGAATTTGGAAGAATGTGTGAAAACCCAAGCTCCCGTTAAGACCATGGTGCGTTCTGCAACGATTTTGCCAAGGATGGTTGGGTAAGGAGGATGAGGAAAGGTAATAGATGGGCCGAAAGCTAATCATCATTATTTTAAGGGCTCAATTTCTCGTGCACAACGGCAAGAGCTATGCGTCTGTCAATATTACGGAAGACATGATTGGACATAAGCTGGGAGAGTTTGCACCGACAAGAAAGCCATTCCATTACCGTCAAACCAAGAATCGTTAATTGTACAGCTTTTAAAAGCTTTAGGTGGAGTAGCTGAGTTGATCGCAAAAACAGATGAGAGGATACACTTTGCTAGCACAAGAAACGCGTTGAATTGCAAGCGAATGAAAGAACTGTGAATGAATAGTGTAGCATAGCATACTTTTTGAAAGAAAGGAATGAAAGAAAATACGACAAAATAAAAGATGGCTACTAGTATGAAATTACAAAACAACCCATGCATTTGATTGATAGATATCTAAATGCAACTATGAAGCAATGAAATCCAGAATCCAAAACAAACCCAACGGTAGGAAGGAATACAAAAAGGCGGTAAGGGAGTAGAGTCATAGAAAGCAAGAAAGACCGAAAGAATTCAAAGGTCTTTGAAGACAACAGGGAAAGGGAACAAGAAAACAGATTCTATTATTTAGTATTCTTTTTTTCTTTTTTTTTGTCCTTCTTTTTTGTATCCTTTTTAGGGGGAGCTGAGGTTGTGGAAGCAGCAGAAGAAGAGCCCAAGGCGGCCTCGCGCTCATGCTATAGAAAGTGGGTTAATAAGTCAATAGAAGGAGGGAAGGAAATATTTAAAAAAACGTACAGCTACTTGAAGCTTAGATTTAATTCTATCATCCAATTCATAAGCGACTTTGTTTAATATTTGATGCAGATCATCCTGTTGAAACGTTAGAAGAGAAGAAGGAGGAGGAGGAGAAACCTGTTGAAATAAAATGAACATACGGTAGACTCGGCAAACTTTTTCCCCTTCTTTTTACCCTTTTTCTGGATTTTTGTCTGAGGGTTGCTGGAGGTATTCAACTGAGGAATGTCCAGGTCTTCAATAGGGATGGATGGCTATAGCAAGGAACGAAGTTAGATCTTTTAGAAATTTTCAACATGGAAAAGAGGAACGAAACAAGAATGGATGAAAGCGAAGCTACTCTGCAAAGGACAAAGGGATAGAGCACAGGAAGAAGAGATAGCAATTCGCAAAATTCAGTCTCTTAGGACATTTTCTAACATACCTGCTTCTTTTTGTTTTTGGTGACGGCGACCATGGTGTTCAAAGGAGTCAATGAAGGCAAAAATTAGAAATCAAGTCTTAATTGTGGAAAATCAACTACAATGGTAACGATGTGTTTTTGTAAGCCTTTTGGCAGAGCCCAAGCTGTGTGCCTTTCTGTTCGCTTCGGTGAGAGGTTACCGAATTGACCGAAGTTTTCCGGAAAAGAAAATAAGAAAAGGTAGGAAATAGGTGGGATATAAAATTAATGAGGATTGTATGAAATGATTGTAAGTAATTGACTGGTTTGCTTTTTTCTTGTTCCAAAAACGACTGACTCAGGAAAGGGTTTGCTGGAACCATTGTATCGACACAAAACGTTACGGCCAGGAGAAAATCATCAAGGAGTGTTTGACTCCATTGCACAAAAGTTTTTTCTTCATCCTTTTAATTATTCAAAGACGAACCTACTCCAACAAGAATAGCTTGAAAATATTCGGAAAGACACCTTTGCGTCTTTTCTGTTCGCTAAACATGAGCTTATAGAGCAACTCTAATATGAAACGCGGGTTCAAGAAAAGAAGCAAAGGGGAGTAAACAATAAGTAAAAAGAATGAATGAACAGTGGAATTGTAAGGAATTCCGCAGGATCAATTCTTTTATAAATATGTTATCTTTTGGACTAGACAGCAACAAAAAAAAAAAAAGGTCTAGTTCAGTCAAGGCAGGCAGAGGCAACGCAAGGTAGAGAGGTGCGCACGATATAGGGAAATCTTGGCAATTCCAAAAGAAAAGTTTCCATGAGGATGAATCATGAATGCTCCCATCATTCAACAAGAATTCAATAAGAAAATAAAATACCGAAACGGGGCCTTTTGCTCGCCGTTTGAGACAACATTATCGAGACTACGGAAATTGCCTAGTTGTTCTTTTACCCGTATCCGAACAAAGCAAATTCCAAAATCGATGAAGAAGAAAAAAAAAAACAGCGTCAAAGATAGATCAAGGAAAACTGAAAACTAGAAAGCGAGATTTCGCGCGCATGTGGAAGCTAATGCAAATAACAGGAAACAAATATGTAGAGAAGCAGCACAACACACAGAAACTGCCATTGACATTGGCATTAGCCGAGGCACATACACAGACAAAAACAGGACTATAGAGAGAGTGTGTGTGTGTGAGTGAGAGAGTAAGTGAGAGTGAGAAACGAATGGGCGATTCAATCCATCCGCTTTAGTCAAGAGGGTGTCTTACGATAGACAAGACAGCGGTCTGGATTCGATTTTTCCGTCTTACTTTACGAGTTTTCTTTACTGTGACATAACTTTGGCTCTATGTTGAGTGTATCTGTGATGGGTCTACATTCTATTAGTTTGATTTCATTGATAAGTCGCTTTTTTATCTGAATACCGAAAAAAACCAAGAAACAGGATTAAGAAAAGGACGACTGAAATTTCTTTCATTATTTAGATGAATTTTTCATTTTCTGTTCACTTCCTTTTTCATATGGCTGGTTCCCTTTCGAAACTTCCTTCATTTTTTCTTTGTTTTTGTTTACGGGATTACCGAATCTCACAGTTGTTACCTTTTCTCCGCACCTTCCCTCGTGGCCCTTTGACCCTTGCTACTTCATCCACGTTTGCCTACCTCTAAAATTTTCCTTCCCCACATTTACGCTTTCCTCTCCCTATCACAACGAAACCAAAACAAACCACACAAATTCTTGGCTTTTCACTATCTTTTGCCTCCTGTGCCATAGTTTCTTTTTTCGAATTGGTTTCTTACTGTGTTGTACTCGTTGCATTAACTTCCATTTTCCAATTTCCAAAAAGTTGCTCCTTCGTTTCGCTAGTCGCTTCCGTCGTTTGGAGACGCTTTTTTTTTGTCGGACACTGGATACTGTTTCCTTTAAAGGAATTCAGCTTTTGTAATTCTTCTTGGTTTGTTCATTTTGCCTGCAACTGGCTTGGCGGGATTCGTTATTCTTTGAAAAGGGTGTTTCTCTCTTCTAGTTGTTCTTTCATCCTTCTTCTCTTTTGCTAGCTGTCCATTCTACTTAATTGCTAGCATTCCTTTCTTCCCGCTACTTTTTTCCTTTGTCACGTTAGGTCTGTCTGTCTGTTGATGTTTGTTTCGACGGATCTCCGCTTTTTCATCGCCTCTATTGGATTTCTCTCCAATTTCTCTTCTTGAATTTCATTCTTTCATTCTTTTATTTTTTATTTTTTTTAATTTCATGATCGATCATTTACGGAAAACTTGTGCATTATCAAGACACCTTAACTTGTACTAACTTCACTGTTTACTCGTTTTCTTTAGCTCCCCCTCGTTCCTTCAGTTTCATCAGTGGTGGTGCGTACTGTCCGATCAGACATTGTCTTTTTGGTCTTTGTGCCTCGGTTATCGTTTTGCTTTTTTAACCTCATTCCATTTCTTACCCCATCTCTTATTCTCTTTTATTATTTCTTGTTGTCTAATCCTTAATTTCTCTTCCTTTTTCTCACTCTCTTTATGTCTATATGCCGTCGTCGTCTATTCCTTCCGATCCTCCCATTTTGCAACCGTCCTTCTTTGGGTATGTAGGTACTACATTGGATGCCCTTTGGCTGTTTCAAGCCTGCCAGCAAAACATCCTTCCCTTTACTCCTCGTCGACCTCAACGCGAGGAACGAAAACATATCATCCATTCTGGCAATGTTTTTATATTCAACGAAACTCAATCCGGTATAAAGCGCTGGACCGATGGTGTCCATTGGTCCCCTTCTCGCGTCATTGGTAATTTCCTAATATATCGACAGTTAGGAAATTCCTCTTCTAATTCAAACGAAAAATTAGATTCCACAAAAGCTGCTTCTGGAAAAAATGGTGATGAAAATGGTCAAAATGAACCAACGCCCGAATCTCATTTTACATCTGCTCCTGCACCTCAACTTTCCCATGAGTCGCATCCCTCAATTCCAATGGGCGATGTCTTTTCCAATCAAAACGCCTCTATAAAACACCCTCCTCAACCTTCGAATTCAGTTCTGCAGAATCCAATATCCACAGCCGTTTCTAATACGTCTACTCTTCCACCCAAAACAGAGTTTTCCTCAGCATACCTTCAAGACCCTACCGGCCTCTTGTCCCCTTCATCCGTCTCTGTTCGTCCGATTCCTGCTCAGTGTTCTGACCCTCTATTCCCACACCAAAACCTTGTTCCTCCTTCTTCCACCTCCGCCCCTACTCCTATTCCTTCTGCTGGTGAAGACATAAAACCTTATGCAAATGCTACCGCCTCTGCAACGGTTTCTGGACAAACTTTCACCGATGCGTTTTCTCGGTCCCTTCCGTCCTTCCCTGTTGCTCCTAATTCTTCCTCTGGTCCTCTAACTCAGCAATATCCCATGAAACGCCGTCTTTCTGTACCGTCGTCTTCTTCCACTTCTGCACCTAACGGGTTTCCCGTCAATTCTGCTCTCTCTTATCTTCATGATAGTGAGCGCGCTCTTGTCGGATCTTTAAACGATGCGTATTCTTTCAAGAAGGGTGGCCTTGTTAAGAAAACTATTTCTCTCACTATTCATGGACAATTACATCACCTTATTTCTTATTATACAGCTGAAGATGTGCTAGATGGTAAATTGAAAACTCCAAGCTCCATGCCTCTCTTTCGCCATCTTCCAATTTCCCCCGACTTGCTTGAGAGCAAAAATTTCCGTATTCCTCCCTTAATTGAAGCAGCTGAATCCGAAAAAATATCGTACTGGAATTCTGTTTCCTCTTATGATACACAGCAAGCACCTTCTTCTGTCGTTTTAACTGGCACTTCGCCTTCTGTGTCGGATGTGGATTCTTATCATTTTCAAAACCTCACCCTCTCCACTTCTCCTACCTCTAATTTACCTCCAATTTATAATGCTAATCAAACATCTCCAACGTCAATGCAACATCCATTTGCTTCCATTCCTCATTCCTCTTCCCAACTTCCTTTATATGCTAAATCCTCGAACCATGTACCTAATCCAGATATGCCGCCAATGCAATCTTTCAGCAGCCATGCTTCTCCTCATTATCCCGAAAATTCGATTCCTGCTATGACTTCAGCGACAGAGTCTTCTGCTTATCCAAATTCAGTTCTCATAAAGAGTGAATATAATGAAGACGGCTCTGGTGCTCAGAGTGGCTTACCTCCCTTTCATGCCAAAGAGGGATCTTGGATGGATAAAGATCCAGTTTACAATAACTCTCGACAGTACTTAACAACACATACTTCTTTTCCCCAGAGATCATTATCTAACAATACCGTCCTTCCAGGCTATACGAGCTTACAAGAAGCAAGTACTGCGAATATGGAACCTTATGATCGCAACATGCATAGGCATTCTTTGAGTACAAGTCAACCAAGCACAATAATGCCTAATGAATCAGGGTTGGCTTATCAGTATCCAACTAATACGAATATGAATCCCTTAGGAGCCCCACAAGGAATGTCTGATTTATATTGGAATAAAGATACTCATTTACAGCCCCCTATGATTCATCCTTCTCAAGGTAACGCTATGTACATAAATTCTGGACAAAATTGGGTCCCCAATTCTAATATGAACGTACAAGGCAACTCTGAGTATCCTTTTCCTATGCAACAAGAGGACACTTCTGCCAGTATGAGAAGAAGTACAGTTGGCCGTCTTCCGAAGGTGTTTCTGCCTACTCCCAATTCTCGTAGAGGCTCTGTTCCTTTAATACAAACAAAACAATTACCGATGCGTTCCACGGGGAATCGCCCTTTCTCGCCTGTCAATACAATGCATCGTTCTGCATATCGTGCTCATCCATACCCAATCATGCCTACTATTTCACATGGAGAATATCGATCGGACGAGACGAATAAAACAATGCGCTAACTAATGTTGGTTTAGAAAAGACTCTTTTTATGCATTTTTCAGATCAGTAATAATTTAATGTATTTTTAATGCTATGGATTAGCATGGTAAAGATCAGCTGTCTTTACCTGTTCTCTCCTTGGCTATAATTTACTACGGCTTTTTTATTTTTATTTTTTTTTTACAAAAATTTATACCACCCCCCCTCCTTTATTCTTATTTTAGCTTCTTGATATGTTTCAGATAATTTTTCACGCTACGACAGAAAATGACAAAAGAAACCTTCCTTTATTTTGTGATTAGCTTTACACATAATTGATTGAAAAATAAATGAATTTGTTTTATTATACGATAATGATTTCGCCTTTGCCTGTTCTTCATTTCATTTTCTTACTACATATTGTTCACTATAACTAGTCTAAATTATTTTTTCTATGAATTGAAAATAACTGTGCTGGAGACTCTTAAACTTACAGAAGAATCAGTATTGTTGACTAAAAGAGACTAAAATGAAAGCTTACTATCTTCTAAAGCTCTTTTACGCTTGTTTATTGCATTTCTTGTTTATTTTCAAATTACTTTCCAACTCGCAATTAGCTCTTTGCGTGTATTAGCGATGTATCTTTAATACCTTTAAGAATACTGTGCGTTATCGCTATTTAGTAACCTCCCATGATATAGTAGAAAACAAATCAAACTGCAGCAATTTAGCAACAACTGAATTTATGGCTTCAGCGAATGTAAGCGCGCGTGTATATGAGCTGCTAGAAGCGTTAAAAAAGGAGTTTGATGAAGTATCCAGAAAGTCGCAAAGTTCAGAGCACCATAAAGATGATTTTGACTATAAAGGTATCTTTGGGCAGTCAACAAACAATTCGAACGCTGGTGTAACTAACGAATGGAAAGGAATCATTTCATCTCAAATACAAGAGATTGCTCTCATGAAACAAACGGTTATGGATTTGGAGATGCAGCAAAACAAAGTCAAAGAAAGGTAATAATAGAGTGACTGGGATTCACGAGCTCGTCAAATCTCAATTTATAATATTTCTTTTCAGCTAACCAAAAATTAGATACGAAGAGGAAATTGCTAGATTAAAAAGTCAACTGGAGAACCGACGGAAGGAGATTGCTTCGGGAACGATTTTTGGACGCAGGAAAAACAGTGTATCAGTAGGAAAGCCAGGTTTGTCTGAATCCACAAAACCACCTTTTTCAGCAAATGGAAATGGAATAACCGGGTCTGCTCCAACAAATTTGCGCTCCCCTGCAGTCGATTCTGATGGTACTGCTTTAGCTCCTCTCCAACTCCCTAATCCTGAACTAGCAGCACAAGGATACCCTGGTTCATTGGTGAATCCTGCAATTGTAGGTGGAATGGCTGGTTCCGGCGTCCGAAGTAAGTTGAAATTCTTGTCGATATGTAAACATGGCTGATGTCGTACTAACTATTTTAGCTTATCCTCAAAGTTTGCCTTTGGGACATCCCCCACCTCCTGAATCCGCATATGCTTCGTCAGGTACCCTCCCTGTTGCCGGCGGAACTAATGCTAAGATGAACGTGAACCCACCTCTTCCCTCGGAGATGATTCCCACATCAAGTTTGACAAATAACGAGGAGAAAGATTGGTCTATCTCTACAATAAGAAAAGACAAACAATCTCCTGTTTCTGTGAGGTTGCTCCATACATTGGAACACACAAGTGTAATTTGTTATGTTCGCTTCAGCGCAGATGGTAAATACCTAGCTACCGGTTGCAATCGTGCCGCCATAGTATTTAGTGTCGAAACCGGTCAGCTAGTCACTCTTTTGCAGGAAGAATCTGCTGAGCGTGAAGGAGACCTTTACGTACGAAGTGTAGCTTTTAGTCCAGATGGTAAATACCTGGCTACTGGAGTTGAAGATCGTCAAATTCGGATTTGGGATATTGCTCAAAAACGCGTTTATCGACTTTTGACTGGTCACGAGCAAGAGATCTACTCGTTAGACTTTAGTAAAGACGGTAAAACGCTGATATCGGGCAGTGGGGATCGCACAATTTGTCTTTGGGATGTTGAAGCCGGTGAGCAAAAGTTAATTCTACACACAGACGATGGTGTGACTACAGTTGCCTTTTCTCCTGATGATCAATACATCGTTGCCGGTTCTTTGGACAAAGTCATTCGAGTTTGGACGTCCTCTGGTACCTTGGTAGAACAATTAATTGGTCATCAAGAGAGTGTTTACAGCATTTGCTTCTCACCTGACGGATCGCATCTGGTCAGCGGTAGTCTTGATAACACAATTCGATTGTGGGAACTTCAAGCCACGAAAAGGATATCACCCAGCTCTATTAAAGAAGGAGGAATATGCAAGCAAACATTCAGCGGGCATAAGGATTTCATTTTGAGCGTTGCCGTGAGTCCTGATGGAAAATGGATTATTAGCGGATCTAAAGATCGAACAATCCAGTTTTGGTCTTTGGATTCACCAACGTCTCAGCTTACTTTGCAGGGTCATAATAATTCTGTCATTTCCGTTGCCATTAGCCCAAATGGACACACTTTTGCAACGGGAAGTGGAGATTTACGTGCACGAATTTGGTCCTATACAGATCTTTAGAAATTCCTATTGTTCTTAATGTGTTTTACCCGCTTTACCCTTTTCTCCTTTTTTACATTCCATCCGTAATGTGCTTTTGTTCAGAAAATCTTCCAGATTTTTAAATTATTGTTTTTCGTTTATAACATGATTAGTAACCAAGGTTATATAATGGGGATCCTATTTCCAGATGCTCTGATCCATTTCTTTTTTGATAAAAATCTTATTTTTGTCCATACTCGTCCCTTCTTTCTATAAGATATGAACAGTCAGTCATGTTACTGTTTTTTTTTTTTTGTTTTTCTTTATTCCGTAATTTAGTTATGTAAATCGATGTTCACAAATTTAATGGAATAGAATTATACCAAATTCCTTTTAAGTGGATGCTCACTTGATAGAAATACAGTTGTGTATTTATTCTGTAATATATTCTTAGAAGTGAGATTTTGTAAATTCACAATTCCAACTATTTCGTTTGACTTTTTACAACAAACTACGACACCAAAGGTTGGTATGAAACTAAATACCCATTTCACCGTTACTACGGATTGAAAGGAAATTTCACATTATTTCAAGGTAAAATATCCCATGAATAACATTTTTATTTATATTGAATATTTCAAAAAAAAATACCAGAGAATTGGGGTGATTTAGACCAAATCAGACAAAAAGAAAAATGGGAGAAACGACTTTGGTTTTTGGCGATGAACCTAGCTGGACTGATGCGGATATTCAGCTCTACTTTCGTTCAAACCTTTCGTTAGAAAAAAGATATCATATTGTTAGGAATATTTATCAGAGACTGAAGAATTATATATACTCGTCTATATCTATAAATCTAGTATGGAATCATATACAAGATTTCTTTTCTATAAAAACGAATAATCGAGATATGCGGAAGTTAGCATATAATTTAATGGAAAGATATATCTATACGCAGAAGGAATTGTCTCTGATGGAAAGATATGTGTTCTTTCAATCCATTGAAAAAAATGAGTTTCATGATCCCTCAGAACTTAGGCTGAAACTCAAATCTCTAAACGTTTTGACGAATGAGGGTCATAAAATCTCTGGAATTGAGAACAAAATATGCCCATTATTAGCTTCATGGTTCATTCAGGCTCACCAGTTTCAAACAGAACGCTCTCAAAAACAAGGGCTTTTAAAGGAAGAAGGTCTGTTATTTCTAACTGAACTGTTTGCTTTTTCTAGCAATTTGACCAAATTCCAACTCTACAGGGTTCCTGAGCACCACGCACTGTTGCTTATTAGTTCAGTCGTTGATGTCTGTAACAGAACTCCATTAACAGAAGTAGTTGAAAAAACATTACTTCTTTTTGATGCTCTTGTCCGTTACTCTTCCGTTCCAGGCTCTGCTGTCAATGATGTCGTTGTTATTTTATGCAGCGCTTTTGTAAGTACGTTTTCCTATTCCAAGCTGGCCAACTCAGTCGTCGTCAATCTATTCCAAAGTCATATCTCACATATTGTCTTTGAAGCTGTTATAGATATTTTGCGAAATTTAAGGACGAACGTGAATGCAGTTCGTGGTGCAGTTCGTCTTATGCGCTTCTTTGTTTTGCAAGGGTCAACTATAGATCCAATGGCAACCTTTAGTTTGAGTTCCTCCATAAAGTATACAGAGCTTCCTTTGGGCTATCATGAAAGCGTTGATTTTGAGATCCTTGGCACTGTCTTCTTGTACTTGCAAACTCCTCGTATTTGCTCCCAAATTTCTTCAGTGGATTGGAGACGTATTTTTAATATTTTATCATTTTCTTCGAAGTATTTACCTTTTGAAACTTCAGAAACTAAAAAATCGCATAAATATGCTACTGCCTTTGCAAATTTATATGATCGAATATTGGATGTTTTAGAGATTGATGCTTTCACTCCTTCGTTCATCTATTTTGAAGAGAAGCTAATTGCATTCTTTCATAAAATACTTCCTTTGTTGAAAACCTCGATCTTAAAGAAACTTGTTCAGTACATCGATGCCTGTAATCTTACTTGCCCTTCAAGTTCCTGTTGGACTTTAAATCTTTCTTTTTTATACAAAGTAAGCCAAACTGGTTTCCTTTCTGACCAAGATAAGGCAAATGTTTTAAAGACGATCCAAAAAACATGTTCATTATTGGATAAAAATTCAGTCTCTGAGTTTTACAATGTTTTTCTTCTTCCAGCTTTAAAAGATCTCAGTGACTCAGAAGATGAGGGTTTAATTGCTCCTTTATATAATATGCTATTTTTTATCCACGTCAATCATTCCTTTATTGAGTTAGAGGGTTTAATACCACTTTACCAGCAATTTATTCACTCTCCCAATAGTGGGGATATCACAGTTCGACTTGCTACAAGCTCCTTAGTTCGCCTTTTTTATTTCTACTCTGATTTGAAATGTAAGGAGCAGGCATTCACACTTCTGTCAACACTTTTGTCTTTGCTGAGTAATAACAGCTCTCCGATAATAACTCGATCAATGTGCTTACAGCTATTTCTTCGATTTCGTAGAAATGCGCAAGGAATATATTTGGTCGAACACTTACACCAGCGAGCTTCTCTCTCAAATGCCAGTTTGTTTGAAGAATCAATGCCATACATCTACCCTGTTTCAGATTCGTTTATCAATGACATTTTCGTTGACAAGCATCATTGGGGAAGATCATCCTCTGAACTTTTCAACGAAAAGGATGGAAGCGGACAAGTAAATGACTTTATATTTCCTACGTCTTTACTGTTAAACACCTACAAAGATATATTTCTTAAAGAAACTGAATGGACTATTTTCGGCTGTTTGGTTGCTCATTTTCCAGATCAGTTAAGCAACCGTAGCCTATTTATACAGTCAATTCTTCAAATCAGGGAATTAGTAAATGTTTTCTGTGGAATGATTTCTGAGCGCATAGCATTTCCCGCTGCTGTACCTGAAGATGTTCGAAAAGCCCACATTATGATACCTCTTCTTCAGGCTGCTTTAATGTCGTTTGGATATCTAGACCACTTTACACGGGCCGAAAAAGATGAATTAGTTAATGCATTTTTACCAGGTCTTGAAAAACGGAATGAAGTATGTCATATTTGTATACATGCTTTATTGTTGTGTTGCTATGAAATGCCAGTATCTATCAGCAAGCATCTACCAGCAATTTTAACCAGGTTATCCAGATTGATAACTAAGCCAGATTTGAGTGTTCATATTTTGGAATTTTTAAGCAGTTTGGCTAGATTGCCAGACCTCATTGCTAATTTTACAGACGCTGATTTTCGGCAAGTTTTCGGGGTTTCTTTGAAATACATACAGCATTATAATGTTACAAAAAGCGGGAAGACTCAACCCAATGATAATGTTGTAATTAAGCAGTCTTATTCAAGTTATGTGCTAGCTTTGGCTTACAATATTCTTCAAATTTGGTTTCTTTCAGTACGGACTAGTGAACGTAAAAAATTTGTTCCTTGGATTTTGCGTGGATTAAGTTTAGCTGCTGAAGGTCAAGCTCTCGATGATTTGAGCTTGGTGCAGTATGATATGATGCAAAGGTTTTGTTATTCAAACTCTGATATTCACAATCAAGCTTCGAGTGGTATTGATCCAGACATGAATTCACAAACCTGGATCCGCGGAAATTCTCTTTTTACCGTCAGCGTATCAAAGAATTTGAATTACATGCAAGCGCTTGTACGTCGTCCTTCTGGGACAACGCAATATACATTTCGAAATATGGCTTATTTAAGAAACTGGATGCTTGAAGAGGACTTATCAAGTTCCAAGGGTCTACCATCTCATAATGAATTTGCTCCGATTCCTAGTAGTTTTTTCTCACATTTTTTGGATCCACAGGGAATCTCTGTCGATAGCCATCCAATTCTCTTACCTGCTAATGATGCTGTGCGAAGAGCTATTGCTGTTTTCGATCGGGTTCCAGTTATTGAATCTCTGAAGGCTGGAGTTGTTTATGTTGGTTATCAACAAACTGTGGAAGCGGATATATTAGCCAATACAGACCCTTCTCACAGCTTCAAAGAATTTCTCAATGGACTGGGAGTTATGACAGAGTTGAAAGGTAGCAAAGAATTTTACACAGGAGGTTTGGATCGTGAAAATAACATCGACGGTGCATTTGCCTATTATTGGAAAGATAAGGTCACGCAACTTGTTTTTCATTGTACAACATTGATGCCTACAAATTTTGAACGGGATCCCAGCTGCACCATGAAAAAACGGCATATTGGAAATGATTTTGTAAATATAATTTTTAACGAATCAGGTCTGGTTTATGACTTTGACACTATTCCTAGCCAGTTCAGCTTTGTGAATATAGTAATCTCTCCAGAATTTGAACCAAACAGTTCGTCAAATCAGTCTGCCAAATTCTTCAAGGTAGAAGCGCAGACAAAATACGATATAGATTTCAGTCTTTTCAACAGCCATAAGATTGTTTCGTTAGAATCATTGCCTGCGGTCGTGCGAGATGTGACATTAAATGCAGCGGTCTTTTCTCATATCTATCATCAAGGTGCTGGTGACTATGTTTCAATATGGACTGAGCGTTTACGACAACTAAAGCGATTAAGAGAAAGGTTCCTACCTGCACATTTGGTTGAGGAGGATCATGAGGAACGAATACAGATGAAATTAAAAAATGGCACAAATTTTTCGGACTTCACAAGCTATCTCTAATAAAAAAGGAGGGGGTGCAGACATTATTTAATGATAGATATGTATACATTTATGAATGATTCTCTAATAATAATTAATTAATAAATATTTACTAATCTATTCATATTCTATGGCAACAAATAGTTTGATTTGTATCGGACGAGTACTATACACTAAAGAAGTTCAAAACCACAAAGAATAATAATGGTGGCCAGATGAGAAATATAAAATAGCTGAAAGCTTTATGTATGATGTTTTTGTAACGACGATGAGAGTTGGCACGCCTATTTTGGGCTTGAGTATGGTATAAAGGAAGAAGACGACCAGACTTTTGATAATAGAGGTTTGCAAAATATGTGACAATAGCAAATAAACATAAACAGGAAAAGCCATAATATAGATATATAGCAAGCTGGTCAGGAAGTAAGCAAAGATGAGTTTGATAGGACTCTGAAGGCGGCTTTCCTTCTTCATGAACATAAAATAATGAAAGCAATTGATATCCTGGTCTTCGTATTCCACTTGTCATTGCAAAGGCTTTGACATTGTATTCAGGGACCTTTTTAAGAGAACCGTAATCATCAGTATAAGTATGAACAACTTCACAATAATCGTGATCGTCACCGGCAAATGCAGCAATTGGTTCAGTATCCTTTAAAATCTCTGAAGACAGTTCTTTCGAAAGCACGTTTTGATATTGGTACCCATAACCAAATGATATCGTATCCTTCTTTTCGCGTAGTTTTCCACAGGATGTCTCATCTGGGCGGTATAAAGGAACATGCCCAAAAAGAATCCGTGGTGATGAATCGTCTTTCTCCTTTTTAAAAAACTCCAAATAAGATTTCGGTTTCCCGTATACGTTCGGTGATATAGTGTTAGAAAGTCGAATTCCATCAACCAAGGCTAAGGTATGGTTGCCAGCAATTACGGATCGGGAAGTAGGACCATAAATAGATTCAAATATTCGAATTTTATCGTAAAAAGTCTTTTCCCCGAAGCCAATATCGTGATTCCCAGGATAAACTTCGACATGTTCAGCAAAGCCGAAATCGAAAATTTTGTTAAATCTGTCTAGATCCCTTTGCCATTCCTTATAATTAAATTCTCTTCCAGTATCCATCAAGTCTCCCATGATAATTGTCAGATCAGGTTTGAGCTTTTTATGAAGGTACCGCCAGTGTCGAAATAAATACTGGTCGGCAAGGAATTGTACGAGACGGAGCAAGGGACGAGGATAATTGTAGGTACCAATATCTACAATCTGGGGATCAGCTACTAACGCAACATGGAAAGGTTTTGCTTTCTCAGGCCAGCTTTCCCATTTTGACCAATGGCATCTTGTATGTGATCGAATATGAATAGTCCTTTCAAGATAATAGACCAAAAGAAAAGCAAAAATAAAATAAAAGAACACAATAATTTTCATAGCTGCAATCTCTCTAGTATGCTAAACAAACAGTTGAGCCAAAATATGCTAAGTTCATAAAACAATGGACCAGCTACTTTTGTATGAAGATTATTTGAGAGGATAGAAAACACCTTTTTTGTTTTCTTTCTTACGGTTGAATGAGAAGGCACTGACTGAAAAAAACTTATTTTTGAAAAAGGTATAATAAATAGAAACTTGAAATGACGAGGATAATAACAAAACAGAAATAGAAATTTAGTATATCATCAGAGAAGGTTACTTGACTGTCACGGTGTGAGATGGACTCACAATCGGGTGGAAAATTGAAAAGAGAGTTGTGTCGGATTGAAAGTGATAGGTCAGAGACCGCAATAGAAACGAATACTAGTGAACAGATCAATATTAGAAAATAATTGTATGAAATTGGTATTGGTAGATGAAAGGTGAAAAGGAAGTTGTAATAATTGCTTGTTTACGTTGTGGTAGAAAAGGTATGAAAAGAAATAAATATCTTTACGGTTTTCTCATAAGCTGCATTTGTTACAAGGAATGAGAAGATCAGTTATATAAATAATGGATAAAAGATTAGTCTAACACAAGTGGATTTTGTGTATTGGCATAAAGAAGCAGCGCGATTCCATTTATTAACAAGAAATATAATATTAGCAACCTTGAAATAAAACATTCATTAAGCATAGATTGTAAAAAAATAAAAGGAAAAGAAAACAATAATCATTAGGCGTTTGCATAAGTTAGCAAATAATCTCGGGATGAGCGAAAGTATCTGATGAACAGAAATATAACAAAGACATTGGATTTTAGAGAAGAAGATAAGAATATATTTCCTCTTGGCAAAAGATTTCTTTCCCTTTTGAAAAAGATGGAACAGTTGCGAATCCTCCCTTTAGTTGGTCGATATTGCAGAAACAAGCTTGTCTATTTCGAAATGATGCGTGAAAGGAGAAGTAAGCAAGTCTTAGAATTCTTCTTCATGAATGGTAAAGGCTTGAGAATAAATGGTAATTACCATAAAGATAATGAAGCCACCAACACAGCTCATGATCGCAGCCGGTGTATTCGTTAAGCTAACATTCACAAAAACAATGGGGAGAGCTAAAAACAAAGTTAGAGTGAATGTTTTTCTTAAGCAAAAGGAATTCCATACCAAAGCCAGTACTTATGGTAGCACCAAAAACAAATCGGCCAAAGTCTAAGAGATTGCTAAATCCGTTAGCCAAAAGTTGAATAGCTGAAAAAATAATTGGCAAAGAGCATTATTAATAAGAGACGGTTCCTGAAAGCCGAAAAAGGAATTCGTTTGGTCTTTCAAGAGACATCTCATGTCATTTCAATCCCTGGAAAGGAAACCTTGAAGGGCAGAGATCTTCGTCGTTATAATTAGAGAACATACCGATCCTCTTCTTGTAAAAAGTCATGACTGGAAGAATACCGTTCGGTGAGAAATTGAGGTAGAGGTGCCAGCAAAAAGGGAATAACTGAAAGGTTAGAGACAGAGGAAATAGAAACCGAGTAAATTCTAGCATCGAAAAAACAAAATAATCCTTTTGAATCACTTCGTTCTGGAAAAAGAACATACCAATGAGCAAAGGATACCAATTTCTGTAGAGAGCACCAGACAAAATCACAAGCATGAAGCCAATGGCAAGCACCTTTTTACGACGTTTTAGTTAACAATTGGTACATTACAAATAAAAAGACAGCAGGAACTATTGCATACCGAAGAAAGGCCAATGATTCTAATTGATGAAATGTATCGTTAGTTTGCAAAACTTCGCGGAAAACTCAACTACATGAAGACAAACTTACTTTTTGAGATCAGACATGCTAGTTTGTATGCACAAAGACCTTTAATTTTTCTACTACAATAATTTGCTATGAGAAGAAGACCAAGACGTAGCATCTATAACCCTTTTGGGCTACGCTAGTTCTCGCTAAAGTACAGTAAATAATATTTGGAATAAAAACAAAAGTTGAGGGTTCAGGATGGTTTAGGAAGGCTATTGTACAACAAGAAAGGATCAACAGGTGGAAGCTGTCGGATTTCAGGACATAGTGTCGTCATTTGAGAGAAACGGGCATGCTGGGGTAGCAGCAGGTAGGCATTGTCAAGAGAGAGGAAGGAAAACAAAGGGAGTTAGGCTGATAAAAGCGGGCTGAAGAAAAGGTATGTGTTGTTTTTGACAAGGATCAAGGACAGAATTGGCGACTGCTAAACTTAACTGGACAGGCACGGGATGAAAAAGTTATTTCTCGATGGTCCGTCATGAACAGTTTTTTTCTTCCAAGATAGGTTCGTTGAACATGGATGATCATATGCGTATAAATAATAAGCGATTTTCTTTGAAACAGAAGAATAACGTAGTGTAAACCCAAACCGATGCAAGATCGAATGAAGCGTTGATTCATCCATGTAGCGAGAGTTGTTTACACATGGAGCAGGAAGTACAAAGAAGAACCAAGGCGGATGAGTGGGATTCGGGGGATGCAGAAGTTGAGTGCATTTCAATAAAATCTGAGCTCTCAAGTTTGGCGGCGCAAAGTTTAAAACTAAGGAGCAACTAATTCCATCAAACTAAGATTTTAGGTTAGTTTTGAATCACAATATTAAATTCCTTGTTTCAGAAATCAGGTATATTCTACGTACTATGCCTTCTTTGGGTGAGCGCATCAAGACATCTTGCTCTTGAATGAGAGGATGGGAGGAATGCAAGTCAATTCTGGTGACTGAAAATAATCCACATGTAGAGCACTTGTTGTCTACACAAACGCTTCCGATTTCTAAAATTTGCTGTGGCCGAGTATCTCGATGTTTGGGATATAAATTAGGATCCGTTCGAATCCAATCTACCAAAATTTTACTTGAGTCGCCGCCCTTTCTATTATTCTGACCATTTTGGCTTGCCTTCTGATAGGCATCGATTCCAATAGCCTCTAATTGCTGCTCGACATCCTCAATTTGTTTGACAGGAGCATGGGAAGACACAAGCCGAGATTTTTCCTTGAGCAAATTATGGTAATGACGAATTAACTTGTTTCCCTTGAGTCCCTTTATATGCTTTTGCTTTTCTTTGGCAACGCGATCCTTCACGGAGACTGGACGCATTCAAGACACGAAGTTTAAAGGATTAAATAAACACTGAAAACGGCAATAGCATGTACGAACAATGCTAAAATCAAATAAACAGTTGATACAACCTGTATAGTATAGAGATTTCGCGGGGGTAAACCAAAAATAAGAGAAATGAAAATTTCCAAGAGTAGCGGAGAATTGACTGTAGAAAACTTATCGCCGAAATGGATTGGAAACCCTACTTCTATTAAACAAATAAATGTAAAGATACAGAAAAAATAGTCCTAGTCAAACTTGAAATGCAATTACGATGCCAATATGAGACTGGAGGTTCTACTTACTTTGTATATAGGAAAACAAAAAGAATTGAAATGCCTCCAAATGAATACAAGACAGCCCTGAGCATAACATATAAAAAAAAAAAGCCTTTGTGCTTGCTAACCTGTTACACAAACAATCGAGCCTGAATCATTGAAAACCAAAACAAAATAATAAGACAGTGATGATAATCTTGGACACATCGCAAACAAAGAAAAAGGAAATGACCGACTATTTTCAGTGCTTTCGAGGTCACTTTTTGTCCTTCCCTACTTGGGTTTTTGTTTCATAACATACATATTGTTCCTAGACCAAGTCATGTACCTAGTAAACACAAATACGACCTTGTAAATACATGGTGATTTAAGCGTCATTTGCTTCCAAAAAACTGTTCAATTTTTTTAAGACTCTTAAAAGTCCTTTGAATAGCCTTTCCTTCCTCTGTTTATGGTTTCTATGGAACTATTTATTTATTAATTCTTTTGTTTACGTTCATACTTCCACCAAGGATGGAAGTGGGTTCGCTTAATTTAAACTTCACGTCCCTGTTTCCCGGGATTTCCTAATTAGCGATGAACAGGAACCACAATAAATTGACGTCTCAATTTGCATTCCGAGAATCCCCTGAACTGATATCAACGGGACCTCAAATTTCTCCGATGAAAAGCTCATGACTATAAGAAAACATTGCAAGTAGCACGTTACTTATATTGATCCTATCATCCCGCTCCGAATGGTTATGATGAAAACAAAGTTTTTTCCGGACCACCATGAAATCATAGCCTAGTTTTATTGGTTTTAGGCAATACCCATGTTCCTCTTGTGTTGTTTCGGTTCTTACATTGTTATTTTCTCGGCCCCCGTCAAGGTCGATCTTTGTACCCTGCTCCTCTCTATTTGTTACTTTTTAGCTCGTTCCCAGTAGCGCGTGATTCTCAGACGAAGATTCCCCTGTACCATTTCGATGAATTTCGGTTCCTGATTAACGTCATGGTGTCTTCAATGTTATCCTGGCACTCGTAAAAAGTTCCGACTTGTCACCTTCGTCACTATCGATGATATTCTAAAGACGCTACGTAGTTGATCCACAATCTTCCATCAACCTTCCAAGTGCCTCACCCTCCCCCGATACAGAATTATAAATAAAGGTGCATGAAAAGGTCAAATCAACAACAGACTTAACAGTTTCAAAAGAGAATTATTAAAATGTCTTTGTCTACCAAGCTCGCTATCACCGACGTCGACTTGAAGGGCAAGAATGTCTTGATGCGTGTCGACTTCAACGTCCCCTTGGACGGTGACCGCATCACTAACAATGCCCGTATTGTTGGTGCTCTCCCCACCATCAAGTACGCCATTGAGCAACAACCTAAGGCTGTTATTTTGATGTCCCACTTGGGTCGCCCTAACGGCTCTCGTGTCGACAAGTACTCCATGAAGCCTGTCGCTCAAGAGCTCACCAAGCTCTTGAACCGCGACGTCAAGTTCCTTAACGACTGCGTTGGCCCTGAGGTCGAAAAGACCTGCAAGGAAGCCAAGGATGGTCAAGTCATCCTTTTGGAGAACTTGCGTTTCCACATCGAAGAAGAAGGTTCCGCCAAGGTTGACGGCAACAAGGTCAAGGCTGACTCTGCTTCCGTTGAGTCCTTCCGCAAGTCTTTGACTGCTCTCGGTGACATCTTCGTCAACGATGCTTTCGGTACTGCTCACCGTGCTCACTCTTCTATGGTCGGTGTTGAAAAGACCCGTGTCTCTGGCTTCCTCATGAAGAAGGAGCTCGACTACTTTGCCAAGGCCTTGGAGAACCCTGCTCGTCCCTTCCTTGCCATCTTGGGTGGTGCTAAGGTTGCCGACAAGATCCAATTGATTGACAACCTCCTCGACAAGGTTAACCGCCTCATCATTTGCGGTGGTATGTCTTTCACCTTCTTGAAGGTCCTCCACAACATGAAGATTGGTGAATCTCTCTTCGACGAGGCCGGTTCTAAGAACGTTCAAGGTATGATCGAAAAGGCCAAGAAGAACAATGTCGAGATCTTCCTCCCCGTCGACTTCGTCACTGCCGACAAGTTCGACAAGGAAGCCAACACTGGCTCTGCCAACGGCGAGCAAGGTATCCCCGACGGCTGGATGGGTTTGGACTGCGGTGAAGCTTCCTCTAAGAAGTTCGACGAAGTCATCCAATCCTCCAAGACCATTGTCTGGAACGGTCCCGCTGGTGTCTTCGAATTCGAGAAGTTCGCCAATGGTACCAAGAAGATGCTCGATTCTTGTGTCAAGAGCGCCCAAGCTGGCAATGCCGTCATCATTGGTGGTGGTGACACTGCTACTGCTGCCGTTAAGTACGGTAAGGACAACGAAGTCTCCCACGTCTCTACTGGTGGTGGTGCTTCTCTTGAACTCTTGGAAGGTAAGGCCCTCCCTGGTGTTGTTGCCCTTTCCTCCAAGTAAATTCTTTGAGAGCATGACAACTTCTTCATCGTATGTTTCCATGACAAACTAGCATCTTTAAATTTGCGAACCATAACATAAAAATTATTTTTGGACGTCAGGGATGTAGTTGTTTTGGAAATGGCCCAAACGGGTTATGGAAATTTCAGGTTTCCTGCTTTTGAAATGAATCGACTGTGGATAATCCCGTTTAGGGTTTGGTGATGAGTAATTGCATTTTTGAAAATAATTGTTCCCTTGTTTATGTTTAATAAAAGAAATAGATATTTATGTACACAACAATCATCTTGTTTTGTTATTTCCAATTAAAGTAGCGGCTGTAGGAAACATTAAAAATATTGTTGAATAATGTAACAGATTCTGTCAATCGTAAATATTGCATTGCTAGTGCTGTTAATTCATAAGTCAGCTGGTGCTCATGGTGGTTTCTAGTAGTAAATTCATACTGCTATTGTGTATATTGGTTTGGTAATTGTCAAAAATCGGCATATTGATGTTGAGCTGTAAAGAATGTATAATCTAACTTAAAAACAAAAAACAAAAAGCGAACATGAACAATGGAGTTTAGACATTTCCTCTTTTTAACCAAACGACGAAGACTTTCTATTTAGCGCATCCTAAGGAACTACTACGGGCTATGAAGCAAGCTGCTAAATCCGAACCTCAAGGCATTCCTTTCGTACACGAAGGTCAAAAATTTCTCCCAAAGCAAACTAACGAAGGCTGTCCTGCAGGAGGTCAGCATTCATAATCGCTTGTATTAGAAGGCGTTAAACAATTCAAAGTACTTTTACGTTTGAATTGATTTTTTTTTGTTTTATTTCGAAAGTTCCAAATCATTGTAAAGATTTATTCTTTCACACATATAAATTCTTGAAAAAGGGAACTTAAAAAGGTTGTATTACGGACGAAGGGATTTATTTGGTTTATTTGTTGTTTAGAGACTTTTTTTTTTTTCACAGTCATATACTCATATTTTATTATTTCTTTGGGATCATTTTGACATAATTCAAAATTTACACCATGGACGCTCAATTTACCCTTGAACTTACTCAGTTATTATACCAGAGCACTGCTCCTGATACCACTCAAATTACTGAGGCTACGCGCGCCTTAGAAACAAAATACTTAAAGGAGCCTAGTTCTTTGCTATCATTGTTACACATCATGGGAACATGTGAAAACTTCCAAGTGCGTCAGCTTGCGGCTATTGAAGCTCGTAAGCTCAGCCATAAGTATTGGCCTGATGTTCCAGCTGAGATTCAGAATCAAGTTCGTGCAAATTTATTGGAAATTACAATTAAAGAACCCGAAAGCATTGTGCGCCATGCATTTGGCCGTGTCATTGCTGCATTGGCTAAAATTGATCTTCCTGATGGCAAGTGGAATGATCTTTCTGGATTTTTGGTTCAAGCAGCCATGGATCCAAACGATTCTATCCGTGAAATGGCCATCTATGTTCTTTATTCCATTGCTGAAACAGTCGATCTTGACAGCAAGTTGCTCTTAGACTTTGTTCATTTGTTCTCTCGCACCATCACCGATTCTAGCCGTACTGTCCGAGTTACGTCCGTTCAGGGCTTGGGTGCCGTCGCCGAAGTTTTAGAAGCCGACGACAAAAGGCTTTTACATACCTATCGTGACACCTTACCTAGCATGCTTATGGTTTTGCAAGATGTCGTCCAAGTAGGCGATGAGGATGCTTGCAAAACTGTGTTTGACGTTTTTAACACTTTTCTCATTGTCTCTGGTGCCATCATCTCCAAGGTTCTTGGAAACATCATTGAGTTGATTACTGGTATTTCTACATCAAAGCAAATTGATGATGAAATCCGCTGTATGGCATTATCCTTCATTATTTCATGCATTCGCTTCAAGTCCCGAAAGTTGCAAGCTCTTAAGCTTGGTAAATCTCTAATTCTTTCTCTCATGCAAGTCGCCACTGAAGATACTACTGAGGATGTTGACGAGGACTGCCCTGCCCGTCTCGCTTTACGTGCTATTGATCTTCTCTCCACCCACTTGTCTCCTAACCAAGTATTCTATCCTATGCTAGAAGCGGTCATGACCTTCTCTCAATCCCCTGAGCCAGGCCATCGCAAGGCCGCTTTATTGTCCATCGGTGTCGCCGTCGAAGGTTCTTCTGAATCCGTTGCATCAAGCCTTCCTAACATCTTCCCTCTCATTGTTAATGGCTTATGCGATGTTGACATGAACGTTCGTCAAGCTGCTTTGTTGGCTCTTAGTCAAATTGCCGTCGAAATTCCTATGGAGGTTTCAAAGCATCATGCTCAACTCTTGCCTCTTGTATTTGAGTTAATGTCCACTCAAGGTGTTAAAGTTGGAAAATCCGCTTGTAACTGTATTGATGCATTGCTTGAAGGTCTTGACAGGTCTGAAATTAGTGGTTATTTGCCAATGCTCATGGAACGCCTTGTTAGTCTTTTAGACTCAAATGTCACCCCTGACATCAAGAGTTGTGTGGCTGCTGCCATTGGCTCTGCTGCTTTCGCTGCTCAGGAAGACTTTTTGCCATACTTTGAACGTACTATGGCTAGTTTGTCCAATTGCTTACACACATCTGATGATGATGAGGGATATGAACTTCGTGGTACCGTCATGGATACTTTGGGCGCTATTGCTAACGCAGTTGGTAAGCAAGCTTTCTTACCTTTCACCGAACAGCTCATTCAGTTGGCCTATGAAGGCATCCAAATTGATCATTCTCGTCTCCGTGAATGCTCATTCTGTTTCTATGCTGTTTTGGCTCGTGTTTATAAGGAAGAATTTGCTCCCTTTTTGCCTCACATTGTGCCAGCATTGTTCAAGTCTCTTGACCAAGATGAAACGGATGTGTTAAGTGAAAAGGTCGGGGCTCCTACTGCTGATGAAATTGGTCAATTACTTGAGTCCTCTGAAGCTAATGACGAAGAAGATGACGAAGAATTAGAAAAGGCTATGGGTGTTAACTCTGCTATTGCTATGGAAAAGGAAATAGCTGCTGATGCTCTTGGTGAAGTCTGCACTTACGTCGGCGCTCCTTTTGCTGAATATCTTGAACCTACTGTCGAAAAGTTAGTTGCATCTACCACACATTTTTATGAAGGTGTTCGAAAATCTTCTCTGACTAGTTTGTGGCGTTGCGCTACTACTTTCTACAAGGCTTGCAACTTACCCCAATGGAAAGCTGGGTTGCCTTTACAAGTTCCAGTTCCTGATGCCGTTCAAAACATCTTTGCTGCTGTTAGAAAATGCTCCTTTGATACTTTGGAAGAAGAATATGAAAAAACTGTCGCCACTGATATCCTTCGTAACCTTGCTGAAGCCATCAAAACCTGTGGTCCTGTCGTTTTAGGAGACGATTATCCCAAGATTTGCGAAATTGTTATGGAGGTCTTGCAAAAGCAGCATATTGTGCAAGCCGGTGATATCTTTGATGAAGATTTTGAAGAGGAAGACGTTGTTAGTAACGAAGAAGTAGACGATACTGAGCAAGATGCTATGTTTATTGATTCTGCTTGCGATGTTGTTATTGCCCTTTCAATGGCCTTAGGAGAGTCGTTTGTGGATTCTTTCCAAGTATTCTTCCCTCATATCATTAAATATTACTCAAGCAACAATGGTACTGAACGTGCTATGGCTGTTGCTTGCATGGGTGAAGTTGCTGGTGGTATTGAATCTGCTATTACACCTTTTACTGCAGATGTTTTCACATTATTTATGACTGCTTTAGAGGATCCTGAGGGTGAGGTTCGCAGCAATGCTGCTTACTCTATGGGTTTGTTATGTCAATTCTCTACTGAAAATCTTTCTTCTGAGTACCTCAATATTCTTCATAAACTTCAACCCTTCTTTACCCAAGAAATATTCCGTACTGCTCTCGATAATGCAATTGGTTGCATTTCTCGTTTAATTTTACATGATCAGAATGCTATTCCTTTGGACCAAGTCTTACCCATTGTCTTCTCCAAACTTCCGTTGAAGGAAGATTACTTAGAAAATGCACCCTTGTATTACATGATTCTTCATCTTTACCGTCAAAAGAACCCAGTCCTTTTGCAACATTTGGGTGATTTAATTCCTGTCTTTGCGTCTGTTTTGACAGGACCGGCTGAACAACTTAATGATGAGTTACGCTCTCAGATCCTGAACTTACTTAAGGAAATCGCTCCTGAATTCCAAACTCTCATTTCTACTTTCCCTCATTTGGTTGCTTTATTACAGTAAACGATTTTTTATACTTTCTCTGATCGTTAGGGTATTTTAATATTAGGATAGGATTAACAAGACTTTGGTATTCTAATTGATGCCATTAATAATTTAATTGCTTATAGGTGTACATCTCAAAGTAAAGGATAGTCTAAAATTCATGATTCAACAATTATTTGTAGGCCATCCGATACTTTCCTGGGGTTATGTACATGACGATGAATGTCTTCAACAGTTATGGAGGATAGATCATAAGACCCCGTTCGATAGGCAAGAAATTGTAATTCAAAATCTTTTTCACATTTTGGTGAAACAATCCCGGTATGAAAACTAGTGGTAGAAGCAATTAAGCCTGGAAGCTTTATGATCTGTTCAGGTTTCGTAGGAGGAAATGAAGGCAACCCATCATTTGTTTTCGCATGGTTTGATCCATCATCAGTAATAAACAACTCATCATAAGTATACAGAGGAACCTGTATAAGTAGTTCCATAGGAACGTCCGAAGGATTGTACAGATTGATACCTACTGGAAAAGCAGTACCAACTTTCACATAAGAAGGGGCGCTTGCAGACATATCAAGCAAATTCAGTAAGGCAGTCGGCGTTGTTGTCGAACCACTACTAGATACCTGTTTAGAATGCTTATGTAAGTTACTTTTTCGCATAATGAACATAGAAGGGTGCTTGTATACAAACGGCATACCCTTCACATAGGCCCCATTCAGTTTTCTTACGATAGTTCCTTCACAAAAACAATCGATTTCGATCCTATAAGCAGATGGCTGCAATTTTAATTGATAAATGATTGAAAATAAATCGGGACTTGTAAGTGTTGCATTGAAACCATCAGCAGACTTTGGTCCAAAAAGGGCAAGGCTTGAGGAGGTTGATTTAGGTGTAAAGTTTTTCAGAATAAAGCTATGGCAAGACGAGTCTGGTGCAAGTATAAAAGTGATGTACTGAGTTATCTCGTCAATCATATAAGAGCGTAACTTTACCATAACAGGGATAGCACAATTAAAATAGCGTTTTTTTGAAATATGATTTGGCTTCGATTTCAGATCTTCTAATTGGATGTTTCCTGATATATACGAAGCTGGGAGAAGCGGTGGATTTGATTGGAATCGAGCATCATTGGAAAGGGATCCCAATATGTTAAAATCTACATCAACATCAGTTATGTAATCGTCATTTCCATCATTTCCTATATATGAAGATATGTCTCCAGTAGCATCCCCTTCAGCTTTTAACAAACTTTGGTCTGAGATTTGTTGACTGTCTGCATTATCCACGTAAATCTCTAGCTTATGATCAGGAAGTGAAAAAGTATCTAAATTGTAAGAATGTTATCCCATATAATTGTCTTCTTACCCAGCTTTATGAGACGTGAAAAAAGTCTGTAATCTTTTTCACCATCGGACCAGTTTAGGGCTGTTAAATCCTTTGTCGTAAAACTAAATGCCCTAGTTTTGCGAATGCTAGTTGCTAAGTTTGAGTGATTATTGGGAGTGTTGTTATATAAGTTTCCCTCAATGTTAAATTCTTCGAAAGCTTGATCAAACTTTTCCTGCGAAGGTTTCGAAAGGACAATGTTCACATAAAAGGATTCGCCTTAAATATTCTGTTAGTATAAAATTCCACTCCCTTGCATACCATAATATAGTTTGATTTGATTACTTTGTGAAAAGTAAGTATTTAAAAAATTCAATTCATGTTCGGTAACAGGCGAAAAAGAAAGAAAGAAATCAAGTTTTACAGATTCTTCCTGCATTAAAAAATATTTTTTGGCATGGGAAGATGCCAAATAGTTCTAATTTCAATTTCACAAGATGAAGAGCAATGGTCAGAAAGAGAAACTGGGATTGCTTACTTTTCGAAAACAAGAGAGAGATGCTATGAATACATCATATTTTTTCACTTTTTAAACTATTTATTCAAAATGTTCCTTGCTGGCTTTACTGGCCTTCGAACAGAGCATACTAACAGGAATACCCTAAACTTTTGTTATGAAAGCAGGAGCTAACTACTTTTATTTTTATAATTTCAGATAACAGTTAGAGAAATCCATGAGTTGTAATGAATTGATTTCGTGCTTTGTCACTATTTTTTTCCATATAGTACTGCTTTCTTCTTCCGTTGGATATCGTAGATGGATTGAATTAACCATCAAGTAAATTCATTTGAAAGAATAAACAATGAAAGCGCCGTCGATGATTCCCTCTGGATGACACTTATGTTTTCTTATTAAGGCAACAGTAACTTTCGATGCATTCCAAGAAATAATAGGCATGGTTTTGCTTCTTACAGTTTTAAACATATTTTATATAAGTTTCTTAAGAACTGGAGCATGTTTTGCCCAGAAACCAAAACATTCCTTCTGTCTTCAAGGAAAGCATTGAATCAAACCATTGAATTTGTCGAAGAGACTTTTAAGCAAAGAAGGGATTTCCAATGGCAAAAATGATGTCTTACTTACTGATATTAATGCTTTTTCTCTCTGGGCTTTCATATAAGAAACATTGGACAATGATGAATCACGGCATGATACTCAAGGCTTCTGAAATGCATTAAAAAGAAAAGCTTAGTAAAACGTTTAAAGTACAACAGAAGGCTCTGTGTGAATCTCGACATGTGTTTTCCATGAAATATTCTCAACATTTCCTAAAGCATGTTTCGGAAATCGAAACTTGATCCATTCTTTCCAGATGCTTTTTTCTTTAACTGTTAAACGATTCCATCTTTTTTGATAAGTACATGTTAGTTGCTCAACAATCATTGCTGTTTGTTGCTCAAATTTAATGGGACATGAAAACTGAAGAAACGGTGCTAAGTAGATATTGCACTTGTCAAAAACGGCTACTATCCTATAAATATTTAATGGCTCTTTTGAAAGCCCATTTTCATGGGATTCATGGTTAGAAAGAAAGTGATATGTCGCCGCATAATTTAATAAGCATCCCGTTAATGCAGTAATTGAGCATACCTCTTCCAGGTTTGAGTCTACTGGAGGGTTTTTAAAATTCCATGTAAAATCAGGGACTTGGACTGTAATCATGTTCTGATTTGTCTTCAGGTGTAGCAATGTATCAGCATACAAAGTTAAATGTTGTTCCAGTTGCTCATTTCGAACTTTATGGGGCAAATTAACGACAATAGGCCATAACTCTCTTCTTTTCACGTATTCTTTCCAACAGCCTATGTTTATAAAGAACGTTTGATTTATAGGCTCTGAGAAATATATAGCTCGAACACTAGGATAACTTAAAAAATCAAGAAAAGATTGAATAAACAACTGATCTAAAATGATACAATCCACCAAATAACTCGTTTTGATCCCAAGAATCACTGGTAAAATCCCATCAATGAACTGAATTGCAGTACCATGGGTGCATTTTTTCGTTTTCAGGTATCTGTATACTTCATTAATGCTTCTTTTCATAATATTTATATCCAAAGAATTTTACGGCAGATAGAACTCACCATCTGTCAATTCCTCATTTGATGAATTATAAGGTCCAGTCGAGCTGTTGAATGAATTTTTCAACTTTGCTCAAAAAATGGTAGTAGAATCTACAAGTTTACAAAACAATTAAGTATAAGAGTAACAATACAGAGTAAGGATATGAAAAGTTGGTTTGAATATTCTTCGAAGGATATTGAGAAACCTGATAACATGAACTGAGTTGCGAAACGAACCTTGTCCTATCTAACTATTCAAACACGAAGATCAAAAACGTATAGAAAAAAGATACGCATGGCATGAAATCCTAGTCTTTGTGACCAATAGAAGAAAGTAGTAGATATATAAATAAAAAACTGACATAAACAAAAAGCATTTTTAGAGATTTCACGACATAAATATAGAATCATACTAGACATAAAAAGAAAAAAAAAACGTTGGCATAATAGCAAAATAGAAAGGATTATGAGCATAAGTAACTTTACTCATCTCCTGCATGATGAAGTGTCACAGAACTGAAACCATTAAACGGATTCTCAACTTCTGGAATAGGAGTCACAGAATGCATATCAACTGCAGGAAGATTGGATGAAATCAAACATTGAGAGTTTAAATAGTCCATGCTGTCCGGTGCCTCAGGGAGTCCTGAAGACTTTCGTACAGCCTCCATGCCTTCTTGGATATTAGGCACAATTGGAGGCTTCATACTGCGTAAGAGAGCCCATTGGATATCACGGAAGAATGGATGTTGTTTGATATCGGACGCACCAGCTATAGAACCATATCGCTTAGTTTCGTCTTTAATCAGTAGTCGCCTGATTAAATTCTTGCATGTACTAGATACATTAGGGGCTCCGCTGTACTCAGGAAAGCTCACATCAGCATATAGGATGTTTGAAAAAGTGGCATGTCTGTTCTTTCCCTTAAAAGGAGTAGTACCATACAAAATCTCGTACAAAAAAATCCCAAGAGTCCACCAATCCACTGCTACAGTATGACCGCAGCTTCTAACCATTTCTGGTGCAATGTATTCTTCAGTCCCGACAAACGAATTCGTACGATAATCAGAAAAGTATGAATTTGTGTCCAAAGCTGGCTTATCTTGGGAAAAGGTAGAGTGCTTAGTCACAAGCATACGCGGATGCGTTTCAGTAGTTATGGGTTTTGAAAGATCAAAATCGGACAGCATAATGTGTCCGGATTGATGTAAAAGAATGTTTTCGGGCTTCAAGTCTCGATAAATAAAGCCCATCAAATGCAGATACTCGAGAGCGAGTGTGACCTCAGCTGCATAAAAACAAGCACTTTTTTCGGGTAAGATATGGCCAGGGAGCGAATGAAGTGCTCGAAAAAACTCGCCGCCAGCACAGTATTCCATGCATAAATAAAGATGATCTTTCGATTGAAACGCGTGATAAAGAGTGACAATAAATGGGTGATTGCTTTTTGTGAGAATTTCTTGTTCTGCCAAAACACGTCGAACTTTTCGTCGTTTGATCATCTCGGCTTTGCTAAGGATTTTCATTGCAAACAATCGGTTGTTGCTTTTTTGCTTTACCAAATAGACCTTTCCAACGTCTCCTTGACCCAAAAGTCGTATTTTTTCAAAACTTTGTGGCGTAACTTCCACCCTGCTTACTTTTGTACTGTTTCCAGAATAGGTACGCTTGCCGTATTCAGTTGGTCCGAATATATAGTTTGCTGGATTCTTTAACGTTTTAATTTGAGCTTTTTTCATGTTAGATGTGTTCACTGGAAGCTTCGATGGAGCTTCAATTCCTTCATGGGAATCGGGAGCTGAGGATATTCTTCGGAGAACTGGCTTCTGGTTTAGAAAATCATCGCTAGCGTTCGTGAGACCCTCCATGTAACTCTCATCTGACCGTTCCGGAGCCTTTGGCTGAGACGAATTCTGATAGCTAGAAGAAACGGTCGCCGCTCGATTACGACGAAAGTGAAATAAATTTTTTAATTTATCAGAGAGATGGGATGAAGAGTTTCCCGTATCATGTCCTTCACTTGAAACGACCTCTTTTTCTCGAAATTCGCTTTCACGCATCATTCGCAAACTTACAGTCTTTTTAATAAAATCACCCAGTACTTTCTTTACACTATCTTTTTTTTATAACAGAAGAAAAATTCTCAAGACTTTTCCTTTACACAATATTCACGATCGTTTTCAGCTATTCCAACGTTTTCTATGTCATTGGGAGTAGTGAATTTGGGATAGTGAAAGGGAATGACTGGATGCCAAGGTGAAGCAAGTTGGACGTCAATAACTCCTACGAATAAAAATTACAATTATGGAAATGTATGAATTCATTAGTTAATTGAAAATATATGATCTTGGTTCGTCCTGGGGTTTTTCTTTTTTTTTTTATCAGTTCTTGTACGAAAAGATTTCGAGCGCGACCAAAGTCAACGCTCGAAAGAAAAAATAAGATGAAAGATGATTTTCATTCATTTCAAAATAAGCTGGAATAGTCATTGCAGAAGCAAGCAAGACTGTGTCTGTATTTATGCAATGGGTTTGCATGTTTGCTAAATTCATTATGAATGAGCCTTCAGAAGGTTCATTCATAAGCCACATAACTCCTTAAAAAGTTGTTTGCAATCAGTTATAACGGACCACAAAAGCTTCATACTTGGACTGTAGTCAGTGTCTTTCCATATCGTCCAATGTGTCACCCTGCTTGGCTCTTTCCAAGAGTTTATTTGAAAAAATAAATTGAAATCAAAAAGGAAATGCAGAGTGGGAAACCTGGTAAACATTCGTTTTATAAACTCGATTTCTAAATTACCACATCTTCACTTTTTGCGATCTTCATTTAAACTATTTTAAGCGAATCCCCTTGTGCATGTGTGTCAATGTTTACGTTGTGGGCGGTAGGGGGATTTATTGTATACAATAAATTGAAAACTGAAATGATTGTGTACTTTATTGATAATAACAAAGAAAATAAACAGTTGTTGACGCGGTGTGATTCTTTTTTGAATGTCATTCTTGCTTTCTTGGATTGCACATGATCAACAGTATTTCGATAAGTCTAGAGTTACCTAGGTTGCATTTAGACTTTAACTTATCCATTAAAAGCGTTTTTAACTTAACCACCAAGATGAGTTAGCTGTTAAACGTTTAAACTTAGAAAACAAACAGACATCCAAATCGACCAACTTGGAGGTATCATCTGTATAACTTGAACGATTGAGTAATACAAATTGAATAAATTGTCGATATAATTTTATGAAACGAGATTGCTAGCAAGCCATAGCAATGAAATTTTTTGGATCATCTATGAAGGTTACATGAATTTCCTTCAGAGGATACAGAATAGAATGTGACCAGAATTATTTAGCTTTTAAATAAATAAATGTCTCGTTATTCCATGAGGGCCATGTACTTTGGAATCCAACTGACTGTGCTTCCCTGGTTCAGCATTCGTGCTAGAATGAAATAAGTTCGTTTCAGACTTACTGACTCGATTGAGATTGAAGAAAATTATAGCAAAATAATTTTAAAAAACAATAAAAAAGTACATCCCTATGTCTTTTGGCAAAGAAACAAAGCCATTCGGGGAAAATAAATTTTCATAGAAAAGACCCCATTCAAAAGTTATAACCATTACAGTCAATCTTGGTTGAAAATAATCGCTTCAATAGTAAATATAAGTGGCATCAGATATCTAAGTCGATAAATAGACATTTGTGTTTCACATAACCAGCTTGATGATTCCTGGGAAGCGATACCAATTCGATTTTCGCAGACCGACCATTTTAAAGAAAGTAGTTTTCATTTTTTTGTGCAAGCAAAAAGGATTCCTGTGAGCGTCAAATGTCATGTATGCTAGACAACCCTCTAAAGTCCTCCAGACTAAGCTCTCTCACATAACCTCTCAGTAGGAAACAGTTTTTCCCTCATTCTCTGCAGTTTAGTTGGTGAAAGACATTTGAATTTAGTGTTTTCTTTCATTTAAAAATAGTTGGATCAATATTAGAAATTGAGAGAAGTCATAACGACATATTTCCTAGCACTGCCAATAAGGCATATTTGGATTTGCTTTTAACGGTTTTTAAAGGTTTCACATTGCATATAAATATTCTATGCGTTTGAATGCAGAATTTTTAACGCAGGTTCCTTCATTTATCAATCCTTTGAAGGAATCCGAATTGGATTTAAGATATGTTTGCGTTTGATCTGGTTTTATGCAGAATTACTAACAAAAGTTACAGGGTATCAAATTCCATTAATTGAAAACTTGGGTATTCTTCGAGATACCAATGATAGCATCGATTTTACCGACAATGACATTCGGTATTTAGGAAACTTCCCACGTATGAGACGTCTTCAAACCCTTCTTTGTGGTCGAAATAGAATAAGCACGATTGACCCAGAGCTTGGCAAAGTGTTACCCAACTTAAAAATCCTTTCGTTAGCCCAAAATCATATCCAACAACTGGCGGATTTAGATCCCTTATCTACATGCACCAGACTCACTCATTTGACTTGTCTCGATAATGCAGTTAGCCAAAACCAGTATTACAGATTATACTTAATATGGCGAATTCCGTCATTGCATATCTTAGATTTTGAGCGTGTCCGCGAAAACGAACGATCTCGAGCTCAAGAAATGTTTGGAACTGTGGACCGTCCTACTGAAATAGCTGCATCTATCATGGGGGTTAAAAGCCGTGTATTTGATTTGGGAACTCTTGTACAGTCATCGAATACAGATACGAATACAACCGTTTCCACCGGCTATGCGTTAACTCCCGAGGAGAAAGAAAAAATCAAAGACGCAATTAAACATGCTTCTTCAATTGCTGAAATTAACCGATTAGAGGCTATGCTTTTAGAGGGAAAAATACCGAAATAGGTTGATCAAGACATCTATTCAAAAAGTATTCTTGCAATGTCTTTATACGAATTCTGAATAAAATATTTTATGTTTCTTGGATTCTAAGTTATGCCTTAAAGTACTACTGTTTGTAGTCGCATAAATAATCAACTGAAAAAAAAAATAACAAAACTTTTGAGGGATCTACTGAGTAACGGCTCAGTTATTGACATTCACAAGTAAAGTTTCTAAGCTACTCAAGTTAGCACAGATAGAATGATAGTTCAACTTATAACTTACTGTCCAAGTATTCTGCAGTGACCAATAGTTCTAGGACCATTTCTGGAGGAATGTCAAACTTGGGAACATCCTGCTGATTCTTGTGGCGATGATTGTAATGTAAGTATTCGCAAACCTTTTCTAAAAGTGAACCGCTAGAATCGATTTTGTCAGATACCTCCTTAAAGACGTTGTAAAAATCCGTACCGTATATCAGGGAACGTACACTCGTTTTTCTGGGCTTCAGCAAATACACCTAGCATAATTGTTAATCAACTCCCGTCAGAAAAGAAAAAATAAATCCTTGCCTTCATTCAGAATGGCTTTTATGGTTCCAGATATACAAGCAATGTCTTTTCTTAAAATAAACTCAAAACCATCACTGGAAATTAGTTTGACATATTCTTCTGACATCTTTCTTTAGGTTTCGTTATAGAAGTAAGAGGATTCGCGTTTCTTTGCAATTCTTGTAAAAGTTGTTAAGTCCAAAATCCAAAAATCAATATAAGATAATCAACTTCCAAGAACAATTCTACGATCATTCAAAATTCAAAATTTGCTTAGTTGGATAAATAATTCGTGCTTCTGTGACATATTTTCATTCGAACAAACATTTCCTCAACAGGGATTTTACTATTTTCGAAACTTTTCTCAATGGTTTAAGCAGATTACAAATAAGTGAGATTTAATTATGTTTCATTATAATTTCATCTGGCTAAAGCAATAAGGATTGTTTGTTTGTTGTGATAATTGTTTTTGTTTACCGTTTACATACAAGAATCCGATTATTCTACTTAGAATACAACCAATTCCTTGTTTATTACTTTCTACAAACACGTCTTCTAAATTCATATATAGATATACTTGAAGCTCAAGCTTGTAAGGTCAATATGGATCAACAAGCAAGGAAAGATACCCCGATGTATAACTTTTCTCATCCAGCAGCTGAAACTGATGTAAACTCCAGTATTTTTCAAAAAGCGTTTCAACATTTAAAGCAGCTTTGTATGGCCTGTTCCACAGGATCTGAATATATCGATAGTGACTCTGAATACATATACAATCCAGATATGCCTAATGAGCATAACGAATTGGGTTTTGAGTCATCCAACTTTTATAATGGCTCATTAACATCAAATAGCTTCAACACCTCTGTGGAAGCACTGAGTCTTGATTACTCCCTTAGTATGCCACATGCAGACACGCTTTTGAAATTAAGCAACATATCTACGACAGAACAATTTGCAGAGGAAAAAGGCTCTATTATTCAAAGAAAGGAAGAAACAAAAAGGATTAAAGTTCCATTTGCAAAGGGATTCTTCAGTATCCTATACGGCACATCTCGTACTCCTTTTTTGCATGCACAGTACGCAGATTGTTTTATGTCAGACTCTGAGGCTCCTATATCAATTGAAATCGACAATGAAAATGCAAAAAAGAGCATGAAGCTTGCAGAGAAAAACTTTCCGGAGGCTTTCGAGCAATTCATCAATTTCTTAAGAGGGCCTAATGTGCCTATGTCTGTTCTTCTTCATCATATTATGCTCTACGACTTATATTCTCCTAGGCTTAAGGACGCGATTTGGGAGACTGTAGGAAATTACCTCCAGAAGATGAAAGGAAGCTATGGATATACGGACTTGCATGTCAAAGTAGCACGATATAAACTTACGCACCCAAGATTTATCATGATCCATCCTGAAGAAATCTTTTGTGTTTATAATAATCCTGACTGGGTTTGTGTTTCCAACAAGCATTTTCACTGCAATATTCACATTCAGCCTATTGTTAGTAACGCTATGAAAAGTAGTGACGACCGAATAAGAGAAGTGGCTTCAAACTGTCAAACTCCAGTTGAATATGGATGGCTAACTTTAGGACTTGCTTTGCGAAAGAAGGCTGCTATTTTCCCCATTCATGCCTACTTGAACTGTAAAACAAAGTTATATGATGAGTCCATGCCTCCTTCTTTATTGTATTATTTAAAAGAAGATGAAAACACCAATACCTCAAACATTGAAGAAATTATTAATTATATGTATGAAATCTTTAATGCAGAAGCTGCTCTCTGTGGTTCTCTGAACAAGAATAAGGATAACATCAATGCTTCAAAGGTGGAGTATTCTGATCTTGACGTTGACAACATTAAACAAGGAAAAGGAGAGAAAGTCATGAATCCATTTGAGCCTGAAAACGTTGCTCCCGTTGGCCATCAGTAGAACACGTTTTTAGCTGTTTATATCATATTATTATTCATTCATAAGGCATTTGATTTCTTCATTAACGGATAAGTTGCTTTGTAAGCTCATACTCGCTGCTTTTTGCGCATTGTTTATCGCATTATCCATTCCTTTATTTCGAGATAATAATGCTATCAGAACTCCAACAAATGTATCTCCTGTACCATTTGCATTGATAGGATCTTTAATTAAATTTGGGACTGGATAATGTTTTATGAGTACCTTGCCGGGTGTACAAAGACTGCTCGAATTTAATGAAACGCCTTCAACTTCATCCGAGCTTACCAATAACGCTCCATTTGAACCTAATTTAATAATTATATTTTTAGCAAACGGAAGTATATGTAGACACTTTTGCAAAATTCCTTTTTCCGTCAGTTCTTTGAACCCAGCTACTTTTGACAATCTTTCAATCTCTATGACAATTAGTAAACAATCAGCATATAATCACGTACGTGTATAATAGGAAGAAGTTATTCCATAGGAATTAATGGCAGCCCACCATGTCTCCGTATCACACAAACCTTGCTCTTTGACAGCTTCAAAGAGTATATCCAGCTCAAACAAATTCGGTGTAAGGTAATCGACTGAAGAATTTCTAAATACATCGATAATTTTGATTGACTTAGGGCCACTGGTTGGTTCGAACACGATTTTTTGAAAGTCTTTTTTATGAAGTGTAATATCATGCATTAGGGACGAGGAAATATTACCATCAAAGCAAATGTAGGAAGACTCACCGAGAGCTTTTTCTAAGTCTCTATAGGCCAACTCTTCCATAATTGACATGTCAGCACCCGCTAAAAGGAGACTTCCTTGAGGATCATTGACTGCTGTATATGAACATGATGTGAAATCTTCTTTCTCGATCATTTTATACTGTAAATTAGATTCACAAAGGTAAGATAGAATAGCTGTCGTAGGAACCGAATTGCTGCCTAAGCAACTAATTAATTTGGTAGGAACTCCCATCAACGAAGAAGCAATAGCAATATTATGAGCTACCCCACCAAAACTTTGCATTGTACGACACGGGTGTGAAGTACCCAGTATTCCGGAAGATGGGTTACCTTTGAGCGTCAATATGGAGTCAATTGATACACTTCCGATTGCGACCACTTTTGGTGATTCGCTTACTGGACTTTCCAATGTTGCACGCGGTAATAGGGTATTCGGTTTAGGAAATGTATCCGAAAGAGATGTATTGGACTTGAATTGATTCAAGGGAACGAATGACCTCTTTTGCTTTTGTGAAGCCAAAGATGAAGAAATAGAAGCAGCAGCTCTTGCGTTGTTTAAAACTAAATCAATATTCGTACTTAGACTTTTTCCTTTGGTCAAATGGTACAGTTGGCCAAGAAGAAAGGGAGTTATGTCTTTACCAGAAATTCCTTGTTCTTCGCATTTTTTCAAAGATAAATCGATAAAGGATTCCATTTCTTGGTAGTTTAAGGAGCACCTCTTTGGGGTAGGGACTGCAATAAGGGTACCGCATTGTAGATTAAGTTCCGTGTTTTTATAGAGTAAACTTGCAATCTCTTCGGGAGATTGTAGGCACAGTGGGCTTTTAAAAGAAGACTCTCTAGAAAAGAATGCAGGAAAAGAAGACTTTTCAGGCCCCATAGTTACTACAGGAACTCCTTGTGTTTCCAAGACTTCCAATGTTTTGCCAATATCCAATATACTCTTAACACCAGCGCACACGACACCAACTCTAGTTCGCCCTAACTCAATTAAATCTGCCGAGATGTCCATTGTAGTTTCAGCGCCTCTGTGAACACCGCCAATCCCACCGGTCGCAAAAACGTCGATTCCAGCTTTTTCAGCTAAAATCATGGTCGAAGCAACTGTAGTTCCGCCATTCAACTTTTGAGACGTAATATAGCCCAGATCTCTACGAGATACTTTGCGAGCAAGTTGACCAATTTTGGCCAGACTCTGTAATTCTGATTCTTCCAAACCTTCATCACGTAAGAGAGTGCAAAAAATACTTACATACCTATTGAACACTTTCCATCAATAATTGCAATTGTAGCAGGAACGGCACCAGATTTCCTGACTGCATTTTCAACTTCCAATGCCATTTTCTGATTCTCCGGATATGGCATCCCATGCGTAATGATTGTGGACTCTAAAGCAACTAATGGAAGCCCATTTTTTAGAGCATTCGATACTTCTTTCGAATATGTCAAAGATGAAAAGTTTGTCTTTGCTAACTTGGATCCAAGGCCTAGGCTTCTGTTGAGACCATAATGAAATCCACTTTTTATAAAGGACGTTAAATGCCCAGTGTAGTTTTGCATATGTCAAACAGTTGGACTTCTAATCCTCTTATGGAACAGAATTTTGCAACTACGGATTTACCTAAATAGATCGATCTTGTATTCTGTTTTATTAAATCACAAAACACTTTACTTGCGAAGAAAGTTGAACAGATCCCTTGATGTACCAGTTGTATACTGGGTAGAGAAAAGGACAAGTTAATGGATACTTGATGAACCTGGTTGGCAGAAAAGAAAAAAACTGAAAGCAATAGAAGAGCAAAAGAAGAAACTAACTGAGAGTAGAGATCTATAAGAATGATATAAGCTATTTCTAAAAGCAAGACCGCGGATTCAACTTGGAGTCTTCTTTGGGTCGACAATCGGGAGAATCACCTTGTTTTGTAGAGTTGAATAAAGAAGCATAAAAGTTTCTGTTGGTGCAAAGAACTCTATGAAATTCCAAGATATGATACTTTTTTCAAAATGAGAAGGAGATGTTGGAAAACAACAATGTCGCTTTTTTTCCGTCTACAGCTATTTTTCTCTGGTCTTCCGGGTCTATTTCTTATCTTTTATAAAACCTTCAGCACTGTCTGGTTTTTTTTGAGTTGGTTCAAACAATGTAAATAAACATGAAGCCTCTAAAACTTCGTCGTTTCAGACATTTGTAATTTTCGAATAAACTATTGCAAGGAATTGAAGAATTAATTAATACTTACTTTGGGAATAGCCAAAAGCATGGCGTACCTTAGAATATCGGTTGCTTCTTTAGAGACAATCATCAACATCTCCAGCCCTTTTAATTTCTAGTAATCGGAAGAAAGAATAAAAGTCGATTGTATCAGGGATTGACCAGTACAAATCATAACCCTCTATGTATTCTCCTATGGCTCTTCTTTCGTACCTTACCTCAGACCAAACACCAAGTGAAACCACATTTGAGGAAAAAGGATGAATTCATCGGGGAACCTGGAACATGGAAGTACAAACATGGAAATGGATACAACAGTATCTTCAGAATCGAAGCCTTCACTCGTTTCTGAATTACTCGAGTTCACACTTCAGCATCCCTACAACTACGAAGGACATGTGAAACTCATAGAAGAACTAAAACAACATGGACTGAAAGATGATTTGCATTCTGCTAGGAAACGATTTCAGAGCCTCTTTCCTCTTTCTGAAGGTAAGTAGGGGTGAGTATGGACATACCATTCGATGTTATAAGTCTTATAATATTGTGGTTTTGCTATTGAAATACGCTCTTCATTCAATTTAGGAAAACTGTTAGATTCATTCGCTAATTATATGCGTTTAGATATATGGATTGAGTACTTGGAGGACGAAAAAGCAGTGTGCAATACTTTACAAGACTACGAACGAATTATCGGTTTGTTTGAAAGTGCAGTTAAAGATTACCTCTCGATTCGTCTTTGGCGACTATATTTAGACTTCTTATTAACGCTCGTTGATCCGAGCACATTTTCTTCTCAAAATGCGGAACTACAAGACGTGGTTTCTTTGCAAGATGTCCACGCATTATTTAAAAGAGCATACGAAAGTTGCAAATACCATTTTAGTCAGGTGAGTGAGTGTGTGGACTTGAGTCAGATTGCTAATGTCGATTGAATATAGAGCCAAAGAATATGGGAACAGTATTTGGAGTTTCTCGAAGAAACAGGTGAAAACTTATTTGAAAATGATCAAACTATTTCCTTGCAAGATAGGATGTATGATTTTTATGTTGAAAGATTAGAAATACCTCACAGTCAAATTGAGGAAACATTTTCATCTCTTTCTTCTTTCGTCACCAAAAATTGGTCGCAAGATGAGTACGAAGTCATTATGTCGAACACAAATAAAATTTATGAGATGAATTTGTCAAAGTTTAAGAAAATATATGATAATGAATTGCAACTGAGTGCTTCTAATCATTCCCTGGAATGCTACATGGATCTCCTTAATATTGAATCAAGACGAAGCACCTCTATTCCTTCATATATTGCTACACTGTATGAAAGAGCTATATGCTTCTACCCTCTTGTAGGTGATCTATGGCTTGAGTACTTGGCTTGGGTGAGCAAACCTGATTTTCCTCCTCAGGCTTTTGCGATTGCAGAACGTTCGGTTCGAAACTGTCCTTTTGTGGGCAGATTATGGGCCATAAAGCTTTTATACATGATCGTTGTTGGATTATCTAATAATGCAATCCAACAAGAGAAAGAAACTTGTCTACAGATGGGTTTGCTTTCTGGATTTGATGAATACTGTGCCTTTTTTTCTGAGTATCTTAAACTGTGTATATATATCTCTTCTAATGAACTAGACCCTGTGCTTTATATAAAAAATGAGATTCAAGTCATCGAGAATTTTATGCACCATCATTTTCCTGGACTTCGAGACGATAGTTTGAGAATAGAAAGTGCAAAAATCAATTTATTCATTTCCCTAAATGACTATGAAAGCGCTGAAAGGTGTTGGAATGGACTACAGAAAGATTTTCAAAAGAGCACGCAGTTCTGGATTATTAGATACACGGCTACTTCACGATACAACATAGAGCTAGCTATTGATTCTTTGAGAAAAGGTCTGTACAAGGATGTCGACAATCCCATGCTGTTATTTCAATTTTATGAATCAGTCGTTACACTTAATCATGATTGTTTTACTTCAATTTCCCAGTTTTTTGACGTTACGCAAGCGAAAAAGCTATTTGTTAAGAGGAGCCTTACTTCTCAAGCACAAAACCAAGAAATAATTCCCTCGATGAAAGAGGTTCAAGAAAAACCAACCACTTCACCTGACCATGCCAAAAAGCGAAAACCGACAAATGGCGAGGATATCATAAAAAAAACAAGGCTCCCAGAAAAGCATCGAAACAGAGAAGAATTTACTATTTTAGTCAGTAATCTTCCGAATGATATCAGCGAGAAAGAATTGCAGCAATTCTTCAAAGGCTGCGGCAATATTTTACAGATATTTATTTACGATGATCAAGAAGGAAAAAAAATAGCACAGATTGAGTTTTCCGAAACTAGTGAGGTTCTTGCTGCTAAGACCAAAGATCTCAAACAAATTAAAGGACATGAAGTTTCTATTCAGATTCATGTTGATACCACCCTTTATGTTACAAATTTTCCGCCTACTTTTGATGAAAGCAAAATTACAGATCTTTTCACAAAATATGGCCGCGTTGTGCAAGTTCGTTTTCCAAGCCTAAAATTCGACACAAACAGGCGATTTTGCTATGTTCAAATGAGCACCCCGGAAGAAGCCCATCATGCATTACAGCTACACTCTACGACGCTTGGAAATCAGTATGAATTGAAAGTGTTCATTTCGGATCCTAACAAAAGCGGAGCCAGAAGTGGGGCTGTGTACGAGAAAAGAGAGCTTTATTTAACAAACATTGATTTCAGTATTGATGAAAACCAGGTCCGTAATTTTTTTCAAGACTATGGCACTGTAGAAAGTGTTCGATTACCTTCAAGGGATTCTAAGAGTCACATGGGATTTGGTTATGTGGTTATGTCTACTAGTACGGAAGCCGATAATGCTTTGAATGCAGCCGGGAAGGTTTTGGGAAAAAGAGTATTAAATGTTGTTATATCCCAGCCAAAGAAAGCTATTAACAAAGAAAAATTAAATAAGGATAAGCGACCAACATTTACTAAATTGCTTAATAAGAGTACAGACGATAGTAAAAGCCGTCCGACAACACTTAATCAAGTTCACAGTAAAAGCCTGGGAATTATTAATGTCGATCAAACGATTAATGAAGCAAGATTAAGGTCTATTTTCGAACCTTATGGAGAAATTTTTAGAGTCGTTTTACATCCTGAACATGAAGGCGCGATTGTTGAATACGCCGACATACATAACGCTGGTAAAGCCGCACTTGCCGTAGAGGGTATGAATTTAAGCGGTCGAGAATTACACGTTACAACGGTGAACGAAATGATGCATAACAACCCAGACCATAATGAAACGTTGATTCCTACACCACGTCCACGAAAGGCTAGTGCGAGATTAGGCATTCAAAAGTTTCAAAATTCCAGGAACCAGGCTGAAACTGAAAATAATGCAAAGCACGATAATGAGGATGCAATGCAAATTGATCCTCCTAAGACTAATGATGATTTTCGACGATTCCTATTCAAAGGTACTTGAAAGGGAACACCGCTAATATTGTTCATTTTAAATTCTATGGTATTAGTGCATAACCAAACTTGGAAGAGGTTTGCCATAAATATTCTCGAACTTCACTTGTTTTTGCGGATTTTGATAAAAAGCTTGAAGCGTAGCAATATTTGCTATGCAGCAACACATTAAATCTTTCAAATAGTTTGTTTGTAAATCAAAAGATAATTCACGTTGACAATTCTCCACTGGTGATTTCAGTACTTTTAACAAGGACTTCTTAGATTCTTCAAAAGATTGTAATGTTTGCTCCAGGAGTCCTTCTTTTGATAAAGACTGATAGTATTGAATATTTTTATTCAATTGAGAAATAGATATTGATTTCATCTCACTTAGTTTTACAAGTGGATTAAAGTGAGCTTTGAAATTGGATAAAATCACTTTTTCTTCCTTACTAAATAACGGGCAGGTGAAAACACCATATTTTAATAATACCAAAGACAACTGTTTGTTAGTAAAAATAACTTAAAATCGCCACTTACAAGAAAATATCCAAAATAAACGCTCTTCTTTGCTTTCAGTTCATCATTTAAGTAGTTTATAAATTTGTAGTTCAAGTTTTCAGGCTTTGCTCGGCCTAAAATTCGTTGAAGATGTTGTAAGTGTAATTCAAAAACCGAATTAAGATAAGAAAATAAATACGGCCATTGATGAGGTTTATGGAGGTCTTGCTCAAAAGAGGTGGTGAGGATTAACTCTATAATAACAAATTTTAAGTGAAGAGCAAAATCAGAAAAATAACCAACCACGACTTCGTCCATCGAAGCAAGCGAACTCAACTTTTCGTCTATAGTTTTTGCTTGTAAGTGGGCTATTACGCAGTCAGGAAGTAGATTAATTAAGTTTCGGCGAAAGCGACATGGATTATGTGTAGAAATCCTTACAAAATCTAGTAGAAAGCCAGCAAAATGACTCACAAAGCTCTCAAGCTCAGCCTGAATTTCTATACTCAAGCGTTCGGGCATTAGGCACATAGATTCGGGATCGTAAAATGAAGAGGGAAGGCAAGAAAATTGATGAGCGCAAAGCAAAAAAAAAGATATTGGATTATAGATCATACAGACACCACCTCCAGCCAAAAGAAACGTTTGTAATGATGAACGAACATATGGTTCAGGAACTCTATTTGAACGTGTGTTATCAATGCAAAATGACAATATAGACATAGGGGAGGCTGGCTTTTGGGTTCGCAGAACAATATTCATGTCGTGTGCAAAGTACTGCAATCTTTCGTACGCAGCCTTTAAATTGCAAGAAGGAACATTACGAGGAGGAGCAGTAACGATGAGTTGTGCTTGTACTCGACTATCCCAGAATTGCATAATGATATCTTCCCGAACATTATCCGTAACAAGCTGTAATTCATCAAGTAATTCGGGAGTATAGTGGCTAATATTATCCAAGCTTTCATGTATTTTTTGAATAGAATTTCTTTCATATATATGTAAAAGGGAAACGCGCAGCTGAAGTCGTTTTCGCAAATTTATGAGGATGTTACAAGGGCCCGAATCCTTCTTGATTTCGTTTTCGAGATACTGAATCCCTTCTAACAAAAGATCGTAAACTTTTTCTGCGGGATAAACTTCAAGGAGAGATAGTTGGTAGGAAAAGGAGCTCATGTCTTCTTCATCATACATATTACCGGTCAAGAATTCTCTTCGCACATAATCACAACATTTGATAACTCCCAACACATATGGGAAAAGGACTAGATCTGTTAATGTATCTAGCTTTTTTCGGGAAAATCCCATATCCTTAATTCTTGAGGTCGGAGTTTTGCAGATATAAAAAACATGCTTACTGCAGAGTATGCTCTCTGACATTGGAATGCCGTAATGCCAATCACTTTCGGCAGTAAAAATGCCATCCATTATTGCAAGCGTTTCTACAGGATTAAGACTTTTAGCGACATCTACATTCGTTTCAGAGTACTCGATCCCAGTATCCATTTTTGGATCCATAATCTCAAACGCACTAATAGAATCCAATAAGGTAAAACTAGGATCACAAATAAGCTGCTCTTCTTTTAACGTGTGAACCGCATTGAAGTAATCGGAGGTACAATCCACATATCCATCTCTATCTACACTTTTGTTATTATCCTGACCAGCAGGAACCTTGGTGAAATGATTTTGAGAAACTCCATCATAAAATAAAGAAGAAAAACTAAATTCAGGCATCATATCAATGGGATGTCCCTCCATCTACTAACTACGAGGTGTTGTAGTAGCTGATAAGTTTCAAGAGAAATTAACGTATTCGCTGTGTACACCGAAAAGCAAATAGTTAGAAGGTAAATGTAAATTCATTTTATTAGATATTAATTATTAATTGAAAGAATAGAAATTGATAAATAGCGAACAAAAACTGTAAGAATGTAAAGACTTCAAATGTTCTATAGAGGTAAGTAGATCACAGACTCTTAAAAGAAGAATCTAATTGAAAATGGCATTCATAACTTTCCGTTTTAGGTTTTCAATTTCATTGTTTTTTTGGCGTAACTCAGCATTCAGCTTTGCAATCTCCATTTTCAGTGTTGATACCGTGTCCAATGATCCTAATGTACCCACAGCAGACTTTGTCCTTTGAATGGTAGCATCTTTTAAAAGAGTAGGCTCAGCTAAAGCGTGCAAGTTTGGAGTTTTTTCGGCGTTGAAAGTATGACAAATGGTTGCACTAAGAGGTCCTTGATGGACAGACCAGATAAGTCTATCATTATTGGCTTCGATAATTTCAAGCTGCGAGGAAACGAGAGCAAGCATGGTATGGGAAATGTTTCTCATGCTGTTAATCCGTGAGGATGGAAAACTTGTAGGTACGTAAGTAGAGATTTCGTCTGTGTAACTATTTAGTAACTGATTCACCTTTTCTGTTGGTAAATGAGCTGCATGCGAAAATGCGGCTCGTAACATGGTATTTTGAGCATGCATTGATTTGTCAAATCGTTCGTACCAATTCGTATCTATGTTCAAGGGAATTGATACTTCGGAATTTAACTGTCTTAATTTGTTTCGAGCACCAGGGGGACGCCCTCGTTTCCGTGGAAGCCCTCTTTCTTGCTCAACAGCATCAACGTTCGCGGACCGAGACCAAGAGTCACTCAATGTTTCGCTTTCCTTTGGAGAAGTAACATCTCTTAATTCGTCAGGCCACTGCTGCCAAGTGTTGGTAGGGTCTATCGAGTCGGCAACGGAAACAGATTCGGAATCCCGAAAAGAAGTTTCATGTCTATTGGGATGGGATGTCGTTCTAGACAGCTGAGCCGCTTCATTCGATGACTCAAACATATTCGTACTCTGCGGAAGCGGTGAATTAGGAACAGTTGAAGGATGGTGTCGCTGATGTTGAACGGGATCAGCCGTAATGTTTTGTGAGGTAGGCATCAGAAGTGAGTGAGGACTAGGACAGTTTTGAGTTTCAGAATGGGTTACGAATCCGAGACTTTGGCTATCAGTCTCAAGATTGTGGTCCGCTGAAGGCATCCAGTTGGATGGAGAGCTTGAAGTATGCAATGCATTGATCGAATTATTATGATGAGGTACCAGACCCGCACGTAAAGCTTTAATAACCAAGTCATCATTTATATTGACACTAGATCGCAATTGAGGCTGACTTTCTGGTATTTCCAAATAATACTCATTCGGTCGATTCAAAAGATAATCAAAGAAAGCGTCCACGTGCATTTGATTCATCCATCGTTTCAAGCGAACAACATACTGTTGGATCTTTTGAGTAGATTGCTCATCTTTTCTTTCCACTCCTAAGAAACCAACCAATTTGGACCAGGAACTGATTACCTTTTGATGATACTGCCGAATCAACAAAAACAAGACCCAGATATCAAACTTTTGGCCCTCAGATTTTGGAATAGAGTTAAAAGCATTTGCCAATAGTCTTGTATCCGCTCCAGCATACCAAGGATTGCAACATAAACAGAACTGGCAGAACTTCTCGGTTATGTTGTCCGCATTGACATCAAGCTTGGAAGGCAAAAGAGCATAAAAATTCATAGTTTGTTCGTATATTACAATGTTGAGTTGCGCAGTTATGCCTAGTTTTTAACACGAATGGATTTTCGAAAATATGAAACCGCAAAGATCAATTTTTCCAAACAAAAAAGAACCAAAACCTCTTAAAGAGAGAATACCTATTAATAAACCAAATTATCCGTACCTTGAATTGTTTCCCGGCAAACCAGCTGAAATTTTTTGGAAAATAATGCTTGAAGAAAACATAAGAGCTTGATAAAAATAGCAGCAAGATTTGGTTCAACAAACGCTTCAATCTTTTTTCTTACAAAATGATTTCAAAGATGAAAAGAGCCATGTATTTGGTTGGCAACCTTCATTCGCTAAAGTTCCTATTTTGCAATTCCCCAAAAATTAGTCCAAAAGACTATAATGAAAAAAGGTACAAACAAAAAGATAAGTGAACCGTTATGATCTAAGGATAGAAAAAGGATCAGTAGGATGGAAAATGGTAAACAAAAGAAATGCTAGTCAAACGTAAAAAATATTCGCGTTTGTTACTTCTGATATGTCACTTGTAAAGTACCATGGTTAAACAAGTTTAAGTCTTTACGTTTCTATTCTATTCCTAAATAAAATAAATAAACAATAATAAATCATTCAATAGATATCAAAGTTGTCCAAACTTTGAATGCCTTGACGTGGATGCATCTAGGGTCGAAATTAATTTCAGGAAAGTCGTCCCCATTTGGCGTGGTTGTACTGCATATATGTGAGTTTTTGAAAGGCTTTATTTTCTTTTTTCTTGGAACCATCGATTTTCATGCGAATTTTAAGGAGCTGAAGCTTGAGTACTTTCGTTTTCGGGAAATAATAAACAAATATTTTGTTACAGTAATAATAATACGATACAGTATAAAAAATGCTGGTAAGCCATTTTTATTTATTGAACAACAAAGAATAATGATACAGATTAAAGAAAAAGTAAAAATGAATGAAGTCTTATAGAATATTTTGGTAAGCGAAATCTATCGAAGGTGTTTTGTCTCATAATAATCTGCTAGTTCTTGGGATCAGCATGCTATCACCAATTTATTCAGATTTTGATACTTTTTTCTTTTCTCCTTTTTCTTTAACCTTCATATATGTCCTTTTTCCATTAAAAAGGAGGAAACTTGTAGTATCATACTAGTGTTCTCCAGTGGTAAACAAACAAATGAATCCTGTAAACATGAATTGACTAGTCTTGGAAGCAGTTTCCTCTCAAAAGGCTTTTGGAAAAAAAACAACAAAGAAACATTTACAGCGCCTAAAAGGCGCGCTTACTGATTCTAGGGTCTGTTGAGCGTTGAAATTCATTTTCAGTTTCACGTTGAGGTGAATCTGAAAAGCTTGCTCAATACTATGGTTTTTACACTTTTGTTGATGACCTTCTTTCTCATTTCCATTATTTGAATCCTGAGAATCCTAATTTGCCGTTGGAATTATCGATTTTATATGTATATATTGTTTCGTGTGTCTTGGATATTGAACTTGGAAGTTTCTCGTTCCATGTTTCTATTTACTTTTCGCTTTAGTTTTCTTTTATAATTATTATTTCTATTGGTATAGTAAAAACCCATACTTGTATTCTACTGTATTCATATTATTAGACATCCAATTGTGCAAAATGTTGATAATATCCTAAACAAGCTAAATGAAGGCTATAAAAATGATGGGTATTAAAATTACGACTGTTTATATTACATTTTCAGTAAAAACCGAAAATAGCCCAATCTCATCCAAAGTCATGTAGACCTCAAGTCGCGTTCCTACTACACGTAAATAAGAAATTGAGGAATCATCGAGCAATTCACTTCTTTTTATGAAATAAACGATTAAATTCGTTTCGAATGTCTGAGTTTATAAAATTACAATGAATGAAGGGTCCAGTGTCCCGGTAAAACACAGAGAAAACCAATTTTTTGAAATTGGCGTTGTGGGCAGGTATTCTAATTGCTGCTAAATTTCTCACATATATCAATGATTTGAGAGATTATTTATTTAATATTTGTAGGACTGGAAATGTTTATTAACCAAGGATAGAAAAACTGGATTCACTGTTCCTCAAGATGTCAAAAAAGGGGCAGATGGTTTTGACGATATGGACGCGTATTTCTTGTCAGATGGCTCAATTCATTTAGAAGATGACCAAGAAGAGCCATCTAATCAAGAAATCGCACCAGAAAAAGCTGTACCGCTTGTTTCTCCTGCTGTTAATGAACAAAATCACGTTTCACCTGCTTATTCTCTTTCTAATTCATTTCAAGAACGAGACAATGATCCTCCGTCTTCCCCTTTACTAATGAACTCTAAAGCCTTACGAGCTAGTCGTGAATTTTCTGGGCCATTAATGGGTAAGTTTTTGCTTTCGCCTTTGGTTCAGTTCAATGCTTCTGAGACCAGGCAAACATCTCAAAAACCTATTTTCTAACTAGTATATAGCTTCAAAATCACTTTCTCGTTCTTCTCATTTATTTGATGAACCTAATGATCTTAAATATAGTCCTAACCATACCGACCTATCCTACCAAAAGAAACAAAATAAAATAGTGGACTTTTCGAGGATGAAGCAATCACCCGATAAAAACAACTTTGAGCCTCGAAGAAGTTCAGAGTTTCCAAACCGATCAGCTCCTTCGAATAGCAATCCACCCTCATCAGAGTTTTCCTTTAAAGAAAAACTACCTGTTAGCAAGCAAGTACAAGAACTTCGAAAATCAAAAGCCTGGAACTCTCCAAAGAAAGGTTCTGAAGTAGATGAAATCCGCATTCGTCCTACACACAAAGCGTTCCCAGCGACTTCACCTCCGAAACCCCAAGCACTGGCTTCGCAGACTCAGAAAATAGATGATATAATAAAAGAACCAACCCCTCTTTCTTCCCCTCATACAGAATCGGATTCTTCAGATATTCCACTCTCGCAAATACCCCGAACTTCAGAAAAAGTTCCAAAAATTGATCAAGAGAACGTACAACCTGAAGAAGATGGCACAGAAAAAGTAGTTAAAAGGCGAGGACGACCACGAAAACAGAAAAGTGAAGCCAACAAGGAAATTGATAGACCAAAGATTGAGGAAAAAGTCGAAAAGGAAGTACAAGAAGATAAAAAACGACGAAGAGGACGGCCAAAAAAGAAAGAGCTTTCTCCTAAACCTGAAAAAGTAAACGTTCAGGAAGATTCACAGGGCATATCCGATGAGGAGCCTCTAAATGATAACCAGGGAAATATTCATCAGATTGATGAATCTCATGGATTACGAAGGTCAAATCGTACCAGGATAGCTCCATTAGCCTTTTGGAAAAACGAACGCGTTGTTTATGAGCTTAACAAAAATAAAACAGAAACCCCAGCTTTGCCGGAAGTAAAGACAGTAATTCGCATTGACGATCCTGCCTCGCAACGCAGGAGAAGAAAAAAGATTCGTTCAGAAAGGCGCAAACAAGATACAGAAGAGCCACCCGCTACAAATGTGCCAGTCGAAGAGGATGTCAACGACTTAAGTCCATTCAATGAAGAAGTGAATTGTCCAGTATTGTCTTGGAACCAGAAAAACCAGAAAGTTTCAGAAACAAGGACAATTGGGTATGCCTTGCCGTCGGTTAAACTATATCAAATTCGAAACCAACAAACAAAGTTTGCGAGTTTATTCAGCGATCCGAACTTTTTTGGGGCAGGTATCCTGGAACTTCCTGCAGGCGCAGAAAAACCCGTGAAACCATCCAAACATAACCTTATGTCCTTTTGTATTTTACAAGGGTACTTAGAAATTATGGTTAATACGACAACGTTCAGAATGAGAAGGGAAGGAGTATTTATTGTTCCTAGAGGTAAGTGATTTTTCTACCTTTTCCAAGCTGATGCTAACTTTTCAGGAAATTATTATAGCATAAAAAATATCGGTCATGAGTTGGCTCGTTTATATTATACACAAGCAGCCGACACGTTAGACGACGAAAGACGGTATAACAAAGAAACAACTGTTAGATAATCTCCTGGGGTAATTTTGTATATAATGTGTATATATTTATCATCTAATTAGACATTTGTTTGCAATCGTCTCATGCTTTCTTTGCTGTAACTTGAAAACAATTCAAAATGGAATTGAAAATCAAGAGTAATTCACTTTTGAATCATGTCCTTAAATTTCAGTGTTCTACTATAACTGTCGATCATGTCGGTGAGTCTGTCAACATTAACCTTTGAGGAATCAATTGTCAGTTTTTTACCATCCTCTAAACAAATGGTTAGTAATTGAGATAAAAATTGAATGAACTATCATAGGGTGCACTTACTATATAAAACCTCTACAGTTGGGTTGACAGTAGAAGTTTTAGGGGCAAGATTGCTCGTCAAGAACATCCCGTAAGTTGACCTCGCATTCTCTTTATTTGCTAAAGTTAAAAGAAGTCTTGCGGATCGGCTAGCCTTGGAGAAAGGATTTAAGTTCGTTATCGATAATTTATTTATGAAGCCAAAAATCATTTTCTAACGCAATTTTCTGAGTGGAGAATCTTTCAATGTTCTTAAAATATCATATAAAGCAAGTTTCCTTTCTGTTTCAATCGTAAAAGGAAGTATTTGAATATTCAGCTCTGGTGTTCTGGGTAAGCATGTCTGAAGGCAATGTGTTGCTCTCAGAGACTTCCACTCATCGAATCCCAATTACTCCTTTTTCTTGGATTAAAAGTACTTTCGTGAAACATATTTATCTTTATTAAATATTTAAAATTTGAATTTTTGGGAAAGCTGCTTGTTTGTTTTTCATCTTAAGGTCAAGTTTTGGAGAACACGTTTTCATTATGAGTTTGAGAGCGAAAACCAAGAACCCAGCGAATATTTTTAGCCATGAAACGCTTCTTCATATCTTTGAAAGTCTATCTTCTCGCGACATCGTTGCATTGGAAAGGGTATCCAAAAGTTGGAAATCCATCGCTCAAAATTCATCCGTAAGCAATTTCTTTGGAGATGTATATTTGACTAACCACATTTAGGTATGGCATAATCTTTTTCTTTCAGAATTTGGCAAAAACCGCATTCGACGGAGAGCTCGAATTAGCAAGGCCCGTAAAAATTGGAAGAACGAATTTAAGAGTGAGAGTAATTGGAACTCAGGAAACTGTAAGAAGGAGGTTTTTTCACTCTCTAAAAATCAAAACATCTGTCTTACTAAGGAACCGGCGGATGAAGCGAAGTTTAAAGTTGCCCTACTCCATGAAGGACGTGTATACACATGTAATACGAAAATGCTCTATGAGTGGTCTTTTAATGAGAACAAAATGACATGTTTGAATACCATATCATTTCCGGAGGAATACAAATCTAACTCTCCTATTACCATGTGTGTTGATGGTGACAACTTTTACATAGCTTTAGAAACTGGAGCCGTACTTCATACAAAGCTTACTCAGAACGGGTTTAGTGATTTGAATAGTATCTTACATATAGATTCCCCGTTGAAATCTCTGAGTGTCCGACATAATTTGCTCTGCGGATTGACGAAGGATAAGTCATTGTGCATGTTTAAGAACAAAAGTCTGTCATCAATTTCTTTTCAGTTACTCGGAAAATTCTCTGTTTCTGGTGTGAAGGATCCTATTTCAATTCATATAGAACTTGATCTATCTCGCTCACGCAAAATACTAATCGTACAACTCGCCTACAGCGAATATGTGATTGCCCACGGATGGACCATTGGATTACAAGAATTTTGGATTACGGACTCAACAATTGTAAAAAATCGAGTCGGTCAACGTCAAGTTTCTGACATTGTTTTTTCTTCACAACCAGCGTCAGGCGTTTATCAACAGGGTCCTTATGTGTTAAGTTCCCATGCGGATAACACATTAATGCTACATTATATTTCTTCAGGCCTCGATTCTTCTCGTATTCAATGGGGCATTCAGCTTCGAGGACATGTATGTGGCGTGGAGAAATCTAAATTGTTTGAATGTGGAAAAATTATTTCTGTTTCTAGGAATTGTACTGAGATTTGTTTATGGGACCTGCAAAATTTTAGAGAAGCAGAAGAATTTCGGCCGTTTATGATAGAATCAAAACTGATTTTTAGCCGGTATATTCAAGATTATGAACAAAGCAAGACTCACGTGCAGGACATTGAGTTGTTTGACGATACAGTAATGATTACACTCTCAGATGGAAATGTTATGGCATTCCTTTTTTATGCTTAATACGCCCATAAGCCTGGAATGATTTTACCCCTTACATATCTAATTTATCTTAATTTACAGTTGAATGGATTCAATGGTTTAGATGAATAAATAATAAGTAATAGCTATAATCTGTAACAGCATATATTGATTAATTATCTCAACAACCTTGTTAGGATTTACTCGAACCGGAAAAGAGACTACATTTTATGGCAATACGATTGTTTATCTACATTTATTAGAATTCTCTCTGTTCTACTATTTTATTGCTTTTCATTTCGTTTATACTTTGCACATGATTTCTCATATATCAATTAAAATAATTGTAGCTTATAAATTAACCCTACCCTAAACGTGACTGTCTATATACCCCAAAAGAATTGGGCAAGACTACGACAGGTAGGACCGTCCGTCCACCAAAAAACAGCGAGAAAAAATGGCCAACCTTAGTACGCAGAAGCGCCTTGCTTCTTCCGTTTTAAATTGCGGCAAACGTAAAGTTTGGATGGATCCCAACGAGCTTAGCGAAATTAGCAATGCTAACAGCCGTCAAAACATCCGTAAGTTGGTTAAGGATGGTTTGCTCATCCGCAAGCCTAACTTGATGCACTCTCGCTTCCGCATTCGCAAGACCCATGCTGCCAAGCGTCTTGGCCGTCACACTGGTTATGGTAAGCGTAAGGGTACTGCTGAGGCTCGTATGCCCTCTGCTGTTGTCTGGATGCGTCGTCAACGTGTCTTGCGCCGTTTGCTTCGTAAGTACCGTGAAACTGGCAAGATCGATAAGCACCTTTACCACAGCCTTTACTTGGCTGCTAAGGGTAACACCTTCAAGCACAAGCGTGCTTTGATTGAGCACATCCAGCGTGCTAAGGCTGAAGCCAACCGTACTAAGTTACTTCAAGAGCAACAAGATGCTCGTCGTGCCCGTTCCAAGGCTGCCCGTCTCCGTAGAGCTAAGGTTGTCGGAGAGAAGCGTGAACAAGCTTACACCGCTGCTGAACAGATTGAGGAGTAAATGAGTGTATCAAATCTATCCTATAAAATAAGTTTTGTTGCATAATTTATTACGATATTAAACTATCTTAAACTATATGTTTCGACTAGTAACGTAAAAGTGAATGTGAATATGACGTTGGAGACAGTAGCACCTACCTGTGAATAGTAAGCTTATATTAAGCGTTTTCTGAATATTGATTTTCTGACTTGAAACTTGTGAGTGGATTAAGCTTCAACGTCGTTGCATTTCACGTAGTCTGCTTGAACGCTATAATTGTGTTTGTTGATTATCCCTTTGTCCTTACCACATTACCAGAACGGTTTATAAGTTATAGAGAATCTAATAAAAGCTACTGTACAGTAACAAGGGAACTAAACTGCTTGTTAGATTTAAAGTATTAAACAATTAAACTATGTCGACGCTTCTAATTCAAATAGATGAGAAATTGATGTTTTTGGGCATTCCAGAAGAAAAAAGCCCTCGCATACGACACTTATACAACAATAATAACTTTACTAACGATCTCGCAGATCAATTGTTGTATTCAATTATACGTCTTTGTTCAACATTGCCAGGAATAGTACTTCATAATACTTGTGTTGTTCTAGTCGTGGATCTCTTTTTGAGTAAAAAGGAGAGAGTATCTCTTTGTGAAGTTTTATTTTCAAATCTCAAAGTGAAATCGATTCTATGGATGTATTCAGCCCTAACCGCAACATTAAGTACCGGGTCCAAAGATGCACTGGTCATTGATATAGGGTGGTACGAAACAAAAATTATTCCTATTGCCGATTTGAAGATACTTAGCAACTTAATCCGTATATCTGATAAATGTATTATGTCGGTGATAGAGCACATGCACAATTGCTTAGCACTTTGCGCGTCCTCGAATTCAACACATGCGTCTCAGCGTGATCTTGTGCCTCTCCCATTCCAAACCTTTCTTTCATCCCTGCTCACATCTACAGTTTATTCCTTTCCTTCGGAGGATGTTCCTCACACGATGACAGCTCAAGAAATCGTCCATACTATTCACAATTCTCCAATGAGCTCAATGCCCTTCACATCGAAACCAACTCATCAGTGTCCTCCAGAGACAGTTCCTTTCTTTGATAACAACAGCAATAATTATATCAAACTACCATCTTGGATATCAAATGTTTGTTTAGAATCGCTTTTTCAAGGTACGGATCGCTTGCATTTAGACCTTGTAGAACAAGCCTTACCAAACCTTCTCGAACAAGTCATTTGCTCTCTACCCCTTGATCTCAGAAGGCCTTTATCAAAAAAAATATTAATCACAGGACCTTTGGCTTCTCTTCCGGGAATGTCAGAACGTTGGCAATCTGAGATGGTCACTAGAGGAATGGCTATACAATGTCTTCATTCACATATACAAACCCCGTTTCTTGCGTGGTATGGAGCTACTATTTCGTGGAAATCACAAATGGGTAATCCTAAAGGAAACAGTTCATCTGCTTTTTCCAAACCTGCTTTTAATAATTTACCTCCATCTCCTATGCTCTTCTCCTATTCCCAGTATTCTCGTGGATTACCCTTACCAGAATGGTGGTTTCCCCATAATCATGAAAGTGAACAGTCTCAGTAAACCCTTATTAAGGAACTATAAGCTTTCTTTTGATCGCGACACATTATATGACTTAGCGAGAATTATAGACGTCTACCGCCACACTAAAGGTTTGCTTGCCAGTCTTGTTTGCATTTTCTACGTGCAGAAAGCAATATCCATTCTTCGTGGTTAATTGCCCAGAAATCTCGCAGGAGACATGAAAGCTGCTGCGCAGAATAATAGTACGAAAAATTATGTGGTATGCATTTTATGTGAAACGAATTTCATCGGAAGGAACGACGCTAATCAGATTCTATTAGTTTTTACCGTTTTCAAAACGAGTGGACAATTTAAAAATTGATGTTGCTCATAAAGTTCGCCGTGCAGCAGATATAGAAGATGAAAATGTAAGTTAATTTGAATATGTCTTGAAATTGAAAAATTTTGATAAGTACTAACGAGTGAACAGCTTGAATCGTATTTTATCTCTTGTTTAAATAAATGGGTAGATTTGAATCTTTCCACACATTTTACCAATTTTTTTAGAGAGGTTTCTCCTTATACGCAATCGCTCCCTCAGTTAATCTTTCATCAGCAGACTGTTTTTTCCATTCTCGAAAAATATGCTGGTGAGGGTAATTCACTTTCTTTGCAGCCGTTGCTGGAGTTAATAACCCAGTTTGCTCGTGATTTAACGACTGAGTTTGCTGTGTACGTTGATCGTACATTAATATTACTGTCCCAACTCGTGCGAAGTACCGAGCTAGAAGTCGTGGACTGGTCTTTTCACGCAGTTGCATATCTTTTCAAATATTTGAGGAAAATTTTAATTCCTCAACTAACCCATATCTACGATATTTTGTCTCCATTACTAGGTAAGCAAAAGGAGAAAGCTCATGTCATTCGGTTTACCTCTGAAGCTTTGTCCTTTCTGTGCCGTTTGAACAAAGAAGACGCCGCATATCAATTTGTTCATCATGTCATCAGCGACTTAAACGATAACTATTCTTCTCAGTATTTGGAAGGTATCGTCATCCTTTTTGCTCGCATAATCGAAGGTGTCGGCTCCAGTGTCCATTCGAAAGGTATTACTTTCGTAAGGATTCTCTTGGATCCCTCCATTTATACGTTACCTAAGGCCTCATCTGTCTGTGTCCCTGTTTTCATTTCAATCATTCATCATGCTACTGTTGAATCTTTTGTCGAAGTTCAGGATATACTTATTCAGAAGATTATGGATAATCCTTCACTATATATTAGCCTATTTGTAACTGTTGTTGCTACCCGAAAGGGTGCTAAGCTTTCAAATATTTCGGCTTTCCTTGAAGCGTATACAAAGCTTATGGAGACAACGGTTTGGGAATCTGCGGAATACTCTTTTCTGACTTTAGTATACCAGTTAGCTGCATATCTCATAACGTATCCTGAGGTTGCTGTTGTTATACCTTACAGCACACGTATCTTAAGTTTTCTACAGCAAGGCCCTCCCCCACTGTTTTTGTCGTTTGCCGACTTTATTCAAAATTTGAATCACCAAAGATATGTTTCTTTCATTAAGCCTGCTTTATCCAAATACGTATCTTCAAATCCTAATTTGGACCTAATTCAAATAGCGGTTATGGAAATTACTTTTGATACGGGCGTTTCCTTAACTCCTAGCATATTTACTATGGCTAGTGAGAGCTTGAAAAAGGCCTCATTATTGACGAAAGGTGGCGATCCTTTGACCGAACATGAATTGGCTCCTGCATGGTCTCAGTTGATTGTATTATCCTCTTCTGCGGTGGATAAAGTTCAGCTATATGAGAGTTGTGTGAGTGTCTTAGAAAAGATTAAGAGTCTGTCCTCGCCCTCTTTGCTCTATGGAAATATTGTAGGCTTAATCTTAAGGATTCTCAACGAAAAGGCAAATAGCTATTTGAAAGAAAATTCAGCAAGCATGCAAAAGCTATTGAACTTAGTACTTCCTAAGTTTGAGTTATATTCATCAAGCAAGTTTTTCTTAGAAAATTTAATACCATTTGCAGCAATGAAAACTGTTTCGTTTAAGGAGTCTATGGATTCAATAATTAATTGCTTGTTAAAGAATTTGGTAACTGGTGCTTACGGTCTTAGAAGTGTTTCAATAAACCTACTTCTCACCATTTATGAGAATGTTAACGGACAATATTCGGCCCCTTTACTTCATGTCAGGGATTTGATCGAAATGCCACTTAGCCCTTCAACGAGTCGTGATGCAGTTGTACTTGCTCGAAACGTTGTCAGCAAAATTAATTTACTTTCATTACAAGATCGAAAAGTCGCTTTGTTTTCATTAATCGGGTGTATCATGGTTCGGTTTACTCCTGTTTGGAAGGATTTCGCAAAGGCAATAGTAAGCGTGCTTAACAAAGAACTAGAAGGAGAATTTATGAAAATTATGTTTACTTGGTTATCTTGTCCAAAACCGCCGTCGAATTTGCTTACTGAAGAACAACAATCAATCCTTCATTTCGAACCTGCTGAAGTCAATTACCTTTCCACATTGGATAGATACGAGTTTACGTGCCCATCTTTCGCTTCTTCTGAAGAGACATTTGGTACTTGCCTATTTAACTTTCAGGAGCCTCAGGTTCAGAGCACAAAAGATTTATTAAAGTCTTTGGAAGATGACTATTCAAATCTTCCTTCGTATCGTTCTCAAGGTTTACGTATTCTGAACGAGTCATCAGATTTGGTTTATAGCTATATTGATCGGGTGGATGAGTATCTATTTAGTTTGCAACATGGCTTTGAGCTTAACACTGATTGGTCTCGGCAAGATATATATATGCTTTTAGGCCTTTATTCGCATCTTCAAGGACAACAACGTACCAAAAATGCGGAGAAGCGTAGGGAGTTGCTTTTGTGGGCGCTTAGTGTTAGTGACTCTAAAGTGCAATCTTCTGCACTAGATGCTTTGTTATGCTATAAAGATGAAAGTTTGAACGTATACGAAGAAAATTTAAAGAATTTATTGGATGACAAAAAGTTCAGGGATGAGTTAACCACCTTTCTTTTTATAAGCCCGGAGGACAGTATAATTCAGGAGCCCCATCGCTTAAGCCTCATGCCTGTTGTCATTAGTATTTTATATGGGAAAATGACCTCCGCAGCTTATGGTGGTCAAAAAAATCAAAATGCTCGACGATCTACTGTCTTGTCTACGCTGGGAAATATGAGAATATCAGACCTAGAGTTACTAATAGGTTTGATGCTTAGGCCCTATCAAGAATTGCCTCGCAACATTATTCACGAAACGGATCCTCTTGGTATCGTGAAATCACTACCTATGGTTTCTCTCAGACGCCAAATTGGTTTCCTTTCAATGGTTGAAGAGCTTCTTAAGCAAATTTCTTCCAAACTGACTCCCGTAGCGCCTATGATTATCAGTGCTGTCTTGTACAGTTTATTATCTGCAGATCAGTTACTTGTTTCATCAACCGATTCCAGATCCCCAGATGTCAAGCTCTCCCACACTATTCGCCATAACTCGTTGAAAGTGTATTTGTCGTTTTTGAAATTTTGTCCTGAAGTCAATATCGGCCCTTATAATGCTTTTCTATATAAATACTTTGTTCAACCTAAACTTCCTAAGTTTGCAACTGAGAATACTCAAAGTGTTTCTACACTTATGCAGATTTTTAAAGTGTGGTTTGAAAATACGAATTACTTGTCGTCAATATTGGACTTTGGCAGTTCCATAATGATGATCTTGCTTGATGTTATCTGTCAGTCGACTGTTAAGATACCTGTTATCCTTTTTGTCTTTGAAGTCCTTAATAGTGTCATCTTGCACGCACAGTCTGATGATGTGGAAGAACATTTTAGACAAAAAATTACTTCACTGATGGTACTTCCTAACATTAAACTGATATTCAATAATCTGTCCGATGTACTTGGAAAACCGATTTTTGCTGACAACAGTCGAGTTTTAGATGGATCGGTTGTCGTGCTTACCAATGTCTCCAAATTTATTTCTAGCGAGCTCGATTCTTCGCGCTTACTAGATTTACTCGTTCCATTCTTGAAGAAGCCCAAAAGACTCGTGCCAAACTCCGTAAAAGCAAACATACTGGAGCTATTCGCATGCTTTCTTCCTAATAACAAACCATGGGTGCAAGCTTCATTAGCTGAGCCTACCAGTTTTGAAACATTAATGCAAATGTACGCTCACATTGAGGAACCTTCGTCTCGTCGATCTTTGAACGGCATATTGAGGGCCTTTAGCAATGTTGATTCAGACCTTACCTTTGGTTCTGTCTTTGTGGAAGAAGTTAACTCGTTTTCTCAAAAACGACTTGATGAGCCTGATTTTGAACGTCGTCTTTCAGCCTTCACTTCACTAAATGAAAAACATTACGCCAACATCAGCAATTTAACTTGGTTACCGGTTCTCTACAATTGTTTTTTCTTTATTCGAGACGAAGATGAACTATCTATAAGGAGTAGTGCATCTCTTGGAATCAAACGATTTATCGATACGATATCCTTGGAAGATACGAATAGTGATTTCAAATCGACTTTATTCCAAAGTTTTATTCTTCCTAATACAAAAACTAACATGAAGCATAAGAATGAATTCATCAGACAAGAATTCGTATCTTTGCTTAATTATTCAGTCCTAAAACTACCTTCATTTGAAAGTATCTCCGATATGCGTCCACTGCTTTTTGATGGAGATGAAGAAGCCAATTTTTTCAATAATATTCTGCATATCCAATTGCATAGAAGACGTCGTGCAATGAGGAGATTAGCTGGTGTATGTGATACAGGAGTCATTAAAAGTTCCAACATTTCCCATATATTTTTACCTTTGTTAGAACATTTTTGCTTTACTTTAAATATTCCGCAAACGTTGATTGATGATACTGTACTGACTATTGGCGATATTGCTAAGTGGTTACAATGGAATCAATACCAGGCAATTTTGAAACGTTATATTGGATTATTAAAGAATGCGTCTATAGATCAAAAGATTGTTATTCGTTTGATAAATGCCTTAGTAACCGCATTAAGACCATTGGACGTTGCTATATCATCGTATCACAAATCGGATGAAATGGACATGGAAATAGACAATAATGATACCTTGGAATATAGGAATGCTCTTACTGATAGCCTGCCAGACACATCGAAGTTATCCACTTGTTTAGATAAAATAATTCTTCCTCCCTTGCTTCTGTACCTTCATATAAGGGAGGAGTCAACAGTCATGCTTCGTGTTTCGATTGCTTTGTCAATAGTGCAGTTGGTTGCATTGCTTCCGGATGAAGAGATTGCATTACGTTTACCTCCTGTGCTCATTGACACATGCCATATCCTTCGAAGTCGATCCCAAGAGTCACGAGATGCTACCCGGAAAACCCTCTCGTCTATTGCTAAGGTTCTAGGACCCAAATATTTTTCCTTTATTCTTAATCAATTGAGACTTTCTTTACAGAGAGGTTACCAATTACATGTTCTCGGGTATACCGTACATTCACTCCTGGTTTCAGTTGAGGATGTTTATCCATATGGCTCACTTGATTATTGTTTGGATAACCTTTCCACCATATTTGTCAGTGAAATTTTCGGTGAAGTCGGCCTAGAAAAAGACGCAGAAGAGTACAAATCTAACGTCAAAGAAATTAAAGGAAATAAAAGCTTTGATTCATATGAAATTGTTGCTCGTATGTCTGGCATTGAAAGCCTTGGCATACTTTTACGTCCAGTGAAAAATGTTCTGTCCGAAACAACATACCCGAGGTCCTTAAGAAAAGTGGATGAACTGTCTCGAAGATTGTCTATGGGTGTTATGGCCAATAAGCAAAGCATGACGCAAAAGGCTTTAATATTTTGCTACAATGTTTTTGATTATGTGTCGAAACAAAATGCAGCTATGTCTGTAAGCGATATCCATGAAGAACAGCGTATGCCCAATCTTTTTGCTAAAAATTCCAAAAAACTTGTCAGATTTGCACTGGATGCTCTTCGTGGAATCGTCACAAAACATAAGGAGCTACTTACCTCTGCAAATATGACTGGATTTGTCCCCATTATTGGTGATTCTTTATTGAGTGACTCTGAAGAGCTTAATATATCCGCTTTACGCATCATAGTTGTTCTGCTTCCATTGAAAATGGCACAAGTTTTCTCAGGAAGCACCGTCTTCATTTCTCAAGCTATTAAACTGATACAGAATTCTCCGACTACCAATTCTGAATTATGTCAAGCTAGTTTAAAATTTATCGCTAGCATATTACCTTATGAAGGTGTTGAAATTAAAGAATCAGCTTTAAGCTATCTTTTGGAAAGGATTAGTGGTGATATAGAAGAGCCTGATCGCCAGGGCGTTATGTTTTCTTTAGTTAGAGCTAGCATAACTCGAAAAGCTATGTCGCCGGAGCTTTATAAACTAATGGATAAAATTCGTGATATGATGGTTACCAACCATACTAAATCTACCCGTCAAACTTGTCGTCATTTGTACTACGCTTTCCTTCTGGATTTCCCACAAGGGAAAACTAGGTTTGCAAAGCAAATGTCTTTTATTTTAAAAAACCTTGAATATGAGTTTGCACCCGGTAGGGAATCAATTATGGAATTGCTGCATGCTATCCTAAATAATTTTAGTGATACTCTCCTAAAAGAGTATCTTCATGGAATATTTCTCGCTTTGGTCATGGTTTTAGTCAATGATCCTGAACCACATTGTCGAGAGCTGTCTGCCGAACTAATAAAGAATGTTTTTCAGCGAGTAGACGAGGAAAGCTATGCCTTAATCAGACAACTTTTGTTTACCTGGATCTCCAAGAAGTCAAACACTGCTAAGAACTTACATCGAGTTGGAATGCAATTGTTTGGGTTGTTATTTGAGATTTACGGGTTTGAAAAAACTCAAGAAGTTGAAGTTTTTACTGGTGTGTTAATAGATGTTTTACAAACCGCAATAAACAAAGGTGACGATGCACTGGATGAATGGGAGATGCTTTATTTTGGTCTTCAATCATGGCTAAAGCTTGTTATTGCTAATTCGGTAAAGGCTTGCAGTCGTGATTACGCACAAATTTGGACACTTATTCGTTATGTTTTGCTCTTTAAACATGCCTGGGTTCGACTTTCTGTTTCACGTCTTTACGGTTACTTCTTTGCGTTAACTGGCAACTCGAGTTTCAATCAGGTGAAGTTAAAGGCATCTGAAGTTGAATTTGGACTGGATTTCGTTTTGCAAATTTCAAATGCAATGCAAGCTCAGTTACGTAGCTCTTCTCTGTCTGAAGAACTTGGGACACAAGTCGTCAAGAACTTGGTATTCTTAACTCGTTGGTTTAACACCATTCGAAAAGAAAACTCTGAACCGTTTTTGGACATATTTAGACGCATGTATAAGAGCTTAAGAAAACAAAAAGTTGAAAGTATGGATTTAAGCAAGAAATACATGATTCAATGGTTCGTAATTGTTATTCGTCTATTTTCAAGCGAAGAATTACTGCCTGTTTTGAGAGATATTATAAGCGCTTTGTACAGATATACTGAGTTAAATGAGGCAGAAAAAAAGATACAACAAGAACTTGTAGATATTGTCATTGAGTCTCTTGATGTCCTTCAATCCAAGGTCGGAACAACTGAGTATGTCAATGCATATCAAGAAGTTCGTCAAGCTAGTCTAGATGTTAGACGCGAACGACGTGAAAAGCGAGCCATCGAGCAGGTTGTGGATCCGGAAATAGCTACTAAGAAAAAGTTACGCAAATATGAAAGAAAACACGATGTTCGCAAAGAAAGAACGCAGCATCAAAGGATGTTGAATGCTGTCTTCAAAAAAAGGTAAAAGGGAATTACAAACACGGTAAAATATTAGGGTAATGACTTAATATAATAATATGGATTTTGGCAACATAGAGTCATCAGATATATATTAATCTACACTAATTAAGTAGTATAGGGAAACTTGTCGTAGAAATCAAAAAAGAAAAAAAAACTGATCGTAGTAATTCTGGCTTTCTTAGAAAGATAAATAATATATAAGACTTGGTATAAATATGTAATAAAGGAAAAGGACGCAATGTAGAGCTTCAGAAAAGGAAAGATGTATATCAATTCCTTGTTTTTGGTCTACCACGACCACGGCCTTTTGATTTTCGCCTACCCACATTGGAAGGCTCATCATCACTTACACATTCATCCAAATTCAGACCAGCATCACGGCATCTTCCACACGGTCTTTGACGATCACACCCCTTCTTTGAACGCCTACAGCGGGAACAGCGACTTTTTGAGAATGAAGAAGAATCAAAGTAACTTGGGAATGAGCCTGCGTTAGTGTATGAGTCCGAAAGATTATCCGATCTTTTACTTGTTGGCAACTCTTTGGTATCTTCCATATGTTTCGAAGTAAGTTGATGAAAAACTGAGAAAGAGTGACTATTCGAATACTTCGAGTTATTGTCAGAGCGGCGCCGTTTAGAAAAAGAGTGTGCAGAGTCGTCCGATGATAAATCGTGACGATGAGGATCTATTAAGGGATCAGATCTGGACATGTGTGCCAATTTCTTGGAATTGGGAAATTCATGATTGATTTTCGTAGAGGGAACTTGGGCGGTAGAGTCAGAATTTCGCTGATCGGAAGAAGAAGTACCGCCTAGACGAATGAGTTGCCAAGCTACATCTTCATCGGAAAGGGAACGCTTCTTTGTAAATTCTCTGGGGTGTTGATCGGTAGAAGAAGTGACTGACGGAGGAGAAGCAGGTAAAGATGGATTCGAGTATGCGGGATAAGAATTGGGTGTTTTTGATGGAGAACGATTAGTTGGGTTAAGAATGGGGGAAATGGAGCAATTTTGTTCTCCTTTGGAAGGTAGGGGAGGAGATGCACGAGATCGAACATGTTGATCAGAAGGAAAATCGGATTGTGAAGGAGGAGAATGGTTGACAAGATTAGAGATGTTAGAAATCGGATGACGAGCAGAAGCTGGAACTGACGAAGAAGTAGGGGCAGCAGGAGCATAATAGGAGCAAGGAAGAGAGTTCGTAACCAAACTGTAAGTTGGGTGGGGGTGGTAGACAGCACTAAGGGGAGTAAGAGGATGGGTATAATCAGGGGAGGAAATCAGAGAAGATATGTGAGGTGGAGGATGAGAGGATGTAGTAGAGATGGGATGTGAAGAAACAGTATTGGAAACTGGCTGTACAGGAGCCGAAGTATTATTACGTAAAGAATAAGATGAAGGATTATAGGTAATTCCAGGGGAAGGGTCCATGGTGGTAGCAATGGAAGAAGGAGGAGTGGCAGAAAAAGCGGGACCCGACACGGGTTGCAAGATGCTTTGTAAGTCCATTACAGAAGGAAAATCGTAGTAAAAGACGATAAAAGTATGAGAAAATTGGAGAATGAGAGATAGAGCCAGTGAGGAAAGGCAAGAAGTAAATCAAGATTAGAAGAGCGAAAAAAAAAAGAAACGCAACAGCGGAATAGTTGTGTTATTGAGGCAAAGGTAAAAAAAAAACGAAAGAACACAAGTGACAGAATGAACAACAAAAAGAAAGAGAGAAGAAAAAAGGAAAGAAACGTTCAATAAATAAACTATGGATTGAAGAATAAATAGATGAGAAAGAAAGAAAAGGAGTAATCGGCTGGTCACTTAGATAGTGAAATATTTTCAGCAATTCCAGAGAAGAGGTGAGAGGATTGCTAAAAAAATAAACGAAAATTATGCCTTTTCTTAGATATACGCAAGCCTGAGTTTAGGGAGGAGTAAAAATTTACCAAAAGTTAGATGACGATAATTGCAAACAGGGTTAGACGAGAATATTTGCAAACACGGAAAAAGGAACCGACTGAAAGCAAGTTCCTATGTAGTGTTCAAAAGATTTGAGAGAAAAGTCGTTTGCGGAGCAGTGCGGATGTAGCCGACCAAACAAGAGGGAGGGACTAATGTTTGGAGAAGAGAGAAAGCCAATTGTAAGTGAATCGAAACTACAGGGTACCGAAGGCGCTGAGCTCAAGCTGTGTTGATGATAAATTGGGTAAGCCAACAAAAGAGCGACGATCAAAGATACACAACAAAGCAAGCAGAGACGGTCGTTCCTGTCGCAGTAAACAAAACCAAAAAGGAAAACAGGAGCGCTTTAGAATGTTGCGAAAAGAGAAACAAAAATCAACGATACAAAGCAAAAGTCAAGCGGAACAACAAACAGAGACGAGCAACCAAAACAGAAGCAAAAAGAAAAGCGTCAGGTCAGTTGGAAAGCCTCGGAACGAGGAGGAAGAAGAAGAGCGGATAGCTACAGTAAAAAAGCAAAAAATGCCCAGGAAAATAAAAGCAAAAAGGAAGCACTTGAAGAAAGAGAGAAGGGGAGGGAAAGGGAAAGTTGAAAACGAAGTTGCGGAAGTGGAAAGTATGGGGATCTAACTCGACGATCCTCGGTTATGACACACTACCAGTAGGATTAATAAAGGAGAGTTCGCTATAATATTACCGAATAAAACGAAGCGAAACGAAAAGGAAAAGAAAGAAACGGAAAAGTACAAATGTGGAAAAGAAACCTTGGAGATGTTGTAGAGGAAGGAGAAAGATAAAAGTGAAGAAAGAATAAATGAGTTTTTTTTCGGTTTGTAAGAAAATAAGGAGGACACAGGATACTTTTTTATGTAAAGTGCCTCGTTTCTGACGAAAGAGGAGCGGGATCCTCAGGGAGAAAAATTTTAGAGTTGCGCTAAGCGAGCTGAGGTCATGATAGTAATAAAGACGAGAAGTGTGTAAAAAAAAAAAAAGAAAAGAAAAAGAAAAAGAAAAGATAAGAAAGTTGTATTTACGAATGAAATATGAATGAAGGTACAGGAAAAAAAAAAAGGAGGATATGGATGAAGAAACAAGTGGAAGGGTGTTGCTAAGTCAGCTTGGATTCCTCTGATTGTTGGTTCATATATAGAAGCAAGGATGAGCTAGAAAGAAGCGTCCGTTAGGAACTTTTTCATTTCTTTCTATTTTCGTTCTCTTACACTTAATTCTTGAAGATTTCTTGACAATTAACATATTTTCTTTATGCTTTCTGAAACAAGTGAAAAAGAAACAAACCCCTTTCTTCTCCGGTCGGCTGGATCCCTTTATTAGCGATGATGTAGTTGGATATGCAGGACAGCGGCGATTTCTTCGATCAGGAAAAAGAAAAATTCGATAAAAACAAAAAAAAAACAAAGGAACCTTGTAAGAACAAAAGGCTTTGGTATGCTAAAGCGTAATCGGGACACCTTTAGGACAATATAAAAGGAGGATATTCTTAAGGATGCGAGCAAAGTTCCCAGTTCACCTGTATGGACTAAAACAACCCCTTTTTTTGCGAAACCCGAAGACCCGGATGAACGTAAACACGTAAACAAAGTGTACGAAAAGGAAACAAAACATGAAACAGAACTCTGAGTCATTTTTTGATAGTTGGATTCTTATAAAAAACAAAGTCAAAAGAAGAAGATTGTTTCATTTCGAGCAGTACAATAAGATAACAAGTATTAAATAGAGTAATGTCAGTGTCACGGTGTCACGGGAGAAATCTCACACGTTATGAGAATGTAAATCGAGTGGAAGTAATAAGTACCATTACAAAGTTGTCTATTGGAATTGGACGTGTTAGTACTACGTAGAGTGATAGTAATATGTCCAGGGATCTGATTAACTAAATGAAAACGACTAAGTGTCAATCTTATTTAGCCTGATCAGTCAAATCTTCCGATCTAAAGATTTCGCTGTAAAACTTCAAATCTTACTAATTTTTAAATAGTACTGATAATCATACGTTAGTAAATCTTTAATCGTATGTTCTGCATTCAAAGAGAAATTTGCATTTTCAAATTTTTGTTTACTTATTATCAAGCACAATTCTTTAAGCTTATGAATATTAACTGATATTAGCTAATATTCCATTCTTATAACGGATTGTTATATTATGAATGCTAACGAGGGACCCAATTATGACACCTCCCTGCCTAAGAGTCTTTCACTTCCTTGAATTGGAAGACTCTTATTTTCATTGCGGTTCTTCTGTTGGAGAAGCGCGACGAGTAAATTCAATGAGCTTTGAGTATGCTTTTTTTCGAACGATGTCTCTAGGAACCCATGTGACTGAGCGATAGTCATATTTTGAAAATTGCGCTCTATATAAACAATTGTAAAGAGAAGGCTTTTCTAGGTTATCAGCGTCTAAAATTTCATCAATAATGATGTTTTGCGTAAAATTGTTTGAGCTTGAGTCCGCGTTGTAAGGTTCGAGTTCGGATACATGAAAACTAGCAGGATAGCGTCTTCGTATCGTTTTAGGAAAATTTAACTCATAGTTATGTTCTCCTATTTTCCTTTTTACTGAAAATGGACCAACAAATGTTGGTTCAAGTTTACTTGATTGATGGAAAAATCTCACTTTGCCATTTTTGACTAATACCTGATCGTTAGGTTGGAAAATCGGAGGTGGAATTGTCTTTTGATTGTAATACTTTGCGTATTTATCATTTGCTTTTCTATTACGTTCACGTATTTCATCGATGGATTCTGTTCTGTCCGGTAAATAAGGAATATCTAGTTCATCCAGGATTTGCGTATCCCAAGCGGTAACTATAGCTTGAATACCAAAAGCAGCATTAATTGGAGCTATTTTTGTAGCAGAGTGCTGTGAAGAGTTATAACATAACTGAGCTTTGAGAAGATAATTGACCCAATTTGTTAAATGTTTGTTCACGTAGCAACGAAGATATGACTCCAAGATTTGATTGACGCGCTCTGTTTGTCCGTTTGTTTGTGGATGATATCCTGAAAATAACATAAGGTGTATGTTATGGTCT